TTTATTTCCTGTTCTTCTTCACCTTATCATTATCTTTCACTGCACAACATCAACATACTCTCAAATATAGACCTCCTCTTTGATAGATTAGATAATAGTATAGCGGTCCGGGTGGTCAGGGCTTAGCATTCAGTAATCCGTGAAGCGAAGCTGTTTAGGGTTTTGAATTGGCGATAGTTAAGTATCCAACTTTGGCGATTTCCAATGATAGACTACTTCTCACTGCACAATGATCTTGCTTTTGTTTTTGAAAACAGACAATAAGCATCTAATACCAAAACATTGATCCAACCTCGCTTGACAGGGGGGTTTGGGGGGCTTGCCCCCCAATCTGGGGGTCAAGGGGGGAACCCCCTTGCGACGCGTTTCCGTTGAATGACACGGAGCGAAGCGGAGGGGCTCATTCATCCGAGCGAAGCGAGGAAGGACCAGCTAGTCTTTATTATTAAAATCTTTAAAAGTTAGCTGAAAAATCCAAAAAAGGAAACTCTCATCCATGTAAATTCACAGACAGAAAAAGAGAAAGTAAATACTTACGCAAAGCATTCCCCAAATTCATGGGGGACCTCGGCCGCACTTTTTACCCGTGGGCTCGGGGAAATTGTAGATGAAGCAGGACTTACGCCCGGAGGCTGCCTGAGTAAAAAAACAGCCGTTCGCGTGAAACGATGCAACATCCGAAGATGGGTCGAGACAGAGGCTACTAGGAACTGTGAGAGAAAAGCAAAGGGGGAGGGGAGGGGAGAAGGATAAACTACATAAAGAACGCAATAGACGCTTTTAACGACTTCCTGGGTCAGAGCAAGGGGAGGAGGGGAGGGGGGTATAAAATATATAAAGAACGCAAAGAAGAAGATGAGGCTTTTAAGGACTTCCTCAGGTCCAAGTCAAAGCAAAAAGCACACGCCACCGTCCAGATGGATGGATAGATCTTGACCAGTGCCGATGGACTACTTGACAGGTCGGCTTCTAGGAGCGGGATGACAGTGGAGCATCAATCTTGACTAGCATGGAGGTGTCTGTGCACTATCGCCATTCCGAGAAACGAAAGAGATGAACAGTTAATGGGAAACTGTTAAACCACACACATACAAGATTCTATCGTGCTATACTTACCTATACTTCTACGATGAGACACAGGAGAACCGAACACCCAGCCAGTGTAGAGCAGAGAATCGCAGCCAGAACAAAAACACTTCTTCTAGCTGGATAAAAAAAAGGTCATTAAGCTATCTTTATTTTTGACACAGCATAACCATCCTCCTCCATCCCAAGCTGGATCTAGCTATACCTACATTTGTTTTGTCGTTTTACAACAAAGTTATAGACAGAGAGAGATGGGGTCTAAGCCAATCCAAGTCCAAACAGATAACCGCAAAGCCATCCTCTAATAGGAAAAAGAAAACATCTATGAGCAGCTGCATACACTTTTTGACATGTCACGGCACACATCTTACTGGTTCTTCAAACACACAAAGACAAACACAAGCACAAAATTCTTTCCAGCTATACTTACTATAATGACATCCTTGTGTTGGAGGAAGAGAGCCTTGAGTTAGAGAGAGGAAAAGCAAGAACGGCACGACCAATTCTGAAAAAAAAGAAAGGGGAGAAGAGAAAGAAAAATTTTTTGAGAGACTGCCATACTGCACACGTCATGATCAGGAACCCTTTCCCGTCACGCTACTGCGCACACTGCACACCTTTGACACGTCATCTCCAGCACCCACGCCATCCTACTCACCTACCAATGTTCGAGTCCCCTTTTGCTTATCCTTACTATCTGTTACCTGTCCGCCGGACGAGATGAACCCAACCAGCATAAAGCGGAACCTGAAGTAGAAAGAAAAGAAGAAAGATCATGAGCAGGCTGTTCTTAATATGCAACTATTCTTGACACGTCATGGCATCAGCACCTCCAACAGACACTCGACTTCTCTCCAGCTCATCCTCACATTTCATTCCCTACCGTACTTACAGTTGTTGCTTGTGCTTAAGGGTGGGGTGCAAACACCAAACCGAACCAACCATTTCAAAAAGTCAGAATCCTACAGTAGTAGCAGAGAAGAAAGGAGGATAACATTAGCGGCTGTATGCTGTACACACACTTCTTTAGACACGTCGAAATTCAGATCTTCTTTCGTACTGTATATCACATCCACATGCAAAACCTCAAAGTACACTTCACACTTTCCATATTGTACTGTACTTACTCTTGCATCTGCGCTTTGAGAGCCAACGTGAGGGGGAGATGGACCAGGTTAAGACGAGAAGAAGGTTTGTGTCAAAAAGAAAGAAAGTGAGGTAAACGGATTTTGAGATACTCACAACCGGTTTCATACGCTCTTCTCACTCACCAACATAAGCATACACTCTTCGATCCTCTAATCCATTCCAATGACACTCACATTGAATAGCTTTGGTTTAGAAAAGTTGACGAAGAGGAAGAAGAGCCCCATGATTGCTGCGGCCGCACGGTTATATAGTAGTAATGAACACGGCATTTGAGCCAGTTCAATCTATCCAATCAGATTGCTCTCTCACGTTTATGACGCGCCGAAATGTGTGGCTCCTCCAGATCAGAAAATTTGTTCTACATGAATGTATGACTATGTGAGTAAACGGGTATCGCATCGAGGAAAGACTCAAGGGGATAACCTTCATTAACACGAGATGAAGCTCACTTCACGTCCTTCATCATATGAGAAGTGTCATCGCTTTAAACACGCTGGACACAAGTATCAATACAAGTATCAACGTATACGTACAAGCGTATCCAAATCTCATGAGACATGACGATCCCGCGCTTGCCGATGTTCCATTTGGTGGAAAAATTATGGTCCTTGGTGTTGACTTTTGCCAGGTACTCAACATTGTAGTCTCTCTTCTACTTTGCATGTTTTTTACTATTAAGCGGTAGTACTCACAGTAAAGTATATCGTAATAGGTCCTTCCAGTGATACCAAATGCGTCGCGCTCGCAGATCGTACAGCAGTGCTTAAATCGCTCATCGAAGCCATTTACGGCAACCTCAACGCACGACATGTGGATCGTGACTACCTCATCAATCCCTCTATCTTGACTCCAAAGAATGCCGACGTTTCAACAATCAACGATCTGATACTCGACCATTTCCCAGGCACCATCCACGTATTCCCGAGCGCAGATACTGTGGATGATCCAGAGGATCAAATCACATACCCACCAGAGCTGCTCAATTCCATGAATCCATCCGACCTCCCACCACACTTGCTAAAACTCAAAATCGGTTGCCCAATTATGCTTTTGAGAAACTTGCACACCCAAAGTGGTCTCTGCAACGGGACACGGCTGATTGTACGCTCTTTTCAAAGATATGTATTTGAAGCTGAAATAGCCACTGGACCTCATGCCGGCAACATTGTCTTAATCCCTCGCATAACACTCACACATTCACTAACATGCTCTCCCATTCTCTTCAAACGCACCCAATTCGCTGTTCGCCTGGCATTCACTATGACCCTCAATAAGGCACAGGATCAAACTTTTAACACTGTCGGCCTCTACTTGCCTGAACCTCCGTTCACGCATGGTCTACTTTATGTAGCCATGTCACGCGTCCGCACCCCTTCATCCATCAGAATCATGTTAGATCCCGAGAACTCGAGTATCGCGGGTCAGCAAGGCCAAAACATCCGAGATGTTGTTTTCATGAAGTTCTTCTCTAATTCTTTTTGTCGCCTATTCTCTTTTCTTATATCGCCTATTTTTCATTGTTACCACCACCTATTCTCTTTTTATCAATATTACTACACCATCTTTTTCCACACTTCTATTCGCTTTGCATTTGAACTGGAGATAGTAAGTATTAAACTTTGACGACTTCCTATGATAGAATACTTCTCACTGCACAATAATTTTGCTTTTGTTTTTGAAAACAGACAATAAGTATCTAATACCAAGACATTGATCTAACCTCGCTCCACAGGGGGGTTTGGGGGGCTTGTCCCCAATCTGGGGGTCAAGGGGGGAACCCCCTTGCGACGCGTTTCCGTTGAATGACACGGAGCGAAGCGGAGGGGCTCATTCATCCGAGCGAAGCGAGGAAGGACCGCTAGTATGCCACATATTCATCTTTTCTGGAAATTGGCTCCTCTTGGACAGAGGAGCCGTCTTCTAAAATTGACCACCCTATAGGTAAGATGTACCATGTTTATTGACAACCAATCTTATTTTGCTCGTATTCTAACTGATTTTTATTGGACTTGGCAATCGCATACAATTCATTTATTTATTGTTAGCAACGGAAGTTCAAAAACTCTGTTTCTTGAATGAGATTGTACTGCCGTATGATCCTTTCAACGAGACATTGTATGAAGCCAAATAAATGTTTACTTTACAAATACCATTTGTTGGTAGAGTACTGCAGCTGCTTCGACATCAAAACACCAAACGCCTTTGCTAAATGGTTCGGTTCGCGAAAGCTCAAATTTCTACAAGCCGATGGTTTCAGGAAAAGACCAAGACACGGTGACGGAGATGCCACCCGATAATATATGTCATGAAAAGGAATACCTTGGTAAGATAAAAAGGAAATATGGTATGCAGGAAATACTTTATTCTAATGTGCCTTTACAGTGATATCGTCAGAAGATTCACCAATTACTTGCCATTGTATCATGTGTTCCTTGGCAAACTCAGAAAGGAAGGATACAAAATTATTGGTTATGCAAGGAAATCTATTGGTCCTGAGGATTCCGATACAGCCCATGATCGATCTTTTGACAAGCAAGGTCTTTGGTATCCCCAAGTTCCTCTGCATCGCAATTCTCTTCCGAACGGGATATCCCTAGAGATAGCGAGGTTCTTCAATTTGGTCGGCGTCGAAGGGACAACGCACAGTAAGGCAAAAAAAAAAGCTAGACAATAAAGAAAGAGACACTGATATTTTCTCGGTGTCTCTTGATTTCGCTGGTCTATCAACCAATTCTATTAAAACCAATCAACTTTATTGTATAAAGTTTAGTCAAGATCGAAGCCTGACTGCAATCAACTCATGGCAGCTGTTTTTGAATACCATATCAAGACACGTGTGCATGCATCTCGTCAAACATCAGCTTCAACAACAACAACAACAACAACCAACAATACACCAAAGCTCAAACAAAATGACTATAAAAATGTTTGAAAGCCTCGAGCAAAAAAAGTTTTGGGAACTTAGTACAGGCACAATCGTTGAATTAAAAATGAAGGAGCTTGCTTTGAAGAGTGAAACAGAACAGTGAGTCTTTTTGTTTTTCCTTTCTTTTTTGTACGTGCTATTCTAATTTACGACTATTTCTAGTCCCTGCCACTCCATGGTTCTTGATACCTCGGATCCTGCCTAGCTTGAATTCTTCACTATAAGTGAATTTGACGAAATTGATAATGAACAGCCACCATCCATTGTACTGTAGCGGTAGCTACTACTGCTAGCAAGTCACACGAAGCCCAATTAGTAGATCACACAAATACCCTCTATAAAGCATCAATCCCTCCTCAACTACAACAATATGTATAATTGTCATCACCATCCGTAACACCCCTATATCTTATATCTGTCATTAAGTATAGAAATCAGTTGTTTTTAAGCAGTAATAAATCTTCAGTTATAATATTACATATCCCCAGATCTCATATCCAATTCTATCCTCAGTCACAATAAGTTATAGCCGTAACATGTACAAAACCTGATCAAGTCAGTTAATTAAGACTGGAACAGAGACTAAAATTCCTATATTTTGCATTTTGTAGAGATTATCCAAGGTTAAGCAAAATAGTCGTAGGCAGCTTGCCAATCAAGCACGAATTGCATGTGTTTGAAAGAGAGAAAGTATTGCTAAATCCTCTCACAAATTTTCGACGAATATGCAGAAAAAGCCGCCTATGATATTCAAAGATCGTATAAACTATCACCTTGTTATCACTAAACATCGCCATGGTCGAAATTAGCACCACTGCGTGGAGCAGTGAAAATGCAAAATACTAATCTATCGGTAAAAGCTATAAGGAAAACGAAACCTTGAAAGGTTCAGTGCTTTTCTCCGCGTAGCAGACTCCCATAAGTGAAGTATATACGATGTATTCCTTCGAATCTGCCACTGTCTTTTCACCAGTGACCAAAACAGGCTGCTTTGGATCTTTTTTTTTTGATAGCAGATCTCCAGGTCTTCCATATCGTCGATTCTTCACTCTACGTTCCTGTACTATAGATTATATAGAGCTTGTCAACAACGGAGCACTTGTACCACCTGAGTACCACAACAACAACATACTGTAAATGAAGCATCATCAACAAAAAAACAGCAAATGGTGATGGATACGGATCGTCCAGCTCCCACCACGTTGCTGTAAGCTGTTTCTTTGGAAGCACTAAAGAGACGCCCTGTTTCTGCTAACTATGTTGTTGAATAATAGAGGCGACATTGACTATCCGTCGTTGTCTTCAGGCAAGTAGTAGGTGTTGTCCATAATGTTTTTTTGTTTCGGTACTCTTTTATATCGTATGATGATGTTACTGCATTGTATCAACAGTATGTTTTGTATAAAGGGCTGAGTTTGACATTTGAGGTTACCTTCACCTAAGCAAATCCTATCTTCAATGAATACATTATGTACTTGCCATACTGTATATTACAGAGAGCATATGTTGTTATGAAAATCGATTACAGTAGTAGATTGTATATGAGAGAGCCTCAGTAGATTGCTTATTCTTTTGTGCTGCTTCCTTCATGGAAATAAAACGAGACTTTCCTTTTCAAGATTGCTCAAGAATGGCAGCCTTGTATCATAGAAATAAGCGAGGATTCGCAGTGGATCAGTATTCTGTCATTATTCTCCAGTACACATACAAAGCCACTTTCACTCTCCATACTAGTTTTGTTGGTGAGAAGAAAATTTCACATACACAAGATAGTCTCTCGAGCTTGATGTGCTTCCCTCTCCCGCCCTATTACCAATAAAGAAAAGTTGGATCAAGTCTACTGTCGATATTTTTTTTTGTATGGAGAGTGGCCTTTAAATCAATACATATCTATAAATCAAGACCCATCGTCAGCGTTACTCGTCCTATCCAAATCATACACCCCAGCAACGCTATCTAATAACAATGGCAAATCCTTTACTGTAAGATCAAGGAAGGTAATATTTAAAGTGAAAGAGCTGACACGAGTGAGCATACATACTACTATTAGTTCAAGTGGATGTTCGAGTTGGAGAACAAGATGAATAGAATATAATTCTATGTGCGCTTAAATAAAGCAAATTGATATCTGAAACATTTGTACTCGGTAAACCAATCTCATATCATGCTTTAATCATGCTGATATTACCATGGTAACATAACTCCTGTAGCAACAGCAGTGGTTTGAACATAGTGTAAATGTTTAAATCAAAAGTGTACATGAATTATCTTACATATTACAATTACAAGTGGGAAACTGATGCTTGAAAGTGGTAAGAGTGGAATTTGAACGGATGGATAGAATCTTTGACAATGTAAATGATAAACAAGAAAGCGCAATTGGGAAGGCGGTGTGTGCAGCAATCAAACTATCATCCAGCGTTATGCCACATTAACAGCGCGCTTTTGTCATGCTTCAACACGCTTCTTACTTTTAACGCGCGAGGCAAAAAGAGTGAAAAAGGCGGGCTTTGAAATGATGTTCCGCTGAGGCATATCGCACGATGTCGCGTGTGCCTTACTTCTTTTCCCCTTAACCTGCTGCCATGTCCATGAACGCTACTCCCAATGACATCCGTGTCTTCAAGACACCGGTCCGTCGATTGAACCGACACCGACAACAGGCTTTAGCAATACCGCTACCACAACCACCTCCACCACCACCACCTATGCCCCCGGCTTTGATGCCTGCAACATCATCTGCAGCACCAACATTCACGCCACCAATAACACGAATGCAGCAGCAACTTCAACAGTTGAAAAACAAAGGTAAAGAAACGAATGAAGGGCTTCAACAGCTCAATTATAAGAAGGGGTGGAAGAAGGCGCAAGAGCAGCCAAAGAAAGAGCAACAACAACAACAACAACAACACTCTCCTCCTCCTCCTCCTCCTCCTCCTACTGGTACTACTACTACTTCCCCTCCTCCTCTTACTGCTGCTGCTGCTACTGCTATTACTTCTCCTCGTCTTCCTCCTCCTCCTCCACCTTTTCTTCAGCAGCAACAACAACAGCTTCTCTCTCCTCCATACATTCCAGCATTTTTGCAGGATTTGGAGGATGTTGAGATGGATGTTGTTGAGGAACCAGTAGACATGGAATGGGAGACGGGCGATGAAAGAGACATGTTGTGGGATCCCACTCCCCGTCTTGTCGCGGTCTACTGGCCATATTACGGTCCATGAATGTAAGTAAACTGAGGTTGTTTTATCGACCGTAGCAAAACTAACACAAGCGCGTTATTAACTAATCGTTTTCTTTCTTATGGTGGAAAAAGACTTCCTTTCCTTTTCACTTTCTTTGTTATTGCAGTACCGTACGACGCGAAAATCACCAGAAACCCCGAAAAAAAAGCAAAAAACCATCACAAAAGCATTTAAAAAAAGCAGTACAAAAATTACAAAAGCACCCAAAAAAACATCAAAACATCAAAACACTAAAAAAAAACCTTCATATAAATACTGGTAAGGTTATCTTTCACTTGGATTTTACGGGGTTCATTGCGTGATAACGTGTATCGTGGATACTGACTTGTTCCCTAATTTTGATAGGTCTTCCTGCTTATACCGCCAGTTGTCCTCCGCCATCCCAAGACTTCTTCCATTTCCGCACCGATTTTGCCAACCGCTTTATTTATCTATTTATTTATTGACAAAGCGCCTTCGGGCGCTTCTTACTGGATTCAATGTCCAGAAAAAGGTATGTGACATACGATACACGATGCAGTTACTTGGTATATTGATCAACGACTAAATAGCTAGCGCTTGCATGAATTCTATTTAGACGAGAACCGTCTTCACTGTGGCAAAGGCAATTTTGAAGTTTTGAGGAGGTAAAGTATGTATTCTTTTAAACTACGATGTACTGAATCATCTTTTCATTACAGTTTCCTAACCTTTTATGACCCTTTTAACTCTATAGGAGCAGTGGTGGCCGACCTGTGTGCGGCGCAGCGCCGGTGCCCCAGCAGATGATACTCCAAGGCCCATAGCAAAGTGTTGCGATGGTATAACATCGGACACTGACGTCCATGCTGCATGCGTTCCAGCGTGTGTCATGTACTGTGTGGTAAGTGCATGAGAGTGGAGAAATTGGCGGTGCCTTTTGTGCTGTGTCGTACAGGAAAAGGTGAGGAGTGCGAGGAGAACAATGCGACTTGGATCTGCGAGGGGAACAGTGGAAGGGTATATGGGATCTGGTGTGGGCGATCTGGGGTTCGAGGATGCAACATCATCTGTCTTGTAGGTAGTGCAGAATCAGAATTACAGCAGAGATATGCAAGGCAGTTCTTTGACGACAAAGATGGTATGTACAAGCTTTTTTATTAAGTGACGTATAAAGAGGAAACGCGTGGGTCTGTGCTATTATCAGTGTTACATTCAGAAATCACTAACGATAGATGCTCTTGATGCATCCCTTATAACGACTGTTTTTTCCTAGCTGCGACTTGGAAAAAGAGATCGTTATAAGGGATGGGGTTTCTGACTAGAATGTTCAAGCCATTCTAGTCATGCATAGATGTATTCGGTTCTCGAGGTTGGCGTCTCTGTTGGTGCTTCTGTTTCCCGACGATCTTCATTGCAATGCTATTGCATTTCAAGTCCAGTCACCACGCCAGATTCTGCCTTCCACTGAGGGAGGGAGGATCCAAATCGCATTGTTCTCCTCGCACTCCTCACGTTTTCCTGTACGACACAGCACAAATGACACCGCCAATTTCTCCACTCTCATGCACTTACCACACAGGACATACGCTGGAATGCATGCAGCATGGACGTCAGTGCCGATGTTTTACCATCGCAACACTTTGCCATGTGCGTTGGAGTATCATCTGCTGGGGCGCCGATGATGGCCTTGCAGGCCATGGGTGGGCGTCTAGGATGGCCCACAGGCCCGGTGTAGCATGCATGTGCTATTCTGGTGAAGGCAGCGAGTTTATATCGTCTGGGTCGGTGATCTCGTGGTGCCACTCACCGAAAACACAACCACGGATCCCATCGTTGGCTTGGGTTGGACACTTGGATCAATCGGAGCAATAGGAACACAATATACAACCAACGAGCAAATTATAAAACTAATTTATACCATGAAACTGGGATAATTGAAGGAGCAGCAACCATGAACCAAGAAGATCTCTTTGACATGAATCACATATGCATCGCATTATCACATACCTTCAACATACATCATAAATGGTAAGTTATTCTCTGAATTATCTGAACGACATTTAAGATCTAGTTGACTGGTTTTCTAACGCTATTTTTGTGTTGAACTTGTAGGGGAAGCAACAAATAAAAAGAAAAAAGGATGGAGCTGCCGCCGCATATACAGTGCGGCTTTACGATCCAAAATAATGAACAGATGTAATCACCGACATATATACAGTGTGATTTACAATTCTGGATGCTATTTACCCAAATCGCAAAAGCAAGATGCAGTACATACAAAAGGTACGTGAGCATCGCGAATACAAGAGGTCAAGACGAACATTTAAATGCAAAAACTGACAGGCGATCTTTCTTTATCTAGGCGTTCAAAGCTATTTACATCAAATTCAAGAGATTCATTGGTCATGTTTGCCGCTCCTTGGTTTTTTTCATACAGTTTGGTATATCCTTTCAAAACAATAAATCCGCATATGTTTTGCTCTCTGTACTATTATCACGCATCATAAATGAGATTTTTAGAATGTGAAGTGCCATTATATTGAGTTGAATGGTATCTGTGTATGCGGCAAGTCTTTTATGCAAGGGTAGAAGCAGTAGCAGCATTAAAATACAATGTATGAGCGACAACAGCACCGTCAAAGGGCCATAGAGACTCTTCATATCAGAAAGGCACACCAGCACACTGTCATCACTTGATAACCTTGATTAACTGGATGTACATAGAGAAATCGACCCAAAATGAGTTACGGCAGCTGTTTTTGAATCTGGTGTATGATAAATGTACATACGGAGCCTCTGAACTAAAGTTCATTACACTGCTTGCGTGTTGCCCGTATTCGACTTCTATGCTCTTATTACTGTAAGTATCTTGTTTGTAATCTAGTACTGTATGCATATAGGTTAATTGAATATCACATTGTACAAAGTATAACGATTAATTCATAAATCAAAAAACAACTTTCGCTTCACCCATCCGTCTTTAGGATTGATTTTTTAAACACACATGTTAAGAACACTCCACAGCCTCCACCACCGAACTACATACAGTCGACCCCTTTTACTTTCAAACCCGTTAACTTTGAACCTTCGCTATCTCCAAATTTGCTGGAGTTATCAAACAAACAAGAATAGCAAGGATTACTAGTACAAGTTGTTCTCGCCTACTTTCAACCCTCACTAATTTCACACAAAATTTAGGAATGCGCGCTATGTAATTAACGAGGATCAACTGTACTTGAGTATGGCAACCTAGGTCTCTTGGCAATAAATAAGATAATTTGCATACATCAGTTTGACGAAAAGGCGCTCGTTGTGAACCCATTTGGATATGCTCGTATCATACGATGATAACAATTGCAACACATCAAGCATTTTAGATATCATAGAGTGGACTCCAAGAAGTAAAAAATAATGAAGTGAAAGTTGATACTACACAAAATTTGGGTTCCTTAAGGTTTTTTTTCTCTTTTATCTTTTTTGCAGAGACCGGTTAAATATTTTTTCTTTAAAACATATGGTACTCCCTTTCACTTTTGTATCAAATAAACGCCTTCTCTCACATTTCTGTTTGTATCATATTTTCATTCTTTAAGATCCAAACACATCATCACATCCTATTTTCCCCAGCTCAAATTGTACTTACTACGTTATACAGTGATTCCCCGCTTTTGTCAACCATACTTATTTCAATAACCTAACTCTATGATAGGTTAAAGTAGTAAAACTTGATAAATGTTTTTGATACGCCCTCACTATTTTCCATTACAAATCGAGCATTTTAGAGCTGATGTTTTAAGTACAAGTGAGTAATGACAAAGTATATAGTGTACACTCATATCCTCTATAGTTTCCCTTATCTGTTTCCTTTCTTTCGTCATATCTAAAAGAATGTATGATGTAACGGACTTGGGAGAAAAAAAACGAGTGCTGTACGTCTTGATAAGCCTTACGCACACCTCCTTGCTAAAGCTTTAGCCAGTAGGATGCTTGTGTTCCTCAGCAGTACTGTACTATGTAGATGATTGGAATATTAAAAGTATGCATGTATGTGTTACAGACGGGTCGCCAGCTTGGAATGTTTATGTATTACTTGATTTGTGAACATTGATAAGCTAATCACTGCCACATATAGAGAAACGTCACCCGTTATCATGGGTCAAATATTTTTTTTCTGTACACGACATTGACAAACCAAAATGAAAACTAGATACGCGATGACTCCATCCTACCAGCATATCAAGGGTTGTTACCATTATCATTAAAGAATATGTTTAATAAATGTAGTAAAGCATGGTTATGTTATGTATGCACACTCGGCTTTTGCCAAGGAATATGTAAAATGGCATACAAATAAATTTACAAAGCCGGAAAGGAAAACAGAAGATCATCTAAAAAATTTTGTATTTTAACGCCAACACAACCGCCAATCCTCCTACAAGCACACCAAAGCCTGCAGATGTATATGAGCCACATTGACCGAAAATGCCGTTACTAGAGCCTGCTGACGATGACATCGATGGTGTAGCGGGGTTGCAATAATACTTTGCAAAGTAGTCGTTCTGGATCCATAACAGCTTGTTGAAAGCAGCTAGAGCAGCCAAGGTTTGATCCTCGGGCAACTTGAGCGACAGGATGCCTCCGACCAAGGTGGTTTCCACGTAGCCCAAAAGTGCGTTGATATGGATGTAGTCCACGTTGATCTTGCTCTTTTTTTGAGGTGTGTCCGTATGGATCTTGGCGACCCAGTCGAGATAACGGAGCATGCGCTCGTCGTATGGGCCCGACAAGAGCTTGTTCAGGTACTTTGTTAGAAAATCCTTGCGGAACTTGATTTGCGGATGGTCCAGGGTAAGCTCCTCCAAAGACGTCGCGGTCGCACCTTCAAAGCCTTCGTTCTTGGGCATGAAATGGCGCTTGGTGATGTCGTATGTGAAGAGCTTCTGGTAGACGGCATCAACAACAACAGGGACCAAGGGGCGGATCTTGTCAGCAACGGTTTCGATCGCTTTGATGTCATCGGCACCTAACACACCATCATAGTCAACAGTAAAATTAGTTAAGGACCTCGTATATATAAAGTGATTGAACTGAACAGAGGGGCAAAACGCGGTGTTCCTTTCTCGTAAAACTTACCGAAATCCATGAACTTGCTGACATACTTAAAGCGGTACTCGCCATCAGCATAAAGCTTTTCGCGTTCGATATGTTCCATAGTGGGGTACTTGTCTCTTGGAAAAGAAGAGGGAGGGTTGGGGAATGGAAAGGAGAGATAAGAGGCTAACAAATCAAACACGGGGAGCGGGTCCCTTTCTTTTATAAGAAAAAAAGATCTTTGATGAGATGTCAAACCAATCGGGTGAAGTCTGGAACCCGATCGAACGAATGTCCATTTTGGGATAACAAACAAATGCGTTGACCCTTGGTTTTGAAGTCCGTGAAACATGGTAAGCCCATTGCTTGCTCCAAACATGGGAATAAAGTGACTCATTTCGTAATAAACTTTTCTGACTGACGCTGACGGAAGCAGCAAGTGTTCGGAATCGGTTGAAATAGCGGCCGTGCCACTATCTCCGTGAGCCACCAAAGGAAACGAAGATAGCTTAGAAGTAATGCATGATTGGATTGAGCAAACGTGTCATGCGCTATTAAACAAAACGTTGGCTTTATTACGCATACCTTGCATCACCCTTTTTCTGGTAATTCTAGAAAGAGGTAGTCCCAAAAGCCCAAAAAGCGTGGTTATAGGCGGAAAATCTATGATCCTTGTTACGGACTGTCCTCGTACTTTCCGACACATCCTCCCGTCAACGTACGTTGTATCGCAAGTGGCGTCATGTCACGCCACTTGAATGCCTGAGTTGCAGAGCATCAAGCAACTTTTTGTATGAGTTCCTACCTTCATTATCATTCGAGCTATATATATATAACAGAGAGAAACCCCCTTATTTTATAGCCAGGCCGCTCAAGGAATCCAAACAGCCAAGTACTGCACTTGGTCCTCATCACACCCAATATATACTAGATCACATAGCGAAACCCCATATCATATTACCGAATAACGACAGAGTGATGGAGTAGCTGCTAATTTTATATTTTCGGATGTGCTTCGAAAGAGGCACGTGTCACCCACCGTACACCCAACTAATGGTGTGGCTGAAGGGATGTGGGGGCTGACTAAGAATGGCTCCCGTCACCAAAAGGAGAAGACTTGTTCCATGTATTCGACCACACACGTGTGCATTGACCCTTGCAGCGTGCATGTTGTTGGTTGTTCTCTGATGGTCTACATACACGCTAACAATGGGATTTGATAGTATGCAGCAGTGGACGAGAAGCTGCTTACTCTAAGCTACACAGCGTACAATCAAGCATCGCACTGGCCACGTTGTTGCTGCAGGGGTGAATGACGCACAGCAACCGTATGCATTCCTCCATACTTTTTATATTTTTAGAATTGCAGTAATTAAAAATATTCCGCTTTTCGATGATTAAGCGCATAATCGGCGTTCCCCTACTATCTGCTTCCTTCTTTTCTTTACCTTTCTTCTCTTCTTTTAATGACATCGTTAGCGGCTCGCATTCAAGATCAAGCATCGCTGTACCGGAAACTTAGTGACGAGCTCGCACAAGAGCACACCATCAGCATGGGGCTGGAAAGCTGCCTGGCTGAACGAGATCGCCTGACACAGAGAATCAAGTCAAAGCAAGTCGAGCTGGGTACTTTAACAGAAAACTCGTGAGTTCTGCAAAAAGACGCTTTAAAACAAAGAAGAGAGAGGAGGGGAGGGAATGCTGTGAACATCCCGATTGAAACGCAATGAAAGTGCAATCAATCGGGTTTGGCTGGGTGAAGTGTAAATTGCAATGTAGGAAGCTCAATCGGTTTTTACCTGGCATTTTAGCAAAAAGGAGTTCGACGACTTGCGCAAGATCCGCCACCTTTCTATACGATCAGCAGCCGCAACACTGACAGGCAAAAAGCGTGAGAAAGCCGCCGTAGGGGAAGCAAGATACCAACAAGCTTTTGAATCTGAACAGCGTTGTAAACGCGATATTGAACAAATGTCTAACGAGCTTGGCGTGCTCTCAGATAACGTAAAATGATAATGGAAGCGTGGAAGGGTGGTGTGACAATGGGCATGCTTTGATGATTTAAAACATCTGACCTCGTTAATCTATATTTAATATAGCAACAACAACTCGAACGCCAAGCAGACCATATACGTGAAACGCGAAATCAATTTAAACGATTATTAGACGATGTATGGAGTATCATGGAAAACAGATGGGAGGGAGAAAAGAGTCGTTTCAACAAATTAGAAAAGGAGAGAACAGTAATACTCACCTTGACAGGATTAGATTTTCACTGTTACTAATCCAAGCTATCCGCTCGAACCGCAACTCAAAGCTGAAGTGCAAAATTACATTAATCAAAAGGCTGCGGTAAGTCGATACCTCGAGTACCCATTCTCTGCATGTGTGTTTCTTGTACATTTGATATGAACACTTATAAAATCAATTAGGCCGCTCGTGACCTTGATCGATTCAAAGATACGGATCATAATCTGAGTCATGCCAAGCGCGACATTAACAAAGTATTACGGTTAATTAATACGAGCATAAGCTATGTACCATTTGACTTGTTTGGAGGAAACTTGATGGATGCAAACCAGGCAGCTTGTCTTGAAGGTATGGTGTAAAAGAAAAAAGCGATATAAAGTATCTCTTGCATATCGCCACGGGATGATCTTACACAGAACTGTATGATGTAGGTGCCAAGAAGCAAACATATGAGGTTCAACGAAGGTTAAATGTGGCGCGACAGATTCTTCCTGAGATACCTCATCCTGGTCTGCTCGATGTTGTCTCCAACAACTTGTTACTGAGTATGCAAGTGAATTTCAACTATGTTGATGTTGCATGGAAAGGTATGTAAAGAAAGTGGACGATAAATCGATCCAAGAAACCATCGTCTAACCACCGAGGCAATATCTTGATTTCGATAGCCAAAGCACAACACACCTATGCATTGTTGGCCACCTGTCAAAAGAACATTGATACCTCGCTCCATTGGGTACGCCACTACTTACGTTACACTGAAGGAGCACTGCAGCGTCTTGACGTTGCAATTAATTCAACACAAAATGCATTAGAAAACGAGCGTCGCCGGATAGCTGACGGTGTTCTTTCTGGTCAACCTGTTGATGGCATGGCTGGCGGCGTGGATGAACCCGATGACCAACCTCCACCCATGTACGAATCACCCCCTGACGCAAACGCTGCAAGCATCACTGCTATCCCTTCCATCCCTTCTGACGTTCACCTCCCTCCACCATCACCTACATCAACGTTGGAGAACGGTGGAACTCTTACACCTTTTACAACAGCGTCGTCGTCAAACAGCGCATCTCAGCGGCCCCCCAGCCAACCGCCGGCTCCATATCCACTTCCCTCTCCTCCATCTTCTAGTAGTACTCCTTACGTAACACAGAATACGCATAATCCGTTTAGATAAACCCATATTAACTGTGCTGTATACATACATCCTGCTGTATATATAACACACACCAAAACTGTTCTTCAGATGCTTGTACAGTCAGACCTCGGTTTTCGTTATTGGATGTCATGCTTTGCGCCTTATCCGACATGGAATGACATGGAAATAGCACTCTCATGAGTTGTAAAATTGAACCGAATAACTGAAATATCCAGTGGTGTGCCGAGAACATATTATAGCACTACTACTGTGCGTTGGGTGGCAGAGGCATGAGTAGGTAATCGGACGAAACACAAGTAACATTTTCCTAGGTTCATACTGACCTCCTTCAGTTTATGCAAAATCTTCACTTTTTGCGGAAAAGGCTCGGTTGCTAAATTACCTCACGCTTGTCCCATTTAGAATAGCTTATTTTCAAGCTTAACCTGGTTCAATAATGTCCACAGACCACTCTGTTATGGATAGCGTTGCACCCACGCATCCCGTCGTCGTTGTTAAACTGTTCAATGGACCCGGCGTTAGCATTGCGAATTTTACTGGTACAACAAATACTATTATTCATCATCAGCAGCAGCAGCACCATATTTATTGCCATGCAGCAGTTTTCTTTGGACAGCCTGGATGCTGAGTTCTGTGTTACAAAGTTGATTGGTAGTACCTGATGTGGGAACGACGTTCCTGTCAGATTCACGTGAAAAAAAAAAAACAGCTAAACCGCTCGTTCAACAACGCCGGCATCTGCAGAAAGCAGCAGTTTACAAAACTGTTATACATCATGGCAGATACAATCGACCAAAAGTGTCTCCCAGTTGGATCAATGTTACTTACGAAGAGGCGAAAGTGCATGCAGCGATGAAAAAGAGACAGTATGCGTGAACTATGCTAGAAATAGGTTAGTAAATAGGCTCAATGAACTTGCGCAACGCCATAGAGAGTTTCTCCTTTTAGACGTTCCTCTTTCATATCAGAGTTGTGTTTCGTGCTGCCCACCCTCTTCCTTTCTCTCTGCTTTTGTTTATGTGGCACTGCCTTTTTCCTCTTCTTTCTTCGTTGAAATCGCAACAACAACAACAACAGTAATAACCATAGTACTATGGGTCCGCCGACTACTACTATGAAAAAAACTCCCAGTCGAATACCGCTCCTCATGGAACAAGCCGGCATACCACCCTCGCTACGACCTGCCTTGTTGACGGCCTTGCGCGCTTACGGACTGACATGGTCCATCACGACCGTACCCGGTATCATTGGCGTATTCGTCAAAGCACTCTTACAAATGTCCCGCACGCTTGCAAAAACGTCATCGCTTCTTGCGGCTTCAGCACCGCTACGCAAAACACTGATCCGCGATGTACCACTCTTGTTGAACAAAAGCTTTTCTCGCAACGGATTCCCATACATCATGGTCGGAGCATTCACGGGTCATCATTTCTTGACATTTGTGTTGCAGCACCATCTCAAACCCAAAGTCAATATCAGACGAAAGACGGCCGTCTTTTTAACTGCAGCAGCGAGCATGCTGGCTGTCCGTCGAGCATTTCCGAATACGAAAACGCTCGATTTTACATTCTTTGCACTTGTACGCGCTCTTGACGTACTCGCACATCAAGCATATGATGCGCCAATGATAAAGAATAATGTGCCGGCTTGGATGTTGGATTATGGTAGCGTTGGTGTGTTTACGGTTGCTTGTACAGAAATCATGTTTACGTGGTTCTATCAACCGGAATTGTTGCCAAGGTACTACTACGACAACTGGGTATTCGCAACTTTAATATTTATGACTATATACTCTCATCATTAGGTCCTATTCTCTTTGGATCACCAAAATGTCGGAAATGGATGATAGATTGCTCAAGGCTTTGCGTGCAATTCGTAATAGAGAATGGATCTACGGTGTAAGTATATTTTATAGTTTTACTATATTGCGATAAAGAGAGACTTATCTCATAATCATCACAGAAAGACACCGGTTTGGGGGACCTACTCGGTGATTATGCGGTTGGGCTTGGATTGCCCAGAGAAATGGGAAACCCCATGAGAGGTCGGATACCCTGTCAATTGGTTCATCAAGGCCAGCCTTACGGATGTGAGGTATATTCCATGAACCGATTTATTAAAGGCTTCATCAGAATATTCCCGGTAAGACATATCGAAATGTGCAAATAAGCGACTATCTTTTTTTAACTTATTAGACGAGGAAATCCCAAATAGTTATACTTTGCTGTCCATCTTGCACCTCATTTGCTGTTCCGTACAGCACGTTTAATGCAAAACCCCAGCATGAGCTTGTTACACATACTTAAAGCTGCGACGCGATCGTCGGCATTCCTGGCATCGTTTATCACCATCATATGGTACTCCATATGTCTGACTCGGACACGGATAGGCCACCAGTTGCTCAACATCAACCAAACGCGTCTGGACGATACCACAGCTCCGCTTATTGGATCAATGCTCTGCGGCTTGTCACTTTTGCTAGAGAGCAGACACCGTCGGGGTGAAATGGCACTGTATGTGGTGCCCCGTGCAATGTATTCATTGACCGAGCGGGTGCTAGGACCCTATCAAAAGGGCCGTTGGTGGGAACCTGTGGCTGCTGAAGGCGCAGAAACACTCTTGTTTGCTGGCTCAGTAACGATTATTCTGAGTGCCATGTTCAAAAACCAGTCCAATGTGCGCTCGTCAGCTCGAGGGTTGTTGTCATGGATACTCAAAAGCGAATTGCCGGCCGAAGAAATGAAGGAAAAGGAGGAAGAAGAAGCAAAGGCAGTACCGGAGAATGACCATGTTTCATTATAGTTCTGGGCCTGATATATCCTACATATTAGTATTTAATATTAATAATAACAGTAGTAGTAGCAGTAGTAGTAGTAGTAGTAGTAGTAATAGTAGTAACAAACACATCTTCATTATTGTTCTGTGAATGTTTATCCCGAATCCAAAAAAGATCGAGACGTTTCGATGATTGGTCGTCATGACATCATTCATTCCACCTGGCCAACGCATAGGCCAGCAGCTGTTGCCTGGGCTGGTTCCTGATGATTGCTCGTACTGTGCCATAGTAATCTCCGCAAAAAAAAAAAAGGTGGATCTTATTTCTCACAGTATCCTCACCCTTTTTTTAAATAAGGAAAAAGGAAACCACACCTCGTTCCATTGACACCAACACCAACAACACTATCAACCACACACAATGTCCTCTTCTCTTACATTCCAACTGCGTAACACCGACCTAGTAAAGGACGAGCTTACTCCTCTTCCGACAACGGCGACCACAGCAGCAGGACCAGCAGCAACCACAACGACCAACTTGCCATCACCACCCACTTCAACATACAGCAGTGATGAAGGGCCTAGCGACATTGCTGGAAGCTACAGCTACGAAGCAAACAACAGCATTGCTGGCAGCTTTGGGTCTCGACGAGACTCACTACCTACCCATTTCAACGCGCTGACTATCCAGCAGTTTTCCACGTCCTTGCCAGAAAATTATACCATCGAACACTCCTCGTCGCCTATCCCCATCGCCTCTTCTCTCAACCACCGGCGCCACTCGACCCGGCCAGACTCGTTGGCCCATTCACCAGCCTCTACAGCAGCGGCTGCAGCCACAGGCGGACGTACCATCCGCAACCGTAGACAGTCTGAATCTCATGGCGGCGGCAGAAAAAGCATCCACCGCTGCGAAGAGTGCGGCAAAATGTACAAACACCCCAACTGCTTGTCAAAGCATCGATGGGAGCATTCAGAGCAGTGGGGATTGACGAGCAAATTATTGTTGACCAAGCATCAGCAAGTCCAGATGCTGGAGGCTGCGGCTATTCTGGTCAGCATGGATTCTTCAAGAAAGCAGCAGCAGCAGCATCCATTACAACAGGAACTACAGCAAGAACAATTACAACGGCGGCAGCAGCAGCGATGCACAGAAGACCATCTAGAACAGGACATAGTAAAGGAAGAAGAGGAAGAGGAAGAGGAAGAGGAAGAGGAAGAAAATGCATCCTATTCAAGGGCAGCAGTCGATGACGATGATGATAACGAGGTTTTCATTGATGACATGGAGGAAATGGAGGAGGAGGAGGAAATAGAAGGTGGACCATCCGGACTAGAAAAGGAGGCAACAGCGGCAGCATCGCTGAACCTCCACCCACGCAATAATATCTTGGCACCGTATTCGCGTTCCCGCGTGAAATGAAGTGTTTTATCGTTCTTCCTTGGCTTGTACTGTACAACCTTTTACTGTCTATATATATTCTCTTATTCATACATTACTCTTACTTTTTCTGGAACTCTATTTAATTTGAAATTCTATTTTGGCCCTCCCCCCAACCCAACCCAACCCAACCCCCAAACACTCTTATTGGTTCTAAGAAATTCGATCACATATAAAAAAACATTACACAAGGACTATGGTGCCATCAGATGGGGTTGCTTCTATTAGACTTGGTGCCAATCTGATCTTCATTGGCTGGATACACTTGATGAAATGAAAACGAGCAAGATGTCCTGAGAAGGAGCAAAGATTACTGCTATTATCGCCGAGACTAATGCATTGTAGCTGTGGAAACATGCATTATTACACCTTTTTTATTGGATATATATCCATGAACAGATGGTCCCAGACTTTGTACTTTATCGAGCATAGGATTGAAAAGTGGCGTAGAGTTCCGTTGTGCGATTGATAGACCTTGCATAAACCCGATAACATAAACGGTTGGCTGATGTTGAAGGCTTTTTCTGCTGTTGGGACATAGCCAAAACCTGTGCCCATGGTATGTATTATAATTTAAGAACACAACGCCTATAAGGTATATTACAACTCAGGCTTCTTTCCAAGCTTTCTGTCACCATGCCAGCAGGAGAATCTTGTGGTCGAAAGTGCCCATCCAGCTGCAGAATAGTATCCGTGCCGCTGCTTTCATCAATAGCGCCACGAAGAGCAACCATTGCAGTTGACAGTGTTGGTGATTCAGAGTCAAGTATGTACGTCAAGCAACTTTTGTATTAGTTTATTAATAAAGTAAGCGCAATAAAGCGTCATTCATTGCGGACACTGACGGGGAGGTTTTTTTTTCGGAAAGACTAGTTTATCAAATGAAGGCTGAAGTGGCGCCTCTAGATGCTGTTGCTTCCTCGTCGCTATCAGTTGAAACAAACAGTTGATGACGACAGTAGTGGCCAGGAAGACGAGGAAGATAGCGCAACAGAACCGGTAAAGGTCATACACAGCCATTTCGTAGAAGTTCAAGTACGGATCACCTGAGCAGTCTAAGGAGGATGAAGGGAGATCGTGGGTCTATCCAAAAGATCAATGTCTGCCCTAGAAAAGCTGAATCCTGAATCGCTCTTTCTTTCTCCCAAAGTTCTTGATTGATGATACCTGCCACATCTTGTAGAATAGAGATGGAGGTGTTTGAAATGTGGATCTAACCTCATTGAAAGTGGGTTAGCAAAGGATTATTGTGCGCGACGTGTGGTGGATTTGAGAAGCTAATACAACGACAAAGTGTATTTAAAACATAAATGCCCTGTTGGTAAAGTGCTACCCAATGCCCGAGTATGATACCATAACAACAGCAACATTGTAAATCCAAGTACAAATAACAACGTATTACATAATGTTTCTTGAAAGCAATTCTTAAATCCATACTGACAAAGTTTCTAAATGTGGAAGAGACACGGGTACACTGTGTCTTTTCATGACCAGGCATGTTACTCGGGGTATACCAGAAACACTCGTTTCTGGCAGTACTCTATCAATCTCCGACACAGCGAAGATATAAAAGAGTGGGCGAAGCTGCAGATGCTTCGGTTTTTTTCTTTAGCCTCAATTAATGAGTAAGGATTGATATAGGCATTGGGTAACGCCAGTGCAATTTATTTAAATCAAATTTTTTCCAATCACAGGCATGGCCTTTGCTAGATGAATCTTGGCCCGGCAACGGTTGCTGATTCTGATGGCATTGATTGCTAGCCTTCTCTTTCCACAAAGTTAAAAGAAAATGATAAAAAAAGTAGCGTGAGTGAAAAAAAAAAGTTCACGTTAGACGCACACCTTGTTTGTCTCTTTTTCTCTGGAATTAATCTCTGGGGAGCAAACATGATTAGCTATCAATCCACTTCAATTGTGGTACACTTTGACGGAAAAGGTTGTGTTGAAATGTGTATGAGTGAAGTGGCTTTTTCAAGACAGTACGTTGCTGTGACCTATGGAACCAATTCCCCAATCACACACAACACGCACAACGATGGTGGAAATCAAGAAATGGTAAGATTGTAAAGTGTGTATGCGTACTTTTGTGTATAGTTTATTTTCCACCAAAGCCAAAGAATTTTGAGAACAAACCAGACGGCTTCTCTGAATGTTCGGAGAGAGTATTTGGATATTGGATGTGATTAGCAGCCAAATCAAAGAAGAAGGGTTTGCCCACGGCAGGCTCGAATCGTGGAGGGAATTCCACCAGGTTGGGGGCTTCGGCAGTTAATGCGGCAGGATAAACATCCAGCTGTTCCAGCAGAGGAATCTATAGTTTTCCACAGATATAAGCAGGAGTTAATCATTGTACATCTTCAAAAGGTATCATTACTGACCTTCTTTTCATCGTCCAAGTTCAGCTGTTCCATTTGAGTTTGCAGGTCGCTTTCGGCAGTGTTGCCACCATGCTTCAAATACCAAGCAGCCTGTGTCTTCCACGCGTTGTTTCGAAGCGTCTGTTCCAATTCCACCAGGTCCTTATCCGATACTGTCAATACCGAGTCGCTGGCAAAGCTGTCACCTTGATGAAGAAGTTGCTTAGCTTGTGCGATGTATGTCTGTGCCACGCGATAGAGCGCCACTGCTTCCGCAATACGGTTGAGGTCAGCATATGCCTGTGCCACGTGCAGACATCTGCAGCCGCGATAGTAATGTGTCAAAACATTCAATTCCCAGTCGAGTTGACCCTCTTGTTCGTGCGAAAGTAACTCCCGTATTGACTCCAAATACTATATAACCCGCAAAAGTTTTGAAATGCATAAGCTTAGGAACTATAATACCCAGAACTGAACATCGACAGAAAGTATACCTTCAAAATGTCATCGTGCAATCGAACATTTTCTTGCGGTTTGCGCTGGGCACCATCACTATCACCTTGTGCCACCAATTGCACATTACGCTGAATCGAACGAGCATACATATTATATGCCACATAGGAGTAGATGAACTGGAGCTCCTCTGTTGATTTGGCAGACTTGGACGATGCCACCTTGGCCGTCGCCTCCTTGTCCTCCTTCAATGCCTTTTTTACCAATTTTTCTGCCTCAGCCCAAACCGCCAACACACGATCAAACGAGGTGGATGCATCATCGTCATGCTTTGTAGAATCAGATTGTCGAGTGGCTTCTTGAGCTTTTGCGACAGCCTTTGCCACCTTGTCATTCTTGATTGCTGCTTGTCTATCTCTCCAGCTGACTTGGGCAAGTGACTCGGCGCCTCTGCCCTTGCCACCGTCCTGGCTGATTTTGGACAGCTGTTGTTCGAGCGATGCAATACCAGCAGCATCCGACTGTTTCAATGATTTGACCAGCTCATCCACGTTGCTTGCCATGGACGTTTCGTTCAGTCGGAGGTTGTAAGCGCAAATACGTATACTGGGATCAATATCATCGATAGCGGCGTAGCACAGCGCTTCATGGTGGGTGGTCGAGCTGAGACCGGCAAAATGCTCATAGATCGTTCTGATATTTTTAAATACAACCTTGAAATCAGTCTTCTCTCTTTTTGACTACTTGACAGTAAAGCCTTCTCGCATCGAATATCAATGATTTATACCTAGCAGAAACGAATTGATTCAATGCATCTTGCCATTGCTGCAGCTCGAAATATAAATGACCACGCATAGCAGCAGCATACGCCTAGAGACAAATAGAAGGGAAACAATTAGTTTACTACGTCTAATAGATCGCCACCACCACCTGGATATCTATACACATATCATGTCTCTTTTTTCTTATAAGCCTTCTTTATATTTATCCCCAGCTCACCTTGACCTCGAGCTTAGATCGATCCTCGACATCTTGTTGCTCACAAAGCTCATATAGAGCTTCTGCATGTTGTGTGGCACGCTTCAATTTCTTTCGGGTATGATGTCTCTTGCGTGTATCCGCAGAAAGTTCTTGGTTCAAATCCATAGCATAGGCCCAAGCTCGTTCGACTTCAAACACGTACAAGTGGAGATATCTAGCATCACTGATTTTGGCTGGCAACTCCTTTTGTTGATTTGTCTTTTTGTTGTTTGGTTTTGTCAGATGGAGAATTTGTCGAAGTCGTTGAACGCGATGAGTGCAGTGTTTACTATTTAACCCGCCCAGCAAAGTTAGTTGGTTATTAGACAAAGTAAGCAAAATAAAGGACAAAATACGCGAGAATCCTTTGAGCTTTACCGGTATCGCTGGAAATCTTGATGGCGCAAGCCGTATGTCATGCGCGAACCGTTGACCAGCTCCAGAACTACAAGGTCCGAAATGAGCATACTAGAGTTAAAACCATAAATAGAAACATGAACACTAATTTAGCGTACCATCGAGCTTAATCAGAGGCGTGTCGACGTCCATGGCGTGCAAGTACAATTAAAACAAGCAAAACTTGGTCTGCGACAGAAGCACTCGATTGCGACAGTAAGTGTATTCCAGGTCCGCGTGTCCTATATCATTTGTACAGGTGCGACTGGGAAAGAAATATTGGAATCTCTTTTTGAACGATGAACGTGCACGAAATGGACACTGACGACAAAAACAGATCAATAGCGTCGTTTCTCGACTATTCCTTCCAAACATCAAACGATTTAGACAATGCACGACTGAAGGAATTGCTTGCCAGAAAAAAAGAACAGCAAACACGGCTCGATCAAGAGGTAAATTCCGATAGAAAGTTGACCTTTCTTTTACTCGTCGTTCGCCGTACCTCGGTTTTACTCAAGCTTTTTTTTATAAATATTAAAAAGCTCAAGGCGACAAAAGACGAAACCCAAAAGACGCTGTCTGCTATATTAGCTAGTGCAAGCTCTCAGCATTCCCAACTTGGTGAGCTGCATTCTGAATTGGCGAAAACAAAAGAAGAACTCCAAGCGCTGCATACACAACTGGTTGCAGGACGTGGCGCCAGCAACAACGAACCCAGACCTAGCGCAGTTTTGCTACAACAACTTGCGTCCGTAGAGCAAAAAATTACGCGTCTTAACAAAGCAAAAGGGTGTGTCAAAACACTTATTGTTGCTACTGATCTTCGGTAAGAATTTAACAGGGTCTCTATTTTGGTTGGATGGAAGGATGATACGCGTATCCAACTCACTACTCACTACTGACATTGCATAATTATTTTTTTGAAACTGATAGGAATCAAGCGATGCGTTATGTGGAACAGGATTCCGAGAAATCAATCACACCATATCAGCAGCTTGTAAAATTCGCACAGCTGTTTAGTTCACAGAGTACCAGCGACAATGACATTGCTCAGGATTTACATAAACGCGCGACATTATTGTACCAGGACTTGAAGGACGTATTATCAAAGTAAGAGGAGCATTTTATCTTCTTCTATCATGCTACATGTCTGTATACATAATTTAGCTGATACACGTACACCTTTCTACTAACGCTAGGAAATTCAAGGCTTGTCTTGATGAACTCGGCTGGCCAACACCAATGAGACCACCATATGGGTTGGATGTACGCACCAAACTCGACAACTTTGAAAAGCAATTCAAAAACCTCGCTCTTCTTAAACGGTGTGTATACATATTCGCATAGTCAATAAGATAGACATACTAAAACTCGAAATGGTGATGTAGTCCTGATGCGGATGCAACAGATACTCCTTTACCAGTCGCTATCATGCTGGATGCTATTTCCCTACGGTTCCGATTCCATTTTGAAAGCTCAAAACCAACGAATCGACTTGACAAGGTGTATATACCTTTCGTCTCTTAAGAATTTAAGACGTTGATATTTCTTCTTTGTGTCTTGATCCGCGTACCATATATATACTAACCCTGAATGGCAGCCAGAATGGTATTTTACACACGTAAAAACAACAATTTCTGCACATATTCCTTTCATCGTGACAACTGTACAACCTCTGGTCCAAGAAGTTCTTGGTAGCGAATTTACAGCAAAGGACCTGTTCATCCACGAATTACTAAAGAACGTGTCGCGGAAACTGAAGCATAGCATGCCAAAGCTACGACACAGACCACGATGGCTAAGTCACACAATTCACGAAGCACTTGATTTTGATAAAACGTTACAAGAGGATTACGCATATAGTGGTGACAGCATGGCTGCCCTTATCTTGGACGATTCAGAATCTTATAATGCATGGTTTACTGCTGAAAAGAAATGTGAGTAAGGTTCCTATTTGAGATTAATAAGCTGGTTTTCTCTTATTCATGATCTCTAATATGTTCACGAATATCAGTTGCTCAGGCACGTTACGACGAGATTGCGATGGACAGTAATGCATATGAGCCTCTTGAAGAAGATGAAAACGGAAAAGGAAATAACATCGGATCTAAACCAACTCGCATAGCGGTCAAGTTAATGAATTTGTTGAATAGCGTTACAGGTACATCTATACTGCTAAGTTTCCATTGGGGTAGGTCGCTCACTTTTGGCATACAACTAGAAACCTACAAATCTGTCCCGCAGCTTGAACAGCAACTAGACTTTTTCCTGGAGATTCAAGTCGGATTATTGAACCAATTTCAATGTCGCCTCACGTCTGCCCTGGATTCATTTGAAACTTTGAGCTTGATACGATCTGTGCCTGTTCCTGGCACACTGCCCGATGCTGTCACGGGGGTGATGAGCAGTGCAGATTATGGTGGCGCTATAGCAGCATTAAAGCGATTATGCCGTTGGTGGGCTAGTGCGCGAACCATATGCAATGCAATTGACGAATGTGCGGTCGACGATGCAAGTAGCTTTAACATCAATATATATTCTCGTCGTTTTTTGAAACCAAAAGGTATACTAACACGCCCATCATTATACAGCATTTTCTCGATATGCAGTACAGAATACGAAACAATATGGGAATGCTTGAAGCATTGATCGCGTCCAAAAAAGAAAAGGATCCAAATTTAGCGTTTCTGCGTATTCCTGAACCTCATGATAAGACTTTCCTGGCGCTTGCCAAGGATGGATTTGAACAAATCAACCAACGAGCGGAAGAAGTCATGATCCGCGTAGTTATGAAGGAGTGGGCTGCGGACGCACGGTCATACGCGATAAGCTGGCAACTGGACAAGGACGATCATGAAGAAGAGATATCGCCGGAACTTTATCAGCCACTGCAAAGTCTTCGTCTATGCTGCAACTACCTTTTCTCCAATCTTCCGCAGGCGGATTTTGTAGGTATCTATCGCAGACTCTCCGGCGAGGTTGAAGAGTGGCATATGCGAAATGTCGTGGCACCGAATCGATTAAATGGCGAAGAGTTAAAACGGCTGGAAAGAGATCTCAAATGTGGCTTATGGAAGCAAGGGCGATTATGGGTAACTAAGCCTGAAAACTACATGAGAAAGTAAGTTGATTTAGTAAAATTGTCCTTCTATTTGTATTTACTGATGATGGATATGTCTGTTAGATTAAAAACGGCTACAGAATCTGAAACGTCGGACGATTTGAAATAAGAAACATAATGACTCTTTTATTTACTACTTTTATATACTTAAGAACTACTTCGTATGCAGATTCCTCAGCCAACTAGTGATTATCACCCGCCAAATTCATCGATCCCCCTCCTGCACACTGTGTATTTACTTTTAGCTTACAGTCATCCATGCAAACATCTATTTCATGGCAAAAAGTTGAAATTTTACTCAATGAATCCAACTATATCGCTTCTTATTTGACCAATCGTATATCAGTAATACTCATAGATAGATTGAATATGGAATGTATCATCACTGCTTAAGATTATAACAAGTTATCCCGTCAAGTTATTGATGTTTCTTATCTACAATAGCTTTCAACGGCGCCAAACTTGCCAAGTTTTTAGAAGCGCATTGTTTTGTGCTGCTAATGATGAGTCAAAATAATAATGTTGTGCTTAACTTTTATCTATTACATTTCAAGTAAAAGCCATTTCAGTTTACCCCCTTCCCTTCTTTTGTCTTTCTATGATCGCTGGCGGTACTACTATATCAAACTACACCAATATCCGTATCCGGCAAGCCAGTATTCTAAAAGACATCCAGAAATGCGTTGACGTCCATATAATTTTTTTGTGAGCGTCCAAGCCTCGAGTACATAAATACATTACATGGAGCTATACTACTGAGATTCTTCATGCAATCTAACGAAGCCACTTTAAAATTCTTGATTTGCTTGACGCTACTTTTGATATCAACACTAGCGAAAGTATCAAATGTAGGGGATGATGATAAGGGAAACCCGATCGGATATATACGTTAACAGTAGTTTGATCCAAAGATGATAGTAGTGTGGACACACTCAGTCGATTACCAAGTAAGTCTATCACAAGCTCGGTGCAACGGCGTTTGGTCGCAAGTTAGTGCAGGCACTCGAAGCAGCTGCAAAGACGGAGGGGCATCACGCTCTGAAAAAAAACGTCGATATTATGACTCACTAGGCTATGTATTACAAGATCCCACTTATTAAACGCGCGTTCAAAGTCCTCATCAGCAACTATGGAAGAGGGGACTTCCAACAGATGCAATCCCTAATATTGTACATATTGCGTTAATATCAGGTTCGAAATTGTGTCTACCTTTTTTACAAATACAAAACTTATGACTGCAATTTGCATTGATCGGCGAGAAGCATCACAAGAATATATATATATATATATATTCATGTAAACCGGTGACGTATGCCAAAATATAATAAAAAAGAAGGGCCTGCTTCTACACGATAAAAATATTGCTACAAAATCAAAAGACCAGTGCATTGAAAAACTTTGTCTACGTATAAAATTAAATTTGGCTCGTGTTATTGCGATGGACACGTTATGGATGATGCTGTTGCTGCATTGTTGGCGAGGTATAATAATTGTTGTTGTTTTCTCCTTTAGTAGTGGCGACAGGGTTATCGTCACTGGACATGGCAGCATGGTCCTCCAAAGTCCAAGCATCTTCTTGAATAGGTGGTAAGCTTCACTTATAAAAATCATCACGATCCCCACGTTTCATAAAAGAGATTGTCAAACCGTTATGAATTGCGCTGATGAAATTGGCAGCGGCCGTTTCTTGATCGTCAGCTAAAAAAAGAAGGTGATATCGAGTATCAATAGTATTGCTGGGTACGCTTCACATATAAAAATCATCATGATCCCCAGGTTTGATACTCTTTTTATATCGCCGGTTCTTTGTTCCATTAAAGCGCACAGACCCATCGCCGACAATGATCGGATCAGAGCGGAGCACGGCAAGCGGAGCCGCATAGTGAAACAAACATATACGCACCATAAGAAAAAGACACTATCATAGCATGACAGTCGTCAGACTACAACGATAATTATCATCAAGGCACTTCTTCACATTGCTGCAGTTCACTGGCTCCTTAGGGCAGTAGTGACAACAAAATTTCTAAGCTCCGTCATTTTGTTTATCGGGCTCATAAAAAAAAAAGAATCGACTGCGCGTTTTGCCCTTTATTCTTTTCTTTAGTCTTCATATTCATCTTTGTGCATTTGCAGTGTTTCTTTCATTATCACTTTTTACCTTTCTTTTTTTTTTTTATCTAGGACGAGGGGCCCTGTGGGTGTACTTAGTTGAAGGGAGCTAGTCGTGCACGACTGGCTCTTATTCATCTTTGTGCATTTAGGGGCCCTGTGGGTGTACATAGTTGAAGGGAGCTAGTCGTGCACGACTGGCTCTTGCTCATCTTTTGTACAGTTGCAAAATTCTTAGTTTCATCTTGGTTTTTTATCTTCCTCAAAAACTGAAAGCGAGAGTGTGTGCAAAGAGGTACGTATATGTTCGCCGCTGACAGACCTTTGTGCTATTTCTTTTAATTGTAGGAACTGTGGAGGAGTAGGTTCTGTCGGGAACTGAGGCTTGCGGACAAGAAAGGGAGGAGTAGGTTCCGACGGGAACTGAGGCTTGCGGAAAACAAGGGAGGGCAACCTCCCTTGTGGAGGTACGTATATGTTCGCCGCTGACAGACCTTTGTGCTATCATATTTCTTTTATTTGTAGGAACTGTGGAGGAGTAGGTTCTGTCGGGAACTGAGGCTTGCGGACAAGAAAGGGAGGAGTAGGTTCCGACGGGAACTGAGGCTTGCGGAAAACAAGGGAGGGCAACCTCCCTTGTGGAGGTACGTATATGTTCGCCGCTGACAGACCTTTGTGCTATCATATTTCTTTTATTTGTAGGAACTGTGGAGGAGTAGGTTCCGACGGGAACTGAGGCTTGCGGAAAACAAGGGAGGGCAACCTCCCTTGGGAACGGAGGATTCATAAAAGTCGAGGTACGTATATTCCCGCCGTTGGCAGACCTTTTTGATGTTTCTTTATTTGTAGGCACTGTGGAGGAGTAGGTTCCGTCGGGAACTGAGGCTTGTGGACAAGAAAGGGAGAGGTGTAGGTTCTGCCGGGAACTGAGGCTTGCGGGGAACAAGGGAGGGCAACCTCCCTTGAGGAACGAAGGATTCATAAAAGTCGGTCGACTTGTCAGGCAACATCAAATAGACTTGGTTTCTTATTGTACTTTCTTAAATAATGTAATTGTAACTATTGGGCAGATCGAGTGACGATTGTAATAAACGCGATCTTTTTTTTTACATCTTCCTACTGCCATTGCGCTTGGTACTTGTTGGTGCTTTCTCTGGAGCAGTTATGTAGTTGCAAATGAGCCTTTTTGTGCTTGAGGCGTCGAGAAAACCGTAGGCTGTGCATTCGCATGTGTGCTCTCAAAAACAATACAGCTGGTTTACCTTCACGACTATACCAACAATGATTGCAAATTGCTGGTGGCAAAATAAAAAACCGTATCGCAAAGCAAACAGACCATCCCCATATTCACATATACACGAACCAGATCGCCAACCCAAACTAAATGATGTTTGCCTTGATTTCTTTGCAGTATAAAAGGCCCAGTACATAAGCTCATTAGGGAAGTTACATAATCCAACTTGTTGGGTCTTGCCACCAATCTCTCATGCTACTGTCTCTCAACATTACTGCTACTGATACACGCAACTTTTCATTCATTCGCATCAATTAGCCTTTTGTAGTGTAGCTGTCCGTTTCTCATTCTCACTAAATGTGGCAATAATTAAATGTACCTACAGAAAAGATTTTTGGAAAAGTACGCTACCAAAACCCAATCCAAGTTAGATGTGTATGTATAATTACTTTTGATCTTTTGTAAAACAGCCAAAGGATTCTTGAAAGCAGATACTATCATGATGATGCAGAAGCAATTAAACTGGTAAAAAGAAGAGAACAAGGCTTTCTATAGTACTGCCAAATTGTTACGATGGCCTCCTGACTGATCGCTTAATATTACTTTTACAAAAGGCAACCGAGCTTTCCTTGGCAGTTGCCCGCTACACTTCAAAAGATAGTGCTGGCAGTAACAACAGTCAGACGAAAATGGTTGTAGCGTAAATTCAGCAGTACACCGGGCTAAATTTAGCATAATTTCACATATTCACTAAACCTCCAGTTTCTCTATTGACGTTATTGTTTTCAATATGAAAATATTACCGTCCATCTCATGCTTGAAATGACAATATAGCAGGAAATCTTTCATCTCACCACTCATCCATTTTTGCACGGTACAGTAGTATGGCGTCAATTTTTTTTTGACATAGCTCAATCTGAATATGTGGTCCAATTTCAAACCAATGGATCTTTTTTTTTTATTTCTATGGCGTAAAAGCACACAAAGATGGTAACAATTTTGAGTCAGAGTGGGGTGAAGAATAAGGAGAAATTGGCAGGTTACGATGCATTGGTAGCATCTGATGAAGTAGTAGCAGTAATAGAGGAAGTAATAGTAGTGGCATTATTTTCAGTGGCAGTAGTAGTAGTAGTGGTGGTGGTGGCAATAGGAGTTGTTGTATTGGATGCTTGAGGTTGCGAAGAAGATGAAGGACTTGTTGAGGAAATGTTAGCGGATGGGTTGACAGTTGTACTTTCAGTCTTGACGGGAACGCTTGGCGTTGTCGTCGATGACGATACTGCTGCTGGAGTATCTTTGTTTACAAAGGTAGTGGTTGTATCAGGGGTAGCCTCTGAGGATGATGATAATGATGACGACGCTTGCTGTTGTTGTTCTGCTGGTTTAGATGATGACTGTGATGCTGTTGATGCTGATATAGATGATAAAGATGAAGGTTGTGTATTATTGCTGTGAGCACGCAGTGCTGCTTGTAAAGTGGCAGTTAGCTGGCTTGCAAGATGTGGCGGCAATTGTGCAATAGCTTGGGGTAGCAGTTGTGCAATGTTGGGAGGAAGAGGATATTTAACGGGATCAAGAAGATGTTGGCGGATGGTGTTTTGAAGCTGTGCTTGAATTTGTGCAACGTTCTGTTGTTGCTGCTGCTGCTGTTGCTGTTGCTGTTGTTGTTGTTGTTGTTGTTGCTGTTGTTGTTGTTGTTGTTGTTGTTGTTGTTGTTGTTGTGGCGTCGAATCCGTGTTTGTTGATGTTACAGTAGTCGGTGTAGCAGCAGTGGTGGTTGAAGATTCATTACTAGGTGAAGGCGTGTTCGGCGATGTGGTAGGTGTCCTGTTATGAGGGTTTTCAGCTGCTGTTGTGGTAACAGGTAATTGCTGTTGCGGTGTTGGTTGTGGCTGTTGAGATGGTACAGAAACGTCAGCGGTGACAGTGGAATCAACTGCTGCCGATGCTGCTGGTATTGTCGACAGCGGTGCTGCGGATGCTGCTGCGCTTTGGACTTCATCCCGTTTTGAGGTATCCTCTTCCGGATCATCTTTCCGTGGACGTTTTCGTGCTGCATCTGAATTCTCGTTTGCAGAGCAGCAGTTGGTAGCGCTCCTTGATATGAGCCGCTTACTTGGTTTGTAAATCCCATTCGGAAACTGGCTCTCTGCTTCCGGGTCGATTGTCCAGTAGGATCCCTTCCCATGCTCGGTTCCTCGTCGAGGCACTCGGACGAACGCTTTATTAAGTGATAAATTGTGACGGATCGAATTCTGTAAACATTAATCAGCGTGAGAAACAATTGACCTCTCCAAAATAAGCCCACTCCTCTAGTATTCCTCAAGTACCTGCCAGCCAGTATTTTCCATCTTAAAGTACGGATATCGTTCATGGATATGCAAGTAAATGCCACTTAGTGTCATTCGCTTGTCTTCTGTCGAGTTGATCGCCTGGGCAATCAAAGTGGCGTACGAGTATGGTGGCTTTGTATCTTCATCAAACACTTCATTTGCGTCTAGTCCTTCTTGAGCCGAGGATTCAGCAGTATCATGTGTTGACTCTCGTTCCTGTGTCGATCGAGAAGCTGGCCGTTGAAGCTGATGTGGTTTACACACACAAGCCGTTGGTTCATTTCTTGAAGAAGCCTCTTCCGGATCCATCCGTGGTAGCAAAAACACAAAGGAAACATCGCCGATTTGGATTTTTGTTCTATTGTAAAAAAAAAGTGTGGGGAAAAAATTATCAGCAATCAAGAATTTTTTTCAGTGTACTCGCCTGTGATATAATAAGGGCCTTTTGTACCGATTTTCTAGAGCCACAGTTACGCCCTTTTCAATAAACTGTTCGTTCACAAAGGCACCGTTTTTGCCAAACACCATAAACTCAAACCGTTGTGTGGTGAAATTGTAAAAGAGCCTTGCGTGGTGGCGTGACACGGATTTCATGGTGCCAAGTGCAATGTCGACATTGTCTGGTTTCGTGACTTTTCGACCTAGTGTCACTTGAAGTGTGCGAATGTAGTAGCAGAAATCTTCCCCTTCCAGCTTTGCATAAGCTTGCACAGGGCCAGAGTCAAGGAGTGCTGTTGTCGGGTGCTTTCGTTCTTCTGCACTGGAAGTCAATGCTGCAGGAGGTACAACATTCGACATGGCAGCAGCAGTAGTAGTGTTGGTAGTGGTGGTATTGCTAATAGCTGTCGTCGTTGGTGAAGGGTTCGGAGAGTCTATTGCACTATTGGCTGTCATGGAAACGGTTGTTGCTGACGACGTTGATACAGGTACGGAAGGAACATCTCCATTTAGTGCCGTCATTTGCAGGTGTGAAGAGAGAGAATAAAAGGGGGGGTTCAAAAAAATGGGGAGACAAGCGAGAAAGAAAAAAGAGTGGAGAAGGTGGAGTATTACTACGTTCGAGTTTTAAGCAAGTTGAAAAGAAAGAGAATGAGTGGAAGTACAGAGTGTGCCCCACTTGCTGTAACAGTCAGCAGCGCGGCGATTGAAAAAAAGAAAAAAAGTAATCCGGTGGCTCGCCACCGTTCCTGGAAACCACCACACTTTTGCGCGCACTCTTAAAAAACCAGCGAGTAAAAGATATGTTGTGCAAGAATAATTGGAGCTACAGATCAACACGAATATTCGATCTACTCGGTTTAGCCTTATCGAAGCCGCTTCTTCTTGCTACTGAACCTGCTTGCTTGCATAGTAGCTATCAAAGCAGTATCGTTAGGTGATAAACGATGGAACGATCAAAACTGATTATGTGGCTCAAACATTCTATTTTCTCAAGCAAGAGCTCTTTTTTTACTAGGATGTTCGTTTTGGCAGAAATTGACGCCGAGCCTGCCGAAACACATCAAGTTTTGCATGTCGAAGACTGATTTTCTGTAGACCTGCGACACCTGTCCAATGAAATTTCATCGCAACAATTTTTTTTACTGCTGCATACATGTCGCTGTAGTTGAGAAGATACTGCTAGCTTGCTCTGTTGAGATGGTAAAAAATATTTTTATATTTGGCACCCAAACAAAAGATGGGCTAATGTACACATATTAGAGATATACGGGAATCTAAAAAAATTTATCATTTACAGCTTGGACAAGTTGCCGCGGGGATGCATCTTCTCGTAGGCATGCTTGGCAAGATAATCGGTAGGGTTGGATACAAAGTGGTCCTTCAAGTTGCGGATGTCGACCATTTCGGGAGTGATATCCGCAATAGTGGGGGCGCCCATCAATCGCATGCACATTTCCAATTCGTTCTGTAAGCAGAGAGATTGCCGTGAGTAACTTTGACGTTTTCTTCGCTTTAGTAGAATAAACATACCTGATACAGCTCCAAAAGACGCTCAACGCCCTGGTCTCCATAGCCAGACATGGCAAATAGGAATGGTCTTCCGATGCCGCAACCCTTAGCACCCAATGCAATGGCCTTGAAAATGTCACTGCCACGTCGAATACCACCATCAATGTACACATCAAAGTCCTTCTTGGGATCACATCCTTCACGCTTCAAAGCATCGATAACTTCGGGCAAGATTTCAATGGAGGATGGGGCAAAGTCGAGCTGGCGACCACCGTGGTTGGAAAGAACAACACCGGCACAGCCGTTGCGCCACGCCATCACGGCATCTTCAGGAGTCTGGTACGCAATGCATAGATTATCATTAGAATCGACAAACAACCATCTCTGTAAATCGAAAATATCTTACCTGGACACCCTTAATGATGATGGGCATCTTGGTGATCGACTTGAACCAGGCGACGTCCTTCCAGTTCAACGAGGGGTCAATGAAAGAGCTGATAGCTCTAGCGGCACCTTCATCACGGTTGACAGTCTCGTTATCCATTTCATCCGGAGCTTCTTGCGAATACTTTTGACGCATATCTTTCTCGCGACGACCTACGATGTAATTTTTTTTCCCAGCAGAGATCAGACCCGGAACAATAAATCTTAGAAATTCTCCGCCCTGGACCCATTAAAGTCACAAGAACTTACCGAGTTGCGGAGCATCGGCAGTAATGAACAGGCCCTTAATGCCTCTATTTTCAGCATGCTCGACAAACTTCTTGGTCACTGCGCGGTCCGAGTTGACATAAAGCTGCAACCATTGGGTCTGACTGTCGGTGCGGGCATCGATAATTTCGTCAAAAGAGCACGAAGCCAAGGTGGGGATCATTTGAATCACATCGCGCTTGCCAGCAGCACGCGTCAAGACCTTTTCACCATCAGGATGACCGAGCTTGCCCAATGCGGTGGCGGTGATATACAGCGGCATCGATACCTTTGTGCCCAACATTTGCGTGCTCATGTTGATTTTGGCGACATCGACCATGACACGGGGACGGAGCCAGATGCGGTGGAAAGCGTTGTGGTTCTCACGCATCGAGATTTCGTCGTCTGAGCCACTGCTGTAGTATGCCCAGGCGTCAGGCTTAAGGACGTTCTTTGCAACGGCTACAATTTTATACATTTACCGTCAGATTAAAATTTTTTGCTCATTTATGCGTGCTCAATGATATTCACGACAAAAGCAAACTTACATTCAAAGTCAAAAGAGTTGTACATTTCAGCCAACTTGGGCTTGTTCTCACGAGCAATGCGTAACTTCTTTTCCTCTTCGGTTTCAACCTTTTCGACAGCATCCAGAGCGGCAGCATCGACTTGACCCATACACACTTCGGGCGACAAGAAGCGGTCAATAATGTCTGGAGGATGGATGGGCTCAAAAGCACTGGTAGCGTCACGACCAGCGTACTTCATGATGATCTTTTGACCACCAGGATGCTCGGGAAGGAACTTGGTCAAATCGTATACTTTGCCGTGAATAATGACCCAGACGTCGCTCTTGGACTTGTGCTTGGCAACTTCAGCGGGTGAAACGGTTTTCATAATGTAACAATCGGATAGGTATTAAACAAAAAGAGTTGGGAGGATGGGAGGAAAATGTAAGGTACGAAAAATAAAGAGGTGGAAAAGGAACGACTCTTATATAATCTTCCCCACATAGAAATATTACTCGCTTCAAGCGGAGATTTTAAGAGCTCCTCATGGTCAAGCCTTGATTTCAGAGAGAAACCTTATAGCGCAGAATTCACACACTATCCCGTACCTGCGGAAAAGGGTGGTTCCGATGATAAGTTGGCCCACACACATGCAGGTGGACGTCCAGGGACCATTTTGTAATCCAAGTTGAACGGTGTGGATGGTGGGAACAATCGACAGTGGTACAAAAAAAACCGATATGTTGACACATCTTTTTTAAGAGATTAAACCTTTCCATAAGTTGTCTCTCGGTTGCTCTGTTTGAAATAGATAAACTGACCTGGAAATAAGCGAGATCAGAGATGATTCAGCAGCATTCAAAATCATACATGATCTACCATGGCGGTTGCCATGGAGATCACTTGTTGCTATGACTATTGTTGCCATGATACGATCGGTCAGATACCACGAAACTGCACGTTATTGAGACACTCGTTTTACTTGTGACAGCTGATTTGATTTTGTAATTGTGGAACAAGGAAACTACTACGTATGTAACTAACAAATCAATCTTGTAATTCTCAGTGAGCATGTGATGTTGACTACACATGCAGGCTCTTGTTGCCCCGGTATACGTCAATAACTACTACTCTACTGTTTGGACTGCCAGCGCCAATCAACTGTTAAAAAAAGTACTGAACGTTGCTGTTGTTTTTACGATTCTCAAACATGCGTAGCAAGCTTTTTTTAAAGAAAAAAAAGGTATAATAAAGAGGGAAGAAATGATCCAAAAAAAGTAGAAAAGTAAGTAAAATGGGGATAGAAGGATACACTCTGCGGAACAAGCTCGAACATATAAGTTGCCGGTTATAAAAGAAAAGAAAAAGAGAAAACAACACTGATGGATGTGACCAGATGTAGTACAGAAAGAATTTGAAGAGGATTGAAGGGGGGTTGAAGATTACGAGGAGTTAGATAGTAACAAAATGGTGGGATACTACGATACGGATGATGTTTGTGTGTGCGTGTGTGTGAAAAGAAGAACAGATTTGGTTTTCCGGCGCCTTATTGGAAATAAAAAGGGGTTTGAGAGAAAAGGCGAAATTGTGTGCGTGTGGTTTTACGAGACCAAGTATGCAAAATAAAAGAACGAGTGCTAAGTATGATTTTGGAGGGGGTTGGAAAGAGGGGGGGAAAGGAAAAAGGAGATAAAGTTAAGTGAGCGATTGCGTTAAAACGAGCGGTTGGAAAAAGAAGAAAGGAAAGGGCTGGGTTGTGGAAGGAAGAGACAGAGACAGAGACAGAGAGGGGGTGGAAGAGCAGCAGTCAGTAACAACGACGAGGTGATATATATAAAGTGTGTAATTATATATAGAGAGAAGAGCAACGAACAGGGTGGGAAAGACGGTGAAAGCTATCAGGTAGGCAAGCCAGGATCGATTGTGCTGTCAAGTACAAGTGTTACGTCGTCCACCACAGTCAGATCCTCCAGAAATGCAACCAGGTCTGTCAACTCCGTATCATGCGGATCGCTGAACCACGTCGACACCGGGACTGCGTTTGCTGTATGGAATATGTAGCTCGCCGGCGAATTGTCCAGAATGAGTGTTTGTGACAGGTCGCGTCCGAGCTGTGATAAGTCCTAAGCATCCAATACACCATTAGCAAATACCCCTCTCTCTTTCCCTTTGGCTGTTAATAATAGACTCTTACCTTGACATAGGTTCCTTTGTGGTTGAAACAAGATTCACGGAAAAGTCGATGTGTTACGACCTTGTGTATGTCCAGCATGTCCAAAACAGGATCCGCATACTGAGAGAAAAGGCGATCATCATTATGATCATCACCACCGGTTAGTAATTGAGACAACAGAGGAGGGGAAGTATCTCATTTGGGGGTTAGGTGTCTGAAAAGGGGAGTGGTTGTTTAAAAAAAGATCTTCCATCACTTAGTTTACCTTTGATAAGCTTGCAGTGAACACAACGATTTCATAGACCTCACCCATTTTCCGCATGAACTCGTCGACACCAGGTCTCTTGAGCACGTACACATTGTGATACTGATTGTCAATCTCCACAGGCACGATAAAATCTGGATTTGGTATAATCTAAAGCAGAAAACAAACACGAACGTTTCAATGATCAATTCCCTTTTTTCCTGCACTCATATCTACATTACACATACCTTGAATGAACTGTGGACGAGCGTCTCGTCCAGATCCAATACCAGGCACTTTCGCCCTGTGTGCTCCGTAGCCAGAGGTGGCAGCAGCCACATGATCTGGCCCTATATTTGTCATAGCACACACATAAAAAAATCATGACACATAATCAAGACACATACGACAGCATCCACGAGTGTAATAAAAAAACATACCTCTGGCGATTGGGGAGGTATTGAGCGTGGCGTGGCTGATGTGAACCCAGTGTCGGGACTGTCTTGATGATCCGCGGAAGCTCTGGAAGGATCAACGTTGGCAAGGTCTGTAGGACTTGTAACGATCTTTGGTAATGTTGGTGACTTTGTGGCGGACGTTGTTGATGTTGGTGCCGCTACTGCTGCTGCCGCTACTGACACTGCTGCTGCTGCCTTTTCGCCGGACGTACTTGCGGTAGCGGTGCTGGCACGACTATGCCGATTATTGTTTGCATTCTTTTTCCGGTGCCGAGAAAATACAGCCGATTTGTCGCTGTTATCGAGAAACGAACCGGCGCCAAATGTGCAACACAGTAACAGCGACAGAAATCCGTTGCCTTTCAGGCCCTTTAACGAGCCTGTTCTCGACGCAGGTCGACTATTACCGTTTGGCGGGGTACCGCTGCCAGGAAGAGGGGATTTCACATAATGTGGATCGACATGTTTAGCTGAAATATTCAATAAGAAATCAAAATATGAGAAACAACAACGTTATTTGAAAAGAAAAGAAAAAGTAAATCATCTCCAGTAAAATTCCAAGTAACTCTTGTCGCATTACCTTTGTTTCTGGAGGGAGTGGTCTTTGCGGAATCCTGAGGAGCCACTTGTGTGAGATGGGTCGATGCAGTGGTTGTAGTTTGGGCAGACGTCTTTGACAGTGGTTCGCCGGATTGAGGTTGGACAATCTGCGTTTGTGACATGAAAATATGAAGAAGCAGGAATAAAGAGAAAGGAGGAGGAGAAGGAAGTAGCAATGGTTGTTCGGTAGACGAAGAAGAGCAACAATCGGGAGAAAGAGGATTATGGCACTAAAGGGAAGTGGTATGACAACAGTAATAGCAATAGAGCAGTAGTAGTAGTAGTATTGGAAATAATAAAAAGAGTAGCTTGTTTGAAAAAGAAAGACAACGAGGTTTGGTAAAAAAAAAAAAAAGGAACCGTTCTTTTCTATGCTCTCTCTCGTTCAAGACCGTTTTCTTGGTCTTGGCTATATGCTTTCAAAAACGTTGTTGTGGCCTCCCACCAAAGAAAAACTGGTTGCTGAGAGATCGGCCGAAACAATAGCAAGTCGAATCAGAATTGTGCAGTAAGAAAGGGTTGCAAATTGGAGGGTTTGCCTTTATCCGAGTTTGAATGCCGTGGAAGAAAAAAGAAATGTGTCAAGCTGGAATTGTAATAGTAGTCGTTCAGTAGTATAGTAGAACTCGTAACTGGAGACAAGGGCACGCTCAATTTCAAGGAACCAAGAAGGTGAAGTGAATATCCGATCACGTGCAAGAATCCAAATGTGGAGGTTGCGCTGCCACCCAACAACAACAACAACAACAACAAGCATCCATTAATGATAATAACAACAACAGCAGCAACAGAACGTTGCTTGTTGCCATAGCAAAAACCGCTTTTGGGGAGTTTCTTGAAATGGTGTCGAGCCTTGGAGGCTTTCTTGTAGCGGGTAATGCATGATAATATATTATGGACGACGCGGGAGTATCATGTCTACTCTGATTTTGGGCATGGGTGGGCGACTCTAGTTCCACTAAGTTAAGGGATCGTTGCCCTTTATTAGATCACTATTCCTACTAATACTGCTGTGTTGATACTACAATACAGGCTCCTTCTCCTCGGTCTTTGTAGGCTTCGAATCGAAGAAGACGGGAGAGGGGAAAAGGAGAAGCTTTTAAAGTTATACTCTTACGTTACGTTTTATTTTTTGCGCGCGAACAAGAACCGTAACAAGCTCAGATATCCGCTATTGTCTCGATGATCTGGTCTGTTTTTTATTGAAAGGATTAAAGCAAGCAGAAGAACATAATCCCTGCTTCTGCTACTGCTGCTACTGCCAACTATTTAAGCTATTGTCTGTAGTAATCAACCAAGTAGGGGAACTAATATATATTAATGACAAGCAGAGTTCTCTCCTCCACTCCTCAAAATGAAATAACGATTGTTCGCAATCTTTTTCTTCTCTTCCGGGTAATTTTCGAATTTCAGGGACTCAATAACAATATATGATATATAGTAGGGCGTAGTACATACTATATTATAATGCTACTACACACTGAAATATATAGTTTCAAGAAGGGGTGTACAGAAAAAATAAAGAGAGAGAGAGAGAGAGAGAGAGAGAGAGAGAGCAACACCAGTAGTATAGTAAACTTACTACACTACTATCTTACTAACTAGTCTGCGCTTTGAGATCAGGATTAGCCCGACTGGCACAGTCGTTTATTACTGTGCTACTTAATCCACCCCCTTTTAGTGCTTTGTGCACGAACTGCTTTTCCGAAAGCATAACTGCGATTTGCATTCGAAATATACATCTTTTCTTGTGGCCGCCGGTCATGCAAAAACTCAAATATTTAGAGTTCCAGTGTAACTTTGGGATTTTTTTTTTGTGTTCAAACTTTGCATACTGTATATATAGCAGCCAAAGTGGATTTTCAAAAGGTAATGATAGTGACCTATTGCACAAGAACATCAACTGAAGCAATTACAAGGAGAAAGAAAGAAGAACTGCTAAATAATGGTTAACCGCCAATTGTCTTTTGGAAGTGATGGTAGTTATGTGTGCCCAAGATCGAACGTCTTGGCTAGCTATACTGTCATTAAAGCATATATTATGGGGCTCCCGTCAAAATTTGACGTTGTGCTTACATTACTTCTTTTGCACTAGATCTTGAGTTAGTGCTTATATCGGAACAATGTTGATCTTTGACTGAATGGAAGATACAAAATCTTGTCGATGATCGTTTCAGTGTGATCGTTCACGGTATAACTACCATTTTGCACTTCCTGCCTACCAAATGATATTTAGTTTGATATTTTAATTATAACGGTGCTCGTCTTGGATATGGTTTTTTCGGTGACCTTGCTGCGTTATCATCTTCCTGCCCGTCTTGACTCCCCTGGCCTCACTCTGTCCTTCCTAAAAATTAGCTACAACCTTGACTATTCACTGGTCCTCTCATCTTACTGTCTCTATATATGGCATTGCGTACTACGCTATAATATGGACGTTGCATACGCTTATGCTTGCCATTATTTCTACTTTTATTACATAGCACTTTTTTGCTGTCAGTCACGGAGTCATGCAATATGAAAAGCCTTCTTTTCATGCATGCCGTTGAAGCATTTTTTATCGCAATAGCCACAGCCCTCAATGTACGCTACTACGTAAGTAAAGTGGTTTAAACCACTGGTGCTCATATACAGTAATCTAATTATACAATAAGACTGATGATTTGCTTTAAGGGTCAAAGAAAGATACGATAACGACTGTAAATGCCATCCTCAACGATTGAATTAATCGAGCAGATGCTGATTTTCCGTTTGCTAAGCAAGCATGCGGTAAATGCGCACAATGAGCAGCAGACGATAATGCTGTCTGGCGCAATTGGCTCCCTGGAATTGTTTATGCTATGTGATTGTATTCTCTCGCCACAAGTCAAAAAGATCTACTATTTTATCCGTGGTAGCAACGATGAATTGTCTGGACGACTCATGAATGCTTTTCGCGACTATCTGCTTGATGTATCATCTTTTAAATCGCCCAAGGTTGAAACGCTACCAATGCTGCTAAACGACGAACCGTGCCTGGGATGGAACCAAGTCACCTATGCAAAACTGAAAAGTCAAGTAACAATCGTCCAGCATTGTGCGTGGTGCATGGACATGCGACAATCTGTCGAGCACTACGAGCGCGAAATGATCCGTGGTTGATACAACTTGATAAATTTGCATATTGCAAAGAGAACCGATGCATGTCTATGTCATATTTAGTGTCAGCTTTACTGCGGGATGGAACGTGGAACGCAATTTGAGAAGGCAGCACCCAATAATCCAAACATAGTCATGCCTATGGGCTACGCATATGTTAAGTACGTTGTTAAGCATTTCTTTGATTATTTGATCAAGACCAAGAATTGTCGAGCGCATAAATCAAGTGATCGGCGACACAGAGAACGCTGTATCGGGCACAGACCAGCCTTATCCAGCATTGTTAATGCTTGGTGGATCCCAAATGCATATGATTATCGACATGAAGAATTACAGAGTCAACTGGCTCGGTGGATTTTGCCTCTGCTAGTATCGTTGAAAATATACTCAAGGCCAATGCCGTGAAAGCTACTATACTGCTGGGGATTAGCTGAAGCAAGAGCTCTTTCATATTGTAAATCCAACATCGGCAAATGATCCGAAGTATAAGATACCATGAAAAGATGTGGAATGGAATTTGACTTCGTATCACCGTCTAAATGGATCGATGAAATAATCAAGCTCTTTGATAATTCTGCATAACGATGTCAAATCGGTTTTTTGAAGCAAAGCACAGTACAATGGACGGGAATGACAAGTTTACATTTGTTTGGGAGACGGAACAGACGATCCAAATGGCACCAGCTTTGGCTAAAGCTCTGGATTTTGAGCTAATGTTTTGGAAATATACATCGGTTACTGGCGTACGATAGGATTTCCAATACCACTCGAGTAAAAAGCAGCATCGGTCATATAATTTGGTAAAATATTTAATGGAGACATATCATTATAGTCTTGGAATTAATTACGTAATTACAGTATACGTTTGTTAAAAAGTCATACGAGTATGTTGAGCTACTCTGCATAATTAAAAGTGCTTAAGAGACAAGTGACATTATAGCGTATCCTATGCAGAAACAGTCAATATAGAATTTAACCTTTTCCTATGCGTTAGGTTGCATGATTTTTTTATTGGAATTACATAATGCACTGGTGTTTACTTCGTGATCTCCTAATCCGTGTAGTGGTCTTATTTTTTGGGCATATTGTTGTCATCAAAATTAAAAAGGCTCGGGTTTGTATAAAATCCAATTCCAGTACAGCACGTATTAAATTTTCGTTTATTTGTACATAGATAATTATAAAATCTCTATCGTCACAAAGGAAAAAAGGAGTTCTTCTGCTCCTATGTGAATATGCTGCGCCGCTACTAACATAGTTAGCAAAAGAAAAGTTAAGAGGGCAAGCAAAAAACAAAACTCACATCATCCCTTAATGGAATGTGGCCTGACTATACATATACAAAACAATGGCTACGCAACATTTTGTTGAAGCTGGACATGTACTGCATGTCTGTCACTTAGTGAAAGAGCAAGGAAAGAATACAGTATAGGACATGGTGAAGAGGCAAGAGTGCTTGGTCCAACTTTGAAAACAAAGAGCTCCTCTCTGTGTAACCAAAATAGTATGCGCGGAAGAGCTGTGCTCGGCGCAAACTGACATGCAAGACGAACGAAAACTATATCAATCAACAATAAATAGCAAACGCAGTCGTTGTGTTTATATGATAAGTGAGAGAGGGCAAGGGGACGCATGCGTCCTTGTTTTTTTACCTTTTCCTTTTTCTTCTTTCTTTTCTCTTCTGTTACTTTCTGACCGCGTCTAACATTATTATCACGTCTACCGGTACAAGTCATTATTGTCATGGACAGCGCAGCACGATACGATAGGCAGCATATAAACGATGATGCAGAATCCATGGTTTCCTCTACACCAACGCTGATCCAGCCACCGCCAGAAGAACATCGGCGTTTTCTACGACACAATGGGAATGATGGATTACACAACTTTACAGATCTACACGACGTCGAGGAACAACACGAGCATGAAATGCAGGCTCCATCGGAAACCTCTGTACAACGCAGGGACGGATTCATGCGACTTGAATCGAACGGCAACTTGCGAGATATTAGTAATAATGGCGGTAGCAAATGGGCCACACTACGAAGCATCATGATGGGTCCTACTTCACGACCGTGGTTTACATGGTTATCGGCCACCGCAATGATCGTCACGATGGTGTTTGCACTTGCCAAGCATCACGATATATCCGGAAGCATGCTAGAAACGCAACCATTCAATCCCATGATTGGACCCTCATTTACAGTTGAGTAACTGAGCTTTTTCTGCCCTATCGCTAAATACTACCACTACTCTCTTTTCTTTATTTGTTTACATGCTGAACCTAAAGCTGAACAATTGATGTGGTGTGATGATGCTGAATAAATATAGATTCTGATCAACACCGGTGCACGGTATACACCGTGTATGCGGCCTTTACCAGACTACCAAGCAAGCACTGTGATAGACTCTTGTTTGTCGAAAAATGCAACCTGCACCTTGGAACAATTATGTGGTGGTAGCGGCAGCAGTAACCAAGGCTACCGTCTCCTTAGTCCTATTTTTATACATGCAGGCCTTCTCCACATCGTCGTGTGTCTGTTGGCTCATTTTCAAGTTGGTGCTACTCTTGAGCGCGACATGGGCTTTCTATCCTTTGGCTTTCTGTACTTGGTGTGTGGTATCTGGGGTTTTGCGTTTAGTTCGCTCATGTCGTCAGCCCAAACAGGTAATATTGCTTTGTTATTTATCATGCATGATATTGACAATCCGTTCGTTCATATTACTTAGCGTCGATGGGTTGTTCTGGAGCATTGATGGGGCTGGTAGGCTTTATGATGGTGGAAACAGTAAAGAACTGGAAGACTATCCGACGTCGAACGCGTCGGCTGGCAAGTTTGTCGCTTTCGATCATACTCGCGTTCGTGTTTGGGATATTTCCTGGAATTGATAACTTCGCCCACGTTGGTAAGAGTTTCTGTATCGCAAAGGGAAAGCGAGAGAGAAGCGCAAAACATTAAAGAAGCGGCCTGCGCATACTATATGTATATATAGGCGGATTGGCGACAGGTATAATCATGGGGTTCCTGCTGATGTCGCCAGCAGCGTCAACGAGTCGATGGATCACATGGGGGATACGGGCTGCGGCGTTGACCGTGCTCGTCGTTGTATTTGTCATCATGTTGTATATGTTTTACTCCGCCTACGATCCAACCAAGGTATGGTAAAAACTTTCGTGGCATTTACTCTTTACTTACTTTCTCCCACTCTCTTTCTACAACTACGCGCAGATCTGTCCAAATTGTAGATACTTTTCGTGTATTCCAGTTAGCAACTGGTGTGATATTTGAAGTAAAAATAAATCTTGTATACCATATGCCGCAAGAAAAAGACCGTGACGCGTCGTGCGTGTATCTTGTGAAAAGAAACCTTAGCGCTCGACGTTTATCTGATATCACCTGGAAATCATGGAGTGATAGTAACCATGCGCATAGAACTAGCATATTGTCTTGATAACTGCGTGGAATGAAAGTATATCACCTCGGGTCCTGAACGGTGGAATCGCGCAAATCATAATATAAGCCATGATCAAGCAAACAAAGAAACGAGTGTGTTCGGTGTTATGTTACAATGAAGTACGCTTCTACCGGAAAGTGGCATAATACGATACTAAGTCTGTGTGATGCTTCGCTTCTTCATTCACGGGAGAGTATTCGGCTTGAAATGGCAATGTAGCTCAAGTTTGATTGGCGAGGATGAGTCGGTGATGTAATTACAAAGGTGAAGTCACCAGAATATGCCGCCGCCAAACATACATTACGACGCATTTTTCCCTTTTTCATTCTTTCTTGCTTTCTTTCCCCAACTTTTTCATCAAACACAAAAAAAAATAATCAAAATGGTCAAGGCTGTTGCTGTTATCCGTGGTGACTCTCCCGTCACTGGCACCATCACTTTCTCTCAGGACTCTGAGAACGGCCCCACCACCGTCGAGGCCAAGGTCTCTGGCTTGACCGAGGGCAAGCACGGCTTCCACGTCCACGAATTCGGCGACAACACCAACGGTACGCAACCCCACCCCGGAGACACTCTCATTTTCTCTTTTTCACCCCGGCATGACGCGATGCGCGCGTCTTCGGCCTGGTAGTTGTAGTAGTGATTGTGCGGCCTTTGAAAAAAAAATATCTTCGGAGAAACTCGCTCTCACTCACACGCATGCTCACATCACCTCGCACTATATCTTTAACGTAGGCTGCACTTCTGCTGGTTCTCACTTCAACCCCTTCGGCAAGACCCACGGTGCCCCCGAGGCTGACGAACGCCACGTTGGTGATATGGGTAACGTCGTTGCTGATGCTTCCGGTAACGCCACCTTGAAGATCTCCGATAACCAAATCAAATTGATTGGCCCCCACTCTGTCATTGGGTAAGCTGAGGAAATATATCTTGTCTGTCTTAAAGTTTAGCGCCAAACTCTAATTGCTTTTTTGCACGTTTAGCCGTACCGTCGTTGTCCACGCTGCTGAGGATGACCTTGGCTTGGGCGGTCACGAATTGTCCAAGACCACTGGTAACGCTGGCGATCGCTGGGCTTGTGGCGTCATCGGTGTCGCCAAATAAGTTGGAGCGAATATGTATCGAAGTGCATATAATAAAAATGATTTACCCGTATTGATGAACCCTATCATGGTACTGTTGCATTGGTGCGAGCTCAATACACATTGTCAATTGAAGGATTTTGCAATTTGCAAAGACTATAGCACGATCATGGTAGTTTGACTTCAGAGATGTACCATTTCTTATTGCCAAAAAAAAAAAAAGGAGAGCCCCGGGAGATATAAAACATTTCTCGGTTTCGGCTCATACGGATTGACCATGCAGTGTATATTCGGTTTTGCAGTATCAAGAAATGTTAAGTGGTCTTTCAAGCGTCCCTCTCCCTCACCCAGTGGAACCCGCATGTCCCGTACGTTCTATGTAGTAAGCCGAGAAGACAAAAAAAAGGGACATGGAAAGAGGAAGCGTAAAGCAAAAGAGGCACTGCAAGAAATCCAACTACCCACTTCATCGCATACTGTCTGCACTAATTGTGCTAAGTAAAGAATAAATCAATTATTCATGCATCGATGTTCTGCGGGCCCATTAAATGTCCGGTTTAAAGCTGCCGAATCTTTAGATAGTGTCCAACAGTGCAGCCGTATTAACTATTCAAAATCGTGAAGCACATCACAGATGTTGTCGAATATATCACAGCCTTATAGCTGCATCTCCAGCATGCACGAGTATGGATAACATCAAATAAACAGTTAAATCAAGCAGAAACTTTACTTTTACCAATTTTTCATATTCGGTCTCTTACATCAGCCTTTGCAGTAGGGTTGGCCACACGAAACATATAGTAGATGAAGAACGCATGAATTTGAATACTGGAAAACAAACATGTGCCTTCTGCGTCATTTACATACTATTCATTGGACAAGAGCAAGCTTAAATCATTATAAACAATATAAGCGACTGTGTAGAGTTATTCACAGGAGGTTTATTGAAGTGTTATAAACATTGCTGCAAGATACTACGCAAGTGAGCAAGAAATGGAAGATGTAGTGTTTCTACAGGCGCATCGACGCACACGGACGTGCAAAGAAAACAGGTCACATCAGAAATACAGATATGGGTTCCCTTTTGTGAACCCACACCCTGCAACTCTCTACAGCTGATGAATTCATGGCAAAAGAAATTAGACGCTATAAAGAGGTTGATACAGACGTTGATGTATTAATATATCAATCTTATTTCTGATGCATAATTGCATATTTTGTCGATATAAAATTAGCCTACAGGCCATACAAAAAAAAATTGTTGACTTATAGATATAGACGTATCGTCGGTTACGCACGTATCTACAGTCATTCGAGCAACAGCCTCCGTTAGAGATATCGTTTGATGAGTTCCTCGAGATCAATAGCATCAATATCGCGACTACATCTTAGCGTTACGATCATCACCCGTAAATGAAAAGGTCATCTTGCAGCGCAGTAGGCGGTATATCTTTATCATTGCTTTCAACGACTAAATTTTGCGGTTACACTTAGCCAACGTCGATATCCAGTATATCCTCGGCGCATATTCGTGTTGCCCATATAGTTTCGCTTATATCAGCAAGATTGACCGTAGACACAATCGAGTAGATATACCGGCTACAGCGTGCTAGTGATGCGTCCTTGAGCCAAATAGCTCGAGTGTAAAGCTTCCACTACAGCACCTCTAAGAATTTTAGCCCAAGAAGTAGCATACAAAATCTTGCATTTGCATATGTAAGTATGCACATCAGCCGTGACGTTTATTCCAACATCACCACCGGAAGAGCGCCGACGTAACTGAAACCCGAAACGAAATTGTGGGAGTGTTTTGGGACACTACGGTAACTGATCTGACAGTATGCTTGACGTGACGCTGCCCAACATTTGCTGCTTGTTACCATTAATCCAGAAAACGTAGAAGGCTGCGTCGTGATAAAAATTGCGGTGACGGAGGCGTCGAAAGCAATAAAAACAATACGGTGAACCTGTTAAGGGCGCCGATAATAAGACAAACAGTATATCGGTAGGTAACGAGGCCTATCCGAGGTATCTGTAACCCTAATCCTAGTTTAATTACAGTAGCTAGTGCCGATAATGTCTATTAGTTTTTGGATGCACAACTTCGAGTACTTGCTCGCGTATAACAACGGTGTCGAAGCAATTTATGCATAATTTTGTTGATAGGTTTAATAGCGTTTTCAGCCTAAGCATCAGTAAATACCACATACAGAATGCACTCATGTCTACGGTTTACACATATTAAGTGTCATAATGTACATAATTACGGCAGCAGTAGCGATAGTGATCCCACCTTTGCTCTCGAGTACCACTCGTGTGTACCATGAACAGAAAACGAAAATTCGCGGCACTTATTGATGCATCAGCACAAACATCACCTCAACCAGCCATCGATTTAAAAAGTTCTAAGATTCTGTTTTTCGAAAATGATGTCTTCGCGTAGTGTACCATACTCGTGGAGTGTAAAAAATGGCGTATTATCTTCCATGGTAAGTTATTAAGTTATAAATATCGAAACTGTGGATGTCATAGGAAAGCGGTTCAATTGAAATCACTTATGCCAGCAACTTACTCCGGGATTTGAGTTGTTTATAACCGGTGAAATTCTAGTTACAATGACAGCTGACATTATCCATAAAGAATGTTTAAAGACGAACAAGTTTTTGACTTTACCAACTAGATTGTTGATGTCCTAGGTAATGCTTGATATTGATAAGAATGTTTAAGCGATATATCAGCGATACTTCTCGGCGCTCATATCTTCTACAACCTTAGAACGAGCATATTAGGGCCTCTCTTATGCAAGTAAAGAGTTATCCAAAAGAGTAATTATAGCAATATAATTCCATAACAGCTGGGACGCAAGTTACCAGACCGAGCATATTATCTAACGCATACCTGTTCCTTCAGGCGGCAAAGGAAGCAATGCAGGAAACATAGAAATTTGCTACGGTCTTCATTGACGTATGGTGGGAAGACGGGTATCGATCCGTGCAGTATGCTCATTTTGACGACTCCTGGAAGTAGCCATCTGCAAACGGGAGTTGGAACTGCGGCCATTTGACCCAAGATCATCAGCAACAGCAACAGCCGTTATCACCAATATCACCACCGCTCTTTCCATCTAATAAACAACTCGCTCCACGCCATGAACGCTATTAACTTTTCAACAAAGCATCTGAACAAGCGAAAACCGAAAAGCACAACCGTGGTGTTACCAGCAGCGTCAAAAATGAGCGTTCTGCGAGCACCGATGATGCATTTAACGATTTCTCACCTCCAGCCTGTACAGCAGGCATTCGTACTCTGCAATCTTCTGTTCCTTATATGTTCCATCGAAGGGTTTCGGTTTAAAGTTCTTCTTTGATTGTCTGTGTAAGCTACAAACATAGAAAATAGATTCTTTGACCTTGATCATCTAAATCTAATAAGGCTAACACAGTATACAGAACCAGTACAGGATCTTATCTCTTGAAGGTTTCCCTATTAGCATAAATAGAATGACAAGCTTTTTTTGAATAGGGCCAGCGACTTATACTAACTTGCCGCTTCAAAAAAGAAAGAGAGAAGTGATAAATAGCCTATTCACAACGCGAACGTTCTGGTCCAGTAATATACGTCGCGCGGACCTCCTTTTTTATAATTATGCGCGTGTAGCACTTTGTTTTGCGACTTTTTCTTCGTTTCGCGTGTCGCTCTCTGCTATTGCTATTGATAACACTACTACTACTACTACTACTGCACCCTAACCTCGAACATCAACCCCATAATGAAGATTAACGACACACTACCGTTTTCGGAACAATCCCAATTCTCGTTTCCAATGTTTCATTCGAAGAATTTGAAAAAACAAGCAAAACAGATCACTTGGTGTCCAACACAAGATCTTGCTGCCATTGTCTTTGCAGACAACACGATCGCGTTGTGCAGGGATGGATGGTTTCCGATTTGGGAAATGAATGCATCCGATGGCGCCGATATTACTGCTTTGGCATGGAATCCGAACGGTATGTTGTCGCTGTCCCTGTTTTGGGAAGGGAGGGGCGGGCTATTCACCGATATTTTAATAGTGTGTGTATGACGATGTTTATTTGATGCAAGGTGCCTTTATGCAATAGGTGAAGAGTTTGCTATAGGATTCTCGAATGGCACTGTGCGACGTGTAAACGCAACGTGTGCTCAACCAAAATGGATCGTGTACACGCTACCACCGATACCGTCATCATCATCATCATCAACAACAACTTTGTCAACAAGTACAAAGTCGTCGTCTTCTTCTCGGTCCGGAAACTTAAAGATCACGTCGCTCGCTTGGACTCATTTTCCTCGGAAAGAAGATAAACCTGTGGATACGATGGTAAGAGGGTCAACAAACAAAATTATACATTGTGTTAAGAGATTGTAAAACTCTATAAGCCAAATTTCTCACAATGCTGTTCAATTTTAAAACAGTATGGATTTGATCCAAAAGCGATGGAATTCACCAATGGTATTCCTGCCCTTAAAATGGAACCACCAGACGAACCAGCGTAATGTGTCAAAATAACAACTGTCACTATTGCGTGCCGGGAACTGACACATACGTCTTTATATAGACCGCTCGCTCCTTTCATGAAGCAAAAGAAGCCTCCACTTCCTGATCAGCCTTCAAAAGAATCCGAAGACAAACACACATTATTACTTGTAGGCGATAATCATGGTCGAGTACATCTCAGGTAACAACTCAGTTTCTCTGTATCTCTCTCCCTCTTCCCTATCCTCGTACATGTACTTTTTTCTTGTATCCACGTCAGGGCTATTTTTTGTTAAACGCTCAACAGTCTTAATGGTACTTACCACATAGGCACCATGAGCGTTCGAGCTGACGGCAAAGCAGTAAGTAGTTAAAGCATGTAATAAGAGCGTTGACTACAACCATGCTCAGTAGCTATCGTGCTACTCCCGGATCAGGTACCAGAAGAACTCACATAATGCTGATAGAAAAACAAAGAACATACGGTGGTTTCCACCTGTACTGGACCCACATTATCTACTATCCAAGTGCTTGTTCAGAAATCACCCGAAAAACGTGATATGCTTTCTATGGACTCGAGCATTTTACTCTCAAAAAGAAACGAGTTATGCAATATTGCAGAGGAACAAAAACATGTGGATTTCCTTTTACGATACATCAATCAGTGCGTAAACCTATTAAACAAGCATCATACAACAATTCGCAGGCTTGCTGAACAAAGCTCGGGTGAAATATCACGACTTTTGCTTGAACGAAATAGTAAGTGGACTTTCATATTCATATTTCCATCTTAAGAGACTGTTATAGAGCTATAGATTCTGCTGTACTGAAAGGGACTCCTTTTCTTGGTTATAGGTGAGACGGATCCTATGCCGCAAATCGAGCTTCTAGGATTAATTGCAACAGGGAACACAAGTGAACCGGTACATGCTTATTTTACCCAATATTTGACGGATCAGGTATGTGTATTGTGATGAGAAATACCTTTCATCGCATAAATTAATAATCATGCTTCTGTTTTTTATGCTTTGATAGCAAGTCAAACGGTGGGAAAGTCGCTCTCATCAAAGCTACGGAAACCTCCAGAGACTCGTAAATGAGTACCTGGAACCCGCCTGTTCTCGTCTCTTACATCGTCTGAATCGTCTTAGAGGATACAGTTTATGGTAAACTTACTCATGTGAAGATTTGAGGGGAAAAGTTTGAAGGTAATAATCTGAAGCTGATTTTGATTTTTCAATTCTAACACTAATAGGACAGAGCGTTATTCCGAGCTGCTAGACACAAGTGTAATTGATGCGTGCATCGATACAGCCCAACTATTGTTAAAACGCCTAATCTTTTATCGGATATCTGTTGATAAGGTGTGCTTAGAGTTTCGCGAATTCATCAAATGGACTTTACATAGTAAGTAATTCTCCTTTTGCTATTTCGGTCGTTATAACATAGTGTTGACGATATATGATAAGTAAATAACATAAGCTTCGCTTTCCTCGATTTCACGAATCTTTTTTTTCATATTTGTAGTGATTGAAAAGTTAGCAGATCAGAACGGTGGGGAATATCAAAATCATCCAGATGCTGTAGCCTATGATCCATGGTTGGTAGTCAACTTTATCAAGAAATCCTTTGCAACAGATGGTTTGACCGAATATTTCACTGTATACCCTGGCATTGAACGCTCAGGTACTAGTAACAAAACATTTGGGTCGAGTTGAAGACGACAAAATGGGGTGGCAAAGATACTCATCCTCCTTTATACTGCACATGCATTAATAGATGAACGCTGGAAACATACAGGCTTCTTACAGCTTGTTAATACGTTGACTGAAATGTGTAATACTATGCTGGATCGCCCATCGAGTATAATCAGTAATCAGACAAGTATACTACAAAAAAATACTGTGCAGTTTAAAGACCAACCAATCCAAAGGAAAAGTGCGCGGTCCTTTGCTTCTTGGGTAGCTGAAGAAGAGGTACGCTTTTTAATTATCGCATTTAATTCATCCTTTGACTATGCTATTGATATGCAATCGTCAATGATATCATGATAGACTAAAATCTCCTTTGGACTGTGAAATTAGGCCATCCAATTTTATGCATTTGCAAGAGAAAATGATCGAGGGACTATCTGTAAGTATATCCTCAACTTATTTAAATATGTTGTCGCATGATGGTTACTGTACTAATTGTTGATTAGTAACCGTCGTCAAGAAATCTTTGAAGGAGCCGTACGATGTGTCCTATGCATCAGGCCGTCTAGAAAATGTACTGATACATGATATCGAATTTTTGGATTCTCAAGAGTTGGGATTAGTTATTGAATCTGTACGAGGTGAGTTTACCGGTATATCTATCTCTCTCCCATTCAGCCTGCGTGTGGGAATACAATAAATTAACTTTGCCTATGTTTCTTAAGCTGCACGGTCGTTCCTAGCTACCACTACCTATCCAGATCTCAGCTATACAACTCCTAAAACAGATGTTTTAGTCTTGGGGGACACTCTAGCAAGGGTAAACTATTAGGGTGTCATTGTAATCCAAGATGTGACAAAAACCGTGCTAACGCTTTTCTACCTCCTCGCGACATATTTTCTAGGTACCTATTGCGCGACATATGGAGCTCGCACGAGTATCCAATGTGGTATTTGGATCCAACGGTAGACCGCGGCGTCGGATCATGGAAGCCGTTGGATCCAACAAAAAAACATATATTTTTCTTATGGATAAATAAAAAATTGCCACTACAAATTGATTATAATGTACTGTAATACTATTTGCGAATATTTTCGAAGCAAACTATAGCACAAACACGCCAGATAAAAAGTATTTGATGTAATATAAAGAACTGTGCTAAGAGCATTTATTGACTGGCACCCAAAAAGCACACCAGGTGTACCCTAACGCATATGGGACATACGGCACTTGTCAAGATGGATAAACGCACACTCTACAAGTTGTTACTGTTGATCTGCTAAATAAGTAAACAATAGGAGTAGAAAAAATAGTCGAAGACGGATTTCGTAAAAGCAACAAAGTGCAGCAATGCCCATTGTTCATCCTGGACTCTTGTATAAGTCCTTTACGATCGTATACCACACGCTTCCTCAGTTGCACCACCACCGTATCTCCACGACAACCCAGTGAAAAGGAAGAGATTGTACAAGCACTCTGAATATTTTTTTGCTATGTACAAATGAGTATGCTTTACTTTTTATTATCTTTCTATTGACTTGAGTAATTTGATACAAATTCGAAATGGAATATTTAATGAATTTCATGGTTGTTGTTGTTATAGTTGTTGTTGGTGTTGAGCAAATAGGAAAGTAAATAAGCAAGCAGAATCTAGGAGATTTAGTCGACTTCCTCGATGGAGGGACCGTCGTTGTCGTTGGATGCGCCACCAGGAGCGGCACCGGCACCAGGGAAACCACCAGGGGCGGCACCAGGGGCAGCACCAGCACCGGGCATACCGCCCTCACCACCAGCCTGAGCGTACAACTTCTGCATGATGGGGTTGGCTGTTGATGAAGACGAAAAGTTAGTAAAACGCAAAATGACGGTTACTCTGCACCAACCCCGCCGTCTTTACAACTACAACTTACCAACTTCTTCAAGCTCCTTCTGCTTGCCCTCGTATTCTTCCTTGGAAGCTTCCTGGGACTCGTCGAGCCACTTGATGGCTTCATCGATGGCAGCGTTCAACTTGGTCTTGTCGGCCTCCTCAAGGGCACCGGCAACCTTCTCCTCGGAGAGGGTGTTGCGCAAGTTGAAAGCATAGGATTCCAAGCCGTTCTTGGCCTGGATACGGGAAGCAGCAGCCTCATCCTCAGCCTTGTACTTCTCGGCGTCAGCAACCATGCGCTCAATGTCTTCCTTGGAGAGACGGCCCTTGTCGTTGGTGATGGTGATCTTGTTGGACTTGCCAGTGGTCTTGTCCAAGGCGGAGACGTTCAAGATACCGTTGGCATCGACATCGAAGGTGACCTCGATCTGGGGAACACCACGGGGGGCGGGGGGGATACCAGTGAGTTCGAACTTGCCGAGCAAGTTGTTGTCCTTGGTGCGAGCACGTTCACCTTCGAAGACCTGGATCAAGACACCGGGCTGGTTGTCAGCGTAGGTGGAGAAGATCTCGGACTTCTTGGTGGGGACAGTGGTGTTACGCTTGATCAAGGCGGTCATGACACCACCAGCGGTTTCAATACCCAAGGAGAGGGGAGCGACATCGAGCAAGAGCAAGTCTTGGGTCTTCTCGGAGGTGTCACCGGACAAGATAGCGGCCTGGACGGCAGCACCGTAGGCAACGGCTTCATCAGGGTTGATGGATTTGTTGGGCTCCTTGCCGTTGAAGAAGTCAGAGACGAGCTTCTGGACCTTGGGGATACGGGTGGAACCACCGACCAAGACGATGTCGTGGACGGAGCCCTTGTCGATCTTGGAGTCGCGCAAGACCTTTTCGACGGGGTCCATGGTGGAACGGAACAAGTCCTGGTTCAATTCCTCGAAACGAGCACGGGTGAGCGAGGTGTAGAAGTCAACACCCTCGAACAACGAGTCGATTTCGATCGAGGTCTGGGCAGACGAAGAGAGGGTGCGCTTAGCACGCTCACAGGCAGTGCGGAGACGACGGACGGCACGGGCGTTGCCAGAGATGTCCTTCTTGAACTTGCGCTTGAACTCTTGCATGAAATGGTTGACAAGACGGTTGTCGAAATCTTCACCACCCAAGTGAGTGTCACCAGCAGTGGCCTTGACTTCAAAGATACCGTCTTCGATGGTCAAAAGGGAGACATCGAAGGTACCACCACCCAAATCGAAGATAAGGACGTTGCGCTACAATAGAGAGAGTCAGTTCAGCCCAGGTCTTTCTGTAAATCCCTCCCGCCAAAGTGACATTTACCTCGCCTTCGACCTTCTTGTCCAAACCATAGGCAATGGCAGCAGCAGTGGGCTCGTTGATGATACGCTGGACGTTCAAGCCAGCAATGGCACCGGAGTCCTTGGTAGCTTGACGCTGGCCTTTAAAAATTTTTCAAAAGTGGGAGTGTATGTGTGAGCCAGAATTTTCGGGAAAGGAAAAAAAAATTGTGACGAGGAAAAACAAAAAGAAAAAACTTACTGTCGTTGAAGTAAGCAGGGACAGTGATGACAGCGTTCTTGACGGTGGTGCCCAAGTAGCCCTCGGCAACCTCCTTCATCTTGATAAGGACCATGGAGGAGATTTCTTCGGGGGTGAACTGCTTGGTCTCGCCCTTGTACTCGACCTGGATGACGGGCAAGCCAGCCTTGTCGATGATCTTGAAGGGCCAGTGCTTCATGTCAGACTGGACCTCAGACTCGGCGAAACGACGGCCGATCAGACGCTTGGCGTCAAAGACGGTGTTGAAGGGGTTCATGGCGACCTGGTTCTTGGCGGCATCACCGATCAAACGCTCAGAGTCGGTGAAACCGACGTACGAGGGAGTAGTGCGGTTACCCTTTTGTATTGGGGAATTATGAGTCAGCACAACCACATTTTCATGCTGCTGCCTTCACCAGCGAACGCGCGCGCGCGCTCTCTCTCTCTCTCTCTCTCTCTCTCTCTTCTTTTCCTTCGCCACCAATCACCATCTTTTATTTACCTGGTCGTTGGCAATAATTTCGACACGGTCGTTTTGCCAGACGCCAACACACGAGTAGCTATGAGGATTAATAGCAACAGAAATTTAGTTTACACTCATCATGGTAGCTACAGCGTTCATGGCTGCGGTGGAGGTGGAGAAAAAGGGACAAACAACTTACGTAGTACCCAAGTCAATACCAACTATTTGCAGAGATAGAGAGAGAGAATATGTATGGTTTAGTACAAACAAAGACGTAGCAGGCTCATGATGATGGTTCTACGGCACGCTCTCGCCCCGTCTCGCGCAAACCTACCAGCTTTGCCTTCAGACATGATGATTCTTATATATGAAGAAGAAGAAGAAGAGGGAAAAAAAGAGTTGGAAAGGGGGCGGCCGGACTTGCTTAAATATCGCGACCGTTAGACCCGAATAAAGTTACGAAAAAGCACTCGTTTGGAATCATGAAGAAATCGGTGGAAGTTCCATTTCGAGACCCGCTCTTGTTGGGCGCGCTTGTCTCGTCATCACCCCTTGCCCCTCCTGCCCCTCCTTCCAATGACTCCTCTAACTAAAATGGCCTTTTTGTTGTGTTATCAAGAAAATAAAAATCTGCTTCTTTTTGTTTTTTGGGTGCTTTTTTATATGTTTTTCTTTTAGATCATGATGCGTAGACCGGATGCCTTGGCGCCGATCTGCGACAGCTCACAGATCGTGCACAGCTTTCCTTCGTGTTCGGGCTTGAATGATGAGCGGCAATAGGGACATGTCGCCGTGGGTGATCCCCGATAGATAGGCTCCAGCGAGATACCGCACACAACAAACGGATTGTATTGATCATAGTTGAGCTCGATCTCGTCTTTGAGGTTGCGCTCGCACACTGCTTGGATTTGCCGTGCCTGAGAAATTTCCCAGTTAGTCTCGATTTTTCCAAAAGAGTCGTTATTATTAGTAGTAACTGACCTCATCTGCTACTGGCTTGGGTGGTGCTAATTCCAACAGTCGACGTGCGAATTGAGATGCTGTGTTAAAGTTCTTGAGCTTGAATGCTTGCTTGGTAGCCTGGCGAAGCGCCAGCTGTGAATGTCGAACGTCTAATTGACAGTGCGTAAAGTATGCCGCCAGCTCCAACGTGCGCTTGCCAGCACCGCCCGTGACAGCACGACGTTCCTGCTCGAGCTGGAGACCAACAATATATTCTCGGCATACATCAATGAGTTCATTGACCGTGCTTGCTTCTTCGCTGTTGGCCACGACCGTGAACGGAACAGAGTGGAGCAGCTGCTTGAACTGTGCACCAGCAGCTACGAGCTTGCCACTTGTAAAAAGACGATATCCTTGCTGCAGCTGATTTGACTTTAGATTCTCAAAGCTGTACACGACCACGGGGCAACTGGACCGAATGTTGGATTCTTCGGGATTGCGGCGGATAGGCGCAAAGAGGTTAGGGTTAGAAGCCACAGACGATACGCTGATGCGCGAGGCCTGATAGATGGAGAGAAAGTGTTGTTTGAGCGGTTCAAAGTTGACAATGCCGATCTGACGGTTGAGGGCTTGCATGGCACTTTCAAAGGAGCCGGCAGCAATGTGATCGGCAGCCAGCGGCGAGTTCTGGCTCCAGATGGCGGCTTCGTTAGTGCCGGCCGTAGGTGCCACAAATTCAGCCGTAGCCTGTGCAGCAGCTTGGCTGATCTCGGCGTCAAGATCAGCCTTGATATCGTCATCCAGATCCCAGCCTCCACCCTCTTCGTCATCTTGGTCTTCTACGCCTCCAACCTGTCCTGGTTCGGGTGTGCCAAACAAATCATCCTCGGCAGGTGTCTTGCTGGATAAGCCGGGAATACCCAAGTCATCATCGTCATCCACGCCCCAATCCCCCGCTCCTTCGTCGACATTTTCATCGTATGTGAAACTGGGTACTCCAGTTGCTGCTGCAGATGGCGTGTCGGCAGCAGCAGCAAACGCGCCTTCAAAGAAGCTTTTGGATACAGTCAACAGCGGCCAGTTGGGATCTTCCAGTTGCACCACTGGCTTGGGAATAGCAGGCAATTCACAGGCAGCACTAGGAAGCTGGACTTGGCTTTCGTCCTTGCCAGACTGTGCCAAAATGGCCTCTGCCTTTTCTGTTAAACCATGTGATTTGGCTGTCAAGTACGCCAACGGGCCTACACAACAAATAATGCACACACGCACATACACATTTAGACAAGTTTATCCCAATTATAGAACGGATCAACGGGTGGGCCCCGCATTACCTTGACCGACTTGCTCGAGTAACCGGACGCGCTCTTCAACATCCCCGAGATACAGCGCATTCTGGAAGCTGGAGATGGGCTCGCTACGAAGCTCGGCAATCTTGAGCATTTGTTTAAGATTGTTTTCGTTGCCTGTCACGAGGTACATGAACGAAAGCCGATCATAGCTCTTGGTCCGCTGATACGCCATTTCCACAATCTTTTTTTTTTGTTTGTTTTGTTTTCGTTTATGAGAAACTTCTTGTCTTTGTCTTTGTTTCCTACATGGCAGTCATGATTTTACCTTAAAATTGCCCTGTCGCAGTGCTTCCGAGCCTAGTTTGCCCCAGCAATCGGGCTGATCTATCGTCTTTGCAGTTTCTACTGCAATATCAAGATTGCCACACTCCAAGGCGAGCTCAAACCGCGTGCGAGGATCGCGTACGAAATGCAATGCAATCTAGAAATCCCAAAAGTAAGTGCTTTATATGAGTTTCTACACATAGAGAAGAATTGTATGCAACACCATGCAATCAACACAACATGCCAAGCTTACTGACCTCGGGGTAGCCTTTCTTTTGCAGGTAAGCAATGATGGATTGACCGACCAGGTTGGAATTACGGATGATATGCAACACTTCTTCGTACTGTCTTTTAACGAGTGCCAGTTTGAAGCGATATTCGGTTGGATCAATCTTGATGGTGCGCGGCTTAGCCTCACGGTCCAGTGCATAGAGCGTCTTGCCCTTGACACGTGTCAAATAGACCGGCTGCTCGAGCGTCCGGATGATGCCACTATCACTGTACATGTATGTTTATGAGTTCTAGGCCCTTTTTCTTCACGCTGATCTTTCTTGCTCTCCCACCCCCACCGGAACAAAGAATGTATCTTACCCCTGTGGAAGAGCATATTTGATATGGTTCAATGTGCAGTAAATGAACACTCCGCTGTCATCCCATGTGCCGCTCTTGATACGGATCGTCTCGTGTACTTGGCAGACTTGCTTCAAATTCTTGGTGGCAATTGTAATTGCTGCAACAAACGATGTGCACTTTAATAATCCGCAAAAAAACAAAAATGTCGGTTCGACTGTAATCAAACTTACAATGCTTGCTGAGCAAAGCAACCATGGACATATCGGCATTCCAGATAACATATTTGACGGATGTTGCCGGCAGCTCAGCCGAAACGCGTCGCTGTTGGATATCATACAGAATCACCGACGTCGGTGTCGACATTAAGAGCCCGCCAGTGCCTGCATAAAAAATGTCATTGACTTGGCCTGGCGTCTTGAATGACTTGGTAGGGTTGTTGGATAGATCTCGGATCTGGACCTGCTGCCCAGCCTTGTCGAATACCGCAAAGCGGTTGCGCGCAATAAACAAGGCAGCTTGGCCCTCACCGCGTTTGGATTCGTCTGAGGGCTCCTTTAGGCTGCCCGAGATGTTTTTGGGTAAATGGTATAGTTCGTAGACACCGCCATCGTGGGGCTAATACGTTAAGTGTTTAATAATCTGATTGCTACTGCTGCTATACGTATGGCTTTTTTGTACTTTGGAGTAGCGGGTACTGGTCTTAAAGTATTTACCGAGGTAACAAGAACAGCGCGTTCTGCAGGGTTATAAGACAAAGTACGCGGAGCGACATATGGGGAATCCAGCTTGCGAACGCTGAGGACTTCTTGGTCGGCGCCACTGCTCAGATCATGGATATGGATGATCTTATCCTTGACATAAAACACTTGGTTCTGATGCACTTGATAAGCCGGACGCTCACGTTCGAGTTTGAATACAATTAAGCCGCTGTCGTGACCTGATGGGTAGATAAAGACATTCGCATTTATGATGAGAAATTTCCCTTTACAAAATCAGTATTCTTATTATATTTTTTTCTTTCGGGAGACTTAACCTGCTGCAAATAAGTTGAGTTCAGGATGTGCAATGAGAACCCAGAAACGGTCGTGATCTCTTCTGAAAGTTGCCAGTGAGGTGCGTTTTGTCATGTCCCATACGCGAATCGATTTGTCTTCACCATCGGACAAAATGAGTTCCTGACGTGGATGAAAGATGGCACTGGAGACATTGTTGTAATGGCCGCGGCAGCTATCCACTTCCCAAGCCTTCGTTTCTAATTAAAAAATTAGAAGAAGGTATACCATCAATTATAAGCAACAGCAGTAAATATATTTAGAAATACACAATCAACCTACCACTCATACGCCAAAGCTTCACTTGACGATCATCACCAGCCGACACAATAAGAGGCAGCGTGGGATGGAACGAGGCCCAGTTCACACCATGATCATGTCCTTCGAGCACATATTTCACCATCACATCCGTCGATCCAAACAAGTCAGCCTGACTCTGACGATTTAGCGAATCCTCGAAACTCATTGGCGTGGGCGCCTGATTCTTTTTGCGCAGTCCCGAAATATCCCACACGCGGACCGTTTGATCCATCGATGCCGATACAACCAGGTCGTTCTTGGGATGAAACTGCGCACACATGACATAATGATTATGGCCGGTGAGGATGGCGATACAGCTTCTCGATTGCCAGTTCCAAATACGGATCGTTTGGTCGTCTGATGCCGAGATAACCCACGGGTGTTCAGGATGGAAGGCGACGGTTCGTACATAGTCCAAGTGGCCGTTCAATGTAAACAAGCAACGACGCGTTTTGTAGTTCCAGACTTTGATTTTGTAGTCGTCGCCACCAGAAACGAACAGTGGTTGTGTCGGGTGGAACGCGATGCCGCGTACGGGACCTAGATGGATTGGAGAGAAAGAGAGAATGACAAGTGTTTTATTGGTAAATGCTGTCCTCTTCTCTGGGCCATTTCAAAAAAAAACCTGGTTATATAACAAGTAGAGGAAGGTCGAGTTATACCATCGTGTTCGTCAAACCGTTCAAGTAAAGTTCCCATACGATAATCCCAGAGCTGAATACACCCATTATGCAAGGAGGCCAAGATCCATGGTCGCTTAGGGTGAAACGCGAGACCTTTGCATCTATTACTTTTGCTTTCAAACTAAAAAAAGTAATAATTCAGCCATTGTTGACATATTATTTTTCCAAGTTGATATATTTGAAAAGTATGCACTTGATAGCTTTACCTTTGTTAGCATCTGCATGGTGAATGAGTTGAGCAGATGAGGGAAACTATGTTTAAAAGAAAAAAAAGGGCACACTGATGGGGAATAATTCAAAAGGCCGCGCAGTACTACCAAATTTCATGTCTGCAACGTGTCAGAACTAAAATAACCGCACACAGAACACATATAGTGGCCCCCAACCACCATACCATTATCGTGAATATAGAGAATAAAACTCGAGTAAATTGTACATTATTCACTAAAATATTGTTGCATCTGAACCTTGTTTACGCCGTTGTGATATGGCTTTTTGTTTTTGGTATACATCATATACAGTAGAAGAGAGTATTACACAGAGAGAGAGAGAAAGATGATATAAATGAAAGGGGAGGGGTATTGATTTATGTCCAATTGTCAGCCTGACAAAGTGTAAGAGAGAGAGAGAGAGAGCAAGAGCTAAGGGTAGGAGAAGGGCCATACAAAAAAAAATAGAGTTGTTGTAAAGGAAGAAATAGAAGAATTGGGTGCTTGCACATGCATAGGTACGATTAATGCCACACAGCCTGTTGACTAAGCTTTTAGGGTAATGTGTTTTGTTGTTGCAAAATAGTGTGTGATGAGAGAGAGCTGTTCTCGACGGAGAGTGCTGTTTGTCGGTGCTAGTAGTAGTAGTAGTAGTAGCAGGTGAAAAATGAAATGAACAGACAATATGTAGAGAAAGAGAGAGAGAGAGTAGTATGTATAGAGAAGATGGTGAGGATTGATGACGGTCTACGTCGTCAATCTCGTATACAAGGAGAGTGTGATGATCATCATTGCTTTTTCTTTTTGAAGTGCTGTTGTTGGAGCTTGTTGTTTGTGTTGTGTCGTAGTAAGATGTTAATTCAAAATAATTGTTCTTTTGTTGCCTTGTGCGTAGTAGAATCGCTCTTTGTTGACTCCAAGATGTATCTCAGAGACAGACGTGCGGCGAGGGTTCAACCATCTTCCTTCTACTTGAGCAGCGGGCAGTTTCTTGGTGGATGTCCGTACTTGCCACACAATCTACTACAAAGAATCAGATGGCAGGGTATTGCTATGAGCTATGTGGTATGTGATAACAGTAGAAGAGGGAGGGAAACGCGTCCATGATTGAATAACATACCATTGGCCACCGCTTAAATTCACCGGCGCAATCGGCGGCATGGTGAGAACAGAAAGTGAGAAAAAAAAAGGTGATGGGTAGTAAAGAACAGAGAAAGGAGGTCCCTTTTTTTGCGAGGATTTATATATCTGAAGGGCAATTTCTTTCAACTGCCATCTGGAACACACGTCTTAATGTGTAAATACACATAGCAGTACATGTGCGTGTGGTGGGTAGAGACACAGACACGCATCATTAATACAGCACGAATCACCGTCCCTAGCCCTATACAATCAGGGGCAGCAGCAGCAGAAGAGGGTGCGCCCTTTCTTGGGGGGGGGCGATTCATACACAGAGGAGGTACTTGGTGAGATACCAGAGAGATAGGCGCTTTCTCTTGTGGGTGGGAGGGGGATGCAAGCTATAGCTGTACACGTTTCTTATATCTTCTGGAGCGATCTGCAGAAGAACAAGAGAGAGAGCTTGTCAATCGTTTGTCGTGGTCCACACTTGTCACGGGGGATCACATACCAACTTTATCGATCCCAATCCTTCCTCCTCCCTCTTCCTCTCGCTTCACTCCCCCCCCCACCCCCTCACCAAAACAAGGCACACAGACTGTCCTTAACAACAGCAGCCACAACCCGACAGTCTGGACCCATTCCGTTGTTGCCGACAAATGCCTGCACAATCATTTGAAGCATCATCTTCATCACCACCCCCTCCCCCAACAGTCGCTCTGTTTTGTTTTTCTGGAGCTGATCATCTCCCATTCCACCACTCCTAACTTCGTCTGTAGCTTATGACATTTTCGTCTTTGAATACCATGCCCTACTACGTAGTACTACTGCCAAGTGATGATTGATCATGGTGATGAAAACTGTCGAATGCTCTAACCATCCATGCGGGTTCCACGACATCCAAAGTTGTTGTTTTTTTTTTGTTTTGTTGATGTTGATATCTGTTACTGCAACCTATACTCGAGAACGAAATCGTATATAGGATATACCAAATCAAGAGAGGGATTGTATACAGCAGCGAAATGCATATTTGCTTTGCAGCAGCAGTCTTTCACTGTGTTTATCGTAAGCAGGATCCCACCAGCTATAATATAACAAGGGAGTCTGTTTTTCGCCCAGACCGTTCAGGCCCAACAAAAGAGCCCTGTCTATCTTATACTTAACAGCCCAAGCACCCCCCCCCCACCCACTCCGCGGGCGGCCTCCCGCCTCCCAAATAAAATACTGCGGCACCCGTGTTCTGCTTCTTTGAACATTCTATCTATGGATCTATGGTGCTCTGGCGGCGCGATGCTACTATTTTAGCGTCTTCCTAGTGCTCAGCTATAAGCAGTCATCATGATATAATGCAGCACACCCCTTCTTCTGTGATGCCGTTCCATTATTATCTTTTGGCTTGATCCAGGCTAAACTCTGTGTGTATGTAGACTCTTTTGCTTTGCACTAGCTCGTTTTGAAATAGGTAAAAAAGAAGGGATGTGGTGCTATTACGCATTTGGGGGGTAGACTGTGGGGGGAGGGGGAGTTGAGGAAAGGAAAGAAAGAGAGGATGATGATGCACCCAGACCTGACTGTCCATGTCAAACCACACGTATTGGAACGGCTACACAGAACCTGTATTTGTTAAACGGTGATGGAGGAGTTCCCTCCCCTCGTTCTCTCCCACTCTCTCTTTCCGTTCCGAGCCGGACACACCCGGAAACAATCAATCTGAAATGAAGGGGGGGGAAGGCGCTCATTGGCTTGTACAGAACAACAACAAAAGCACACGGATACCAGGACTCGCGAGCAGGGTGCATGCACTTCTACACCAGACACGCATAAAATACTCCTCCAAAGCGCATAATCAAAACAAGATCATCATCGACATCACCATATAGAGTATAAAAGTGCTACTTGGTGGAGTATATATACACGCACGTTATTTATCCAGCACCACCAGTGAATAGTGATGCTCAATTGAAAAAAGAAGAAACAAAGAAAGAGAGGTGGTATACAAATGAGATAAAGTGGTCTCTTTTTTTTAAATACATCCAAGTCGAGGCTGAGGTGGGGTATGATGCATGGATGATGATGACGCTGATGGTGATGATGAAGATGTTGCTGTTGTAGTTGTTGGCGGCGGCGGTGGTGGTGGTGGTAATGAGCGATTCGTTACAGGATGGCTGCTGCCACTGCTACTACCCCTGTTGTTAGTAGCTGTGCTGTTGCTGCTGCTGCTGTTGTCCTGACGACGGATTTTGCTGTTTCTTAGCAACGACGATGACGACGAAGATGCGTCGCTAGGGCTACCGTGATGGTGGTGATGATGTTGATCTTCTTCACGTGCCCGCTTATTGCCGGGACGCAGCAGCTCATGGCCGCCGGCAAGGAAGGCTGCGACAAAGTAAATTTGATGAACAGGGTTGTTCTCGTGGGTGTCAAATGACGATGCTGCTGTTGGTGGTGGCGGCTGTTGCTGCTGCTGCGAATGGTCCGTGCTCTCGACATAGAGTTCAGCGAGGCGTTCAAAGGGCGGATCATCTAATCTCAGCGTTTCTAGATGCCGACGCAAGCCCCTTAAGGTGCTCCGGCCCATGTAATCTGTCTGGGCGAGGGTATCTTCGTACTCGGCGTGGTTGATAGCGTACTGGCGGAACGTAATGGGAATCTTGTTCTCGTCCTGAAGGAGTGCCAGATTCCCCGCAAAAATCGACAGGTGGCGTGCGAGGTCGGCGAGCGTTGCTTCCGGAGCCGCCAGATAGATCCGATCGACCGAGTGTGCAAAGTGATCAAAGATCCACAGCAGCCCCGCCCACGTAAGCGGCAGGTTGACGAGTCGCATCTCTCGCAGGGCATAGCTGCGAGGAATCTTGGGGACTGTGCGCTGCACAAACTCGTCCGTAATCGTCGAGTCGTCTGCCGGAAACAAGAGGTGACTGTTAGTCCACACCTCCGGATGTCCGTGCAGGAACTCTTCCAGCCTCGCGTCGGCGCTCCGAAGCGTGACCAGGTCGTCTAATCGAAGGTAGTTGCTTATCCGTACCAACACGTTCTCTGGCAGGCGAGTTAGCTGGGACATTCAAAATAGAGCAAATGCAAGAGAGTGAGCGAGAGTGGGAGCAAGTGAGAGGAAGAGTGGAGGAGTGAGCGAAGAAGTGAAAAAGAAGAACAGAGGAAGGGAAAAGAAAGAAAGAAAGAAAAAAGGAGCAAGTGGAGAAGAGTAAAAAAAGGCTGTTTTCAACAAAGTTCTGTTTGTCACACGTTCGGCCATAGATGGACAAAGCGCTGTGGGTGGATTGGGTGTGCACTGTGTGCGTGCGGGCCGGCTAATAATTTTTTGCTATTGTGACAACAACTACAGCGACAATAAGTGATGCAACGACATTATTGAACCCTTTTTTCCATCCATAGTCGGCAACAACGTGTCTGGGCTGATCCAATCGCAGGCCAGCTGGGCCAGGCATGTCTGCTTAATAGTGTTCGTCCATGCAAGACAGGGTTAATGTCAGCCAATCGTGCTCCCATATTTATGGGACACATCACATATATAAAAGGACGCTTCTTTGCATCCTCACTTGCTTGCTTGCTGCTATCACTGCTTCTCTTCTTTCTTTCTCACTGCCACCTCTTTTACATAGTAACAGCTACTATATTTATACACTGTACTCCTAGGCAAACAATGAACGACTTCCTCAACAATCCTCTAAGCAGTTCCCCTCCACCAGAAAAATCCGAGGTTTTTTCTCCAAAAACAACGGCTACACAAACTGGTACACCGCCTCCACCAGCACCATCACAGCCACCCGCACAAGGCATATCGCCCCCAAGAACTCCTCCTCCTGCCCCAGCAGATGAACAAGAGCGGAAAACCAAGGCACGGTGGGTGGGGATGGGCGAGTTTGAGTCGGAGCAGCACTATTACCCCCGGGTTCTAAACGCACAGATCCATCCATTGGTCCAGTCGTTCTTAACCTTGGGTAATGAGCGCATCATTGCACGCTATACACATTTGAATCCACGCGTCCAAGCAGACACACTGCGTGAGATCCTTAGCTACCGACCCAAGTATTTCCAATGGGCAGGTAAACACCCCGCTAGTTTTCGGTGATAAAAGAAAAGATTAAGAAGAGAGAGAACTAAAAGGAAAAATGCCTCATTCGTCATTGAAATAAGGATCCGATCTGTTCAATGTCACAACGGCCTCTGGAAAACGACAAATGATTGTTATCGAGACCAACTCGTGCCCCAGTGGGCAAAAGTCCATGCCTATCCTGTCTGAAACAGACGAGCACAACGAACATGGCGGGTACCGCATGGTGATTGATTCTGCCTTTAGAGAACAGCTCTCCAAGGCCGATCCGAAACTTGGCGACTTGGCCGTCATTTACGACAAGAACGAGATGGAATCGAGTGGATACGCAGCGGTCCTGGCAGATGTGGCAAAGGAACATGTCTGGTTGGTAGAATGGTACGATCATGATCCGGCACCAAACGTCAAATGGCAAGACGGCGTGCTGCACGTGCGAGACGAAAAAAATGGCAAGTGGGAAATTGCCTTTTTACTAGTAGTAGTATTAGCCAACAACATTTCCATGCTCTTTTTCTTGCTAACCCCTTCACTTCAAATCTTTAGTCTGGCATCCCATCCGCGCATGCTTCCGCTATCTGACACAAAAGCCTTGGAATCGATTTCCGCTCAAGAGCAAGACGATTGTCATGAACCAAATCATCTCCTGCCTTGCTGGCGGACGCAACAAAATGATGGCTTCAAGAGCATACGACTTTTACAACTCGGAGCTGGTTGATACTGGCCTGTCCGTACGCACGCCTGAAACAATCAACAATGTGACCCGTGGTGAGATCCCGCTGTATATCCGCGCTATGGGCAACCACGCTGTCCTCAAGGTTCCCTACAGCAATGCAGGCCAAGGCGTATATACCATCACCAACGATGATGAACTCAAACATTTTTTGAGCGAGGATCATCATTATGACAAGGTTTGTTTTCTAAATTGGAATATATACACTAAACTTTTTATGGGTGCTAACTATTACCTATAAAAGTTTATCGTCCAATCCTTAGTAGGAAACGCTTCTTGGTCTAGCGTAACAAGAGCCGGCAAGTTCTATCATGTTGGCACAGTACGTTATTGTCCTTTGGCATAGTGTTGTAATCATTGCCGAATGGTTTTTTGAATCAGCTGCTAACTGCCAGTCGTTTTTTATACATGCCAATAGATCCCAAACAAGAAGAATTGCGACACCTTTGTTAGTGACCTGCGCATGATGGTGGCAGGTAATTTTTTTTCTCTGTTTCTTTTCAACCCATCCTTACTCATATATGTGTTTACTGTCATCATTTGACTTTAAATTACTTGCATATACCAGGTAGCGAACAGGGGTTTCGACCGATTTGTATCTATGGTCGCAAGGCACGACGACCATTGACAACCAAGCTGGATCCGCATGGTAATAACATTTAGCATTGATACTTTCACATGTCTTTTTCTTTGTTTGTTCTTAAAAGACGATTAGAGAAAGGTGAAGGGACTAACACAACAAACTTTGCTTCTATCCACTAGATAACACGTGGGAAATGCTCGGCACCAACTTGTCGATCAAACTTCCGGATGGCTCATGGACCACTGATACCTCACGTTTGATTCTCATGGATCGCCGCGATTTCAACCAACTCGGCATCGGAGTCGACGATCTTATCGACGCCTATATCCAGACAGTCTTGGCCGTGATCGGTATTGACAAAATGTCTGAACGCCTGATGGCTGCTGGACGGTTCGACTATCAATTGTTCCGAAGTCTGAATCCTGACGACGCCTTGCTCCGAGAGATTCAGCAAGCAAATGCGGAAGATTTTATGGATCAGCATTAAGAAGAAGCACCGTAGCTGTTGTATGTTGGCCGTACATCATTTATATCCTCTCTATTTCTTTCCTGTTGTCGTCGTTTGCTGTCTCCTTTGGTTTTTTGGTCTCTTTTGCTTTCTCTCCACATGAATGTTCCATTTTTAAACACTATGGTTTTCACACGTTAACGATCCGGGGCCATTTTTGAAACATTGTTGCGCACGTGGATCGACTTTGGGATTAAGAAGCATTATTTCACAACGATTCCTATATACTACATATTGAAAATGACACACCAGCGGTCGTCCTCGAAAATGAAATGGCTTACTAATAGGAGGATCAACAGCATAGTATGCTTTGAACAATTCGCTTCATCGCGGTATCAATCGCTTAGCAATTATTAGACAGCGTTCTAAATCATAAATTATAAATTTGACAGAAAAAGTATAGATTCATAATTCTAATCATATCTTATAATTGTACAAGTTGATATCAGATGTTGTATCAGATACTTGGTGCTCAACTTGCAGCATTGTTAAGGTCATTGTTTTAAAAGTATACAGGATAAAATGACTCATATTGGTAAGCTATTCCAAGGCGTCGGGTGCGTCTATGTGTACAATCAGCTAACGTGCCAAATGACATCCACATGGCCGCTGATGTTCTGTTACCCCTGTATTAAAAGCATATACACCGTTTCATTCATAACTATAGGCAAAAGAACTGTAGATATATGAACGAAAGAGAAGAAGAGTATGTTTCGTGATGCTACGTCAAGCATCGTTTGTCGGATTAGTATGCAGGAAATGCCGCTGCCTTGAAGTGCACAAAATGAACTGTATTATTGTACAACGTGCTACAGTCATTCATTGTTGGATTAACCTTAAGTCTTCCGTGGCTCCGGGGCTCTTTGCCCATCAATATACAGTGTACCAATAACCCCATAACTATTCCAAGTATAACAGATAGGGAAAGGAAGATCGTATGATTTTATAAAGTAGATTAATAGAAATCTAGTAAGTATCTCGGTATACAAAAGGAGAATGAGAAAAAGTGATAAATGATGCCTTTTCTTATCCACCACTACTATCATCGTCGCAATTCAATGCAATGTTGAAGGGGATAAAGAAGGAAAGAAAAATAGAAGTAGTATATACACAAACAAACTGGATGAATAATATAGACCCATACACTCAATATTACAACAAATTTAACAACAGCCACCACCCTGCGACTTTTCGCTGTGTGCATCCTCTGCGGCTGACATAGGCGGCTTCAGCTTGATTGTGTTCTGTCCTGGTCCGGCAGCGCCTTCCGCGTCTTGTGCGACCGCCTTTGGTACAACTTCGTAGACCCGCTCAAACACAGTTCGAAAGGCGACGTCAACATTGCTTGAATCCAAGGCACTTGTTTCAAAAAACAGCATTTCCGAGTCGGAAGCGTACTCTTTGGCTGCATCGACGCTGACTTGTCTCCCCGATTCAGCCAAATCCGACTTGTTACCAACAAGCATCAACGTGATGTTGTTGTCTGCATGTTCGCGCAGCTCCTTTAACCAATGATCCACGTTTTCAAAAGACGACTGTCTTGTAATATCTACACAGCGACAGAGACAGAGACCGCGAGAGGGTAAACATCAGCTTTTTTAGACCAGTGTTTTTTTCCCTTTGGTAACACACATCAAACATATACTTTTTTCTCCAGAATCCTCCAATTACCATAAACAAGCAATGCACCGACAGCACCGCGATAGTACCTGTTTTTTGGTATCAAAGTCCTTTTTAACATTCTCCTTCTTTCTGTAGTGGAATCGGGTGCTTATGATGTACTAAACGAAAACTTACGCTCCCGTGATAGCTCGATAACGCTCTTGACCACTGGTGTCCCAGATTTGTGCCTTGATTTTATGGTCACCCTAGGAGAGAAAAAGAACATTGCTTTGAGGTTTAGTGACGGAAAACAGCCTTACGTTATGGGTTCATGAAATACAAAAGAGCATTGAGTCGCCTTACAATATCCATCGACTTTGTAGCAAACTCGACGCCTGAAAACGCAAAGAAAGAGTTATCACTATCTGGGCAACCACCAAAAGGAACACATTCTCATGCTTTCTTTGCATACAACCTTTCTTTTCGCTCGCTTCAACAACAATACCAACAACACTTACCAATAGTACTCTTAGATTCCAAACTAAACTCGTCGCTCTGTCATTAAACTCTTGCGTTAGAGATCTCGGTGGTCTTTGTTGTCGGAACGGCCGTTACTGGACCGACATTCATCAAAAAAGGCAACAAGAAGAAATAAAAAAGGGAAGGGGCGACAACTTACTGTGAAGCGCGATAACAAACATGATTTTCCAGTTCCACTATCACCAATAATAACAATCTTGAAAAGATAATCGTAATCGTCGTCAGCCATGTTGAGTTATGTTGTTGATTGCAAGAAGAAAGAGAGAAAGAGAAGAAAAGCTAAAAATGCCGTTTTAGCCACAGCGAAGCTAACAACGTTCACCTGAAAGTTGCTATTTATAACATCTTGTACTACAATCAAGCATGTATGTACAACATCCGACACGGCCGACGAGCCACCCGGGGAAGCCGGGAAAAAGGCCTCAGCCTTCTATTGGAAGATACTACTTTTATGGAACAATGGTTATATCCTGACCAATTTTGGATATTAAACGTATACCATGAACACTACTAGACGTCTCTAATTCTGATATGTATGGTATTTACTATGATCTGAAAACCGTGATTTGTCGCATGATTGTGTCTTACATTTCTCCCGTACTTCCCCCCTTCTTCTTCATTCATTGCTGTATTACACACGCGGCTCGAGAATGGAGTAGGATGTAACGCGTCGTTTGCTAAACTCATGCTACGAGAAGATCCCGCTAACTGACCGTAGGCATGATCACATTGGTAAAAAGAAAAGATAGGCTCGTTGCCATGGGGAACCGTTATATGGAGATGTGGTTGATGAGTGACCACCAGTGGAGCTTCTAAACAATAAGCAGCTTCTCAAAATTATTGCTTAGCACGAGGCAAACCTGGATACCGGTTGACTATAGTCAAACTTGACAGCGGAGAAAGGAGTCTCAGTATACAACTAAAGGAACCTGAGTTTTGTCTCAACCACGTCTTTTATGATGTTTCTAAAAGCTACTCTTTGATTTTATGTACCGCAAGAGAAAACAATCTGCTTCTACTCCTCTGCATAATGTTGCATAATCCGTTCTGCATTAGCACAAAATGCTTGGGTCGATGGATAATCATATATCGCATCTAGGTCGACTTTATTCAAGCACATGTACCCTTATAAAATTATAGGTCCAGTTCAATAGCAATCACCGTATAGCTTTGTTTTCTACCTATCTATAGATCGTAACACACCCTTATTTTTGAACAACATGCGAATAATTGCAGGCGCAGCAAATACTCTATGATTGCCACAACCCATCATAATAGACATGCCACGTACTGCAATACTAGTCAAATGTTAATCAATATAACATAACATTACCTTGTAACATTAAGTTTTGAACAAGAGTTATGTTGTCTTCAAGCCTTAACAAGAATATTTGGGACCGTCAACTATAGCATTGTTTTCACTTCAGGTATCTTCTTCTAGTTCCTTTATGGGGCTTGTATTATGAGATTTTTTTTGGAAAAGATTCAACTTTGACGATTGAACCAGCTTATATACACCACTGAATTTGAGGTTCGGGCCAATGTGTGCAGATGCTTGCCCACGACAAGTACACTACCAGCATCCGGGTTCGAGCACTTGAATAACTCCCTTGTTAAAAACGTCTTTCATCATGCGACCCAATTTAACCAAATCCGTTTCGCCCTTGTTCGTCGAGGTACTGTTCGAAGGAGGTTTGATTTTACCAATAATGCTATCCCAACGAGCAGAAACAAACACAACAAAGTCTGGCTTGAGGGTGTTGAGATAGGCTTCTCTCGTGCTTTCACTTTCATGTGAAACTTTCATTTGCTTTTTAAAGGAACTTCGTTTAAACTTCCAAAATTTACTGATTCTATCACCATTAACTATAGTACATGTTCTTATCTTGCGTCACAGTTAGACGAAAGAAGAACATCGCTTCGGAAATTGGACTCGAACAAAGATTATACGATTCGGTGCACGTAGTCACCCTTCCACTTGTTTTGATCAAGTCCCGTTGGCTTATTCTTGCCCCTCATGACATTGCATTTTTTCCATCTTAATATTTTTAGTCGTTTCTCATGATACTAAGTTTTGCCCTCTTAATATCCCTTGTTGCCCGAAAACTTCAACGCTCTAGTAAGCAATAGACAAGGAGTAACCAAACTAAGAAGAAAGGGGAGGTGTTGGCAATGACTAGATCAACTGGTTTATCGCTCTGCTTTGCTTCAACAATAAAAATTATCGTGACATCCGGAAAATCATCCCAATTATCTTTTACATGCTATATATTATGAAAATTTATGTTTTAAGTATTATTTATATGCTCCAAAAATTAAATGCATTCAGAGACTTGCACCAATTATTGCATCATAATTTACAGCACGATCGATCTATTGAGCGCTTCTCAATGAACAAGCTTTTAGTACCCATCAGTATTATCATTAATTTCATCAACAATGCTGAATATATTGGATGATCGCATCGTTATCATTCGCCGATAGCGAGTAGACAAGATTTAAAGTCCTGATTACGAAAAGAAGTATCTATAGCAAAAGCATTCTGCATATCCTTCACCTTTTTCCCTTTCTTCCGTTTCACTGATGAGATGTTCAGGATTCATTTTCCGGCTGATTTCCCCCTAGAAATCTCATTGTCCTCTGTCATATACCACATTTTCTCAGACTATGGATAGTAGCTTTGTTCATCGAAGACCTCAGCTTTTCTATATCGACGGATTTCACTGTCAAAGCGTTCCTTCTGAAAGCTCTAACGACTGCTTACTGTTTTGTCTATTCTTCCGTATCAATTTCAATTACAACGATGGTAGTCCTTGCTTATGTGTGATTGCGGCTCACCATCTTACTCATCGACATCGCCTTTTGCAGCTGTAACTGCTTTAGTAGTAGCTGCAGTAATAATAGCAGCCTCGTTTGCCATTTAATCTCCTTGACCGTGAATATTATCCCAAAAGGGATCACTCTCTTCATTTATCTCATGTTCTTTCCTTGTATTTTTCCATCTCAGAGCTCTCAACATTAGTGTTGTGCTGGGGATCTAATAAACAGATCAAAACAGAAAAAAATAGGAATAGAAATCAAAAGTCGACATTTCTTTTCCACGGCGTTTTTTATTAACATGTAGACAATGCTATTGATGCAAATAACTTACTACTAAGTATTAATTCAAGGCTTGATGAAAGGCTTATCTCTATGAAGAATATAATATCAAGCCGGCAACACTAGTCAAAACAGCCTGAGCTGTTTAGATAGGTCAAAATCCTAGTACTTTTGGAGCAAGTGACATATTTCATCTGACGTTAGATGTGTTCCCTTGATCTTTTGGCTCTCTCTAATATACTCGCTCCTTTTGAGTGCTGCTAGACTAAAGCTTAGCTGACTACAGTTATTTTTATGATTGTCCAGCTATCATTATGTATTACATACGACAATACATAATGAGTTATAACAAATGCGAGGCGTCCAGAAGAAAAGAGCGAAGAGTTGTTTCTCGCCATTCGCTGCTAGCTGATAAGAGCATACCAAAGCTTGGTCTTCGTTCGCTGACTTGACTGCAATAAGCTTGCTGCAATGACATATTGTGTGCATATTCATACTTGGCGCTTTTAGGTAAAATTTAATGCAAGACGACTATTCAGTAAATTATCCATATACTTGCGAATTTACCAAATTTTTGCACACGTGGAGTGCGAAAGAAAAATGCGAGGGTTGACTGTACACAGTATAAATATGCACCGTGATCCATAATTAGCTGTACCCAAAACAGTCTAGCGAGTGGGGAAATGGGCCCATATTAAATTTGAGCCTATTAACTTGAACTTAGGTTTTATTAACACAGAAAATATCACAACTAACAATAAGGGGAAGAGAAAATACTATTTGAATAATTTTAGGAAAATTCCAGGGTGTGGTTATAGTTGCAGTATGGCTATAATGTCTGAGCTGACGATAAACTTCCCAAGTAGTTATCTTTGGGCGCCACCATTGCAGGCTTGTTCGCGATTACACTGAAGCAGCGGCTCGACAACGTTCCTGAAGGTCTCGTAAGGGCAAACTTCAGAATCGCAACCAGGCAAGACTGTTGGCACTTCAGAGAGGAGAATACGGACAAATTTGTCTTTGGTTCCTTTCTTGCTCAATAACTGGAACATGATATTAGCACCATACATGTCATCCTCCGACGTTCGAAACAAGCGGCTATCGATCTGGTCTTGAGAAGCGTCGGCCTTCAAAAGGAAATCATCCTTGTGGATACCAAGACGGTCTGCCAATGACAACACTGTCATGGAATGACCATGCTTGAGCGAAAGAAGTGGTGCGTCTTGGTTCCCTTGGAAACCACTGTCCAAATCGGCGGCAATTTCCTTGACCAAATCGCAGGCCAACAACGAATTGATCGGAAACGGGTATGAGTACTTGTGTGAGTATTTGATGTCAAACGCATATTCAGAAATGGCAAAGTCTTTTTTCGTAAGGAGCGAGCAGAAAGTATCGACGCGGTGGTAGATGGATGCTTCATAGGCGCATGAAAGCGAAATATAATATACATCACGGGCCGATATCTGTACTCCCAAATCCGCATTTATACGCTCTGCACTGGATGGATAGGCCTTGTCGAGGTATTTATGCATTTCCTTCTTTGGGGTCTTGCCAACCTCCTCGCCGTGTTCGGGACAATTAGTAATCGAGTATATCGTTGTATCTTGTTCAGCACTGATCTTTGTCATGGGAACGTTATCAACGCCGCTGCCCTCGAAAAATCCTTTGGTAAACTGTGTGCCTGAGAGCACGGTACGTGAATGGTCGCTGGCAATGTTTTTCAGGTGGGCTAATCCTTTGTCATCCTCAACGAGCTGTGACCGCAAGCCGGCATATTTCTTGCCCATACGAGCACCCATCTCATATAACTCTCGTTCACCGTTCTTTGTGAGTTGGTCGAATTGGTCATCTGGATAGTCACCGGGATTGAACTTGCTAGCCCAAGAAACAGTATCGTTATTACTAGTTGACAACACCTGGGCCAATCGAACCATGTCTTCTTTGTCGCCCTCGTTGGGTTGTCGTGTACCATGCCGAAAGACGATTTGGATTTGTTCAATGTCGTATTCGTTCAAGATAGAGTCACTGCTACCCCCAGCTTCCTGGTTATATGGCGATCGGGCTCCAAGATGGCGAGATACCCAGTCATAGTCGTACTGATATGCAGCTGTAATCGAAACTGGAATTGATGAAAGGAAAAATATAGAAGTGATAAACTCAAACAAAGTAATGTGCATTTTTATTATTTGTTTGGTAGTGGGATTGATAGATTAATTATATGTTCCCGTCAGCCCCAAAAAAGAGCTGTTTAAATAGAAAGGGTTCAAGATGTGTGGTTGAACAGATTTATGCACGGAACTCTCCCTATTGCCCTTTCTGCTTAAGTCCGCAATGGCGAAGCGAATGACGCGGGAAGAGGGGAGGAGAAAGGGGGAGGAGAATAATTCCATAAGGATAGTACTAGGTACTCGCGCTTTTCTTGTCAGCTTTGTTGAATATGCAGCACATACAAAGACGACAAAGTCGTCGCCGCAAGTTCAGCAAGAAACATGCCGCTTTTCTAGCAATTCTACTGGCTATCGATCTACATCATTCTCCTTCTTTGCTAAAATAAGCTTGAGGCGAAGGGGTGCGTATGTGTACGCCTCAAAGACCACATTATATACGGTTTAAGTTGCTCAAATTCCTCAATCCGATTAAGCGTCGCGTTGTTACTATAGCTTACTACTGCCAAAAGCTACTTTTGCTTTTTTAAAAAAGCCAAATTATCAGCGCCATCCCTTACTAGTGCAGCAAAAGTGGAAGTTATCAGGGACCCCTCTTCAGGCTTCAGGGTTGGTTTTTCTTGCTTTCGTATTTTCTTGTAAAAATCCGCATGCGTTAGGCTGCTTCAACCGACATTAGATAAGACAATGGCTATGCGATAGAATAGGCTTTTTTCTTTCTGATATACGTATATGCATGCAGGCACAATAACAAAATGATTACTTATTGATTATGTGGCGCGAATGATATGCAATAGTAGTGACAACGGTTTATTGTAGCACCACTTAATATATAACCTTCTTTGGGAAGCTGGGAAGAAAAACGCGCTGGGAAAAAAGGACCTTTAATTCACAGGAGAGTCGTTATGTAGAGATTAAGGGGGGAAAAGGTTATCAGGGTAGGTTGTGCAGTAGTTGATGGTCCGTTAGTATGTGGAATGAACTACACAATATTTAGCAGTATAGTATATATTCATCATATTATGATTGCCACCTCCCCTATATAATTCAAAAATATTGGGCTCTCTGTATATTGATACAATCAAATGTAGGGCACTGACATACCTACGTAGTGTATCCTACATCTTACTCCCTCCTCATCCCAGAAAAATAAATCATTTTCATTATTTGATGGGAAAACGGATTGAGATGAGAGCAAGTCCCTTTTCCTCATTTTTCATCACATCCTTATTAACAACATGTTGTTATCATTAGTTGTGGTGGTAAGTCATTCGTAAAAAACATACACTGAATTATTGATGCAGAAAAAGAATATATAGAGCTGCATAGTACTGCATTGATGGCTGCCGTGATGAAGGAACACGAGGAGGGGGAAACAGTTTAGACTATAAACACACCAGTTGCTTTCTTAGCCAGATAGCTAACACAGTTTTTTGCGATCAGTTTGGTAAAAATACTATTCAAGCCATTGCTATTTGATAATACCGATAACAAATTTCCTCTTCCAGGATCATGTTACAGGGTTAATGATAGCGAACAGAATGAATGATAATGGCGGATTGTTTTCTTTATCTGTTGATGTACTACTTATTCGGTAAGTCATTTCTTTCTTGATACTTGATACAACAACGGCCACATTGTGATGGTCTATAGTAATAAAATTAAGCGTACAAAAATATATTATCTGCAATAATTCAGATCATACGTGAGAAATTTTTCTATAGGAGGTTGCTATCAAGGCTTACAGCATCATATATCGCACACGACTGGTGTTATGGTTATGGCATCACTTGTGTATTTGCGAAAATCGGGTTGTAAGCGTCTTTAAAAATCTTTGATCTACTGTACAAAGCTATACACCGCATATAATATCATCATAATGCAGGCTGCAAAAAAAAGCTAGGATGACTGTGTATGTACGTATTTCACACGTTGCGTATCCTTTATTCGATTTTGTTTCATAGCATGCAATAATTCATGCACATACTTTTTCTTGATTGCTATATCACGCTATACTGTATATGCATTATCAGTACTTTTGAGCGTTGTATATTATGGAGTACTTATTACAGCATAAGCAGCAGTTCGTGTGCGCTCATATAAGGTCCAGGTGCTACATTAGTTATTACAAAAATAAGCAGCAATAGCTATTGCTACGACAATGGTCATCATCCAACCTTTTTCATCTAGGAGACCAGATTCGTTCCATTGCTTTCGACGCTCTTTCCACAAAATGTATTCCTGCTTGACTTGCTCGTCATCATCGGGAACAACTTCTACCAACAGATATGCATGATCGCTTGCACTGTAGTCCTCATTTCCGCGTGATCGATGTAGAACTTGCATACAGCGAACAAGAGTCCAATCGAGCTTTGCTTTGAACAGGCCGAAATAATCCGGATTCTCGAGCGTCACTTGATTAACTGGCCAGGGATCATAGAATCCTGGATTGCGTGCCTTTTTTAGAACATCCATACTAAATCCACTCGCATGAGTATAAAGCCAGGCCCAATGACGGATGAAAAACCAAGGAACCCGCGAAAGCCATCCTGCAGTTGCCAGTCTGCTGTTGACTGGACCATCTTGTTCATGAAACGCAAACACGCGCCGGTCCCACCAGCTGCTTTCTGTTTCGCCAAGACTCAAGTATCTGTAGCGATCCGTGGCATATTTAGGTGATAACCGCGCGATTGAGTGTGCCATCGTATTTAAATCGCCACAAATAATTTGATGGGGGATTTCGTCTGTGTGTTGTGAAGCGTATTGAAGGATTTCAGAGAAATTGGCTACACGGTCGATGATGCCGGTGAACACCTCTAAATGTAAACAGTAACACAGCACGGGTGGAAGATCGGGTGCACGGACCGTGGCAGCTAAGCTATATCGCTGACTACATATAAGAAGTGAGTTGATTTGTCGTGAAAGAGCATAAATACTACAAAGCTTGATCGAGAAGACCTACCCTTTACGAGGTTCACGTAGTTTGCTGCCATGATGATCCCAGTCGAATCCATGGTAACGATGATCAATCACATTGAAACTAATTTCATGTTTTGAAAGGATAGCATTACCATGGATACCTCCTCCCTGTGTGATCAATCACTTCTTTTAGCGTATAATTTATATTAAGAAAACCCGATCTGCGCTATTTTGGAAAGAGAATATGCATCCTCACCTGGTCACGCGGTCGCCGTATGGAACTCTCGAGTTCTAAGAACTCACAAACGAATCCACCTTTAACGCCTAGTGCCTCACATAGTTCAAGCATATGATTGCGACTTTGAGAACGCCTGCAGTCGATATCAATCTCCTGAAGTACCATGACATCGGCATCAAGCTTCTTTAATGTCGTAATGATTGCGTCGGGTTCTGTTTTTGGTTGCATAAAACATAATATATTAGAGGTATGCTAGGCTAAGTACCTTATATAGTTAGAGAATAAAAAAGAAGCCATACTACGCATACCATAATTACGTTCAATATTCCATTGCAGGATCTTTAGGGATCGCTTTGTTTCGTTTATGTGTGTAGTATCATCTATATTCAAAGGGCGAAAGTCGTATGTTAGGAGGTGGCCTGGTTCAGTCGTGGCCATCGAAACAAAATTATGAAAGCATGGGTCCAGTGCACGCGCTTTTTAACGCTCTCCAATCGCCATGCCCGCAGGAGGAGTGAAACCTCTGCGGAGTTAACTGTTTGCTCGTTTCCTGTCTTCTAGCTATAAACCTTAAGCCATGTCGCTCTTCTCTCTTCTTTCCTTCCCTCTTTCATTCTTTTCTGTATAATCAATGTTAATACAAAGCAATGATACACTTCAGTCGGATGTTTCTACATTTCCGATAGCAAATGAGAAATTCGTCTGCGAAAAAGGACCTACTCTACGTCGATCTCCTGGTCCTTCTGCTTCTTCTTCGTCCTCGCTGTCGGCTAAAGGTGTCGTCGTCGATGGCGACTCTTCTTCTTCTCCTCCCAGCAATAATGGTAATCGGTTTCGCAACTATCCACCGTCACTGCCACCAAAACGACTCAAACGGTCTTGTATCCAATGGGTACGGATGCACATTGACCATTTTCTCTGTTCGCTTTTGTCGTTATCGATACTATCCGTGATCTGTACCATTGCCTTTGCCCAATCCGCGCAACGTGCTTATTCCGAAGAAGGGCGCGCTATGAATTCTGACGAGCGTGATTATCCAGATGAGAAAATCGTACCAGACGAATGTTATTATATCAAGCGGTGGGGATATGAAGCGCGTGTCTACGACATAGTGACTGACGATGGCTACATTCTTCGCATGTATCGAATTATTGGCGGGGGTGGTGGCAGCAACGATAATTCAAGTAAATATTGAAAACTACTTGCCTTTTTGCAACTGCCTCCTCACGTACCCCTTTCCCCCAGCCCCCCTTAACCTCGCTCTTTTTTCTCTTTTTCAATGACATATGCTAATGTTTTTCCCCGCATTTCAAATTCCCGGCTCTCTCTTAGAAAAGCGCCCCGTGCTGCTCGGTCACGGCTTATTCCAATGTTCAGGCGATTTTTTACTGAACGAAGAAAAATCATTGGCATTTGCTCTAGTGGAACAAGGATACGATGTGTGGCTCGGAAACACACGAGCAACTGGATCTGTTGATCATGTTTCGTTGTCGCACCGAGATCCTGAATATTGGGCATGGGGTTTGAAAGAACTTGGTACCTACGACTGGCCCACCATGATTGACTTTATACGAGAAGAGACCGGCCATCACAAGGTATTGGGGCCTGTGTATGAGCGTTTGGGCATACATGCGTACTGATAATTCATTGTCTACAATCTAGATCGCATACATTGGGCACTCACAAGGAAATGCAATGGCTTTTGTGGGCTTGAAGCTTCGCCACGAAGTAGCAGATAAACTCAGTTGTTTTGTTGCATTGGCTCCGGCTGTCTTTTCAGGGACTTTGGTAAAGTAAGTGTGATACCTTAACCTTGTATTTGTTATTTTTCTTGGCAAACTGGCGGAATTGCCGGAAAGCTCATATTTGTGTTTCTGTATCGTGATGCAGCAAGTTCCCGTTGAAACAGCTCATCGCAATGAACAAGCGTACCTTTACTGTTATATTTGGTAAGCACAGAAACGAATAGGAACTTATCACGAGGAGAAGGACGCTAGTGCTGCTGTTTTTGCATAGAGATAGTAATTCGAATCCGATACATCACGTCATTAATGAACCTACTTAATTACAGGCTCGGGAGCATTTATACCGATCATGTCGTTTGCACAACGTATCTGTCATCCCGTGCTGTTCTCTCACATGGCCTACAGCATGTTTGCATACCTCTTCTCCTGGTGGGATACCCATTGGCTTCGTCGAAGAAAGCCAAAGTACTTTCAGTTTACTCCAAGACCTGTGTCATCTCAGCTAATTTCCGATTGGATGGAAGGCTGGGGAAAGCGTGGGGTATGTCTTCATGTAACAGACGCATCGCCAATCCCATTTTCCACTTCATCTACGGTGTCCAAGGTCCCCCTCACGGTGTTTTACGGCACAGACGACTTCTTGATAGATGGCGAACGGCTTGTACAGACGTTTGAAGGATACGAAAACTATGGTAGGGTGTCACCGCGCGACATCCCCTTACGAAAAACACCCGAGAGTACAAAGAGCGGAAGTGGGAAGAGCAGCCTATTTCCCATGCTCGACCTGGTGCATGCCCAATGCATAGATGGATACGAACATATGGACAACATATGGGCGCATAATAATGTGATAACAACCTACCCTGCCATATTTACTGCGCTATCTACTGCTCGGTGGACGGCCAACAGTACTTGAGAAGGCTAACTGCCTACATTTACCACTACTACAATTATAATCAGAAGCCACAAGTAATTTTACTAATTATTAGCGGTCCTTCCTCGCTGACAGTATACTAATAGTTATTGGATTTTATTTTATTTACTGGTAGAAATAAATTTTTTGGTAGACTTTTTTTTATTAGTAGAAAATATTTTACATTTAAAAATTATAAAAATTGAATTTTTGTTTTTTATATTGACTTGTGTCCCCAAATATAAACATAATTACTTATTATAAGAGTTTGACATTTCTCTAAGGTTATAAGTCTCCCGGATTGCTCGCTCAGATGAATGAGCCCCTCCGCTTCGCTCCGTGTCATTCACCGGAAACGTGTCGCAAAGGGGTTCCCCCCTTGACCCCCAAGCCCCCCTGTGGAGCGAGGTTGCATCATTGTTTTGGCATTAGATCCTTATTGTCTGTTTCTAAAAACACAAGCAAGGTCATTGTGCAGTGAGAAGTATTCTATCATGAAAAGTCGTCAAAGTTGGATACTTACTATCTCCAATTTTGGTTGCCAAGCGAATATAAGTGTGGAAAATGATGGTGTAGTAATATTGATAAAAAGAGAATAGGCGATAAAAAGAAATTTCATGAAAAACAACATTTCGGGCGTTTAGGCCTTGATGACCCGCGATACTTGAGTTCTCGGGATCTAACATGATTCTGGTGGATGATGGGCTGCGGACGCGTGACATGTCTACATAGAGTACTGTAGACCATGGGTGAAAGAAGGTTCAGGCATGTAGAAGCCAGCATTGTTGAAACACTGTGCCTTAAAGATGGTCATAGTGAATGCCAGGCGAACAGGGAATTGCGTGCGTTTAAATAGAAGGGGGAGCGTGTTAGTGAAGGTGCGAGTGTTATGCGAGGGATTAAGACGATGTTGCCGGTATGAGGTCCAGTGGCTATATCAGCTTCAAGTACATATCTTTCTAAAGATCGTACAATCATCCGTGTCCTATTCCAGAAACCATTTTGGGTGTGCAAGTTCCGCAAAGCATGACTGGGTAACCGACTTTGAGTTTTAGCGAGTGTGGTGGGAGGTCGGATAAATTCATTGCATTCAGAAGCTCTGGTGGGTATGTGATTTTGATCTTCTAGATCATCCACGGTATCTGCGCTTGGGAATTCATGTATGGTGCCTAGGAAATGGTCGAGTATCAGATCGTTGATTGTTGAAACGTCGGCATTCTTTGGAGTCAAGATAGAGGGATTGATGAGGTAATCACGATCCACATGTCGTGCGTTGAGGTTGCCGTAAATGGCTTCTATGAGCTCGTACATTTTATAATTTGGCATGAGCATTCGATCTGAAAGCCGGACTTCGTCATCAGTGGTTGGCACCAACAGCTCAGCACCATCACCAATGCAAAGTAAATATAGCGTAAACTCGCAAAGCTCATTTGCATCATTAGTGTTGGCAGCTTGCTGGACGCGCATGTTGGTTTCAAGGTGGTGGATGGTGACGCTGCGCCAAATGGATGAGCGATTTAAGCACTGCTGTACGATCTGCGAGCGCGACGCATTTGGTATCACAGGGAAGACCTATTGTCAGGCTTGATGCAAATTTTTGAATGTAAGTACTACCGCTCAATAGTAAAAGAATGCAAAGTAGAAGAGATGATACAATGTTGAATACCTGGCGAAAGGTAACACTAAAGACCATGCTTGTTTCCAAATGGAACATTGGCAAGCGCAGGATCGTCATGTCTCATGAGATCTTGGATACTTCTGTATACATAATGTAGTGAATATGTTGATATTTGTATTGATATTTGTATTCAGCGTGTTTAAAGCGATGGCAATCCTCAGATGATAAAGATCGTGTCAATGACGGTTATCCCCTTGATTCTTTCCTCGATGCGATACCCGTCTACTCATATAGTCGTACATTCATGTAGAATAAATTTCTGATCTGGAGGAGTCACACACCTCGGCGCGTCATATACGTGAGAGAGTAACCTGATTGGATAGAATGGACCGGCTCAAATGCCGCGTGTGTTCATTAATCTATGTAACCGTGCGGCCGCAGCAATCATGAGGCTCTTCTGCCTCCTCGTCAACTTTTCTAAACCAAAGCTATTCAACATGATTGGAACGGATTAGAGGATCGAAGAGTGTGTGCTTATGTTAGTGAGTGAGAAGAGCGTATGCAACCGGTTGTGAGTATACAGCGATTTCTTAAGATCCGTTTATCTCACTTCCTTTCTTTTTTTGACACAGATCTTTTACTCGTCTTAACCTGGTCCTTCTCCCCTTCACGTTGGCTATCAAAGCACAAATGCAAGTGTAAGTTCAATATGGAAAGTGTGAAGTGTACTTTGAGGTTTTGCATGTGGATATTATATACGAAAGAAGATCTGAATCTTGACGTGTCTAAAGAAGTGTGTGTACAGCATGCAGCCGCTAATGTTATACTCTTTTCTTCTCTGCTACTATTGTAGGGTCCTGACTTTCTGAAATGGTTGGTTCGGTTTGGTGTTTGCACCCCACCCTTAAGCACAAGCAACAACTGTAAGTACGGTAGGGAATGAAATGTGAGCATGAGCTGGAGAGAAGTCGAGTGTCTGTTGGAGGTGCTGATGCCATGACGTGTCAAAAGTAGCTGCATATTTAGAACAGCCTGCTCATGATCTCTCTCTACTTCAGGTTCTGCTTTATGCTGGTTGGGTTATTCGTGTCCGGCGGACAAGTAACAGATAGTAAGTATAAGCAAAAGGGGACTTGAACATTGGTAGGTGAGTAGGATGGCCTCGGTGCTGGATATGACGTGTCAAAGGTGTGCAGTGTGCGCAGCAGCGTGACGGGAAAGGGTTCCTGACCCTGACGTGTGCAGTATGGCAGTCTCTCAAAAAATTTTCCTTTTTTGAACTCAAGGCTCTCTTCCTCCAAGTCAAGGATGTCATGATAGTAAGTATAGCTGGAAAGGATTTTGGTGTTTGTTTTTGTCTTTGCGTGTTTGAAGAACCAGGAAGATGTCTGCCGTGACATGTCAAAAAGTGTATGCAGCTGCTCATAAATGTTTTCTTTTTTTCTATTAGAGGATGGCTCTGCGGTGATCTGTTTGGACTTGGATTGTCTTAGACCCCATCTCTCTCTGTGTATAAGTTTGCTGTAAAACGACAAAACAAATGTAAGTATAGCTGGATCCAGCTTGGGATGGAGGAGGATGGTTATGCCGTTTTAAAAAATAAAGATAGCACAGTAGGTGCAGCCCTCTAATGTTCTTTTCTTTCTCCAACTAGAAGAAGTGTTTCTGTCTTGGCTGCGATTCTCTGCTCTGCTCTGGCCGTGTGTTCGGTTCTCCTGTGTCTCATCGTAGAAGTATGGGTAAGTATAGCACGATAGAATTTTTAGGTGCGAGTGTGTGTTTTTTAATAATTTCCCATTATCTGTTCGTCTCTTTTGTTTCTCAGAATGGTGATAGTGCACAGACACCTCCATGCTGGTCAAGATTGATGCTCTACTGCCATCCCGCTTTTGGAAGCCGACTTGCCAAGTAGTCCGTCGGCTGTGGTCAAGATCTATCCATCCATCTGGACGGTGGCGTGTGCTTTTTGCTTTGAATGGACCTGGAGGAAGTCGTTAAAAGCCTCATATTCTTCTTGCTTTGTTATATATATACCCTCCCCTCCCCTCCCTTTTCCCCTTACTCTGACCCAGGAAGTCGTTAAAAGCGTCTATTGCGTTCTTTATATAGTTTACCCCCCTCCCCTCCCCCTTTGCTTTCTTCCACAGTTCCTAGTAGCCTCTGTCTCGACCCATCTTCGGATGTTGCATCGTTTCACGCGAACGGCTGTTTTTTTTACTCAGGCAGCCTCCGGGCGTAAGTCCTGCTTCATTTCAAGATTCCCCGTGCCCACGGTTCAAAAGTGCGGCCGAGGTCCCCCATGAATTTGGGGAATGCTTTGCGTAAGTGTTTACTTTCTCTCTTTCTCTTTTTCTGTCTGTGGATTTGCATGGAAAGGACGGGTTTCCTTTTTTGTGAGTTACAAAAGCAAGCTAACTCATAACTCTTAATTTTTTTAATAAATAGATTTGTCAATAACATCATCATGCATTTACTTTCTTACCTGTGTTTATGTGTCACAAAAAATGATTGTAGTACCCTATCTGCGAACGTCCCTGTTAAATTCACGTGAAAACGATTGCCTAAAGTAACATAATTGTATCGAGAAAAATCACAGACTTGTCATTATGAGCCTGTATTAGGATCATTACTACCAATTTTCTAAGAGAAAGAATTCCCCACAGATACCTTATTTTTCTTCCCGGTGTGATTAGCCTTGATGTCATAAAGTTGTACTGAAGCAAAAACCGCACTGCAAAAAATTGTTTTGACAGCTTTGAAGAGTAGCAGCTGTATGGGTAGTAGACCGACCGAAAATCTATGCTAAATCTCCAATGATTCTGTGTAACATATCAGGATTACACGGAATATGCCGTAGTGACCGTCCAGCCATGGTACAGGACTGCCCTGTCAATATAAATGTAATGGAAAAGGGTCACTTTATAATTTAACGACATAGCCAAATATGGTAACGACATATGCTCTAGCTTTTTGCTGTGCTGCTTCTGTTCAATTTAAGAGATTTGACCCCAGAAAGGTGAGTTTATGTATCGCCATGTACGCCAGTTTGTCGAGTACAGACAATAGTATGTACAAGACTTGTTCTTCTGGTATTTAAAGGTAAAAGGGTTAAAACTCAAGCTTCAATAAATGTTATTTAAAAAGCCAAACCTCGTATGTGCAGAAGTAGGCCTTGTCCATATTTGTGGTAGGAAAGACTGTAAATCTCAAAGTAAGGAACAGGCACATTTGCTAGTCTAGCCTACATTTCTTGCCCATGTGTGTATGAGAGTGTTAGGCAATTTTCATTGGCGTCATATATAACTTTAACTAGAAGCTTTCCTTCTTCTCGTCTTCAAGTCTCCTTTTTGCGAAACCTGCTATGCTTCACTTCATTCGTGGCAAATGATAACCCGAAAGTGCTCGATTGAACCAAGCTTAAGTTAATACGGGCAATGATGACCTTTGAACGCAACGTAGATACGTATATATTATCGGCATTGTCTATTTCTAAATTTGATATTAGTTTTTCGTATGTGGATACTGGCCGGTTTCATCCTTGTAATTTTCAAAAAGCTAACGTAATAGTATCATCTCTTCGCTCTCTCTTCTTGATAACTGGTGGCTGCGTAAGTCGCAAGCTTCCAAGACGGTGATGGTATGAATTCGCTCTTGGGCCAGTGTGGCGACCACAACAATTTCCACCTAACGCAACTTTACTTTCCGGGAAAAAAACGTGTTCCAGCTGTTTCCCGTGGCAAAACGAGAAAAATAACGCTACCATGGTTACACATAGAACCAACATCATCAATGCATATGTATGCTCAATGAATAAAGGTGGAGTAAGAGCTAATCACAGAAATACCTTGTAACTGGCATAGTTCCTGCTAGCGCCTATGTGTAGTAACTGTTATGATCGGTACAAAAGCTTATCCATCGCCTGTCGCTTAGTTGCATTTAAAGTGAAGCAAAAAGAGTAAAAGGGTCAACTGCTGCACAACTGTCCGTTAGCTGTGAGCCACAGCAGCACTGTGTCTACCTTCTTTTCCCGCAGACTCCCCTCTCTGTCTCTCTCCCATATACACCACTCTGCTTTTATATATTCTCCAGCGAAACGTCCAAAAGAAGGTTTGTATGCGGATATTGAATATATTTTGCCTCGATGCACCTTTCTGCGCTCGGCTTTTTTTAACCTTCCCTTCTTGTTACAGGCCCTCTATTTTATCTTTCTCTCTCTCTAATAAAGTACAAATTGCATGGGTACAGTCAACGACATGGCGGAATCCGGCACTTATAGTACGTCATTTGAACCATGGCGACAATCTATCCATGGTGGACTTGTCAACGGCAACAGTAACAACGGCAGAACAGCGACAAGCACAGCTACGACAATGAATCCTTCTTACATGACCACCGGACATACGAATTCCGCCCGTAAACCGACAACAGTTTATTTACCCGGTCAAGTTGCTGCCATTGCAACCACGCATCACAATAACACGACTAGTAGTAACAATAACAACAACCACGAGGATAATGAACTAGTAGCTGAAACCAATGAGCCAATCGCTGCTGAAACTGAACCAGCGAACGAAGAACGAGCTCTCGACATGGTAAGTAACATACGAAAAATTAAAGATAAAGTGGTGCTTCATTATTGGCAACATAAGAGTGCCTCTTTCTGATTATTATGTGACCGTATCCGTCCTATTATTCTTTTATATTTTGCTTAGGCGTATGGAAAGTGCATGTGTTGCAGCAGGTAAGACTGGTGGTGAAAGCGGAGAGAGACACAAACAGAGAGCGTATATGAATATAGTGTGAGAAGACGTGGAGGGCGTATTGCATATTTGTTTGTTTTGAATCCCGTATACTTATCCTGTACCTTCTCTGATATATACATAAACCGCCACAGTGAACTTCGTTACCCGGAAACTGTCGCTCGGTTTCGGTGTCCGGTATGCGATACGGTAAACGACTTGAAGCCGCATATCCGAAAACAAATATCAAACGAACCTATCACGTTGCGACAGTTAAAACGGACGGCATCCAAATGCTCGGCTAAAGAAAAAGCAGCCCGACGAGAATCTGGCGAACTTGAGCAAAGAGAACTAGAAAAGCTGTATGAGCCTGTCGAAAGGCTGGTTGAAACGGCTTTTGGCAGCTGGGTCTGCCTAAACCATAGCTTCACCAATGTAAGTTACTTGCGTTAAACAGTGAAAGAGGGGAAAAAGGCTAATTGAATTTCTTATAGGGAATGGAGACGTCATTAGAAGACAGCGGATTAAATTTGGAAGACATCCGTGGCGCATACAGAATGTTATTAAGTTTGGTGAGAAAGAAAGATAGAGTAGAGTGGTGTAAAACAGAGGACGAGGACCACACAAACCACCGAAAAAGATCGGTGCCCCACAAAATTACACCATGCAACCATATTAACACTGAATTTAATTCATATAGCCTGTCAATGTGATACGAGGGATGATGACAGCAACCGAAAAGCTACTGAAGCGACCGTCATTTCCATTAAGGAGAATGGGCGACATTCGGTTCTTGCTGATTGTACTGGAGGTGGGTGTGCAAATAGACAGTGTATATGAAGACTCTGGGGACCTTGCAACAAGAGTGTGCTGGTTAACTCATACCACGTGCATACACACTCTTCTTTTTGTAGAATCCTCTCTTGGCGCAACACAACTTCCACGCAGAAACCAAATACCACCACAACCTATTGAAACGAGTTTTCGGTATCCTGAGCTGTCTCAACAATGAGTGTCATCAGGGGCTTGTCAACTGGTTCTCAAAGTAAGAAGTTCATGAGTTGACCTACATGCATTAATGGTTCATGCAAGGGAATTACTAACATATGCGTTTGCTCAGATATACCACTGAAGGTTTCAGCGACAAAGTTCATCTTGTGCACGCATTTATCACGTATCGGGTATCCAAAGCACGACGAAGTAAGCATGGTTTGCCTGCAGCCTATGAATCGGAATGGAAGATATCCAGTGCCGCACGGACCATGGCATTATTGTGTGAGTGTTTTTTTTCTTAAAGGGACGAAATAGCTACGTCTTTTACTAATCTATCATCACATATAGTCGCGGCAAATCATCAAGCCAACAAATTGCCAATATTTGAGTTTTATAACACAATGGTTGATTACATTAACCTTTTAGGCGACTTTGAATCGTGGCAATCTCGATCAGGGTCAGTATCTGACAGACTAGGGAATGTGTGCGAATGAAGGGAAGATGAGAGCAATAGCTAAGAATAATAGTTTTGTCATTATTTAGGAAATTTGCATTCTGCCAATACCCCTTCCTGATCAGTATGGGTGCAAAGATGCAAATTCTAGAAGCAGACGCCAAGCGGCAAATGGAAACGAAATGGCGTGAAGCATTTTTTAATATGCTTTTCCACCAAAAAGCATCCATGCCATATCTCGTACTACGAGTAAGACGTGAAAATCTCATTGAAGATTCCCTCCTCCAGGTACTATGATTTCAACTTTACCTAGAGCAAACCATCGTACCATTAGAGTGTGTGCCCATTTATTTAACCTGGTGGATAAACACGGTTATAGTTGGCGCAGAACGAATTGGACCTTAAGAAATCATTACGGATAGAATTTGTGGGAGAAGAAGGTGTGGATGCAGGTGGCCTCCGGAAAGAATGGTTCTTGCTACTGGTGCGATCACTCTTCGATCCGCAATACGGCATGTTCACCTATGACGAAGACTCCAACCTATGCTGGTTTAATTCAGTGAGCTTTGAAAATGAAGATCAATATTTCCTTGTTGGTATCGTCTTAGGCCTGGCTATATACAACTCGACGATTCTGGATATACACCTGCCTACTGCATGTTATAAGAAGCTGCTGGGTCACCCGGTCGGTTTATCTGATCTTGAAGTGTTCCGTCCAGTTCTGGCACGCGGGCTGCGACACCTTTTGTCGTTTGAAGGAGATGTAGAAAGCACCTTTTGTCGTGCATTTGTTGCTGAAGTCGAAGCATTTGGTCAAAGGAAGTCGGTTCCCTTAGTACCCGGCGGCGAAAACCTGATGGTGACGAACGAAAATCGTCAGTTGTTCATCGAACTCTACGTGAACCATGTTCTTGAGACCAGCGTCGAGCGACAGTTTGGTGCTTTCCGACGAGGATTCTACCATGTGTGCGGCGGCAATGCTTTGTCACTGTTCCGACCGCAGGAAATCGAATTGCTGGTACGAGGAAGCGACGAACCATTGGAAATCGATGACTTACGCGGCCAAACTGAATATCAAGGCTTTGAACAAGATGAAGATACCATACAGTACGTTGAATTACATTCCTATTTGCCCATGCTTCAAGAAAACTAACGAATCTTGTCTCGTTCTTCTAGACATTTTTGGAGCATCATGAAAGCCATGGAGCCATCCATGCAGCGCAAGCTGCTCATGTTCGTCACTGGGAGTGACCGTATACCTGCGACAGGAGCCACACATATGGATCTTAAGATTGCATGTGGGGGCGAAGACTGCAACCGATTACCGTCAGCACACACGTGCTTTAACCAACTGGTCCTATACCGATATGAGACCAAAGATAAGCTAGAGCGCATGCTGAAAACAGCTGTCATGGAGAGCCAAGGTTTCTATGTTAAATAAGCATTTACCGATATATTCATTACATATACACATACACACATACACGCACATTCTACATACACACATCTTTAATACAACAACAAGCATGAAGGTGGCTTTCTCTTCTCTAATCCAAGGGTTTTTCTAAATGCTTCGATATTAGTTGCTGGGATGGGGTACTAATTATAGCAGAAAATGATGGATTTTTTAACACCCATGCTATTCATTCTACGTATCCGTCCCGCTTGTCTTTTTTCTTTTTCTGGCTTTTTCCTTTGTCATTTACCAAACCGCTCGTACCAAACAAACAATCAAATAACACGCACAACGCAGACGACCTACCACCCCTCTTCGCTATGCAATTAGAAGGATTCTCGCACATATCACTTCGCGCCAACTCACCCATCAAATTCGAAGAAACGCTTCATTTCTACAACGCCTTTGCGTTCAAAAAGTGTTTGGATCAATTACGATCCAATGGCAAGGAGCAAACGAACGGTGACGACGAGGAGAATCATATCCGCAACGTGTGGTTGAAACTCGATACAGCACGCGGCAACTTGACCAACAAATTAATCATCAAACTCTCGCTTTCAGCATCAGCCGTTGACTGTGATCAGAAACCCAATGAGGATGTCGATTGGGGTTTGGAAGAACAAGTGATCGTCTTGATCACCAAGGATATCGACAAGGTCCGTTCCCAGCTGCAAGAATTGGGCGCATCCGTCCAAGATGTGCCAGAGTCTGACTCGGAAAAATTATATGCGCTGGATCCGCTCGGTAACGTGTTGTTGTTCACCAACAAGCTGGCGTTCCCCGGTTTGTTGAATGAACAGAGCCACGAAGGTGTCCCGGCATCCATCGAAGGCGCAGCTCAGCCTGCTGAACAGCCGCGCAAGATTGCTGTTCTAACGTCTGGAGGTGATGCGCCCGGTATGAATCCGTGTGTTCGTGCGGTCGTCCGTTATGGTATATCCAAGGGTTGTGAAATGTATGCCGTATACGAAGGCTATCAAGGTCAGATTATCTTTCACACTTCTTAGTAATTTCTTACAGCCAAAGTTAATGCAAAGATTATATGGGCTACTATTCTATAGGTCTGGTGGATGGCGGCAGTCAGATCCGAAGAATGGACTGGAAAAGCGTACGAGGCTGGATCCGTGTGGTAAGGAATTTGGATAGCGAAAGAAAAATGATGGACTATCATTAAGAGAGAAACAATACTTGCTATATGTATGTTAGGGTGGTACATCTATTGGCACTGCACGGTGTAAACCTTTCCAAACATCCGAGGGACGACTCCAAGGTGCCGAGAATCTGATCAAAAGAGGAATTGATTCCATTATCGTATGCGGCGGTGATGGCTCGTTGACAGGTGCTGACGTTTTCCGATCCGAATGGCCAGGTCTTGTCGATACACTCAAGGACGCAAACCGGATTTCAGCAGAACAAGCGGAAAAGCACAAGCATCTGACGATTGTTGGTCTGGTTGGCAGCATTGATAACGATATGAGCAGCACGGATATTACCATTGGTGCTGTGACGTCGCTGCATCGAATCTGTGAAGCGGTTGACTCGATCAACACTACAGCTTTATCACATTCTCGCGCATTCGTCGTCGAAGTCATGGGTCGTCACTGTGGCTGGTTAGCCCTGATGGCAGGTATTGCCACGGGTGCAGATTTTGTGTTTATTCCCGAACGACCACCGAGCGAGGATGATTGGGAGTCAAGGCTTTGTAACGTGACGCAGCGTCATCGCGATCTGGGAAAACGCAAGACAGTTGTTATTGTTGCCGAAGGTGCACTCGACAGCTCGCTCAAGCCCATCAAAGCAGATCACATCAAATCAATCTTATGCGACCGACTCGGCGTGGATACGCGGGTTACTACGCTGGGCCATGTTCAACGTGGTGGCTCCCCTTGCGCTGCAGACCGTGTGCTGGCAACCATTCAAGGCGTCGAAGCCGTTCGTGCAGTGCTTACTGCAAAGATCGACACGCCATCCCCACTGATTATTTCCAGAAATAACCGAGTTGCAACATGTCCGCTCATGCAAGCAGTTGAATTAACACACGAAGTCGCCAAAGCGATCCAAGAAAAGAACTTTGCACGGGCCATGGAGTTGCGCGATCCACAATTTGCTGAAGAATTTGACGCGTTCACAGCGAGCACGATACTGGATGATTGCAACGCCAATATTGTACTACCTGATCATCGACGGTTGCGGATCGCTATCGTGCATATAGGTGCCCCGTCTGGTGGTATGAATGCTGCAACAAGAACTGCTGTACGCTATGCGCTCAATCGTGGCCATCATCCTATTGCTGTGTACAATGGATTCTCGGGTTTGGTGCGCGGAACCATGCAAGACGCAACTTGGATTGGTGTGGATGGATGGACCTCTCACGGAGGCTCTGAACTCGGCACCAACCGTCATGTACCCGGCATCGACGTAGATATGGGCATGGTTGCGTACCAAATGCAGAAGAACAAGATTCAGGGGCTGATGGTAGTCGGTGGTTTTGAAGCATTCTCGTCGTTGGTCGAACTTGAAAAGGGTCGCAAGTACTATCCATCTCTATGTGTCCCAATATGCCACTTGCCGGCTACGATTTCGAACAATGTTCCCGGAACAGACTATTCGTTGGGCACAGACACGTCGCTCAATGCTATTGTCTCATCATGCGATGCTATTGGTCAATCAGCGCGATCCTCGCGCCGACGTGTGTTTGTTGTCGAGGTCCAAGGCGGCAAGTCGGGCTACCTTGCTGTTGAGGCCGGATTAGCATCCGGTGCTAACACCATCTATATTCCAGAAGAAGGTATCACTTTGTCAAGACTGCAGTCCGACGTCAAGCATTTGTTGGCCATGTACATGGATGATGATGCCGATATGTCTGAAGGCCGTATCATTCTGCGGACGGAGGATGTCAGCGAAACATACACAACCGATGTGATCAGTAATATTCTTAAAGACGAAGGCCATCAGCTGTTTGATTCCCGCACAGCTGTCTTGGGCCATATCCAGCAAGGCGATACACCGTCACCGCTTGATCGCATCCGCGCTACACGGCTCGCTATGCGCTGTGTCCAGTTTATTGAGGATCATTCATCTAATGCACTCGATAAGGCCCACGGCGAAAAGCAGCCAGTACCTGTTGAGCTTACTGACTGCGACGAATCAGTTGCTGTTGTGGGTATTTCAGGTGCCAATGTCAAAAATAATTCTATTAAGGAGTTGCTGCCGATTACGGACTTGAAGAAAAGAAAGCCGCGCGCTGCCTGGTGGTTTGAGCATCGTCCCTTGGTTGACCTCCTATCTGGACGGGGCATGTTTACACCTCAGGCACAGAAGCTTCTCGCTGAAGAACACAACAGTGATAATAGCAGTAATGAGAATAGTAGCAACAACAACCAATAATTATAATAAAGCCATTATTAGCATCTTTTCTTGTTTTTCATTGGTTGTAAATGATGTTTCTTAGATTTTTAATATACGTGTGTGCGTGTGCTTGAGAGAACAAAGAAATGTGGGTTTCGATTTGGTATGTAAGATAAAAAGAGAGTGTTATAATATATATAAATATATAATTAGCGGGAGCAAACAAAAGATGGTAACGTAGTCGGAGAAATGTGCGTGTGTGTGTTGATAATAGTAGTAGTAGTTTTGAGTATGTGTGTGGTGTGTTTATATGGGAGGCTAAGGGAGGGGGTATTTTGGCGGGTCAGAGGGACATGTTTCTCTTCTACTCAGAAAGTCCAACGACTCCATAGTCCAATACTTCTAGACGAGTTATATTATCGGCGCATTTGACAGCTGCAACGCATCGTCTTTCATCAAAGGCAACTCTCCATACGCCGCTTACATTCTTGATTAGATCATGCATCAACTCTCCTGTCTTGATATTCCACATCTTCAATCCACCTTCAGATCCTGATACAACTTTGTGTTCGTCGTGCTGAAACGATGTGATAGCGCCTTGATGGCCAATAAGTATATGTTGCCGCTCACCATCATCGGGTGACCATACACGGAGTGTTTGATCAGCAGCTGCGCTCACCAAGAAATTGTCTGTGAGACCCAACAGACCAACCAAAATGGTGTGACCTATTTGGTACATTGGGATTGTCCGATCAGTATCTTTCTCTCTCTTTGATTATATGAAAGAAATAAAAAGAGACATTGAATTCGACAAGTTACCTCCTAAGACATGCAGACAACTTCCATCGACAATACTCCAGATACGAACGGTAGAGTCCATGCTGCCACTAATGCATCGATTTCGCTTCGGATCTATGACGACCGAATAGACTTTTTGCTCGTGGCCAACAAGCACGTGCCGCAATTGTCCCATCTCCAGGTGCCACAAGCGCACCGTGTTGTCATAGCTACCACTAGCTAGGATATTCCCATGAGCAGCAAGGTCTCTCACGGACATGGTGTGGCCTGTGAGCGTATGAACGTGGTATTTTGTGCCGGGGTAATCGGCACCGACATTGTTCCATTCGCCCATCGGGTCATCTGCGTCGGTAGACATGGGCTCGAGCGGATAAGACGTCTTTGCATGCAAGGGCATGACAGGATGCCGTGTTCGTCGCTGCAGCTGTGGCTCGTTATTGCTGTGATCTTTTTCAAGAGTAGGCAGCATCCACACCTGCAGGGTTGTGTCGCGGGATCCACTGACAAGCATGGGGCGCTGCGGCTCCATGTGTCCTGCGCGCGTCCGTGTCGGCATCACAATTGTGAGGCACCGCACCGTACTCGCATGTCCGCGCAAGACATCACAGCATTCGCCCGTTTCGATATCCCAGACACGAATCGTTCGGTCAGTCGAGCCTGTTACCAGTGTGTTACCAACATATTGCAGCGCCCATACGCCGCCATCGTGGCCCTCGAGGACGCGTCGCAGTTTGCCTGTCTTGATATCGTAGATATTGACGCTGTGGTCGTCTGATCCAGTGATGATCTTGTCGTCGTCAAACTGTAAGCACGTCACCACGTTATTGGAATGGCCGGTCAGCTGCATACGCTTTGATCGGTTGTACTTCCAGTTGAGCTGCATGCGATAGTGTCGTCGATATAATTCCTTGTATGCCAAGGCTTGGCTACTCAAATCCATGCTTCCGCCAAAGAACTGCTCAGAGTCGTCGGGTGACACAACATATCCTGCCTCCTCGAACTTGGCTTGCCATAACTCGGCATCACCGTTAATAATCTTGTGCCATTGACGTGAGACAGCAGTTGCTCTGCACAGGCTGGAAAAGTCGACGAGACGCAGAATGCGGTGTGTAAGTAACGGTGGGAGGCGAGCAATAATGTCCATCCTCAGGGCTTGCAGGATGGCGGAGTTTGCGAGTCTAAGAGCGCTCATGGGGGATCGGCGGAGCAAATGCACAAGAAAATAATTTTGGATATTCTGCGGAAGTTCGGCGTAGGTATCCAACATGTGGGTAGGCAAGGAAGAGGTCGTCGTCGTCGCTGTGGTGGACGTTGGAGTTGGTGATGGGGTTGTGGTTAGGGTGGCAGTGGCAGTGTTAATAGTGGATGGTGTGATAGATGACTGTTGTTGAGGTTCGTGTGATCTTGAAGGCACTACTACGGTTTGTTTGCTGAGCTGCTTGTCTAAGGGTATCATTTCCGGGGAATTACTAGTGTCCGCTTGGCTCCAGATGATATCTTGTGAGCCAGAAGAGACAGGCGACAGTGACGGAGATGGGAGTGCGGAATTAGGGCTTTCCTCTGGATTGTCGATCATGGGATAGGATGTTGTTGAGGCAGCGGCTGAGGCGGATGGAGAGGATGGCGTGTCGGTAGGGGCCCTGATATTGTTTGGGAGTAAAGGAGATTGTATAGTGGACGGAAACATGCTAGATGATGCGGAAGCGGATGATGGTGATGATGATGATGATGATGGTGCAAATAGCTGCTGCTGCTGCTCCTGCTCCTCATTGTCATCCGGCGCTTGACAGTTGTTGCTGTTATCGTTACTACTGCTCCTGCTGCTGCTAGCTCCAGCGCGTGATAAATGGTTATAATAGTGTCGTTTTCGTTGCTGCTTATCCTCTTCATCATTTTGAGCCTCATGCTGTTGCTGCTTTTGCAGTGATAGCCTTACAGATGTTTCTGTTCTCTTTGAGCTCCTGATGTTGGTTTCCCAGTCCTCTTCTTTGGAGAACCACGACACTGGCCGTTTTCGTGGTGACTGATTACTTGCTTGATTGGTATCACTTGACACATGTACTGCCACCTATGAAAAAAGTGCAAATAACAACAAAAGAAAAACTTGTTGGACTTTACTGTGGAAACCGGGATGAAGGGACAGAAGAACAACAGCAACAATAGATAAACCCATGCTTGGTTCCAAATTTACCTGACCATCAGAGGAAGAATCCATTTCCACCAAGATTCCTTCTGCACCTGGCATTGTGAAAGGTAACTGGCGAAGCATAGATGGAGTTGGTATATTGGCCAAGGGGTATAAAGCATCTCCGTGAGTCAATGGCGGATTAAAAACAAGCGGTGGAAGCGACCATCGATTATTATGGCCGGGTACAAGCCTGTCTGCTTCGGCCTGGGCAGTGGCTGCTGATCCAACAGGTGGTAAGTGCAAACATATTGTATCTCGTCTGCTAATGAGAGTGCTGGTATTACTAGTATCACGGTGGTTGCTGTTGCCGCCTACGCCGCCGCCGCCTTCACCAGTAATGGTAGACGAAAATCCGTCATTGGAGTTGCTGCTGCTACTGGCACCCTGAGAGCGCAAGGCTTGATCGTCACCACCAATAACGGGTCTGCCTGGAGTGGCAGAAGGAGATGGTAATGGAGACGTCAACTGCAAAGTAGACAATGGTGAGTGATTGCTACTCATTTGCGTTGTGTGGGCGGTGGAATGGGGTTTTCTGTTGGTGGTGGTTGTTTGACCAAAAAAAAAAGGTTCGAAAGGAAAGGCCTCAATTGATTTTCTCAAGTCACTCGTTGCATGTCGGAAGTCGAGGCACTTTTTTTTTCCTTGCTGTATAACCCCTCTCTTCGATCTCTACCCCAGAGCCACGCTATTTAGTCTCTCGTTCCCTAGCTCAGTACGGGTTGTCAAGATAACTGAGAGAATTTTAAGTATGCGAACAGCAAACTAATAATGTTAAAGAGAGCATATGCAACAGTAAAGCAGGAAGAATAGGATGTGTAAGCAATAAGCGTTACTACTGCTGCTGATGGAAGATGAAATGATGCTCCAGTTCACACTCGGCGGAGGGTGATCAAAGCGCTCGGGTGTGACAAACCTTCCTTTCTAAATTCGTTATGACACCATCCAATCCGATCTGCGAGTTTCGAACGTCTTCTTTTTAGCAGTCCTTATAAGACTGTGCACTGAATGGAAACGCGTTGCGAAACGGTCTGTTCTCTCACTCTGTAACTCTATATAACCCATCAAATAATTATCACATCACTTTCTTATTAAACACCCTTAAAAGCCTGACATTTTAATTAAATACACCCCGGTAAACAAAAGTAACAGCTACTATCGATAACAATCATCGTCGGCTTATTGCCTCCTCCTGTATGTTATTGTCCTTGCTGCGATGAAAGAATCTTTACACTACGTAGTAACACACCGCCGTGTGTGTAGAGTAACCATAAGTTCTTTAGCTTGTAGCGGACATTGGCGCACCGCAGTGATTATCGTGAACGCTCCTTTCACGCATGAATTTTCTTTTAAAAACCCAACTCCAAGCGAAAGGGTTGATGACGGTGACACAAGCAATGTTATCCGAAGCTTTTACATAACACTCGTAGAACGCGAAAAACTAAGCACCATGGAAAATTGGTGGCCCAAGGAAACAAAGCCTTGCTTTATATACTAATTTTTTCTTCTGGTCATATTACCACCCCATCCCATGAACACGGCCCCAGTACTAAGCTACTTGCGACTGCAAATTGTCCTTTGTGTTCCCAAGAGCATACGAGATCATTTAAGGGTTCAGGCATCAGATCATGCTTGTCTGGATCGCTGCACACTGTTTCGTTGTAAACGTTCTATTGGATATCCTCCTTTCAGGACAACAACGAGCCGTCAGGCTCTGCTGCGGGAGACAATATACTACAGCAAATAGGCGAGCGATCTTTACATGGTGTAGACAGCTTCTAGATCAGACCTACTAGACTCAATGCTTTATTAAGATTTGGAGATATCATCCTCTAGAAATACCTCAGCAACGAGTAACACAGTGTATATCACATTCGTATAAATGCATCATCTTACTTTAAAAAACGAACCATCAAACCGATATTCAAAAGGCAATATGCAGAAGTGCACAGTGAGTGTTACACTTGAGCAGCACGAGCAATAAAATTAAATTTATACACAAAGCTGCAAGGTAAAGGATAAAACGGAAATCGCTCCCACATAGTGCATATGGGCATCCTTGCCAGTAGTCACCAGCGGCTATTAAACTGTGCACATGTATAAACTATTCATTTTTCCATCTACTTTTTTGTTCATAGTTGATAGAGTATGCATAATGGCACTACACTTCACCAATGCTATTATTTCAGTCTACACTGAAATAATTTGTTTCAAGGATGCTTATTGATCGGAAAAAATTATTCAAGGCTGTAAATGCTTGCTAAGGCGGTAATGAGTCCTAGTTTTAAGATGCAAAAGGCGAACGGCGATATACTTAGAAAATATCTAGAAAAAGGCATGTGCGAGAGTACTTTCAGTCGCGCACGTTCGTCCGTACTTACCATCGATAGCGCAATGCATGAAGCCGAGATAAACTGGTCTCTTGCAAAGTCTGCCACACGATGGCCCCGAGAGAGAACGCTTGAGTAACAGTTGGCAATAGCTTGCGACTGGAAAAAAGAGGACATATGAAAGATACTGTATTTTGACGAAGCTATACTAAAAGAACTGAGCAAGCTGGAAGGTTTCTATACTAACAGCGAAAAGAGCTCAGTTTACATCCTTCCTACCTTCTCTGTTCCCGTATCAGTGCTTTGAACACTGTCGTGCGGCCTCTTCTAGAACACAGCGGAAGATACTTGCCACTAGTGTGTTCATCGTGAGCGAACCAGTATTGGACTCGTGTATTATGAAGTTGAATACATTCTTTCTTTTTAAATTATCAAAAACTGAAAACAAAGCGCTACACGATGTTCTTTTGCGAATAAACAAACGGCATCATTTTTACAGCAAGTTTGAAGAAAGTGGTCAAAACTTACGTAAACGACAAGCCGGCCTGCAACTGATCGAATTGGATGAAGTGTTGCACGATATTTGTCTCTCATTCGAAAATTAAGCAGGCGCTGCGAGCTTTCTTTGTTCTTGGGAATGTGATTGCGATTAATGTCAATATAACGAAGATTATGTGAAAGCCTTCTTGACTTATTAAAACGCTCTTTTTGTCACGGCTATTTCTGACACTCATGTCATTCAATAAAGTTTTCGTACATACAGGTAGTATATAGTCCATTTGCTTTAAGCTGACTAAGTGCCATATAGCATTGGAGTCTGAATGCACTCAACACACAGTACATCTGCCTCCTATAATGTATACAGTACCCGCTCGTTAAACCGATCACCTCTGTTTTTCGAGAAAGTGATCGGTTTAACGAATGATCGGTTTAAAGATTGAGGTTCCACTATATGACATAGATACTGCTTACCAAGCTGGTATTTTGGGGAATTGATCGGTTTAACGAAATATCGTTTTGAAGGTGATTGGTGGTTTAACGAGCAGGTACTGTACTCGACTGAATGCACCAGTAAGTACTATGACAGAGCACTTATTGATACTAATATAAAGTAGTTAAGTATGTTATTTTATAGTAAAAAAGTAGCATAAATAATCATGACTACAATATATGTCAAAAATAGTATATTATCATGATATAATAGTAGGAAAAAATCGATGAACCAAAAATCAAAAAAAAACATGTCCAAAAGAATGACAAAACGTCAGCTGCAGGGTTTGAACCTGCGCGGGCAGAGCCCAAGGGATTTCAAGTCCCTCTCCTTAACCACTCGGACAAACTGACGTTGTGATTGTGAAACATTTATAGACTTATACGTACTACGTCACATTGTCAAAATAATGCTAACTTTTTATACTAAAAAATAAATAAAAATTATATCCACAAACTCTTCGAGTAAAAAATGTGGGCTAATAGAAAAGAGCTGCAGTAATTCAATTTAGCAGCATATTTTAATAGGTTTTCTATGTAATAAATTTCAGTAATTTTATTAGGAGCAGCGATTTAAATCCCGATGTAGGTTTGCAGCATAAAGAAAAAAAACTGGCAACAGCACAAGTAAAAATAGGGGTCGCAATCTGACCTATGGGTCAACCTGTCTAACCCTTGACCCAACCCACTGAACTGTTGTAACCCATGTAAGCATATAATATATATGAGGTACTTGTATTCAAGTAGTCAATCTTCTCATTGGGAGGCATCATTATATTAAAGATGTAGTTGTTACTATGGGAGTTAATCATTAAAGTTAAAATCAAATGTAATTTTATTTAACATTTAATTAACTAATATTAACAGTGACTTATAAAAAATAAAAATAATGATTTTTTAGACTTTTTTTTAATTTTCTAAGTCTAAACATAGTTAATATAAATATTATTAATCAGTAGGCAAGGAGGGACTGATGCAGCCCAGAGAATCGAAGATTCAGAGCTTGACCTCTAATAAGATAATGAATTAATTTGCTGTTTACAGCAAAATTAATTATTATTGTTTAGAACCCTATATCTGCTATAGAACTATAACATAAAATGTACTTATGATCTTTTTATTGTGGGACTATACTTTATATTCAAGAGTATAAAATATATAAGATATAAGCAATATATGTAAAAGGAGTAAAGAAGTAGTAGTAGTATAGTTAAAACAGATAATAGAGGGCGGCAGTAAGAGACAAGATTTGACAAAAGACGGAAAAGGAATTGAGAAAAGAAAAAAGAAGGAAGAAGGAAGAAGTGAAAAGAAAAGGGGAAAGTAAGGGAAAAGGATTATGGGCATATAGGGAAGTCATCGATTTTCAACCACACTTTTAATATTATGCTTTCTTTAATGCATGTGAGCCTAAGTGATTTTTTTTGTGATGGCACAAAACCCTTTACCTTTAAGAATAATCATATTACAAAACGTATATGTTGCTTCTTGCACTGTTAGGAATTCGCGTGCCATCATCTTGGAGAGCTGTGTATACATATATGAGCTTTTGCACTTCCAGTGCTCAAGTTCAGGTTGATTGACACTTCCTTCATCACCACATCGAAATCAGTCTTGACCCGTCAACCTGAGTTTTGACCCATCGGGTTGAACAGGTCGGGTTGGATCAGTGTTTTCTTGACCCGTCCCGTCCAATTGCGACCCCTAAGTAAAAATATAGTATGACATATACAGCTATACTACAATGCCGTCTTTCTCTCTAAGACTCAAAGTTTAATGCACTTGAGATTGCTGTATTCTTCATGCTTTTTGGAAGTTTGGCAGCAAAATTTATTTCTTTCATTCTTCTATGATATGTGCGTCAATAGAAAACAAGTAGTAAAAGCTACTATAATAGTTGAAGAATGCTTTAATATCAATGGCGTTGTCACCCAGTAGTAGTATTGGTATGATGTAAGCCTTTTTTTTGTGGCGTCTGTATTTGCTTTACTAGATGTATCATAGCTACAGACGAGTCAAAAGATCAACTATTGAATAAAAACTATATTAATACTTGTTGAAGCTAACTGATTTTTTTGTGTAGATATAAATGGTATAATTTTTTATTCTTTTTGACGCCTATATCATCAGTGTTGCCTATCGAGAGCCATCACTGCTTCAATATCCTTGACAGTTTTCGGTGCAATTGTCAAGTTTTCAATACCGTCGGATGTGATGAGCACAGTATCTTCAATCCTCACACCTCCAACTGGTCGATACTGCTCGATCCGATCCATATTGAAATATTTACGCAAATAAGGCACCTTAGTCCACATGGCCAGACTTGTTTCGTTGAAGTATAAACCTGGTTCAACGGTTATAACCATATGCTCCTCAAGTGGTTTTGTGAGCAACTGTTGCTTGCTAACTGACGACGACGTTGATGATTTTCCATTCTTGGCTGATGAATTGCATGATAAAATGCCAGCACCACGTCCGCCAACATCGTGGACATCCAAACCAACAGAGTGACCAGTACCTACGCATCAAATAGTATTAATGCATCACTGAAGCTCTAAGGAGAGAAATTGCTTGCTGCTGTCCCGAGTACACTTGCATATTGTAGTTTTTTCTATACACGTACCATGGAAATAAAAAGCACGAATAACACCCATTTCGACCAGTTCTTCTGGATCTGCATTGACAAGGATACCAATTCGCACAAGCTCGTGGCTTAAAATACGTACCACTAGTTGATGCATATCCGTCCACAAGACACCTGGTTTCAGCTTTTCTAGAACAGCCTAAAAATGAACCGTTTATTATTATCATTATCATAAAGAAGAAATATGTTATTCGTGCCATATCCCCACTATTTTTCTAATGTCGTAGTACCTCTTGTGCTTTTAACACAATCTCGTAAATAGTTTTAGCTTCAGGACTGAAAGTACCGGAAGAAGGAAACGTGCGAGTTACGTCACTATTGTTTCGAACGGTTATCACGGTAGACAGTAGTAGTAAGTAAAAGCAGCAGGACAATAGTATTCTCTCTTACTACTATCCTCCATCCTTCCCTTGCTGTTTTCCAGAGTGGTAAGAGATAGTCTTTCTTAATACCTTCCATAACAGCGGCGTTCACCACCCGCATCCACGAGTACCAAACTGTGCGGACCTGATGGGATGATTTGGTTGTTTTTAGTGTAGTGAAGTGTTGCTGCACGAGGGCCTGAAGCAACGATGGGTAAGTAGCACTGCCTATGCATTCCTACACAGTAAAAGCATCACCCACGTACAACCGTATCAAAGACATTAGCTCCTATAATTACTTTTGAAAAGAAAGAAAAACACCTTCATTTCTAGGCCACTACTTGTTTCCTTACCATTGCGCGCACATTCCCAGCGAAAACGGGCTTCCAACTCCCTTTCCATTTGGCGGGGCTTGACATGCTGCATAAGCGCGATATGTGCATGAGAAGAGATATGGCAAGCGTATCGAACCAATTCAATCTCCCACGGAAACTTAGTCAGTCGTGCTTCATGCATGGCTATCTTTAATGCTGTAAACTCTAGCCTATCAAAATCCACCCCAGCTTCACAGAGCGCAGTGGTGTCGGTCGTGTCCAAGATGTGAATGACATTTGGATCGATTTGCATCAACAAGCCCGGTAAATCAGCTTCAGAAACAATTGCGTCCGCGTCGTATTTTTGCAGTAGAGCGGCTGCATTGTCCGGTGCACCGGACCATAGTACTTCATTGTCAGGGACGGTTGGTGGAATCAAGTAGACGAGGTCTGTGAAGAGATCAATGACGACGTGGAAACCTGCTTCTTCCACACCTGCGAAGGAAAAGAGAAAGCATTGGCATTGTTATGAATGCGAGAACAACAAAAGAAAACCATCTTTAATTTTATTTACCAGTCAAGTAGACAAAGTTGCTTTCGTTTCGAAAGTCGAGTTCAACGTCGGTATCATCTCGTAGCTCTATGTCGGCACCTCGGTGATAAATGATCCCGCGACTGTTCTTATCAGGGTTAAGGAGTCGTTTGATTTTGAAATAATGCTCTTTTGTAGGAAGCCTATCGCTCGAGAAGATTGGAGGCATAACAGAAAGGACGTTGTGTGTAAAAAAAATGAGTGATAGATAAAGAGAAAGAAAGAGAAGAAAAGTAAGTGTGGTTGGACAACAGGAAAAGAAAGGGAAAGTCAGGCGAGTAGCCGGTGTTGGTTATGTTAGCGAGCTGCGGAGCAATATAAACAAACTTGTTTGCTGTCGGTCATTCTGCCCGCACTTGCCCACATTGTTGTGATGACCTAGCTATAAGGATGCTCTGATCAGTTGACTAACATGTTGTTGTTGGTGGTGGGGTTGAATGTCCCACACAGTGGATGGATGCATGTCAAAGTCCCGTTTAATTCATGCAAGAAGACATTATCATCTGTGCGGCAATTATTACTGTCTTTTTGTTTCTCAAGACAACCTAATGCTTATCACAACTACCATATGAATGAATAAAAATCTTCGACAGAGAGTGGTGTAGTGCGTTTAAAGTGATATATATAGCTACCAATCTGTTGTTATTGCACGTCAAATCAAACCAATGCAGTAGAACGAATTTAATGTGTGACCGCGCGAGAAATATAGAGCAAGTAATATACTATACATCACTGATCAATGTAATCAGTACGAGTTGACTTTCGTCCTTACCGGCCAGATGATCCCCACCCTTGTGGCAATAATGACTGCTGCACAGGGGTCACGGCTGGTGTAATAGGCTCTTGGATGCTATATATTTTGCTTATTCATGACAGCGGCAAAAACCCCCACTAGCAATTGTTGGATATGGTGAGTCGTAGTTTTTTTACATTAAGGTTCCGAGCAAAGTGCTTCTAGCATCATACTAATCAAGCCAATAGCTTGGGTGAAGAATGAACTAGGTCAGTACATGCTTACAACAACGAAAATCCTTTTAGCGGCACAAGTATTTTTTTTTATTAGAGAAAACATTAGTAAATATTACATTTGGCGCTCACTACTACAGCCATTAAATGGAGAAGGTAGTCATGATCCCATTACTACTTACTACAGGTTTGACAAGAGTACTCATTGCTGTTGCAGCTTCCAATCATGCGTACAGGCAAAGAAAAAGAGAAAATCCGGCTGCTTAAAGACCCTGTATATTGCCGGACTCGTAATGGTAGACGTAGCAGCAGCACTATTGATGGTGTTATAATTCCTTCCGACATCAGCTATTAGCTGCGTAGAGAACGTTGCTGCAAGAAGCGTTCTTTTAAATTGATCGATTCAGTGAAAAATGAACAATGGAAAGAGTAAATATTATTGACAATGCAAGTGTTTATGGAGAATAAGAGGAAGGTATGCATAGAAAGGCTAATGCTTGATACAATAACACTAATTTACAAGTAAAACACTCATTATAGTCAACGTGTCCCATAGCTTCCATTCGTCCCTTAATTCCATGCCGTCTATGCCAAAGCACGAGCAAAACAGCTAGTGCAAGCAAACAAAGCCCACTATAAAAAGGAACAGCTTATCTTCTCTTGCAATTGACTTTCGCTACACTGAGTATCGTCAACGCATCGCACTGAGGGTCCGTGATTGTTAAAAGGACATCCATGAATAGAAGCTTTTTGCGTTAAATGCCAAGGCTAGCCTATTCAAAGTTTTATTTGTGTTGCCTCTGTTAGTCCTAATCAAGACAGCATGGATGATTATCCACCTGCACGCACATCTCAGACGCCCATCGCCGGATCTGAAACGTGGATGGTGACGCTTCTCTCTGATACCATACACAAGTACACAATGCTTACAAGTAACGTCGATGATGATAGCTGCTGATATGTATCCTAAATAGCCACCTTTGTTTGCCTGTTCAGCTATGCTGGCAAGTCCAGCAGCAAATTCTCCAAAATTTTTAGGGTGTTGTCAAATGTCGTCCCCCTCAGCTATCTAAAGTTCAGCAGCAGTCATTGAATTTTGTGTTCTCTTTAATTGTTGATAATAGTACAACAACAACAACAGTAAAAATGGCGTCAAAATCATCAGTACGATCATTACGACACGCACTCAATGGTGTCTTTTCTGTCTACAAGCCCACCGGTTACACTTCGCGCGATGCAGTGAATATGGTTCAAGATTCACTTTCGGAACAACTGCGATTGCGTATGGACTTTACCAAAAAGCTTAAGAATCGTGACAAGATTAAGATTGGTCATGGAGGCACCTTGGTAAATATTACAAGTGCCAATATTAGACAGAAGAGAAAGTGTGTCGAGCGTGTGTATGCGCTGCTACAGGGGTAGAAGAATGATTGGCGATATGAAAAATGGCTAAGATTATTTTTAGGATCCGTTGGCAGAAGGCGTATTAAGTAAGGAAGTGCTTTAATTAGAAAGAAGCTCGTGCAATTTAGATGAACTGAAAATTTCGACAGTATTGGGGGTTGGCGATGGCTGCAAAAAACTGCACGACTTTTTGCATTGTACCAAGGCAAGTGCTACTTTTACTACAGATACACTTTATTATGCGGGTTGATTGCTAGTAGAGTGATTTATCCCTTCTTCTCTTTCTCCTCTTCTTGTATACACGCTTCCTCACTCACATTAAAACAGGAGTATCTCGTATTAGCAAAATTCGGACAGGCGACGGATAGTTACGACAGCGAAGGCACTATCACACATAGTGGATCGACAAGTCATATCAGCCGGCAAAGCTTATTGTCGATCCTACCTCAATTCAAAGGAGAGATCACCCAAGTACCACCAATGCAAGTCTCATTCTCCATTTTGGGTCAATGTTGTTGTTGTTGTTATTATTGTTATCATCAGTAGGCTAACTTGTATAACATAGATATTCCGCCATCTCAATCCAGGGCAAGCGTGCCTATGATTATGCAAGACAAGGCATTGCTCTACCTCGACCAATCGAACCACGTCAGGTTCAGATACTGGCCCTAGATCTGGTCGAGTTCCATCATCCGTATGCGGTCTATCGGGTCGAATGCGGCGGAGGGACGTATATGCGGAGTTTAGTCCATGACATTGGGCTTGCGCTTGGTTCTTATTCCCACATGACAGGATTGAAGAGAACACGTCAAGGTACAATGACGATCCAGGATGCGCTCGAGTTGACGATGGTGGATGATAACAGCAACGACAGCGACGCATCCTCTTCTAGTAGTATTAATAGTACTAGCAACAGCAGTGGAACAAAGATGAAGCACATTGATTTGGATAAAGTGATTAAATTACTGCATTAGCTCTTTTCAAAAACAATCATGGACGGCAGTTCCACGCATTGAACATATGCGCGGAGTTCGCTCACACATCCAAAAGTAGCTTTGCATGTTGCATCACCTCCCGTTTGGGTATTACATGTGCCTGTGTTTACCAAGAAGCCCGAAAAAAGAGAGACTGCCAGCGCGGGTTTGCATCGTCATGGAGAGTTCAGACAAGGAGCTTCGGGAGAGCGTGAGGTTGGGGGGTGTGGGGAAAGATGAAGAAGTAGAAGAACAAGAGGCACTTCTGCCACGCTCTGGGGTCATCCACCACCAACAACAACATCAACAGCAACAGCAACAGCAACAGCAACAGCAACAGCAGCATGTACCTGCGAGTAACAGAAAAGGCGGATATCACTTACTACAAACAATTTCAACAGAGACCCCTTCTTCTCTCCTCTTTTTCCCCTTTTGGCTTTTTCAACGCTTTTTTAATTTTGTGTTTTGCCCGTCTTCTTTTATTTCTTACACTCTTGCTTTTTGCTTTCTATTTTCTTGTACGATAAATTCAAGGACATTCCGTAACCGGTGGGCTTTTCTTTCTCTCCCTCTCTTTCTCACACCTATACACCCAATCCACACACTCACTCTCTTTCTTCATTCCTCGCCGTCTTCATATATCCCTCCAGGTCCCCCCTCGTTTCTTCTTATCCAAAGACACCCAAGAACCAGCCAAGCCTTCATTTACACCTCCAAATGTCGACGGCACAAAATATACCTTCAGAACTCATTGTCCACATTTTAAAATATCTGTCCCATCCATCCGACCTTTCGAGCTGTGCACTGTCCTGCAAGTCATGGAGCCTCCATGCAGTTGAACTACTCTGGTACAAACCCAATTTCGTCCGATCGTCAGCCTGGGTGAGCTTTTGCAACGTCTTAGAACAAGCGAATCGGCCCAAACTATTGTTTCCTTATACGAGCTTTATCCGCCGAATCAACCTGTCGTTGTTGGCTACGCACGTTCAAGATGCTCACCTGACCAGTCTGCACGAATGCGAACGGTTAGAACGGGTCACGTTGACCGGTTGCTCGAACCTAACGGATGACGGCATAACAGGCTTTTTGGGAAATAAAGTGCGGAGGTGTCTCGTATCGATGGATCTCGGTGATGTGACAAACGTCACCGACGTCAGTATTAAGCGAATAGCCGAGATATGTCCAAATCTGCAAGGCCTCAATCTCAGCATGTGTAAAGATGGGCCGCGGCGCTTTGAGAGCATTACGGATGAAGGTGTCGTCATGCTATCAGAGTCCTGTGTTGGCTTACGAAGGGTAAATATTAGTATACTCATTGGTATCTGGAAGCGTGTGTATGCATGGAAAAGGGGAGGGAGGGGGAGCATGTTTGTTATTATTAGAATCATCACGTTAACTTGTTCGGTTCCTGACATTTCTCAAATACTAGATCAAACTAAACAACTGCGTCAAAGTATCCGACCCGTCTGTCGTGTCATTGGCAAAACACTGTCCGGCACTACTCGAAATCGACCTTATGAACTGTGAGATTACCAACAAGTCACTGCTGGAGGTGTTCAAGTACAGCGGTGAGCTTCGTGAGTTCCGCCTGAACAACTGCACCGAGATTACGGATTCCGCCTTTACGGAGTCTGCGCTGACCATACTGCCAACGACGGGCAACCACTACTACGACCAACTGCGCATCCTAGACCTGACATCGATCCAGTCCATCACCGACAGCGCCGTGCGCCAGATCATCGCAGCAGCACCCAAGATCCGCAACCTTGTGCTGAACAAATGCCACAACATCACCGACGAAAGCGTGCTTGCGATCTGCCACCTGGGCCGCTACCTGCACTATCTGCATTTGGGCCACTGTCTCCGACTGACGGATTATTCCATTGTCGAATTGGCACGTCATTGCACCCGCATTCGGTATCTGGATCTGGCCTGCTGTGGCCAGCTCACGGACCGCTCCGTCGTGGAATTGGCCACACTGCCGAAATTGAAACGGATCGGACTGGTCAAATGCCAAAATATCACGGATCAGGCTATTTATGCGCTCACGAGTCATGCACGGATCGCCAATTCGCTTGAACGAGTGCATCTTAGCTACTGTTCACGGCTCACGATACCCGCTATCATGCAGCTTGTCAATTTCTGCGAAAAGCTCACCCATTTGAGTCTCACATCAGTACCTGCATTTCTGCGGCCTGACTTCCAACGGTTCCGTCGCACGCCACCAAAAGAGTTTTCACCACAGCAGCGAAGTGTCTTTTGCGTGTTCTCTGGACGCGGTGTACGGGATTTGCGAGCCTATTTGAATCAATTAGCGGCCATGAACTCTGAGGCCCTTCAGCATCAACAACAGCAACAGCAACAGCAACAAAATCCCATGCATCTCAATAACAGCAATAATGTCACTAATAATAACATTAATCATCAGCATCATCCTAATCATCATCATCAACTGCAACAAGCGTTACCACCACCACAACAAAATATCCTACAAAGACATGCAGAGCTTGCGCATATCGATATACCAACAGACGTGCTGTCCAGATTACATCGTGGGGATGGCATACAGGCAATGCTTGCTCTCCGTAATGGCCGGCCGCCCGCAACAACAACACTCTCCAATCCAACTACCACTACCACTGCTGTAACAGGCGTAGGAGCAGCCTTTGGAACCGCAGCGGCTGCTGCAACTGTAACAACAGCAGCATCGCCGGCAGCAGTGGTGACGGACGATGAAGATACCAATAATGAAGTCTTTGGAGATACAGAAGACATTGATGTACTGTGAATCGAGTAGTGAATATAAATCATAATAAAAAAATGTTGGAAAAAGTCCTTGCTATACATATTTAAATTGCACATAGTCATTTCAAAAAGTGAAGTCGCTGATTTTGAGTTTGATGTCGTTCATGATGGCGATCGATCCAGAAATAAAGTCCTGCTCACGTGTCACGAACTTCGTTTATTATTACTTGCCGGTCCCAGGAGTCCCAGCAACAATGGTTCCGCAATAAAAGTTATTCTGAGCTAAAATTTGCGGCGCCCAGTGTTCTGATACGGCAATCAAACGGCTAATCGGTTTTCCGCTTATGCAGAAAGTGGCTGAGTGTGCCTGAAATAATCCAACCCTCAGTTTTCTATTATCAGTATCAGTAATCAATGTCATCAAGAATAGTTAAAAAACGCAAGCAAACAACAACCGTGTATAAAGTTTCAGAAAAGGGGGCGAAAATTATCAAGCTAGTAAGAAACATAGAGACGACGACTGCCAATGACAACATTACGCCTTTTGAAGTTCGCCAGACGCAATCAGCAAACGTTGATCCCCAACCAACGCAGTGCGTAGACACTGACGATGAAGATGACGATGTTGACGGTCAGCCAAGACGTCAAAGTGCTGCTGCCAAGCGTGCAGTGCGTTGGGCTGGCCTTTTCCCCGGGTTAGTTAAGGCCTATAAAGAAGGGTATAAGCAAGCGCCGGTCCCCGAGGCACTCGAGCCTGTTGAAGCAGCGATGTGTGGTTGTGATGATGATAAGAAAGCCAGTAAAGAGGTTACTTGTATCTTTAAATGTGGTAAGCGTTATTTCAAGGTTTCTCCAAGAAAAGCAACGAACAAACAAGCTTTCTCGTCTGTTTAGGCATTCGGCAATTCAGCATCAAATACTGCAAAGTATGCCCCGACTTTATCTTACCACTAGTTTTGATGCGTCGTCATATGTTTCCTTTGACGCCGCAAAACCCTGGGCATGCAGTGCATATAAAACTAATGCAGACAATCCACAATCTGCATTATATTTGCCGTGTCTCGGTGCACAGCATCGCCAAGTGGGCTGAAGCCGATTTTGAGGAAGAGGTACTATCGTTTATAAGGCAACTTTTATCTAGGATATAAACATACTCTTGTTGGCTTTCTAGGTTCCTGCGTCGTTCAAGTCTCGCTTAAACGATGCACTGCCGGTTTTTGACAGAACTCTCCTCAGCCTCAAGAAGCAGCCCTGCGTGTGAGTGTCACCCGTAGTTTAGTGCTATTCTCTGTATTTCCATATAATTTGTATTGATTATTATTTGTTTTCTTGGTTAGTGGATTTGTCACGACCTGTATTTCTGTTTGATTCGTATTATATTCCTAGTTTGTAACTAGTGAGATCTGTTAAGAAAATCTCATTTGGAGACGAGTCTCCCAAGAGCTATATCTGAGGTAGAGTTTTTCTTGTAGTTTTGTTATATTCCCTATGTGTAGCTATACCTACGTTTTAAGTGTTTTAAAGAAAGTGACGGATACTAAAACGTATGGCAGCAACATACGTATTATGTACGATGTGGATTGCAAGCTGCGAAGTACCTTAAAGTAACTAATCGTCATCTTACTTCAATATGTACGCAGACGTCTTTTGTTCTCTAATTTTATGTTCTTTCAGAAAAAACCATCGCTGAGAGATATTGAAGATGCCCCCATCGCAGTGGGCATTTTTCTTATCACTGGGCATAATTTTACTTGCCAAGTTCACTTCCATCCTCGTCTGGTTAAAGGCTTTGGCATGATCGATGGGGAGTGGCTAATTGAGGATCAAAAAGCACCATTTAGAAAAGCAGATTGTCTTGGCTCCTAACAAAGATTCACCATGCCTAACTGGATGTCATCGATTCAGTACTCGAAAGCATAAATGATATAAGCTTATTATATTTGACGTGAAAAAGCAAACACGACAGCATTACGAGTATCCAAGTGAAATCCAGCTCCCACTCTTTTTGGGAACAAAATTCAAGTTTTGCAATTACGTGTCAATGGCGTGGACGGGAGATGCTCGTTTTTGGTACGAAACTGATGGACGATGGAAAGTTCCTTGCTTACAAGGGAGTTTCTCTCATGATACCCTCTGATATCCATCATTGTGCAATTGCCAGCCGTGCACTCACGGTCTTGCTATCGATTAGGCATAACACAATACTTAACTTTATGCGCATGTCGATGAAGACTTGTTGGATCGTCTCTCGCGCACGCCCAGCCTCACTGAACACCTTGTGCACTGGAGGGAGAGAGCAACTTACTCCCGTAGTTAGAATCCTCATCACCATTCCATGGGGAAAAATCGCATGGATATCGCCAACACTCAGAACAAGTATAAACAAGAACTTATGAGTGTTTTATACTGGGAGACTCTGATCTTGGATGACCACCGCGACAGTCATTTTCCAAAGAAACGACATCTGCAACAATAGTCGCCTTTTACGCATTTACATTATTCTCCCATCTCTGTCCTCCTTATCTCTAATACAATCCCTTCTACTGTAGTTGCCTAACAGACACTCATCTTCATTTTTCACTGTATCCCCTTCTGTATTTCCTGAAAACAATTGAAAAATGCTTCAGATTCACCGTTTTTACCGGATGTTTCCAGTTATCTAAGGTCATTGTGCAGCTGGAGGCGTTTTTTTGGCATGGAGATTTCACAGCCTTTCTTTGTTGAGGCACTTACCAAAGCATCTCGCTGAATGAGAGGCGAACCCTTCGAAATCATTCAAATATAAACTATCACATGCCTCACTAATTCTTGTCATAAGTGATTCTCTTTGGAGAATTTATTTCGCTTAACTTTACTCTTGACAACAGACCAGAACTGTTCAATTGGATGGAGTTCAGGGAAATATGGAGGAAGGTGGACGTAGCGATATCCTCGAGAGTGAATATACTTTCCTATATCCGTTGAGCTATGACTTGGAAGCATTATCCATGACAAGATAATGTCCTTTCATATCTGAATACTTGTCCATTTTATCAATGGTTGCCTTTAAAAAGCTCGAATAATGCCCTGTTACCGTTCCTAAGTAGTTTCACAGCCAAGCTTTCTCTTTTTAATACGCTTAGGAAATCTCAGACCAACATTAATAAAGCCAGTTGCCGATATTGCACCTAAAATCGCAGTTGCATTTGCCTTGGTTGTAGGTACTGTAACTATTGCAGGAGTGCCTTTCTTTGACCAAGCCATACCCCGTTTCAAATTGATATGAAAGGCTGATTCATCTGCTGCCACTTTTGCACCCAATCATACCTTTGTTGAATCTTCTCTTTCTACAGGCCTACAGGCTGTAATTGTGCCTGTTTCATAGATAGAATGCACTCAGTTGTAATGGAGTTATAAATAATGCTACGAGAAACACTAAGATCCGCAAAGCTTTGCATAAAACTTTCTGCTACTTCAGTTACAACAGCAGAAGGATTCTCATCAAAGTAATTTAAAAGAAACTGCTTATGCTCCTCCCCAAGAATACGACGCCGACCTTGCTTTTTCTTCTTCTCGAAGATGCTTTCAGGGTCCTCGTAATAACGTTTGATCCATCTCTGCGCTGCTCGGATATGAATGCCTAATTGTCTCGCAGCGGCAGAAGCATTCAAGCATTTGCTAGAAAAAATCGAGTCTTGTCTTTAACAGAGTAGACCGTATAGCATCTCTTATTGAATAGCTCCAAGTCAACATCGTTGTTCCTTTCGTCATCTACAATTGGATGCACTACAGGGTTAGAAGGTCTTTCTGGAGGTTTATTCCTTAGGAATTGAGTACGAGAACTTATTGTTTTAATAGCAAACAATTCCGCGTCCACAACAAGGTCCATGGGCTCAACTCCATTCTCATCAACAACATGCCCTTGTCATCTTCGTAAAGAAATTGCATATTCATTCTGAATCTCTGTAAAGTAAATTCTAAATAGGAAAAAGAAGTAAGTAGGACACAGGTCGTCTTCCATCTTTTTACTAAGCGACAAGTAATAATAAACGAAGTTCGTGGCACGTGAGCAGGACTTTATTGATTAAACGCCATCATTGTTGAACGACATCAATCAGCGACTAATGTCGGACATTCTCATTTTGGCAAAATCCAATATCATCTTTGCTTTTGTACTCGACAACCACCGTTTCGACGACGAATATCCAACCCAACGCATCCATCCATCCATCCATCCATCCATCCATCCGTCGCTATATATAAACTGTCAACATGGGTGGTATGTAGATTCTTTTGATCGAACCGTTGTCACTACTCTGAGGACACAAGCTAACTATCAACAGCCTATAAATATCTTGAGGAACTTTACAGAAAGAAGCAATCGGACGTGTTCCGATTCTTGCTTCGTGTGAGATGCTGGGAATACAGGTACAACACACACAACATTTTAATTGTTGGTGTAGTTACATCTATTTAGGCTTGATTCAGATCCGAGAGAAAAAGGGGGAACAGCTTGTATGTACATGTGTATAGACACTGGTTTTTTTTGCAAGTGATTTTGTACATGTGTATATATGAGTTGCTTTTTTTTTCTCACTCTGTTTCATCCAATGAATCCCTTATTGTAAAAGCAAAGCTCTCACAGCCAAGGAAAATAACCAAACAATGTGCACAAAAATCATGATTTAGACAATTAAATGTGATTCATCGTGCATCCCGCCCATCCCGCCCTGATAAGGCGCGTCGTTTGGGCTACAAGGTAAGTTTCGTTCAAAAGTCTCGAATATTCATGACAAGGAATGATAAATGTTGATTCACACTCTTTTTGCTTTTAAACGAATACAGGCCAAGCAGGGCTATGTTATTTACCGTATTCGCGTCCGTCGTGGTGGCCGCAAGAAACCCGTGCCTAAGGGTGCCACCTATGGTAAGCCAGTGCACGAAGGTGTCAACCAGCTCAAGTACCAGCGCTCGCTCCGCTCGACCGCCGAAGAACGCATTGGCCGTCGTTGTGGCAATTTGCGCGTGTTGAACACGTACTGGATCAACCAGGATGCCACGTACAAGTACTTTGAAGTCATTCTCGTCGATCCCTCGCACAAGGCTATCCGTCGCGACCCCCGCATCAACTGGATCGTCAACTCCGTCCACAAGCGTCGCGAGGCCCGTGGTCTCACTGCCATTGGCAAGAAGAGCCGTGGCAAGAACAAGGGTCACCGATTCACCAAGACAAGTGGCAGTGGTCGCCGTGCTACGTGGAAGCGCAACAACACCTTGTCTCTCCGTCGTTACCGTTAAATGGACTATTGGCAGTGATGGTGGTGCGATGATGGCAGGAGCAGCAGTAGTAATAGTAGTGGGAAAAAAAGGAGAGAGTATGTGTGTGGGTGGTGAAAATAAATCGCTTTATTGTTATTATTGCTTGTTGCTGTTATCACGAGCATCCAATGCACGCAACAAGAATTCAATTCGGTATTCTGATTTGGCATTGGCCTTTTCGAGTTCTGCGATACGTTTTTGTAATTGTTCCGAGTCGGTATCGCTGTTGTTTTCTGCTGCTGCTGATGATGATGGTGATGCTTCGGCCTCTTTCGGGGCAACGGCTGGAGAGAGAAGAAACAAATAAAAAGGAGATTGTTAATTCAAAACAAAGGTGCAAAATCAGTAATCAGCCATTGTTTCGCTTACAGGCAGCCACTCGCTGTAACTCTTTCACTTGTTTTTGAAGTGCTGCAAGTGCTACGTCGACAGGCACTCTGTCCATGGAAAAGTCAGTGTTATCGTCGGCCATGCTGTAGTGTGTGATGGTTGAGAATAAGAAGAAAGAGAAAAGGGGAGAGAACGAATGAAAAAGCAGGATTTGTTTACCGGCAAAAAAAAAAAAAAACCCAAGTGCTGAGTTTTGCGCTTTCGGAAATCTGATTGCTCGTTCAAGCAAGAAGGAGCAGCAATAGCAGTAGTAGTGGCAGTCGTTAAAGGAGAAACGGCTTCTTTTTGTTTTTGTTGTTGTTGCTTTGTTGAGGCGGATGATCAACCATCATCACATAATACATATGGAAGCACCAAAAAAAATGATGTGTACGTCACGTATTAAAGTCGTCTCCTATCTCTCTCTTCCATCCCTACTTTCTCTCTTTCCCGTCATTATCAGCATCTTCTTTCAGTACGAGTCATTGAAAAAAGAGCAGCATGACCACAACATCTGTATCGCGAATGCTGTACGTCTATCCATGGGACCTCGCTGTACGAGCCAACCAACAGCGCTACCCAACCCATGAGCGCGTTCCGATCCTGAAGAGTTCCGAAATTTTGCTCGATGAAACTTATTATTCTCAAGCCGATCTTGATCTTCTTCTCGCTGACAAGCAGAAGGATGTAGTGGATAACACGGTGCCCTATCATGATGGACAAGACTGCGAACTGTTTCCCGAAGGTGAAGCACCCAAGCAACTTGAGAGACCGCCAGAGCTGCTACCGCCTTCGGACACAGTTGCCTTGGCGATAACAGCAGTAGGGGCTCCTAGCCGTGACAGTGGCGATGATGCCAAGACGCCTATCATCCCCCGCGTGGGCGTTCGACGCATAGTTCGACGCGTTCGTTTGCAAACGCCTGCTGTGGTCAAGACAGCGCTCCGCATGTCTGAAATGGTGGTTCGTCATGAATCCTGGATTGATATCAAACGACGCGAATTGCGCATTGTGACCCGAAACGAGTCGTGGGCCAATACAGCCATGGTTGGCGATGTGACAGTGTATCGTGGCATCAGTGATACAAGTGCTTTGCGTGGCAAGGTGCCTGTCGCGCCAATGGGAACAGACCATAAGTTTGTGGGACCTATTGCTGCTGCTGCTGCTGCTGCTACCACCACCACCAGTATCAGCGGCCATTGCGGTCAACAGCAGCAGTTGCCACTGACGATGAAAACAAAGCAAGAACAAGGCGAATGGTGTTTGTTTCAGCAATACGCATATTTCAAGATCTCGCCAACATTCAGTATCCCATTTCGATCAACGATAGAGGCCAAGTGCTTGCAGTGCTACCAAAGCAATACGCAGGAGGGAAGAAAGCTGGACATCGAGTTCATGCAGCAACAAGCAGCAGCATTATAGTGTAGCATGATGGATCTGGTAGTACTGGTAGCAGTGAAAAGTAGTATTGGAGTATCAGTGATGAAAAAGAAAGTAAAGAGAAAGAGAGTGAAACGGTCCAGACACTCTTCTCTCTTGCAAAAAAAGCTGCTGAAAATGAAAAGAAATCTACGTTACTGTGCGTTGGTAGCACAGACCACAAAGGCCTTTCAATGTGATCAAATAAATTTTGTTTCCAGTTTTCGTCTGTATATGGCCGTCCATTTCCCTTTTCACATTGCACTTTTCTTTCTCTTCTCTCTCTTTCGCACACACGCACATCTCGCTTGTCCCTCTTCTTGGCCTTTTCTTCTTCTTCCTCCATCCCATACACAAGAGTATGTTTTCCACATTGTCCCTTGTCGATGACGATGGGGCGTATGGACCCCTCTGCAGCGGATGTAACAATGATATCGATGAGGGATCAGTTATCGCTTTCGGTGATGCTCTTTTCCATCTAGATTGGTAAATCCTCGTATGGTCTCTCTCCACCGTGTGTCGCAGCTTCTCACTGATATTGATACCGAATGTATGTATTCTAGCTTTACGTGCGCCAAATGCCGTCGTTCTGCCGACTGCGAGTCCAACCTGTTATTGTTGAGCGACGGTCGACCGGTATGCGAAAGCTGCTCATACAACTGCTATGTTTGTAAACAAGTGATCCGCGATGAGGCTATCATGACAGGTACAGTGGTTCTGTAGCTGGCTCATATATACACACACACACACGGTGAAGAAGCAAGGTGCTAATATGCTACTGTGTGTACCTTAAAATTGCATGTCAGGTGACGAGGCATATCACGCAAGCTGTTTTCGGTGTGTATCATGCAAACGCAGAATTGAAGATCTCGTCTTCACTCAAACAACAAAGGTACAGCCTACACAACTGCACACGTCGCTGTTGCAGCATCAAACATTCCTTGCACGAATGCATATGTAAACGATAAATGGTGGTGTAACTTTGCCTGATACTAAAATGACCTATCATAATAATAAGGGCATCTATTGTACGCCGTGTCACGAGAAGCGCAAGCTGAAACGGCAAAAGCGCAAAGAAGAAAAAGAGCGTCGAAAACAGCTGCAATACAATCTCAGTTACGCGACCAAGTCATTGCCATCCATACCTTCTGGCTTTCAGGTACCATTTTGCTATTATTATTATCATCATCGCCGTCGCTGCTGCTGCTACGACTGTGTGTATCGTCGGAACACCAAACACCGCACACACAATAAAAAAGAAACGCTTAATTGCTGATCTTCATTATTTACATTCTCCACATAAACAAAAATTTATTGCTGTTTTATTTATTATCTATATTGCAGTCGCCAGCCAATGCCACGCCTTCCTCCTCATCATCTACCACCACCACCATCACCACAAACCCTGACGCCAATCTTCCGCTTCCAACACCGCGGCCTGGCGCCTTGAAGGAGCGGCCATACATGGCCAACCGTCATGCAAGCCGCTTATTCGATGCAGATGTGGTTTCAAATTACATGGTGAACACTAACCAAAAGAACCCGCCAACACCAGCACGCTCAAGGAGCAGCTCCATGGACAACGTCTCCCACCGCCAGCAACAGCAACAGCAACAGCAGCAGCAACGCACCGTCCATCCCACACCTTCACGTTCAGCCGGCTTGACATCACCACCCAACAGTGGCAAACGACTGTCTGTCATACCAGACGGTGAGCCCGCCGTTCCTTCATCGTCCTCAACCAAAACGCTCGACATGGCTTTGCCAGACATCCCGACATTGAACTTTTCGTACTTTGACAACGACTCGGCCGAGCTGCTCAACCTGACAAAGGATCTGGGTGTGTTTGCCGAGAATACCAGCGCTGTCATTGGCAATGAAAAGCTGCAGCAAGAAGCAGCTCAAGCTGTGTCGTCGATCCAAGACAACAGCAGTAATCGAATTGCTCAGGCATCGCGTATCTTGTCATTGTCCTTGGCGGACGAGTTTCCTGAACCGCCAGCAACATTCAATCAGATGGCCCCCACATCGCCAATAACAACAGCCGGGTTCGACGAGTTGCCGGATAATGTTGCGCAACTCAAATCCCAGCTTCAATCGTCCAAACGTAAACTGGCGGACACAGAGGCTAATTTTCAAAAAATTAAGGTAACACACATGTTTTTTTTTTCTGGGGGGCGGGTGGGGGTGGGGGTGGGGCGGGAGACTTCTTCTCAGATGCTACTGCTTTTTGTATACATACGAACAATAAGCCGCATACGGTTGGGTTTCTTTCTCTTTGGACTTAGCATATGAAATACTCATTATCGTCCCATTTTACCTCGGTTAGGGAGCCAGCAAACGAGCATTGGACGAGTTCCAGAGCGCCAAAGAAGAATTCGTCAAAGAAAATACCATTCGACAACAGCACGAAAAGACGATCCAACAGTTACGGCAACAGATCACCTTGATGCTTCAAGCCCAGCAAAACGACCCCGAAAGTTTTGTCATCAAAGCTAAACGCGATATTGAGCGACTCGCTCACTTGCGTGTCGAACTAGAACGGACATGTCAAGAACTCAAGGGATACCGTAATGTATTAGCAACATCAATTAGCAACGACGAACAGCAAGCTGGACTTGCCGGTTTGATAAATACCGAACTTGATTCTCTGAAATCGGAACGCGACACACTACGAAGCGAAACCAAAGAACTGGCCAAGTTACGAGACGATGTGATCAACGAAATGATCATGCTCAACACCAAGAACGCCGAGCTGAGCGGTATGAACAATGATCTGTCACGGCGTGTCACGGAGCGCGAGCGAGAAGCAGCTGCGGTCATGGCCGGCACCAGTTTCATTCGACGTGGGTCTGAAGAAGTGTCTAATGCGATTGTATCTACGACGGCCAAGGTTATTGCCAGGGACAGTTTCCATGGTACCCAGGCACCCAAGGTGTTTAAGATCAAGCCCAAGAACTTTTTCAAAAAGTCCAACAGTGCCGATCAACAAATGATGTCATGGTCATCGAGCAGTGGCAGTAACGGTAGCGCTACCACCACCACCACTACTACTACTACCACCAGCAGTAGCAGCAGTAGCACATTGTCACTCAAGTCCCGTCATGCATTCCACCCAGCCTCGTTCCTGAGACCTACACGGTGCGACGTGTGTAACGATAAGGTGTGGGGCCGCTCGGATCTGCGATGCCAGGGTTGTGGGTTCATTACACACGCTAAATGTTTGAGCAACGCCCCACAGTTATGTGTGGAGCAACAACACAATCAGGGCCGAAGCAACAGTCTAGACGATCTAGCATCCAGTCTGTTTGGCATTGACTTGTCAGAGCAAGTCTTCAAAGAAGACCGACCGGTTCCGCGTGTTGTAGAGCAATGCATTGAAGCAGTCGAAGCGCGAGGCATGGACTATGAAGGCATCTATCGCAAATCAGGCGGTGCAGCACAGATGCGTACGATCCAGCGTGCGTTCGAGCAGGATCTACCGTTGGATCTGGACGACGACGAGGAGTTCAACGACATTTGTGCGGTAACGAGCGTTCTGAAGCACTACTTCCGGAAGCTCCCAAATCCTCTTTTTACGTTTGAGCTATACTCGAAATGGATCGAAGTGGGTACCTTGGAACCCGGGCCAGCCAAACATGATGCAGTGGTTGCGGTGCTTGAGCAGCTGCCCAAGGCTAATTATGATACCCTAAAGATGCTGGCGCATCACCTTCATCGGTAAGTTCTCTTAGCATGTCAGTGTACAATGACGAGGTACAGTACATGCATTTTCTCACCTCACACACACAACCCATTTGTTAGAATTCGCGAACAAAGCAGTGAGAATCTTATGACAACAAAGAACCTGGCAGTGGTATTTGCACCAACATTGATGCGAGACCATGACGCTACACGGGATCTGCTCGACATGAGCTATAAGAATGCGACTCTCGAGTACCTCATCAACCAGGCCATGGAACTATTCCCTTGAGAAGACTTTTGTTGAATTATTAATTCCCCCCCCACCCCACACACACACCTCCACGATACCATCATTAACACACGCACATAAAAGACCATCTACTATACTCACTCACCTACTACCACAAATGACATTTTTTCCTTTTTATTACTACCACTACTACTCTTTTTTGTATTTAGCCCTCTCTTCCTCTTTCTCTTTTCTCTCTCTCTCTATATCTCGTAACGCGGGGAGAAAACTATTAAAACATAGCCAATAGTGTATGTGTGAATGATAGTAAGTGATGTATTTATTGAGGTTGGTGATATGTAGTTGAATAGTAGAACCCTCACAGAAGGGTGATCGTACATAATATAAGAGTATAATAAATTTTACGTATACAAAAATGCTAAGGTATTGATGATCAATAGAGATGCGGATTGTTTGATTGTTGTTGCTTATGTTTGTCTTTTTGCTGATGTTGCTGTTGTATATAAGCGGGTGGTGCTGATGATGAAGAAGCAGGTGGATCGGGTGGTGCTGAAGAATGGTCTTGTAATAACGGTCGATGTTGATCCAGCTGTGGATGAGACGACGATGAGCCTCCTACTGCTCCTGCTTCCCCTTGTTGCTGCCGTTTCAATTGTTGCTTATTGAGATAGTTTTCCAGTAATATAGCATTCCGCGTGTTTGCCTTGTACATGACATCCATTAGATCTCCCACAACAGGCACTATACCAATCTAGAAGAGCAAGATGGGGTATTTTTAAAATAAACTTTGTGTGTGAGTAACATTTTACACAACATAGATTTTTTGTGTGCAGCGACCTGCAGCAGCCAAGGGGTAGCATAGTCTATGTAACAGAACAGCAGTGGTGAATGCAGATCGGCCACCTTCCTGCAACTGTGTGTGTATTGTGTCATACATACAAAAAAATCGACAATGATATTCATCATCATTTGGCTGACAATGGATTGTGGCAGGTTTACTTGTGCTGCAGTCTGAACCAAGTATAGCGCCAATACTAAGCCAGCAAAGTCCCCAATGACCGGTATTAACCCTATTCCGTACAATATGCACCTCATTCATACGTCATTTTCCATATCCTTGCATATCATAGCAACAACTAGCTCCCTCTCGCATCACTCTATATATTTTGCCGAGTGTATAGAAACTCACCAATGATGGGGTCAAGTCCAATTTGACAGCAACAGCAATTCAACCCACTGTCCAATGTATGCGCTCGGGATTTGACTTTATGCAGAATCTTGCGTTCATGGGCTGTAAGGAATTGATAAGGGTCTTGTTTCTTTTGCCAAAAGTACTTTCGCTTCTGTTGCGGGTGCGCTTCAAGATCGGATCCTGGTGGTTTCGGTTTTGGTGCTGTGGAGATGACGTGGTTGACGCCGGCTTTCATGAGCGCACTCTTCATTGTTTACTGAAATATATAGCACGCAGAGGGACAAAACGACACGGGAACGTTGATGGTAGTCAAAAGTAAGAAGAGCTTGTTGTAAACTGGAGAATGAGAGGGGAAAGGAGAGACGAGCGTACATAATGCGCTCGTTGAATTTATATATGCTATTGTTTACTATTATACTAAAACGTCCGTGTTATTAATACATAAAGTCTTGGCTACGTTGTTCTTTCTTCTTTTTTGAAAGTTTCGATCGATCGGTTTTTTATGGTATGCTGGGGGTGAGAAGAGAAGAGAAGAGAAGGAAGGATAAAACACTTGTGCTATTTTAGATAAGACCCTTGGCAACTGCAACCTCTGCATTCAACACAGAGCTGCCTGCAGCACCCAAGACGGTGTTGTGGACCAAGAGCGTAAACTTGACATCCAAAACGGGGCAAGGGCGGACACGGCCAACCGTGACAGCCTGACCCTTGGCCAACTCACGATCCAATCTTGGCTGAGGACGATCATCGGCTCTGTTGACCAAAATGGCCTGTTCAGGTGCAGAGTGACAACCCAAAGCTTGGGACTCGCTCGTGTACGATTCAAAGACCTTGTAGATCTCCTCCTCCGAGGGGCATCCGTTGGCAAACTTGACCGAGACGGACTCCAAGTGGCCATCAATGACAGGCACACGCGTGCACGTAGCAGATACGATCGTGTCGGTCAAGGGCAAGAACTGTTTGCCGTCCGATCCACCGAGAATTTTGCACGTTTCCCATTCCATCTTTTCCTCTTCGCCCGAAATGTATGGTACAACGTTGTCCAAAATATCCAAGCTGGGCACGCCAGGGTAGCCAGCGCCCGAGATGGCTTGTTGTGTGTGGACGAGAACGTGCGACATGGGTCCAAAGGCGTCCTGGAGTGCCTTGAGTGGCACCACAAGACCAGTCGTTGAGCAGTTGGCGTTGGTGATAAGGAAGCCCTTTTCTTGACCGTACACGGTGCGCTGGTGAGGGATGATGTCGAAATGGTTAACGTTGACAGTGGGGACGATCAAAGGAACGGTAGGATCGCGACGGTAGTTTCTGGCGTTTGAGAAAACGACCAAGTTTGCCTTCAAAAAGGCCATTTCTATTCACATGAAAACCTTTTTTGTTTAGATCTTGCTACGGACCATAGCAGATATTTCTTTGGTGAATTGAGAAACTTACCAATGTCGCCAGCGACATCAGAGTCCAAACCAGAAAAGACAACGTCGCATTCCTTGAATTCTTCGGCAACGCATGACTTGACAGTCAAGGTATCGACATTGGCAGGGATCGGCTTGCTTTGCTTCCACTTGACAGCGTCCTTGTATGCTTTACCGGCAGAGCGGGAGGAAGCACCCACGGCATGGATTGTGAAGACAGGATGATCGGCGAGAAGAAGAATGAAGCGCTGGCCAACAGTGCCGGTGGCACCGAGGATACCGACTTTCTTAGTGGGAGCCATGAGGGGTAGGGGATGACAAGATATAGAGGAAGAAAAAAGATTCGGGAAGCGAGAGATCGAAAATATCAAAGATCTTTTATCCATGGTTGGGTTTTGTGTGACGGTCCGATTCTGGGAATCTGACTCATTGTTGCTGATTTTAACTCTGATTTGAAATAGTTTGCTGTCATTTTGTATCTAGCTATAGCTGCAGGGCGATATCTTTCATTGTGCAGCTGTAACTCTCCAAGTTGCTCAAGAATGCTGCCGACCAGCATTCTATGTTTTCAGCAGCGTAATACTTTTATTTTTTCTTGTTCTCAGAGCTCTTGTTCGCTAGTAAATGTAACTTTAAATACCTGGAAACTCGCATTCATCCAAGATCAGTGCCACTTTACTACGTTTACAGAATAACGTACTAGATAGAGCTTTTCTTTGTTTTACGTAGTAGCCCACCAAAAGACACTATTTTGTTAGCGAGCTGCCTCATCTTAAAAGCGAATAGAAAAGCTCTTTAATATGGCTACACCCTTGATACAAAAAGGTGTCGTTTGATGCTTGTAAGATGCCTTTTGGACATTGATAACTGCCTACAGAGGCGCTGTAAGCTTCTATACGGCCATGAAAGAGATGGCGACAGCTGGCGCTTCTACTTGCAAGAAAGTTCTAATTTATAGCCTGTTGATTGGCAGAAACGATACTCCTCAACTCTTTTCCTTTGACGTGTTACCAAAACAGGCACAAAGAGTTCGCTCGGCAAAAAGCTATATTTCTCAGGTTTTATGGCAACCACCGAATTCTTCTCCACACAAAAAAGAAAGAGTACCTTGGTGTCTGGTCCTCAGGAAATTATAGTTATACTGCGATTATCTGCTCCTGGTCTGCATACTGCACCCAAGTTATGCTTGCTTGAGTTGCCCAAAAGATAGCACTGAGCTATCTAAAATTCAACGCTGTGCCCGCAGTGGAACCTTTTAAAGATCAGTTTCACAGTAGATGTAGCCCTATTGTTTATACTGCATATAGCTCCTATTAGGATAGACCGGTACCGTGAACAATGTCAACACATTACTTAGTGCCCAGAAACAAATTCGCTATTGATGCGAATAGCGCAGCGTTTACGGCCTTAATTGTACATACCATTCTTCTCCTGAAGAAAGAGCAAAGGAATTAAACCAGGAAGTGTGTCAACAAACGCTAACGACAAGAACTAAACAGATCCCCTCTAAATTGCGAGCACCAACAGCACATGGATTGATCTATAGTCCACTTATGACGGCGCCTAGCTTGTTTGCACTATGACGGAAAAACGAGACGATGGAAAGAGGCAGGAACTATTTCTGCTCGCATCACGGTGTACGAGATTATTTTAATGAACAATCTTTGGCGCTAAAAGACAACGGAAATCAATGTTATGGACTCACGCATTTGGATATAGATAGATTAAGATTTATGTTTATTATGGAAGACTGAATGGACCGGTGCCTATGGGCATGTGGCCCACTTCTTTGAGATACAGTTGTGGAGAAGGGATACTGATGTATGAGAATGAGATTGCAATAACAGAAAAAAACACCCGTAGTGGAAAAAGTTCTGCTAGCGTAGCATAAATTTGATACACATGATGATTGTTGATGTATGTTGAGACTTTGTAGGTGTTTTATCATAAGAGCTAGACAGTGGTGCTATGTTGCAACCCAAACACCTTTTAACGCATACTTTGCTTGCGACCACGCGCTGTAAATAACTTCATCCGACAGATAACTCATTCCAACTTCTTTGGTTTCGACCATGTGTCAATTTCCTAGCCGATATCACTCCATGGGTCGTGTAGGCTTGACGGGCCATGGAATGAGGCAGCGCCCCACCAGCCCATCGAAAAGGGAACTCGTAGTCCGCTTCCCTTCTCAATGGGCGTATTGTCCCAGTTGAAACTGCTCTATGTAGGCAGCTACACATGGGCTGGTGGCGCGCAATTTTTCGCGTGAGAGGAGGGGCGGAGACGTAGACCAGCAAAAGGCAGTGTTTCTACCAAACTTGTGTGAGACAGAATAAAAGTAACGCGTAATCATAGTAACTTACAGTACTCACACTGAACATTTTTTTTTTTTGAAAGAATTAACGACCAATGCTGGATGAATTGATCAGCCTCCTTTTCTTCAACGATCCAGGGGTTTGTGCTGTAATATGTGGGAAAATAAACATTAGCAAGGTGATAAAAAAAAAGTTCCAAAGGCCAACGTTGACAGGGTTCTCTAACGTTACCTATTTTCCCCAGAGCTGTCAAAGCATGATCCGGTAGTATTACCGCTACCGCGGCCTTTTCGTCGTCATCATCATCGCATTACCGACTTGGTCAGTTGCCAAAGGGTGTTGTTTTGACAAGTGGCTCTTGTTCAGACCGTGGAGGACAGCTGTGTCATCATTCCCGAGACGACAAGAGGAGATTTCAAAATAATACCACCTTGTCCTATTTCTGCTTGGTGTTTGTACTGCGTCTGATTTTTTGACGCCCATGAAGGCACGGCGCTGCTGCTACATGATATCAGTATCAGAGTTCGTGTAAGTAGCTACAAATTGTGTTATATGTATGTGGGCATCCTATATGTGAAGCTGGTTACTGTTACTGACCTTTGAACATGCTTTGTTTCGTGAGGTCCACAGCCGAGTGCCGCTCTTCGGAAGCCTCTGCTATGACTCACTGTATATTAGTACGGATTTTACCATCATAGCGTTATTCCTGTAGCTGCTTTTCTTATTAACAAGAAAATACGTTCCACTTACTTTCTGAATACACGTCTTCTGGATGGGGTGAATAGAGCAAAGCAGTTGCTCCAATAATACGTACGCTCTCAATCCGAAAACTCTTTCTTTGATCACGAGGGAAAACCCCGATGTTTGAAAAACGGACCCTGCTTTGTTTCACATTGGACGATTTGTCAAAACGACGAAAAAAAAAAAAAAGATGTCATTTTCGTTAGAATGGGTTTAAAGATATCATGATATATGTTTCGGAAGATATCAGTCATGCAATAATAGCTGATATATATTTCAGAGCCTACTTACTTTTTTCGTTGTGGAACAGGTTATATGATAAACAATAGCATTTTCAGTAAGGAAAAGTGAAATACATAACAATCAAAAGAAGGCGTCGTCGTAGGTAGACCAGTTGTCAGCAAGCTCTGATGTGAACAGCCTTGTAGACGCCGCAGTTACAAGGTCACAGCTCACAGCGCATGATCGAAGAGTGCTGAATATTGAGGCATTGTCTGTTGTTGGATGTAGCTTTGATTAGAAAGAGGGAAGAAGAAGGGGCCACAGAAAAAAAAAGAGCTGACTTTCTTTTTATTTTTTTTGCGTGAGCACAACAACATACTATGTGTGAGTGATTGCATGAACCGTCATGGGCTTGTTTGGTAACGTGTAACAACCTTTTTTTAAAGTTGGTGCATACCAGTTAATGACTGGCTACTTGGTGAAAATAAAGCCTATTCTTCAAGCGGAAACCCCCTTGAAGTAGCATCAACGCACAGTAACGCTAGCCAGATGAATCATTAACTTTTTTCCAAATGAAGAATGATATTTATATTTCCAACAGAGTGTCCAGAGGAGTGACTGACTATTGGGTGTGAATACATGTATGAGAAAATGAGGAACAGAGAAGTGACGGAGAAGAGAAACCTATTTATATGTGCAGTGATAGATGGCAGTGGCATGAGCAGCTTACAGCAGCTTTACGAACGAAAGTATGATATCAATAATAAAAGCAGCTCTTTCCTTATCTTTTGTACATAGTAGACATCTTTAGCGTACCAGAGTCCTTGTAAAGAGGACCAAGCGGCATAGCAAGTTCGTTGGTTTACGCAGTGGTGGTAGTTTTTCAACTGCAAATTGAATAAAGCAAATGCGCCTCCAAGTAGGTTTGAGGCGCCGATTTCTGGCACGTGCGCGCTCTCTCTCTCTCTTTTTTGCAGCACATTCATTAATATAGCACGATACCGCCAACAACACCATTATTCAACAGAAAAATATGCATTTCGGAGGAAAGCGCAAATTCGAAAGTGTCATTGAAAGCATAGGCGACAGGAATCCTATTACGTTGCGTGCTTTAATCCCCCCCAAGCAGGTCGGTGCCTTGATTGGTTTTCACGGTCAAGTGCACCAACAACTTCAAGATCTCTACAATGTCCACATTTACGTGTTTGGGTGGAGCGACAAACGTGGGCGATTGACGCATGTGTTTGGAAGCCCAGAGGCAGTAGCCAAAATGTGGCGAGACGGCTTGTTTCGGATGTATGGATCGCGCGAAAGTGCCCTTTATGGTCAGGTAATAAAAAAACATGCTATAAGAAAGTGAATGGATGATCTACATATTATTTAATAAATCAAAGCTGTCTTTTATTAATTGGGTAATAATGATAATTATACTAGAATTTCCAAATCTCGTTCCTTGTACCCACGCCCCTGGTTGAGTGGCTCGAGGAAACTAATGTGCTGGAGCGGATTCACACAATTACGAACGGCAAAACGAATGTAACGGGTCCAGAACTGGCACTCGAAAACACGACCGAGCATGAATTGACGATATCGATCAATAGCATGGATCCAGAGCTGATGAATATGTTTGAAAAAGCAGTGTATATTCTGGCCTTGCAGTTTCGAGAGCGTCCTGATCTGGCCATGTCGCCTTACAATGTCTATTATCTACCGTCTGTGCAAGAACATCATTATCGTCAACAACCGCAGCAGCAGCAGCAGCAGCAACGACAGCAGGAGCAACAAGATGAGGAGCGATGCGATGTAAAAGACAAAGAACAAGACTCTGATGTGAATAGCAGCAAAAGCGATATGATGATGACGGTGATGTCCCCTATTGCTACTAGCAGCACTAGCACCAGCACCGGAGCGCCACCACCAACATTGGGAGGAACAGAAGCGGGAGACAACAGTCAAGACGATCAGCAGCAGCGTCATCCTGACAGCGACGACACTACTAGCAATATCGGGGATTGTAAGGATGAGAACGACAGTGATGATAAGAACAACAACAGCAACAGCAGCAGTGACATTGCACTTCCCCTGGAAAGTAGAGGATGATCAGCACGAAGAGTTCAATAGCAGCGCCAACGAGCAGCCTGCAACCCCCAGTTGATGCCTTTTTACTATATCTTCTTTCTCTATGAATGAACCCCACACTAGGCTGTATATAATTTGTGATACCCAGTAGTTCGCTTCTTCAGTTGAATCTATATTTTCCTCGAATTAATAATTGTAATAAGTAAATAAAATGCAAAAAAGAATATTGTACAGAATGTTGCAGAAGAAACTCTATATGAGAGAAAAAAAAAGAAACAAGTGGTAGAAAATCCAGAGCTTTGGAGGGGGGGGGGTGTTGGTGGAAGAAGGGGTTGGTGTGGGTAAGTGCGTGCACTTGGACGTTGATGGAGAGAGTAAGAGAAGGAGTATGTTTTCGCCTCATCTCCGAGTAACTGACTACTTCTTCTCGTAGAGAGAGAGAGAGAGAGAGAGGAGGGGAGGGGTGGCCAAAAAAGAAGGTTTCCTGAAGATGGAGATAGGTCTGATCGGGTATGAGAGAGGGAGGTGGAGCAAGTTGGGGTATATGTAAAAAGGTACGTCCTGTCCTTCTGTCTGTATGTAAACGTGTGTAATGCGATGCATGTCAGAAATATGTATATGGAGGAGGTGGGAAATAAAAAAAAAAAAGTTGTAACAAAAAAGTAGTATAACATCACAGTCGCTTTCGCCAGGATGACCAAGATCGACGTACGGACTCTCCTGACGTGCGTGGTGTGCTTGGCATGGATGCATACGGTCGCTTCTTGGTCACCACATTGCTTAAAAGTAATGTCCGTTTGATCCGATGAAGCACAGACGGGGACGAAAACGATGCTGCTGAGCTACTAGCGATGCTAGGGCATGAGACTGACGTCGTGAGCGCTGTTGACAAGGCTTTGCGTTGTCGCTGTTGCTGATCGTCGTTATAATAATCATCATCATCATCGTCATCATCGTCATTTAGTGAAAAATGACGTTGTTGTTGTTGTTGCTGCTGCTGCTGTTTTTGTTGAATAAAAGGTATATACGAATTGGCACGCATCAACTCTAATATAGAGGTTACGGCTTGAGAAAAGACATCGTGTCGATAGTTGTGATGATGGTAGACTTGATGTAGAATATCTTGCCGCATCTCACAAGGGATGTTGATCTCCTGTATAGAATTGGATCGGATGTGTGCGTGAACGATCGCGTGGCATGCATTTTCGTCTCCGTCACCAGGATATTCGGCTTGGTACTGGTGCACCGCTATCCAAAAGGCTAGGTTCTCGTTGCAAAATGTCTGGTGCAAAAATGCCTGGAATTCGCGGAAACAATCTGTTGATCGGTTATCGAGTACAGATTCAAGTGTTGGCATCCGGGCCGTCGTCGTCGTGGTTGCTGTTGCTGCCATCCTCTTTTCCTTTTATTTTCTTGTTCTTGTATGTGGCTGTAGTATTTGCTTCTATGCTGTATGTATGCTATGTTGACAATGATGATGGTGGAAGTCGATGGTATCAGTATGATGTAAGCTAGAAACAGAGGCAGGGCAAAGTAAAAAGAGAGAAGAAAGAGAGAGAGAGAGAGAAAGAGAGAGAAACGATGATAATGAAAAAGAGAGAAAAGAGAAGAAAAAGAAAGTTTGCCATGTGGCCCAAACATGGCCAAGTTTTTTTTTTTAGAGCGAGACATACTGCCTGAGATGCACCCAGTGGAATTTGATATGCGCGCCTTGTAGTTTCACAACAGGGTTTTCTTTTTACTGTACCGCCCCGAGGAGGGCATCAGCAGCACCAGCTACCATACCACCAGCTGCTGCAGAGGCAGTTGTCGGCGGCGGCGGCAAACAGAGGAGGAGAGAGAGGGGGGGGGAGGGAGAAAATCACCACAAAGGCCAAGCATCTGTTACCTATTTTTTTTTCAGCCTCCGCGGCATACATGAGCGCTTCCAAAACAGAACAGGTTTAGTAAGTCTCATCCTGGTTGGTTGCAGCTCGTACACAGTCAGATAGAGAACTCGCGCGCAGTAGCTGTGATGACTTATTGATTTAATGATGGTACCCAAAATAAACAACGTCAGCAACAGCAGCACACTGTGCGGACACTTTAATGGGATATCAGGAACGTGAATCACGGCCCCTTTTGGGCAAGCTTTGTTCTCTTTCGTTTTTTTGGATTTTAAGGAGTTGTTGTTGTTGTTGTTGGAGATATCTAAATGTTGAATGATGGGAGAAAGAGAATATGGTACAGACAGATATTGTGGGAATGGCTATATAGGATGATGATGAGGATGATGATAAGTGGTAATATATATATAGAAATGTAACGGTAGTGGTAGGCTATACAAGTTTGAAAAGAAAGATATACACATTATGCAAGACTCATACGACTTGACGAAGCAATTGTTGTTGTTGTTGTTGCTGCTTTTTGTCTTGATGGGGGTGATATAACATTGAGGGAGAAGTAGGGGAGGAGGTGGACTCAAAGACGATGGGTTTCAAGAGATCAGCGGAAGCCCAATGCACAGGTATCCGCCGCCTCTGATGATAATGATAATGATGATGATGATGGTGGTTGTCAGGAGAAGTGGCCGCCGTACCTGAATGACTGGCACTTCGAAGACCTAGGGGTCTACGATGTTTGCTCGTATTACTGCTGCTGCTGCTACCACCACCACCACCACCACCACCATTATTGAGCATCAAGCTGCTCCGCTGGCGTTTCCTGATTGTCTTATTGTTGCTAAATCCGACGACGAGATCACGATGATCATCTGGAATCACTACGGTGCCTGCAGCAACACTGACTCGTCGACCCGACGGATTTGATCCACAAGCTGGCAACAGACTGCCCGGAAACTGACCCTCGGCAGGTTGCAATTGATGATGTATGATACTTGTTGGTGTAGATGATGCAGATGTGGTTGGAGGTGCTGTTGTAGTCGTAGTGAAAGAAGTTGTTGTAGTAGCAGCAGTAGCAGTAACAGGCTGATCTTTGAGCCGTTCCCATTCGCATCGATTCTCGGCCAAGGTGTCCAGAAAGACACGGGCGGAAGGTAAAAATGCAGCAAGTGCTTGAAAATAGGGTTGGACAAGCAGGTCACCAAACTTGAGACTGATGTTAGGCTGAGTTGACTGATCGCGGTCCATGCCAGGAGAGACTTCGAGCCCTGCAGCCTTTTCGGCATCGCCCTGGCGGAAGAACTCTTGAACAATCAAGTCCGACCATTGTTTCGAGATCGGCCAAGGACGCACTGTGTTGCTAATGTCGGCTGCATGCAGTAAGATCCGGCTCAGACTTTGTCGATGCGTGTCGTTGAGTAGTCCGCCATTGTTCTTGCGGTTACCGTCTTGGCTTACTTCTCCCGACGCATCGCCCTCGTCAAGATGCTGGGATGCGTCATAATGGACGGCATAGTCTTTGGTGGCCCAAGGATAATATTCGTCATCTTCGCTGCTACTTGTAGTAGTAGTAGTAGTAGTAGTAGTAGTAACACTACTGCTGCTGCTGCTGCAACTTGAGCTACTGGAGGTGCTCGTGCTGGTGCTTGGCGTAAGCAAGGCTTCGAGAACGCCGAGTTGTTCTTGCAGTTCATAGTGGAACACCATGTCAGTGGACAAGATCAGGTTTGCAACGGCATCCAAGAAGTGTTGTTGTTCCGATCGAGGAAAGTCAGTTGCAGTCGTCGTCGTCGTCGTAGTAGTAGTAGTAGTGGTCGAGGGGGATAACGAAGGGGTAGTAGCAGTAGTAGTAGTCGTAGTAGTCATAAAGACAGAAGGTTGATTCTTGGTTCTGTTCTTCTTCGGGCCCGTGCCCAGATTCTTGAGTAGCTTGTGTCTGTGCAACAGGTCTCGGGTAATGTCAACCGAGTAGGATTCCAACACCGAAGTGTTGCTGTAGCGCGAGGCTAGATCTGTCTTGAAGTTGACCTGGTACAGGTTGTTGTATCCAGGCTACATAACAGATCATCCAGGGGAGAGTTGTAATAGGGTTGGAAGGCGGTTAATTATCATTAAAGTGGTGTGTAATTATCACGAGTGGCAAATAGAGAGAGAGAGAGAGAGAAGAGGTAGAAGAAGAGTCCGGTCTATAAATGTGTTGCCTCCTTTTTCTTGAGCACAACCCATAATAAACCCACATTCGTAGCACAACCCATCTTTCTCTCTCTCCCCCCCTCCCCTTTCCTCATCATCAGCTCCCAACTCCTGTCTCCTCCTTTTCTGTTTCCCACACCCACACAGTGAGGATAATTATTAGTGTGTGTATACGTACATGGCCAGCATCATGGCACAAAGCTGCAAGCAGCAGGGCAGCAATGTCAAGCGATGATAGGTACCGTTCGGCCTCGAGCTCAACCAGCATGTAGTACAGCATGGTGACGATATCGACCGCATGGTAGAACGAATGATATGGGGCGCTCAAATAGGTGGTGTCAACGTCGATCAAGAAATCCAACAGCTGGGATGGAGTGATATCCAGCGCATCGAGGACGTGTAGTTCTGCAAACATGCCGAGCAAGTGGCCATAGAGATCGGTGCGTCCATAATTCAGTACGTTGGTGTGGAGGTTGATTGTAGGTCGTGGTCGTCGTCGATTCTGCCATCGTATCATGCGCTATATACACATACGGTTAATGTTTTTTTTTCCTTTCTTTTTCGGGGAACTAGAAGCGCGTCTTCTTTCTCAAAGTTATTTCATGTACCCGTTCGATAGCAAAGAGGTCGTGTGCAGACAATGCATTGAACTTTAGAATGAGCATGGCAGACAAACAGGGGGGGGGTTTAATTCGGTCAATGGGTAGGTAGGCTGGCGTGTGAGGGTGTCACAATGTCGGTTGGCTGGTAAAATGGAGGGAATGCCACAGAGAAGAAGAAGAAGAACAAGAAGAAGAAAGAAGAGTGAGAATAAAATCAGGAAGAGAGAAAAAGGGAAAGAATAGATTATATATGGTACTACTACTACTACTACTACTACTACTACTACTACTACTGCCTGTTTTGGGGGGGGGGGTGGTGAGTTAGAAGAAAAGAGGAGTGGGTATTACATATGCGAGCTACCTTACCGAGCTTATTACCGTTGGCCAGTGGAGGTAGATCGGCACTTGGCTCCACTATAACGACAAGTTGCTAAAAGGCTCTCTTGTGTGCACATGTTCTACCGCCCAGTATTGTATTCCCACCGTCCCCCCCCCTCCTCCCCGAGCCTAGGCCAAGAGTGTGAGTCCAGGCAGGCAGTGGCAATGTCAGAACCATTGAGATTTTCTACCGCTTTCCCAGCATAAACATAAACAGTTGTTCTTGGAAAAAGCGGCTACCTTGTTGAATAATGCGATTAATGCGGATGGAGTGGCGGGGGGGGGGTGAGGTGAGAATAGTAAAGAGCTAAAGAGTGTATCAAGTGGTTTTTCTCTTGTGTGTATTGTACCCCCGGTGGTCCCGTGATTAGAGATTGTCCTTTCTTTTTTTTTACGTGGGGCAAGAAACATACTCTTCTCCCCTTTATCCTTGTTCCAACAAGCAAGATGAATGTTAAGGCGTAGTAGCACTAAACCCCCAACCCCCCACCCAAGAAAGAAAAACATCAGACGCACGAGAAACGCCACGGTTCAAAACACAAACTGTGTGCGTGACACAATGACGCCAAGTCCTCACGTCGTTTGAAAGAGAAAGCGACAGCAGCAAAGGTGCAGCAACTAGCATTTCACTATTGTTACCAAGACTTATTACACTGTGTATGTATGTACAATTTCAAGCCTCAATGAAGAATATGTTAGGTGCATCCTAACATATAGCACAACTGTGTAACATCCAAGGGCTGTGTTGTAATAGAGAGAGAGAGAGAGAGAGAGAGGGAGAGCAATTCCAGGAGTTATCATCACACATACAGTGGAGACAATACAATACACACATACATGGAGTGCCACGTTTCCAAAACAGCAACAATAACAACAGCAATGCTTCTACTACCGAGAGAGAAAGATGTAATGTGTATACTATTATGATATTATTATATATAAACTCTCCCCAATCATAATGATTATTTGACACGTATGATGAACCGGCTGAATCCAGCTGCGACCAATGCCATGAGACCGCCAAACGCAAGCACCGAAGCGACACCTGATACTTCATCATCTGAAGGTGTGGCCGCGTCTGTCGCCGCAAAGATGAACGAAGCGATAATCGCCACTGCAAACTGTGGAAACACCACATACATGTTGTGGACACCGAGGATCATGCCTGCATCGAACTCATCCTTGGGATCCTCCTGCTGCTGCTGATCCTCCAATACACGTGGCGTGTTATTGGAAGCAGACGAAGATGCAGATGCAGCATCGTTATTACTATTGCCAGTTGCAGCAGCAATCTGTTCTTGCTGTCTACGCTCGTCTTCAAAACTGACATATTCGCCGACGAGGGAGAACGGGATCCACAAGACGATGGCCCAGGGGATACCCATGATGGTCAACACCACGGTCGCAGCCGAGACGGACCTGACAAACCAAGCCGAAAGCAGCGCTCCCGCTACCACCAAGTGCGATGCCGTGTAGATATTGTCCAGACGCAGGAACCATGCTTTTTCATACTTGGCAGCGACGGCAGGAATCACAACCCCGGCAATCACAGATACCACAGAGTAGCACAAGAGGGCAAAGGAGCCTGCTCGGGTGCCCTCCGTCCAGTTACCCTCACCGTCTGACGGGTGCGTAGCAAAGTAAATGTCAGATACCCATTGCGTACTATATCAGTAGAATGCCGTAGAGTATACGTGAATATGAGAGATCATTACTACTACTACTACTACTACTACCCGTTACTATACCAAAGAAGCCTCCCCTTGCTGCCATAGCGACAAATACTTGCCTGTAGAACAAGAACGGGAACCATCCCATCCAAGCAAAGAACTGCGTGTTACACAGCGTTTGTACTGGGCGAGGAAGACGAGTAAAGGCACGCCAGATATAAACGATGGTATGGTACCAAGGCCTATCATTGTGTAGGGTATTAGCCCCTCCATCTCTGACGCTATATCTTTATCTGTAACTAGAGCCACCTATCCACCATCAACAGCGATTGCTTCATACTTACAGGTCCTCCTGATCATCCTCTCGCTCCAACGGCTTCTCATGCACTGTCAGGCAGGTGACACCCAATGTGATACAAAAGACAGCAATGGCAACCACGCAGAATCCCTTCATTTGTGAATCGCCAAGCCAGGGCGCATACTTGACCAAGTCGATAAAGCCGACAAAGTAGCCAATGACTTGAGCCGAGTTACTCATCCGAGCACTCCAAGCATTCGCATATTCCTGTTGCCATAGCGGCGGTATGTCGAGGATCAGGGCGCGACAGATGGCTTGCACTGCATTTAGAGTGAAATCCATAAAGTAAAATGACGCCACTGCAACAATAATCGCATTCGTATGACCCTGTGAGGATTATACACATACGTCAGTCAGTCATACAATCACTCTTTGTTAAATCTCCCAAATGTAGTAGTTGGTTGGGTTGGGGGGTGGTGATGTGAGGTGACGAGGAACGCTGTCTAGGGGGAGGGGGGTGAAAGAAAGACAGGGGAAGGATCATGTGACCTGTTCCCGGAATCCTTTCTTTTGCTAGCCAGCGGCTGTAACAGAATAGAGAGAGAAAAACTTACAGCGGACGAGTCTCCATGAGCGAGGTTGGAAGCAAAGAGACCGATTTCCCTTGCATAAGCAACGCCCAGCATGGAGAGACATGTCAAGAACCCGGCGAGAACAATGAACGGCCTGCGTTTTCCATAACGGGAAGTGCATTTGTCACTCAACGCACCAATCAACTGTGTTTATGGAAAAATTCCAAAGGTTACGATTACAATTTTTTGTGTGTCTTTCTTTCTTTCTTTCTGTGTGTGCCCTGTCATACTCACGGGTTGGACGATGAGACCTGAGAGTGGGCCTGCAAGCCACACGACAGCTGTGAGTTCTCTTGACAAGTCCAGTGACAAGAGATAGGGCGTGCCATAACTGTAATTGAGACGGTGGTTTACGCAGAAAATAAAATTAGCCTTTTTCATCAACAAACACACAATAAAAACTCACGATAATTCCACCGTCCCTAAAAACCACCAATGTTAGTGCCAAGTAGTGGTAGTAGTGTATAATAGTAGTGACTTACAGGTAAACTGGACACCTGCCATGCAAATGGTAAGACCGAGGATCTGAGCAAGTCCGAGGCCTGGGTCTGTAGTTTCTAGTTGGTTTGGCTTGACATAGGGCAATGACTGGCCTGTGCTATTATACGTGGAAGGGTCGAATGAAGAGCGACGCCGTCGGTATTTTGGCCGACTCACAGGCGGTTTATGCTGCTGTTGCTGTTGCTGTTGCTGCTGTAGAAGCGGGGTCTTTGGGTCGGCGTCTGCTGTCATTAATGTCGAAAAATAAGGAGACGGTGCGTGTGGTGGAGTTTTGTTTGGAAGATGGGGGGGAAAAAGAAGAGGAAGGAAAATGCTACGGAAGAAACAGAAAGAAAGAGAAAGACCGTGTGGCTCCTTATATACCATCACATTTATGCAAAAAAAAGCAAATTGCGGGGTTGCGCAAAGAGAAAACCAAGTGCGCGTAGTGTATGTGCTATGTGCTCTAGGCTATGTGTGTGCCATCATGGCATGGTAGACGTACGTACATACAGACGTCCCTGCACCGCCATCTCTTTCTCTTTGCAATTTTTCAATAAGGAGTACATCCACAGTTTACCAAAAAAGAAATAATTTTTTTTTTCGCGGGATTACATTGTACAAGACGATGGCCGTGTTGTATTGGTTTTACCAAAAGCTGTGCCGCCGCCGCAACCCCCATCCACCCCCCCCCCTTATTAGGATGGAGGACGTCGATGTTTTCTATTTTGTGTTGCTATTAAATCATCTTCATCGTGTTGAAGGGGATGGCGCCGATGATGATGGTGCTGCTTTTTAGAGGCAGTACTGGTTTTGGCGGTGGTAGTGGTTGTACTAGTACTAGTAGTAGCAGTAGTAGTAGTAGGAGGTGGTGGTGGTGGTGGTGGAGAACGTTGCTCTCTTTCTTCCTCAGGCTTTTGAACGATGATGATGTGGAAATTACTATAACTATGGTATTGCTCTAGCTCTTTCAAGGCCACGGCCAGTTGGCTTTGGAATGTCTGTATGTCGAGCTTCTCATCGACCGACTTGCCATGGGCCCGGTTGTATTCGTTGACGGCGGCATGACTGTTAGACAGCACATGCGATAGATCCTCCCGCATAAGGACACCGAGTCGTCCTCCCCAGATACCAATAGGAAGCGACCGATACTTTTCGAGCCTGTTCACTGCATTTTTCGGAATCAGCAAAGTGATTTCTCGCGCCAGCCTTGGTTTCAATCCGCGGCTCCGTGCAGCTTCCACGACTAATAAATAAATAAAATTCAAGACACGTCCTTATAAATTATACACCACCCCCCCCCTCTCCTCCCTTTCTTCCAAGATGAAATGTTGCTGCTACACACTGGTACACCCTTTTGGTTTACCTTGCAGATTTAATCTCTCAGTCGCTGGGCCAGGCGAGTAAACCATCATGTCCATCTCCAAGATCTCCAAATAGCCTCCAGGCTTCAACAACCGCCAGCAGTCGTCGATCACTTGGCTGTACTGTTCCCTTGTAAACGCAAGACACATGAACCGGATGTGGATGCAGTCAAAGGATGCTTCTGGGAACAGCGTGTGGGTCAGGCCGTCCAGGACATTGTACTTGATCAGCTCACAGTTGGCCGGAACTGAACTCGGGTCGGGAAACATGTTGACATTGTCTACACCTATCACATGCAAACGAGGATAGTCTTGGGCCAAGTCAAAGCACCAATGGCCCGGTCCACATCCTACATCCAGGACACGCCCGTGCTCGATCTTGTGGAAATCAATGGGTAATGCAAACTCTCTAAAATGAATAGCATCCGCCGCCGCCCCCCCCAAATTGGAAGCCAAGTTAATAGACGTTCATCCTTATTGTTGGCCTTGGTGTTGTATCTCACCCACAAAAAAAAAACATGGGGTCTTACCCTTCAAATGCAAGTTTGATTAAATCATTTTTCAATTGGATTCGCTCCGCTTCTTCCTCCCCCGTCGAAAGTAGATATTGTGTCGCATTCCTGTGTGTCGCCCTACTTTCCCCGTGGTGTGTAGCAGTAGCAGTAGCAGCAGCAGCAGCGTCTAACGGTGCCCTATTTTCGTGCGTGTTCGCTGGCAATGGCGCCGTTCCGGACGATAATTTCGAATTGAGCTGTCGCAGATCCGACGCTGTCGGTAATCGTTTCAAGCCGTGACGTTTCGCTCTATGGATAATGGACACGATTTTGCCAGGAGAAGGGTAATGGTGACTACTATGCGGCGAACCACCTTGTGGACTACTATTATTACTCATGGCACCATAAGTGACGTCGAGCGATCGCGATCGATTGTGCCGTTGTAATGGTGGCGGTGGTGGTGGTGTTGAGTGGTGAAAACGTTGGTGTTGTTGTCCTGGTAATTCCTCTTTTTCTTCTTCTTCTTCCTCTTGTTGTTGTTGCTGTTGTTGGCGTTGCTGCCTTGGTGGTGATCGTTGTCCGGTAAATAAATTAGCGAATGTAGAGTTCTGGAACCACGATTTGCGCCGTTGGAGCGAACTTGGAGTTTCGGTATTTGTTCGTCGCATTTGTATTAGAGTTAAAAGGTGTATGTGATATACAAACAGGATTATTAGCTATTATTATTATAAAGATTACTACTATTATTATTAGACTGATACAAGTAATAGTATTATTGTAACATAAGAGGAGTGCGTTGTCAGAGGGAGGAAAAAAAAGGTAAAACTCTACGTGGGAAATGAAAAAGTGCTCAGCGGAACGTCAATTATAGTTTCGAATGAACGAGACGTCTTGCATGATGACAAACAAGAAGAGTCGCCGAATCAAATCACATGGTTTTAGTAGATCGTTTGGTTTCGACACTTATCTACTGTTTGTCACTATGTCCCCAGAGAAGAAGAAGAAGAAGAAGAATCCTATGCTCTATAGCGGGCTCCCCAACGATGACACGTGTCTCTATAATTTTGTTGATCCGTAGCACTTGATAAGGCGCGTTTTATTATTTCGTTTTCTTCACTTATGCAATGGACAGAATTCAAAAAGGAACAAACTATCATCTTCACCAAATCGTTCGGTACATGTACTACGGCTACACACCTTTGGACCGATTTGTCAGCGTATGTTCCGCCACTCATTCTTGTTGAGGATCTCGATTTTCACACTAACCCGTGCAACTGCTATGTATGTAGCCCTCTCTCCACTGCTTAATGTCGTGGTATTAAAGTGCTACGGATTTTCACATGATTTTTCGAGGCAAATTACAAATTCGAGTCCGAAGAGAAAAGAAAATACTGGCAAGTAGTATATCCATTATATTTCATGCAAAATCTTCTGGCTGATCAAGACGCTGTTTAGCAAAGCTTCGCTGGTCTGTTTCCCTTCTCGATCCAATGTAATACGGTGATAGCAGTGATGATGAGATCTAGTCAGTCATCAATCAAATGAAGCCTTTTTGTTTATATACAACAACACTGATGTAGCCTTATCATTAATGTATATTGTTAAATAGATCGTTGCTTTCATATGCTTTATGGCGTCCAGATGGTATGAAACTTCGTCGCAGCAACAATAGTACATGTTAGGAGTGTAGAGTCAAGATGATGCGCCATAAATGTTATTACAGTACGGTGGCCGATTACACTAGCGCTCGGTTGATGTTGGTGGCAACACCAGTTCCTCTTCTCCGCTCTCATTACTACCCAAAGACGACGGCTCATAGTCGTACCATGCATTGAAATGGCAACGATTGTTTTCCGGTTGAGGGCCACCTTGTTGCCCGTCTCTTTCAATAATGCTGCGAGTATTGTCGTAGCAAAATTGTTAGCAGCGTAATTGTGAACATGATCGGGCTTCTCTATCTGCTGAGATGTTGGGTTGTGGCAGTAAGAGCAACAGTTTTCTACAGCACTACTACTGTAGCTTTTTTGATAATATTGTTGGCTATTGCTGTTGTGCTCCCCATAAGCCGTTGGGTGACGTTCGGTAATCATATTCGTGTTGCTCTTGCTGCTGTTGGCCATCATTTTCATTGTCATACGCCTTAATAATACAGGGGACATTGTTGCAGTAGTAACGATCCTCGTCTTCGTCCACCTCGTCGTAATAATTATCTTCTTGCGTCGCGCAATAACACGTTGAGGAAACATAGTACTGCTGAAGATTGCTTTTTTTGTTCGTGACAGGCATCTATTTTGTATTTGTTGGCGATACTGTTGCTGCTATTGTTGGTGCAAGAAGAAACTACCAGACCACCGGCTTATTGTTTAAGGTTCTGATAGTGACATTATGGTCCTGTATGGTGGTGGTAACGCTTCAGATACAAAGATGAATGTAATGACTATATCAGTACTACCATTCTTGCCCTCTGTTACAGTGCTATGTTTAATGATGCTGCCAATCATTGAGCATATATATAGTACTAACTGTATAAATGAGAGCACGAGACTCATATCGTATGTATCTTTTATTATGCATTGTGAAGATTTTTTGTAAGCGTTTTTCTTATAATTTTACAAGCAAAGTAATGATATTTATACATCAGTCAATAAAATCAAGGTCTATACAGACGATGCAGAAAGATGAAGAAAGGGTATTCTTGGTATTCCTCCTAAGCATGGCGCTCGTCGCCATGATCGTCCCATTCTCTTCCTTCAATATACTCCTCTTCATTCAGGTCCCGGTCCTCGGCTACCTCTTCGATAGGCAGGTTACTAAGAAGAGCAGATCTGTGTAAAGTAATTGCGTAAGACGAGGAATCGCCGTTAAAGACGTGTCGTTGGCGCGCCGAAGCATGGTTGACAAGTTTCACCGCGATTTTGACGCTGGTGATAGCTCTTTGGAAATGATGGAGTGTGTGCGTGACGGTTGCTTGGTCGTCATCCTCGTCAACAATGGCAGCAACATTGTCTGTTTCCTCGTCGTCATCATAATCCATCGCCTCTTCATCATCATAATCATCATCATAATCGTCAAAGGGCGACACAATAGAGTAGCTATCGCGGCTGTAAGGATTACAATTGGCATCATCATCATCGTCGCTGCTGCATTCTTCAGACTCGTTTTGCTCGATTCTAACATCACTGCTGGCACCCATGTCATCATCTTCTTCTTCGTACTCGACAACTTCTTCATAATCCAGGAGCTTTCCATGATAGTGCTCGTAGCTTTTGAGGCTATGGTTTTCGTTGCTGCCTTGTTCTTCATGGTCGTTGAAGGTATCCTCATTTGACTGATGTCTCTGAGCAAACTGTAGCTGGCTGAAGCTTTTGGTGAGATCGCTCAATTGCACACCAGTATTTATTCCAGCACCTTCAGTGCTGCCAGAACCGGCTGCTGTGTTGATGGAGGAAGAACCCGTCGAAGCAGGAAGAGCAGCAGGGGCAGCATGAACGACGTCGTTGTCATCGGTCGATATATCCATGATGGCGTCGTCCGAAACAGGGTTGTCACACATGATGTAGATATGGCAGTGTGTGCACCTGAGCGTAAAAATACTTTATGAAAAGTTTAAGAAGAAAAGAAAAAGAAAGAGAGAGAGGAGGTTCATCATATTTGAAAACTCATGCTTGCATGCAGGAATTCACAAGCTGTCAATGAATGATTTACTGTCTGTCGGTGGCGAAGGTGACTGCTTGCTTCCATTTTCGGTAGTCCTTGTTTTTTCACTACCTCAACTTTTTTTTTTCTCTCTTTCGTGCTCTTTCCCCGCCGACCTGGAAAACGAAAGAAACTTCAACATGGCTGCCGAACATGACCTAACGATGCGCATGATCCCTTTCTTGGATCGCCATCTCGTGTTCCCTCTTTTGGAATTTTTGGAAGTCAAAGAGGTACCCCTCCTTTTTTTTTTTGGGTTTTCCCTGCATTATTTATACACGATCGATGGAGAGCTTCTAGACCGAGAAATTGACCCGTGTTATTATTTTACGTGTTCTCTGCAACATTACTAGTTGTATGCAGTCGACGATTTGCTCAAGGCCAAATATGAAATGTTCCGTAACTCCAACATGGCTGATTTCATTCTCGATTTGCATAAAAAGATCAACAACACAGACGAAACGCCCAAGGGTACGCCTCGTAAACCAGAGAAACATAATTCACAGGACCTTCGACATTTCACGGATAGATAAGACGCGGTGTAATAATAGCACACATTCCTATCATTTTTTCTAGAAATCGCGGCAAAGAGACAGCAAGTCTTGGCCAAGATGGAGCAGTTGCAAGCCGAAGTTCAAAAGGTCATGCAAGTCCTCGAGAAGCCCGAGGTGATCTCGGTCCTCCGTCAGGATAAGGTTCAAAACTTGCAGACTCTCAAGGAAAACTACAACGTAAGAGGGTCAATAATAGAGAAAAGGGAAACAAAAAGAGCAATGGGTTGAAATTTGTCGAGAATACGATTTTAATTCTTGGGATGGAACAAATGGTGCATATAGTTTACCGAAGAGACGATCGATATCCTTTACGAAAATGGTCAGTTCGAATTTGACTGTGGTAGCTATGGTGGTGCTGCCGATATGTTGTACCATTACCGTGTACTGGTAAGAAGAGAAAATGGACGATTATATCTATCTCTTTGAAGGAGAGGATGCGATGTAGATTGTTTTTTTTTTCGCTAAATGTATATTGCGCGCGCTATTGTATTTTATATAGTCAACAAACGAAGAGCGATGCTTCTCTGCAACGTGGGGCAAGATGGCTGCAGAAATTCTGACCGGTAACTGGGATGTTGCATTGGAAGAATTGCAAAAGTTGAGAGAGACGATCGATCACAAGGTGAGTGTTCGTTCTGGAAGCATAACATGGTTGTACCTGGTTTATATGATACACAATCTAACAAAGTGAAATACATTACAGAGTGGCGTCGCTCCTCTTCAGCAACTCCAGCAGCGCACATGGTTGATTCACTGGTCGCTGTTCATCGTCTTCAACCACCCCAAGGGTCGCGACAGCATCATTGACATGTTCTTTGCCCCTCAATACATCAACACGATCCAGACCTCATGTCCATGGGTTCTGCGCTACCTTGCCGCAGCTGTTGTGACGAGCAAACGCAGAAAGGCACAAATGAAGGAATTGGTCAAGATCATCGAACAGGAGGCATACGAATACCGGGACCCGGTCACCGAGTTTGTCGAAGCACTTTTTGTCCGCTTTGATTTCGACGGCGCACAAAAGAAGTTGAAGGAATGCGAGGATGTCCTTGCCAACGATTTCTTCTTGAACGACATCCAGGAGGATTTCATGGAAAGCGCACGACAGTTTATCTCGGAAACCTACTGTCGCATCCATCAAAAGATCAACATCAAGGATATGACGCAGACTTTGAACTTGGACCAAGAAGAGGGTGAAAAGTGGATCGTTAACTTAATCCGGGATACGCGTGTGGATGCAAAGATCGATTTCGAAGAGGTAAATAATGGGATAAACCATGGGCCAAAATGTGTCCAAAGAGAAGATTAGGCTGATCATGCTTCCTTTTGCGATTGTAGAACACTGTTATCATGAACCCGCCTGTCACGTCTGTATATCAACAAGTCATTGAACGCACCAAGGGTCTTTCCTTCCGTTCCCAAGTCCTGTCATCTGCCATCAAGAGACGCGAAAATCAGGCCGCATCCAAAGAAACGACCGCTTAAAAACGATAACTCATATAAACTACCTTTCTCTCTCTCTCTCTCTATTTCTCTCCCGCACACTAGTCTCTGTAGCCACACTTTTGTTTTCTTTTCTTTCGCGCGCTCTTTCTCACTCACTCACCCTTTCTTTTTTTCCTTGTGTGATTAAAAAAGCTTACGTTTTTTGTTTTCTTTGATTACATTACATTACATGCATTTATATAGTCATCTACAAAATACTATTGTTTATATGTCAAATGATATGAAGTCAAGGGAGAATAGAAATGCGACACGGTGGCAAGCTTTTCTGCATAGATAAACCAATGTAGCCAACTCGAACAAGTTTACTGCCTCATTTGTAGCAATCGCGAAACATCGAGTGATATAGGACACGTGAACCTGCTGTTTATACAACTGGGCTTTTAAATCGAAACTACTACTGTGCAGCCGAACAGAGGTTATTAATGACACGACCAAGAATCCAAAAGTTGAGCACATATGTACAGTACTATGTGAAAACTCTACATTATTTATTGATGCTTTTCAAACCATATTTGTGGGCACCTTACATATACCTCTACACAAGTGCATCCTGATAATTTCAACATCTGAGAACACATTTTTAATAATTTACTGAAATATGTTGTAAGCGCCGCGTTATGTGGAAACCGCAATATAATCTTCTTGCTCCACTGGAGCCTCTTCTGTTTATTATTGAGCTGCTCAACTCGTACACCGTTCAAACGCGGTTATTTTGTCAAATGTGCTTGTAGAATTCGCCAACATAGCCAGATACAACGCTACCTTCCGAGTAGGTGTTTGCGTATTATCTAAGGAGGCAACCCGACGAATACTCCAACGCTTCCTTTCATTTTAGAGACACTTTGTAAGTTGTATTTTAAGCATTCAATAGGAATGATAGAACCTACCAGTCCAATCTGTATAGAGCACGTGAGCAACCTCTGACGGGTCATCAACACAGCACGGTAAAGTAGTCTTGTCAATGCGTTGCATATACAAGCGGTTGTTGTGCGCATATTTTTCGTTTCTTGTTTCTTCGTCAACTCTAACAAAGCATTTCCAGGTTTCCACTCGCATGCTGATACTTCCATGGTTTCCACTGCTACAAGCCTGTCGCCTTTTCTGCTCATGACAATGTTGTGCTAAATACACCATCTAAGCCGTAGTTATTTTCAACACCTTGGCGTACTTTTCTACACCGGACCGACGTGTGCTCACTGCTACGCATATTAGCGAGAGGTTATCAGCATACAAGATGAAGTTTATCACTCACATCCATAAGCCCACTTACATCGTAAAAGCGAAATTCTGATCGCTAAAAACAAGTCTAGATAACAGCTCTGGGAATGTTATAACCGCAACCTTTGATTCAAACTCAATTGGCATTAGGTGCTCACAACTTGGTACTTGCGAGTTCTGTGCAGCCAGTTATGCCTAAAATGGATGTTATGCTTTACATGGGATAATTAGGGTGGCGTAAAAAAACGCTGTGTTTTTATTATTTACTGGAGCAGAACCTCCTTATATTTGTGTTTACTTTACTGTGTAGTTAACTTTACTCTTAATAACTTGTAGCATATACAGTACATCATTACGACGATAACTAATATAGCGAACTTGTATGTACAGAAAACCCTTCGAACCCGCCATGTGATATTAATTATGAGCTTATCTGTTCAACCACTTATTCCTGTTCATATAACTTACAGTGACAGAGACATAACCGTGCATTTACACGTATGTACATACGTACATTGGTGGTACGCGAATCCAGGCCCGGCGAATTCCGGTTGCTACTGCTAGGAGAAATGTAGTCCTCCCTTGATACTGCTAAAACGAAGTATGTAGTTGCACTTGGAAAAAAAATTACGTAAAACAAAATGGAAACGGGGCAGAAAGCTGAGGGTGTAAGAGCCGAGAACATATACTAAAGGTACTTGTATTACGTTACCGTTGCATTGTGGCGTAAATCCAGGGATAAGCTTTGTTTCATATCATACAGTAGTCGGTCCCGCTATGGTTGTACGCAGAATAAAATATACAGTGAAACATGTGCCTTTTCCATTTGTGGTACTGCTGTACTGCTGATGATAGACATGTATGGATTAGTGCTCTGCTGCTGATCACCATAAGGAAACAAGCTTGGATCAGGCACATCAGCGTAGTTCATAAAGCTCGGATATGGATGTGAGCTTAATCATGCTCATCATCACGCGCCTACAGAATATCGAATTTGTTTTTAGGCTAAAATATAGGGTCAGATGGCTTCATCGGATCAAGATCTATCTACATAACAGCAATAACAAATGGGCTCTGAGAATATCTAGATTGGCGACATTAGTGCAACAAACATTGATGAGGGATGATCACGTTCCATGCTACAGCTAAAAAACAAGCCTTTTCATTCCCACTTTATCACTGTCACCTCTTGTTTCTTCCTACTTGCTTTGCAAACAAATAAGAAACTTTAAGTACCGTGGTCTATGTGCGTAATAGCCTACCATGGATAATCAAAATGATAATGGGAACGCTCAACGTACAAATGCTCATCGCATTGCTCCAAACACAGCGGTAGCCGTCGAAACTTCCGAAAAGGTAGAAATTCAAAGCAGCGCATCTGTTCTGGAGACCAAGGAACGTTGGAAAACGGGTGGCGAAGATTCCGTAATCAATTCCTCTGAAGAAGGCGACGACGAGGATAAGGAATGGCGCAGGATTCGATGGAAAATCGACTATTGGGTCCAACCAATGCTTTTCCTTTCAGCATTGTTTTCAATCATCGACAGCACCAATATCGGTAAATACATAGCATCAGTTTTTGTATTGAAAATACGAGTATAACCCATTCATTGCCCTTCGCCTTCCATTAGGAAATGCTCAAGTTGCGGGTCTGACGCAAGATATTGACATTACAGACGACCAGTTCAACTGGGCATTGTCGTCCTTTTATATCGGATTTGTACGTATATATGAAAAATAGCGTATAAATAGCGTAATTTACCACCCATCTCAACGAAAGGTTAATAAATAGATCGTATCCGAAATCCCTTCAAGCATGGCACTCAAGAAGCTCGGTACACAAATATGGATGCCGATTCTAATGATCACTTGGGGCACCATTCTGGCTGCAACATCTGCAGTAAAAACTGGACCCCAACTCATCACTGCTCGATTTTTCTTGGGACTGGCTTCCGGCGGATCGCAACCAGGAACGATTTACTACGCGTCGCTATGGTTTACGCGACGTGATCTGTCGGCTCGGCTTGCCATATTCTATACCGGTTCAGGAAACATAGCTGGCGTGAGTAAGCTTTTGCTTTTCTGCTGTTGAGTGGTCTCAATGTTTGATGACGAATGAAGGTGCCTAATACTAAATGCGTCACCAATATTATGTTTAATAGGTTATTGGTGGTTTCCTGGTAATTATTCATAGAGTAAAATGGATCAGATGAAGGAGGATACAGTGGATGCTAGAGGCTGACTAAATCTTATCGTCGAAAAAACTTAGGCATATGGTATAGTCCATCTAGACGGAGCAAGAGGGTTGGCAGGGTGGCAATGGCTGTTTATTATTGAAGCGCTGCCAGCAATCGTGCTCGGTGTTCTATTTTATGTGCTACTACCAGAAGGTCCGGAAACGGCAAAATGTAAGTTAATATCGTTACGTCTAAAGCATCAGTTGCGTTCTACTTAAGTGATTTCCTTTTTGATATGTAGTCTTGAATGCTCGTGAACGCAAGATTGTCGTTGATCGACTAGCAGCAGACAACAGTGGAGACGATCAAGAAAAGGGGGTTTCCTGGGACCAGTTTCGCGAGGTGTTCCGCGATTGGAAAACCTACGCGTTTATCCTGGTAACATTTTGTTCACAAACGTTACAGCGGTGCATTCGAATGTTTTTGCCAATCATCATACGTGGATTTGGTTTTGACAGAGTTCTTACACAAGCAATGACGGCTCCTCCATATTTGGCATGTAAGCAATTGAACTGTTGCTATACAACACCTTTCTTTTCGAGGACACGTAAAGATTTCTCATGTGCTGTTTATATACAATAATAGCCACAATCGCCTCCATATTATATTGTTGCAGCTCTGATCATTTCAAAGAACGTGGCCTTCACATTGTCGCAGGCGCCATCGTGTCTCTCATTGCGTTCGCACTGCTTATTGCATTGAGATTTTCAGCTGCTGCAGGTCTGTATGTATGTGTATGCATCGGTGTCTCGGGAGTGTGCTGTGTTGTATGTGTTCGAACGGCCTGGGTGAGTAACAATTATGGAGGCAAGACGAAGCGGGCAGTGGCTCTCGCCGTTATAACTGCAACCGGAGGGATTGGCTCTCCACTGGTATGTTTTTTTTCTGGCATATTAAATAACGTCATAGTGTGATCTGAAACCTTGATCTAAGTTTTTTGCAAAATCCAACAGGGCGGTCAATTTTATCGTGCTGATGATGCTCCCCACTATGTCCGTGGACATTCTATCATGGTGGGACTGGCTGGGTGCCTGATCTTAACGACTTTGGCCACAAGGTTTGCTTTACAACGAGAAAATAGGAACCGCGACAAGATGACGGATGAAGAACGTAAAGCGGTAGCGGATGCGACTAGAAAAAAGGTGTATGATGATAAGGTAAAGGCTGAACCAGTAGCCATAACGTGTATTGTTCATGTTCCTGATATAAGAATTAATTTATATAGCACCCAGACTACCGATACTTTCTGTGATTAAAATGTATCTCAGGCACAGTACAATAGCCTCGATAGTGCGTAGTACTGCGTGTCGAAATATAATAATTTATCTGTTTGTGATTGTTGTTCGTTGTATACATAGAAGTATAATGTCGCCAGCAATTCGTATCATTCAAGTGTGTGAGTGTGCTGCCATCGAAAAGCATAGTCCATACTAGCTGTTGTTAATTAGTAAAGCGTTTCGCGGCTTTCGATCTTAGTGTCAAAAATACACTACTCTCTCGTTCTTGAAAAGCGTACTATACGCTATGAAAGCTACTCAGATCGACAATATGCAATGCATCGACCTAAAAGCATTGACACTATACTTATTTTGGAAACGGGCATATACAAAAAAAAACTTTTATGAAGAATCCATACGTTTCTATGAGCAGAGAAGAAAATGCGGTCTGTTGTGGGAGAGTACGCTGGCCTTTTCTCCGAGCCCAAACCCAGACTTTACTCTTTATGGTAATCGGTGAAGTCATTTTGACGTTTAGACATGCAGAATAAATTGTCTGTCCTCTTCCTAAAACTATATAAAGAGACCTGCTGATTCCCTTTGTCACGCCAATCTATATCTTGTAATTTTTCATCACGAGAACACACCCATACTCATATTTCATATCAAACCAAAATGCACGGTACCTCTGGTGAAAACGCTGCCAAGATTGTCTACAAGGGCGAAAACGGTCAAGAATTCTTTATTGTCGCCAACCCTGGCATGGCCCAAAAGTGGCGAAAGGACAAGACTATTCCATTGATTGATGTTGTCCAATGTAAGAGGAGAAAACAAGAGGTGGAACGGGATAAAGGGAACTACTTGGAATCAATATATCTGATGGCTATTTTGCTTTCGTTGATGTAGCATTCGATGTTCTTACTACCACAAACCAAAGCAGCACAGGCGAAGCAATTCGTGTCGCCAATGGTGTGCTCGAGAGCGAATTTGGCACTTCAAATACGGACGATATCGTACGTAAAATTGTGGAATCCGGAGAGGAGAAGGGTGGCTCTGTTGCAAAGTAAACTATCATTTGACGGTGATGACAGAAAATACTCTAAACATTTTGCTTAAAGCAATCACCAATCAACATTATGCTCCATAAACAATAAAGCATCCACTTGTACATATACAGTATACACATTCTACTTAATTTACTGAGAGCAATGGAAAGCACATCATGATAATGTCGATATATACGAGAATACAGTGATACACTGTAACTACGTACGGATTAGCCGTGTAAATAAATGGTTGGTTCTCCATTTAACGAATGTTGTATATCATATATTGGCAGGACTAGGCATCGCATTAGTAATAACCATTGTCGGATTAAGAGGACTGAAACTTATGTACGCATAACAACAACGACAAATTTTTATTATTTTCATTTTTATAGATTGTTCGAAATTGAGAAAGGAATAGTATATACGGAGCTATGTCCATATATAAAGCATGACACGAAAAGGTTGGCTACACTGCAATGGCTGCGTGTCCTTGAACCATCGATTTAACAGGTGAATCGAATATTGCATTGACGGCACCAGAACGGACAGGATCCAGAGCAACAGCCAAGGGAGACACAGGAGGAAGGGAGGCACTGCTGGCTTGCTATCGGTACAGCATATAGTAAATTATATATATATTAGTGCACACATTTCCAAATAAAGTGTCCACAAAAGCGTTTTTTTTTCAACACTAGATCATGGTAGCTTTTGCTAAATTCTTACGTTCAACGAGCATGTTTTGCGCCGGGGCAGCAGCAGCAGCTTCTGCAGCAGAGACGTCGTTCGATTGAGATGCTCCATAGGCCATCATGGCAATGCTGAGAAGATAAAAGTAGATCAAGGTGACAGTAGCAGCGCTCTTCATTTTGCCGTGCGTGTGTCTGGAGAGAAACTCTGGTGTAAAAGTGTAGAGAAAAAATATTGCATGAGAAACGGCTCCTTTATAAATAAACCTCTTCTACCAAATAAACCATCACTTGAACACATCATTTCTTCTTTGAAATATGTATAGCCGTGGGTGCTACTACTACGTATCTATCATGATATACGAGCCGAATGACATGCAATAAGTACCGTCTTATTTATCTTTGAAAGAAAAAATGTTAAGGATAAAAGTTGTGTATTATGTAGTTGTAAGAATGGTGATAAAGAAGACATTGTAGTAGGTTTCACAACTATACACTCGTTTTATATGTATAGAATAGCGCTACACTAGAGATGTATATACCGAAATAGTGGAAAGTAGCTTCACCGTTTATCAAACAGTATATCAGTTAATAACGATAAATGGAGACCCAAACGGGTGATACATAGATTGTGCCAACGAGACATTACACCCTCAGATCCTTTATACATACGCCTCACTTATGAACAGGGAATCGAAGAATCGATAAGACCTTGTAAACAGCTATGTCACTTCTTTATTTGAAGCATGTGCTCACAACAATATACTATCCGTTTTCGCAATTTTGAAATATAAGCTATATAGCCAATGCAGTTTCGTGCGAAGCTGAAAGAGAGAGGTTAGTTAACACACATGAGATAAAAACAATTATGGACGAGGTTAATTGTGAACTTAATAATTTCTGATTTCTTTTTTCGCTGTTGTATAGCTGCTGTACGTGGTGCAACAGTCGTTGAACAAGAAGGAAGACATACCACAGTGACCTGCTCGAGCTGTGGAGGCGCGCGGATAATGGGTGGTGCAGAAGTGTACCGATGTCGCGGTTGCGGTGCAGTGACGCACCGTGACATCAATAGCAGCAAAAACATCTTCATCAACGCCCTCATGGCTAGACGGAGTGTACAGATTTCATAATTATCGATAGTTCCGTATATATATCCTTTTTTGCACATTGTTATACATACCAGATTCTTTTTATATGTCAAAGTACCCTTTTGACTCTCGTAAAAGCACATCAACACCATCTCATATGACAGGAACAATTTCAATCAGCTTTATTAAATCACTCAATCTTTGAATTTCAAGTAGTCCGTATCACTGAATATGGGCGCGTCCCAAATAGAAAGACCAGGATGTCGTTGTTGCATTAAAACTGAATCTAGTAGAAATGTGACACGCAAAACACGCAACATCAGAAATCCATCTGCCGCCATCGTACTATCGACTTCGTTCTGATCTATCCTTTCTTGCCATTGTTCAATCCAAAGGAAAATTCTGCGGCAGAGTTCTGTCGAAGGCTTGACAATGTCACGAGGAAGGTAAAATCGACCACCATCCGGTGAAAAATCGGCCATAGTTCGTAGCAATCTTCGCGGGAGGTTTGTAAGATACGATCCTTCCATAGAATCACTTGTCCACCGACCAGCACGACGGATATCCGAATCACCAGCACCACCAATATCTGCCATTCTTGCACCTGCTTTTCGTCCAGCGTGTGTCTTGGCTTTGCTACGAATACCGACGTTTTTGAAAGCGTTATCGATGGCCTTGTAGTGGGCAGTTGGTGTGATCGCTGTGATTAAATCAGTAGGCTTGGACTTGCATAGTTTGATATTATACCAGGTCCTGGATGCAGTCATGTCCGGAAACTGTTCACCTTCGATGTGCCAACGGTAAAAAAGATGCATGCCCAAAGCCATCCAAGGACATACTTCAATGTTTGCATTGCGAATCGCGGATCCATGCTGGCTGTTGCCGAACTGATTTTTTTTTACCGTGATCCAAGAGTAGAACCAAGGCAGGGCATTCGATATCCGGAATTGGTCCTTCTCGTTGCAAAGGAATTGTTTGTACATCAGCCAACTCGAGATTACGGACGTTTTCACCACGCATCAAAGAAAAGCGGGATATCAGTAGCATCAGCGCGTTTCTGTAATGTTCACTTCTGTCTTTTTGAAAACAATAGTCGACGACTGTTCCTAGTTCTGCTAGTGTCGAGTAGCCATCCAAGAGTGTACCTGCGGCACGGTCTTCATAGTTATCGCGACGCTTGCGCGCTTCCAGTTTTCTTGCATTTTTCAACAGCTGCTTGACTGCATTGATTCGTGGATTGTTGTTAATTATATTTGTGCCCATTTCGACCTGGTCCTTGTAAAGTTTGATGATGGCGCTGACATATTGCTCGACGGTAGAAAAACCAACACGAAGGACAGCTTCTTCTTCACTTTCATTGTCGTCTGCAGGACGCTTGTTTCCAGTCGTACGACGTGCTCTACCGAGAACCTGCGTCAATAGTTATTATGATGATGTTAGCAACAAAATTTAGCCCATTTAGCTAGCTAAGAAGCAACGCAAAAACAATATACTTACTTTATCCAGGAGGAAAGCGTGTAGCTTATCACCATTTACTTGGTCTCATGTCATAGGATGAAATCCTTTGTCTTCGCACCATTGACGGAATTCGGCAGTCTTTGGATCGTACGATTGTTTCGTGTTTGATGGTCTAAGCTCTTGGCAAAGTTCGTGCGTACGCATAATCGCCTCTCGCATTTCCAAGTTCAATTGGGCATAGTGAGCCTCGTCATGTAGTGGTGCAAAAGATGAGGAGGCAGCTCACACTTTTGATTATCTTGAGAGGGTGCTCGGCTTTATGATTTTCTAAGAACTTTTTCTTTAAGAAGTATCGCTTCTTGAAAGCGTATAACTTATGATGGCACCCGATGTCAGCTTATACAAACAATTATACCTCACGTTGAACATAATATTACAGTTGATTATAGATTATATTTATTGGCATTTGCATATCGATTCTGAATTTATTAATATGAAACGCGCCTTTTTGTGCTGTATTCATTGTTTGGATTATTTTTTGACATAGTAATGCTCAGAGCTTTCCGCGCTCACCCACTATGGGGACCACCGGATATGCTGTATTATGTGTACACATGTCTGGAGTGTCAAACGGAAGTCATGCTAAATTTGGCAACCCACGTGGTTTTGCAACCTGGCTTTGACGTGCTGAGAAAGTACGCGCAGCTCATTTTTCTTCTTCTCTTACTTCTTTGGTACAAAATGGGCAAGCACCGAAAGCGTCAAACCAATAAACAACAGAATGCCACTCTGAATCCGTCATTATCACCTTTTAGTCCTCCTTCTTCTCCTGGTCGTCCTTCTTCATCATCTTCTTTTTCTTCCGAACATACGTCTCTTTCTCCTGAGACTTTTCGCCCACGCTTAAGTGTTTCTGGTTCTGGATCACATGTTCCACTAGTTGATCAGCTGCAGTTAGCAGCAGCATCTTCTGCCTCCGCAATTGTTCTTACCTCCGATGAGGAAGAAAAACAGCCAATCCAACAACCGCGTTGACTTCGACAGCAGCAACAACGACAACAGCAACAATTACAAAGTTCACTATGACAGCGACGATTGGGCAAGACAAAGCAATGCCGAGCAAAGGATTGCTCGTGCTCTAGAAGAATTAAGCGATAGTATCCATAGCTATCGCTCTATACTTGGAGTACGTCAACGGGAATTGTTTGACGATGCTGTCGAAAATGATAATGTTGATGGATACATGCAAGTAGTTAGACAATTGAGCTAGACGAACACGAGCAAGAACAATGAGCGATGATCATCCCTTTACGCGTTATCCTTCTTAAATTCCGCAGACGTTTTTCCCACTACATTATTGACGTCATTCCTCCCTTCTCTTGTTTTTTTTTTCTTTGTCTACATATTATTTTCTTTTTGCTTGCTTTATACTCTTAATTTCATATGATAACCAATATTATCCACGTTTGGTGAGCAAAACAAAATAAGTAAACCGCGTATTAGCCTGAATGTGTATAAATTATCCAGTAAATAAGAGTGCAACATAGACACCATGTGATATGTTATGTAGGAGTGGATGGATGTTCAAGCCGATCTGAAAAGAACAATGTACTAGAAAGAATAAGTTGGCGTTTCTCTTCCGGCTATTTAATTTTTTCGAGCGGGGTTTCTATTTTTTTAGGTCACGTGTCCGTGAAAAAATTAAAACGGCTGGGGCACTCTGTAGCCAAGGTGAATCCGGTCGGCTTTTGGGATAATTACGATCATGAAGCCTTTGCAACTAATAATTTTTATTAATTTTAGAACAACTGTACGTTTGGAAAATGTATGTAAAAAAGCGAAGGGGAAGGGTCTACGATAGCTCTATGATGTATATGTGAATATATGTATGTATCCACTCTATTTTTGCTGCTGCTGTGAGAACCGTTGTTTGGCAATTTGAGCGAGGATTTGATACCGAGCACGCCTCAACTCAACCTCCATCCCTGGTGATTCATTATGACGCGATATTGCCATGATCTTTTCCAAATCAATCACACCCGGTATATCTTGGTTCAGTACTTCTTGTATGTTGGGCTTGGACGATTCGGCAAATCGTTTTTCAACTTCGAGCGGTAACGTCACTTCGTCTGCTGTTACGTAAGACTGACCCTCAAGCAACTTGTCTAATTCGGGAGATGCAGCATAGTCGAGCGATATTGATTTTAAATGCTGTGCTCCCTTGTATGCTATAATTGAAGAGGAGAAAACTTAGAGTGAAGTCTGTGTGCGCGATTCGTTACAGGTGCCAAAAAGCACAGTCAAATATGCTTACCTTTATAATGACTGTATAAACGAAAGAGATTATATGCGAGTGGTATATTTGGGATGATCGGAACAATGGCAAACGTGCTGGCGATAGGGACCCAGTAAGCGGAATAGTACAAATATTTTTTATGATACGGCTCGCGTTCTTTAAGCAGCAGCTGTAGATCTTTTTCGATATCCAAGCTGTCCAAACACGATGCATGATAAACGCGAACCTAGTCCCATATTGTATGGTATCATGATCAGCTTTATATACCAACAACTTAGAACTGCCCTTTCCTCCTATAATTAAACCTACCTTTTCTGGATTATACTCGATAGCTTCTTTCGTAGGTACGTTTTTCAAGAACCATTCTTGATAGTCGAGTTGGTTCATTAAGTTGTTTCCGCGATCGTACAATTTCCGTTTCCAAGTTGTTGGCTCCGCTTCACCCAGTTGCTCCCATTTCTTGCTAGACCAGTCGACTGCTTGAGTCAATCGTGAATTGACAGGTATTGTAGTTTGGCAATAGTATGCCCATTTGTTACGAAGGATCGGAATCGCAAACACTCTCATCAGGATTAAGGAAGGGAAAAAGAGATTCCGGGGACAGAAAAAAAGCTTGGGCGGCGTTTATTAGTGTATAGTAGGGAGTGCTGCATTTTCATGCCGTGACTTTTGCGGCGGCAAGCTCCGGCCCGAAATCGTTGGGTGTTGGCGGTGGTGGACAGCCTTGTTCATGCTGCTGCCTGTCAATACTACTGATCACAAATCGCGGGGTGAGTCATACATATTAACATTTTGTTCCGGTGGCTCTGCGGCAGGTTTGATTGATTATTTAGTGCCACCGTTGAACTTTTTGCTCCTTATAGTTTATGGCTAGTATAAGGGAAACAAAGAAATGGCGTACGTATCACTCCTTGAATTTTTGTACTCTGGGTCTCAAGTAAGCACTATCCGATATCATTTGATGTCACAACAGCTGCGTACTATATATTGGATGGTAATTAGCGACCGAAAAGGAGCTATTACACTGATGCTCGAAGAATAATTTGATAGCAAGGTCGCACGGTCCATGTGTTACTGTCGTCGGTAGTTGACTGTAGAATTATGCGTTTTACAAGATCTATGGAAAATAAGGCAACCATAATTACTGCTAAGCGATCTGGGTGCTGTTTGGAGACCTCGTACTATATGCAGATCCATATCATACGCACAGCATGAACAGGGCGTGATATCCGAGTGCCGAGTGGGTCTAGTCCCTCCGTCCCCATCGGGATAAATGTTTTCGGCCTTGGGCATGTGCTCCGCACATACTAGTAGACATTTGTTCTTATTTTAGCAAAATTGTTACCTCACAATCCTCTTTTAACCACAATCTCGCCATGTCAGCTTCTGAAAAAAACCAAGAACAGCAACAGCAATCACCACCACCACCACCACCACCACCACCACAGCAACAATTAGACAACACGGTTGCGCACACAATGAAAGACGAATACAGCAACAGTCATGGCGCCAGTACAGAGAGCACACCTTCGCCTTCGCCTGCACGTTCATCGTTTACACGCAAATCCGAGAGCAGTCCAGGCAGCAACAGCATCAACAGCAACAAGCGACCACACAATGACTACGATTACCGTCAACGAGTGACGTATTCCGAGTCTGACCAGGAGCTGTACATTCGATCGCTGTCCGAATCGCTCATGATACACAAGGAAATTGTCGAACGTATTGAAAACGAAAAAGAACAGTATATGGAAAACGTAGAGCGGGAACGCAAGCAGGAACGTGAGACGCAACGAGTAACGCTACATGCCTTGGAAGAGCAACGACGAGAATACGAAAAGCTACAAATGGCACACCATGGCTTGTTGAGTGACATGGAGAAAAAGAAACAAGAATACAAGCGGATGGAGACCAACTACTATTCGCACGTACGTCAAATTCGCGCGACGGACGACGACTTATCGACGGTCCAATCCGAAATCAGCCATCTATTTAGTCAAATCGGTAACCTGTGCATGAGTCTGCGGTCCAAAGTGGACAGAGAAGCAGGAACGGCATTTGCGCTCGAGCGGTGGCCGGACAAAGAAGAAGTCATCAAGGGCCAATTGCTGAAAGAAGGCGAGGAGACGCTGGATACAGGATACATTGGACTGCTTATTGAAAAATATCTGATTGAGGTGCTTTTGGAATTGTTGCTACGCCAGCCACTGCATCCAGGCGTGTCGATCAACGATGCATATCAGCAAGTCGAGGCATGGTTCGCCCAACGCAATCCAGAATGGGCTACTCGGCTGCGACAGCAAGCAAGTGCTTTGGTAGCGAAGCAGCCGGATGATGAAGAGAGCATGATTGAAGAGGCTAAACAGCAAATTGTGCAGTCGATCCTCGAGATGTTAGGCAGAGTGTGTCCCAAAGTTAAAGACGATGCTAACCAGGAAAAGAAGGTCGCTAATATCATCAACCGAGCGGCGAAATTAAACCTGGCGATCAAGGGCCAAGAATTGCCTGTGGATGTGCTGCCTATCGAAGAAGGCGTGGCATCGTTCGATAGCGACTGTATGAAGCCTGCAAGCAAAGGAAAGGCAGAGGGTACTGTGCTGTTGGTCATAGCCCCCGCTTTCACTGCAAACGACCCTAGTGATGCGGAACATGGTTTCGTTGTACCTGCCAAGGTGCTTTGTGTATAGAACTGGAAAATTTCCTTTGTCTTTGTTTTCCAAATATAAGTTTGTAAACGCAAAAAGAGAACGAGCGATAGATGGTCTTGTGAAGAGTTTTGCTTTTCAAGATACTCGGACATATGTTTTTGTGATCGGTGGTGCGGGATGCTTAAATTTGCTGTCTATCCATGTGGTTACGATGGGTATGCATTTGACACACATGTGAAGGGAAACTTATTGTTTCAAGGGTGGGATTTGCTACATTCATAGTTATACTGTCAGCGGGGATCAGCAACCAATACAAGATACTGCGCACGCACTTTAACGCAAACATTGGTATTAAAAATTTATATTTAAAAAAACGACCAAGCAACAGAGATATGATAGAATATATTCTTCTTGTTAGTAAGTAGCACGTCCAAGTCCAATACGTCTATTTTCATCATCATAAACTGATACAAATTGTTGCAAAAATCCGTAACCAAGAATGGCATCCACAAACGATGGTGCTTCATGCAAATAAGTGTAGCAGTATTCCTGCGATTGATAGACCTATCCATTATTTCCGCGGTTATTGACCGTGCCTTTTAAATTGAGCCATACAAGTAGTATGTGAAAAGTTTCAAATAAACTTACAGTGCCTCCAACGGACAAAGGAACAATGTACTCATGTGGATGCAACGTAAATTCGTGTTCACCCATATTAAAAGTGATAGGTACAAGGTCCTCGGTATTGCAGGGGACTAAATATTGACCGCTATAATCGACTGCCAGTCCCTTTACTCTGCTTAGCGCTGAATCGATTATTTCTTTGGGCAGGAAGATCAGTGTGGAGCCTGTAAAGATAGACTTCATGTGAGTAATTTTATCTTCCATTCTCGTCTTTTCTCATTAAACATTGAAACACAAACCAGTGTCGACGAGGGCAGGCAACGTGGGGTTGTACGATACGGTTTCATTGTCGACTGAAATAGAGTCAATATCCACAGCCCAATAATCCTAATACGGCCAAATGTAAGCACCCTGTTCCACTCTGGCGATTAAAATCATCTCCCTCCTCTGCTTTCGTAGTTTGACAAACCTTAAAGTCACTATGCGATGTGATTGGCATGTACGAAATGGTTTCGTTTTCAACTCTAGAAAGATCAACTATGCTTTTTCATTAATCCATTGTTACGAGTTGATATGAATTGTCCACACTGTACTTTAAGATAGTTTGACAAGTGAAGTAGAAGTAGACAGCTTACCACCACCAAAGATGATATCGCCGTTGACACGGCTTATGTTCTTTTCTGTGCTTTCAAGTGCCTTAAAATATACTGAAAATGTATTGTTGGGTATCACATCTGCTTTATGCATACTGGACACAAGCGTTGGAACCACAACATCATCGGGATTATTGTATCGACTGAGCACATCTGGGCCGATGCCAAGAATACCATCTTGAGAATAATGCCGTCGTAATTCTTATTAGCAATCATATGCCTATACAATCTTAGAATGCTTTTTACGTTTTTCGATGAGCATACCTGCACCATCCATACTCAGTTCACCATCATTGAAATCCGACACAGCGAAATACTACGACAGAAAGTATGTAGACAAGGAAAAGTTCGAAAAGCAATGCCTTTTGCGACACGCACAGACCACAATAACAAACACCTTCTCTATAAAAGAATTAGCTAACTTACAGCATCGGGAACAGAGACTACGTCGTTGAGCGTGACGGTATCCTGAAGGTTATGCGTAATAGACACTGCTTTAGAATGTTTGGGAAACAATAGCCAAGACGCCTTAGTAGTGTAACGTTACCTGGGCATAGTATCCACGTGAAAAACCTTCTCCGTAATGAATACTAAACAGCATATTGGTTGTATTAAATGTGTCGGATTCCGTAGGCGAGAAGGTATGTGGTGGATAACCACAAAATTGACCGCATCCCTTTGAGGGAACCCATGTCGAGGAAGATCCAGTGTCCAAAAGCAAAGTGAATGGTTGAGGCGGTGTGCCTGTTTATATATACCCATAAAGCATTAAGTTTCATATATCATCGGGTTATTTCATCCTATCAAATTCTGTTATGTTACCGATCGAAATGTTCATTAAATACTATGGTAATTGTATCATGTAGTAATAAGTTGCCAATATCATCATCATAAAACAGACCTCCAAACTAGAAGCAATCGATAGTTACCGCCAGATCAATATTCTCCAAAGGCACATTCACAGTCGCGCCAGCTCTTTGAAACCCCCATGCGGGCAAATGGGCTGCTTTACGATCGACACCAACGAAGGGGATCGAAATAAATCCATCATCCGCAGCCACCACACTCCAAATCGTTAATGCAGTTGTCAGCAGTAAAGATAAAGAAGACCAGGTCGACATTACTGCTAGGTATACGTGTAGAGTCCTTCCAACAGAATAAAAGAAAAAAAGACGTGCCCTTCCCTTAATCCTTGGCCAGTATTTATATTCATCCACACACCATTCTTCTTCCTCTGATCCACAACTAACTAACCGAGCCAACCGATACCGGGAATGCCGTTCCAATTTAAATTTCCTTCCTTTTTAAGCAGACAAGAGAAAAGATGCGATCGGCAATGTATTTGATAGAGTAAAAGAGAAAGGAATAATACAGAATACACCAGAGACCAAATCGTTTATTTCTTGCCAGCAGCAGCCTTGGCTTTCTTCGTTCCACGGAGCTTTTTCGCGCGGTTCTTCTTTTCCTTGCGCTGCTTACGACCACCCTTAGGAGCCTCAGCAAGGCCAATCTATTATCATTATCAAAGCGTTGTATCAGTATATTTTTGTGTTGTCTTTTCTGGTGCTTTCCTAGAAAACAAAGGCTCGTGTATGTAAGATACGTACGCGGACAAGACGGTGCTTGGGCTCGAACTTCTTGAGGGATTCAGCAGAGTCGTAAATCAAAGCAAAGCCGGTGGTCTTGCCACCACCAAAGTGGGTCTTGAAGCCAAAGACAGAGACAACTTCTTTGTTGGCCTTGTACATCTTTGCGAGCTTCTCGCGGAGCTCCTCCTTGGCAACAGTGGCGCGACCAGGATGGATGACATCAACCACCATTTGCTTGCGCTGAAGCAGGCGGTTCGTAAGGAACTTACGGGTGCGAATGGTCACAGTCGCGGCGTCAGCCTAATTATAACGTAACGTGCATGTGTGTTGGTCGTTAACCGTCTCTCCAAGCGTCTCGAGAATGTTGGTCATCGTGAAAGTCAAAAAATAATATCATCCACCCATCCACCCATCCATCCATCCGCTTTCCATCTATCTCATCCACATCTTCACTCTCAATCTCCCTGTCCTTCTTTTGCTTTTCGTCGCTATCGCCCATGTGCCCTTACCATGGTGATGGATTTCGAGAAAGGAGGTTGCCTAGTTTCCGGCCATTGGATGGTTAAAACTGCTCCGCTTCCCGAATTTAGCAATTTGAACTCGTCTCACCACTGATAAGGCAGGTCAGCCAAATGTTCTTATGCAGATTGTAAAAGGCGTGATTCCTATCGCCCTCTTTCTTTAATTTCATGCGTGACAAAGTGTTGAACCATTCAATCAATTTTTGTAGTAACTCTACATAGCCTGGAGTATAAAAGCAAACTATATCAACTGCGAATACCTCATCATGTGCGTAGTTGCAAGTGCCTTACCCTCACAACTAGTATCCATATGAGTATATATTAGCCTAAGGTTGTCATTTACTTGCTTTAAATAAATCTATATGCATGTGTCTCTTTATATTATTGCCAATGACACTATCGTAACGTTCTCCCACTAAGTAGTGAAGGTAAGAGACACCGCCTTTTTAAATTCACATTCGGTTAATGACTATGATGGTCGTGATATATGATAACCGAAACAACTTGAAAAGATTGACGTTGAGTCCAGCCCTCCATTCTATTATAATTCTACGATTGTTCTACTGTTCCTTTTTGCTATCATTTACTGTTTCCTTTTTAGCTTCTTTCACTTCTTGATCTTTTTCTAATGTATCCAGCTCTTGGTCGATCTCATTCAACATCTTTTCGAGCTTCTTGCCCAATCTCAAACTGGCCTTGTCCGCATCGCGGTGAGTAGCATCCTTGAGCTGTTCAATGAGCTATATATGATACGGCACGATAAAAAAGGTCATCAGATATCTCGTGCATTTCCCTAGTGCCAACTTTTTTTCCCTCGTTTTTACCTCTTTGTAGTCTTGATGGTGGAATTTGATTTCGTTCAATTGAGCACGCTCTTCAAGAACGTCAACCTTTGTACGAAGCTTCGCAAGTGCATCTTGTAGTTCTTGTTGTTCTTCGTCTGAGAGTTTCTCGTCTATCTTTTTGCCCTGTTGTCTAGCTTCTTCAGCAGCCTGCATAAGACAAATGGCGTGTACAAATTTAGCTCTCTGATACACACAGCTTTTAAAACTTGGCATGTTTTATGTCCCAACATTACCTTTGCATCAGCAACAAATGCATCGCGCTTCTCTGCATCCTTGTTTAATCTCTCCTCTTCTTCCTTCACTCGCTGGCTTTCTGCCTCCTCTTCTTCGCGTCGTGCCTTGGCTTCCTTTTCTTCTTGCTCTGATTCATCTTCGATCAACTCCTGTTGCTGTTCAAGTACATCCAATTTTTGCTTGTATGTGCTCTGGCCAACCAATTCGAGCACTTGCAGCTCAGTTTCATTGACCTATATAATATGTATGTTAGAAACTTCCATATAGTACCATAGGGTTTCATGATACCAGCACTTACCAAGTTATCAGGCAAGCTGTTGAAAGTAGCACGAAGAGCATCTTCAGTAGTCAAGCTTCGGTCTGTGAAGGAGAATGCTCGGGATAAAATAAGAAGCGTGGAAGGCACTTGATGGTTCAAGTTCAGATCAACCCATTGTGCTAATTCATCTCTCAAACGGCCAGGCGAAGCACCAACGGTTCGGATACCACGTGCAGCACAAGCGCTTTGTAATTCTTGGATGGTAAGACTTGGAATGCCTTCACTTTGAATAACCTACATGCAGTGTATCGCCGTTAGTTTATCCCCTTTTTCTTACTGAGTTTATTTTTTGTGAATGTGATTGTGTTACATACTCTGTCATCCGCTTTAATTTGGCGCATGCGATTACGAATCTGGAAACGAAGGAAATTGTCTGTGCCGAATGCATTGATGTTCATATATTTACACATGGATACCAGTTGAGGTCGGGAAAGGTTGTCAAGCGTGAGTTCATCTTCGAACCGTCTAGCAACCTTGAGCAAATCTTCTGTAGTTGCTTGCTCGCCCGTCATACGGATCTATGGTTGAAACATATCCATTTGAATATCAGACGTGTATGTGTATGCTTGATATGCGGTCGATGACCCTTACTTTTCTGAAAAAGTCAGAGAATTCTTTAGCAGTTTGTGAGCTGTCGGAACCGGGGAATCCAGACTCGGCAATGGTCTCTTGCAAGAATTTTGCCATTTCTAATCGAACCTTGAGCAGCTTGCGCTTCTTTTCTTCCTATACACGTTTCATTCCACGTCCCATCAGTTTGTGGTCAGTTGTAAAGTGCTTTTGAATTGTTGCTAGTAACTATTGTGTCGCTACAAGCAACGCCGCTATTACCTCAGTGGATTTACTCTCATAAGTACTAGGCAACATGTTCGGGAATAATTTGAGTGCCACTGGAAGCAACAGTTCCATGAAGGGAACCAATATAAATACTGCAAAAGGCACAAGACGCATGATATCGGATGTCGTACGACGAAGCTATAGAAATCCAGCAGTGGTCAGCACATGTCAAGTATTTCTCCATCTTCCATAAAAGAAACGATAAAATCCTTACTTGTCTGGCTTCTCGTCGCGTCAAATGGCCGCCGTTTAACAGCTTCCACGTCAGTTTCGAAGAAATACGGATTTCCAGACCCAGCAGCTTGGTGCCGTGCCAATAGTGTACAGCTTCGTCTTTAACTTTTTGCCATATTGTCTTTTTAGGCTTGACAGCTGTAGCTGCAGCAGCAGTAGAAGAAGACTCAGCCGCACTTGCACCAGCAGCAGCACCTTCACCAGCGGCGCCAGCATTAGTGGTAGTATTAGCAGAAGCAGGCTTCGTTTCTGCAGCCTCCTTGGCTAATTTGGCTGCTCGTGAAGTCATTGTCGTTTCGCTCTCGAGTGCTTGTTTAGATTCAGCATTACGGACAAGGCGAGTCGAGTGCAGAGAGCGATGGATTGAAACGGCATTTCGGGTCATTGTTGGACGGACAGAAAGGCTGGTAGGGATCGTTCGATATACCGGCGTGCCATTCACAGGTAGTCGCGTACATATCGTCCTAAATCGGACAGAAACGTGGATGCCAGGGTACATGTTGGAAAGAGTGAGGGAGAGAGGCAGAAGAGTATAGCACGAAAGAAATCTTCTACCCGCCATTAAGCGAGTAAGCCCGCTTTGTGTATCTTCACGTAGTCACGTCAACCGATCTCCGGGCCATCATTCAGCCGACGCCGCTTGACCGCCTGTCGGGTTTTTGGTTGTTGTCCAAAATGCTGGTGTTTGCAGTAATAAGAGTCATATCGGAACGCACTGTGCTATCATTCCGAGGAGAGAAATTAACTTGATATATTCCAACTGGTTCCTTTCATGTTAGCAAAACTGTCATATTCAAGGAAAATGAATACATCAACCTAACTCGACTTATGGCTTGGTCACTATTTGACATTATTGAACTACTTTTATTTCATGGCCTTTCATAGCACCATGTGCTCTTTCGAAGTCTTGAGCTTTTGTCCTCTATACCTCTCTTTCTATACTACGTATTACTTACACATTATATTGCCCTATCCGCTATCTTTCCAAATCTTTCTAGTGCATACGCTATACGGCATTGCAAGGCGGCTGTTAGAAGCCTGACTACTAACTCATGTGTAAGCACGGAAACCGGGTCCGTGTTATGGTTAAAAGCATGGTTGATGAGCAAGTGTGAACTTTTAAAGGCACTGTTACAAAGGATGAAGAAGATGGGTATCAAAAGAAGCTTCGACATCCTTCATAGCAATCAACTTTATGATGTTCAACAACCAACAGCAACCATTTTGATTTGGTACTCCTATATCTTCTAGTTTTCTTAGCACCCGTCACTGAGCTAGGTCTCTTCAATAGCAACAATGGCCTGTTTTCCCTTCTTTTTAAAGATGTTATTTAAGCTCGATTTCATCCTAGCATTGGGAAACCTACAATTAGGATTTTCCCTCGACAGTGAGTGTTTTCCGAGTGTTCTCGCAACCATGTACATACTCTGTACTAAGCATTGTCTTAGATAATTACTGTGCGTGCCCAAAGCTTAAAATTAATATGTAGGTTGTAGTTCGTGGATCCGAAAAATCAATACTTTTAGTTCGTTTTTCTTTCTATATCACCACATCTGTGTACTATGATATGCACTTGCGGGCGGACTTGGTCGGTGCTCTGTGTTTGTATAATTATTGTGTCACGGTAAGAATGTCTGCCACAACCTTTGCAAATTAAATTGTTGGGGCTGGCCCGATCCATGGCGGCCAGTCAGCCACAATTAACAATTACTACTATACCGCCAACCACGATGATATACTTATCGACACGGACCGAGACAAATGTCGCTTTCTTTTATTGGCATATTTTCAATGTCTTTACGGAATTGTTTAACAATGTTTGTGGAACAGACTCTCTCCTAATACGCCTTCTTTGTCTGGTCATCTCGTATTTTCTTTTGTCAGTATAAAAGCCTATGTACAAGTCTTGCTATATCTACCCACCAAGCGTACACATGTATGTGTATTGCCCAAATGTAAAAGTACCAGCTAAAATGGTAAAGCAAGGACCAATAAGTAGCTGACAGTAAAATAGAATAATACACTAGTGATGTATTAATACAGTATGCAATAGGTGGCGCTCTGCTAAGCAGATATGCCGATTATTTATGTATGTAGCATTCTAGTCAATATACGCATGGTGGGATGGTTATATCTTTGGTTGATCCGTCATCCTTCAGCAAATTAGGTGACCTAAAATTGGAAAGGGACTTTCATTACTAGTGGACGGTGCCCGTATCAATGCCTAAAACACTGCTCCGAAGGTAATTGCTTGAAGCAGCAACAATTATAAGTAACGACGGAAGAAGAGACACGGGAATTTGTGGCCTTTCCTCTCATTTAGAATATATGTGAGACAAGGAGAGGAACGAAAGATTGTTCTATAATACGCCGGCTTGGAATAAAAAAGAGAGTAGCGAAATGGTTACATGCTGATATAAAATCAGGGCAGCGCTGCTGGAAGCCAAATCTGCAAATTCTGGGCACTTGTGCGACATGACATGGAGTCATATATGGAAATCAGCCTGATGGAGCGTTGCAAGGAGGCGGGCAACTGCAGTATGTGAGTGCAAGTATGTCGAGAGAGAGGTCTTTCTCTCTTCTTTCTTTCTTTCTTTATATAAACTCATTCTCGTCACTTTCCTTTCATCCGCGCCATTCCTTTTCCCCCAATTTTATACTCTTTTTTTACCACGCATTTCTACGTCAAGCAGCTGGTTTGCTTGCCAATACATAATATTCCCCATTTTCATTTCACTCAAATCGACGATATCGAGCGGAAAAAACCAAACATTACACGACTTGACCGTACGACCGACCGAATCACATCCTATACATACATACCAAAGCAACAACAGCCATGGTTACCGTGAACAAAATTGTATGTTGTCAAAACATTTTATAATTCTTCGTCTCAGAAGCAACAAGAAGAAAAGAATGAAACTCATCACGAAAAAAAAACAACAAACGACAAAAACTGTTTTAGATATCCCGCATCACAGAGACTCGCTGGTCGAAATTATACATTGCCACAGCGTCGTTGCAGGCACTCATCATTATCATTTTGCAAGCACTCATTTGTTCACAAAACACGCTCCAAGCGAACTTACTCCCCCCACCAGCGGGCGACTCGGTGCTGACGTCGAATATAACCGGCGACGAAATGATACCTGAACAAGCAGCCGATCGACTGGGCAGAATTATCTGGGAAAACATTGCATTTATTGGTTTCCAAGGATGGTTCTTGGTGATGGTCTTTGATGCGGTACGTCTCTATTTATTTTATAACCAATGCATTCTAAATATCCAATGGGGAGTTGAAGGCGTCGTCGTTGTTCTTGTTTGTCTTTTCCTTTTTTTTAACTTTTTTTTTCTGCGCTAATTTTGTAGACGGTTTATCAAAACACCGCGGAAATCCTAGCACTCGCCGTACTGAATGCGATTTGTGCTATTCTCGGTGCTCTACAGGTGGTCGATGGTAACAAATGGCTGGAACGGCTCGCAAAAACAGATTACTCCACCGCACACCTCGAGACGGCACGATGGCTCGAGATTGCGCTCTGTGTCGTTATTTTGTTGTTCGCTTGCATGATGGCTTATCTCAGTTACGAGATGTCTAGGCAGTTTGGTTGGAATATTTACAAGAAAATCGGTGCCGACGTTCAAATGCAAAGTAAGCTTCGTCTTAGAAAAAGAATAGAAGACTCTTTAAATAGCAAATATCCACACAAATCATACTAACTACTGTGATTTAATAATTCTTTTTTAGAAATGTACCGGATGTTCCAATTCTTCGTCCTAGCCCTGAAAATTGACGTGTTTACACAATTTCTCGTGTCGTTGTTCTACGTAATTCAATTTGGCACCAAAGTTGAAGGCGTTGTTTGGGAAACCGGCATTCAGATTGTCGTCACAATTCTTATCTTGCCGATGCTATATTTTGCACGAACAGCAGTATGTATACTCTGACATAACCCCTCCTTAAATGTAAAAAGAATCTCTAATTACGTACTTCTGTTTCTTATATAAACAAAAACAGGGAAGCACGGAAAGTTATGGACGGATGATCACATTCATTACTTTTGAGGCGATCGTCATTGTGCATTATGCCTTGATTCTAAAGCAAACGTTGCAACCTGACAACAGTTGGTACACCTGGATTTGCCTAGGTAATAATAATAAGTGGTGATGATGAAACGATACATGAGCGAATTGGAGACTAACGAAAAAGCTTAATTCTACTACTGCTATTACTGCTAATCAGTGCTGATTGGTATTGTCCTTTGTGCTGTAAGTCATATATCGAGTTACACGCAGAACTGCTAATTATAAATTTCGGGATAGTACACCAAATGTAAGACTAATTAATAAATCGGGATATTCTTAGGGAACGGGTATTCTCGGTGGCATCTGCATGAATAATTTTGGCAAGGGATTAAAGTCCTACGTCCAAAGAGGCAGTTCTAAAAAGGCCCAGCAAGACGTAGAGATGGCCAAGAATAACAACAACAACTGGCAGATTGACGAAGACTAGACAGCATGCGTATAAACAAACAAACATCACCACCTCCTCCATCTATTTGTTCTTGTTCAGCACTAAAGTACCACACCTTTTTTTTACCCTTTCCACACATACACACTCACTCACACACATCTCCTCCAGCCACAAACAACACGGCAACTCAACGCACACATATCAACACCACACCACATTCATGCACGTGTGTCAAAATATAATAACAGACACACACCACTTTGACTCTTTTCTCCGTGTACAGAAGCATATCAAATATAACAGAGATCGATAAGAAACGAAGAAAAAGTAAATGTATGTAATTAGGTTTCAATCTTTAGAAGTTTGCACTCGGGACATGAAAAAAAAAGCGTCCACCCGAGCGAGGGTGAACAAAGCAAGGGGACGGGGTTCAGGAGAGATAAGGCGAGTCAGCGGAGAGGGAGAGGAAAAGAGAGGGAGGAAAAAAGAGAGGGAAATGAAAGGTAGCAAAGCGTGTAATTGTGTGGAAGGGGATAGAAAAGGAAGAAAGAAAGACTAGTTAGCGAGAGAGACTGAAAATTATGGTGACGATGGGTTGGAGGTAGTTCGTACAGGCGTAGCAGGTGTAGTAACGGCAGGCGATGCCGGGGTGCCAGGCGAGCCCATGGGGGTAGCAGCAGAAGCAGCACTGCCGCCCGGAGTAGCAGGCTGCTGAGTCGACTCCTTGATGGCCAGAAGCTGCTTGGCGCGGAAAGCTTCATAGTGGATCTGGGCTGTCGTTTCTATCAAATCCTGCAAGTGCGTTCTCGTCAAAAAGTTGCGAAGATGGACAAATTCGCAGTGGTTCTCGTCTTCCACGTTGATCACGCCCCATCGTGTCTTTCTTCCACGGACAGCCTTTCCATCAATGACCACGTTTCTCTCGGAGCCCACAATAGCAAAAGGAATCAGATCCTAATATTTTCCGCACTTGAAGGTTAGTAACTTTTTGTTGTGGAAAGTTGTATGAATATGTATTTCGTTATTCACATACGCGGATGCTTTCGTTCAAGGCCTGTTCTTGCTCATCATCTTCATCACTTTCGTATGGATATAATCTAATGTTGTGGAACGCGAGCTCGGCTTTGATCTATTTTGCACAAAGATGTATAATGCGTTAGGACATTAAGTCTTTCGTCTTCCACTGCTGCTGCTACTACTCGGTTCTTACGCGTTGTCTAAAAGCTTCACGCTCTTCGATAGTGAGCGAATCCGACTTGGCAATCACAGGAACGACGTTCACAACCTCCGACAGCTTTTTGAGCACAACGATATCAATGGGCTTGAGCCTGAGTAGTTTCTTTGTTAATGAAAACGCTCATTTTACAATAGAGAGAAGCCCACACTTACGAATGACCGGAGGGCGTGACAAAGAAAAGGCAGCAGTGAACTCGTGAATCAGTAATGTATCGGTCACGTTGAGCTGTCAATTCTTTGCGAAGATAGGCCGAGTGCTGATCCTTGATGTACTTCACAATAGGCTCCCAGCTAAAAAATCCAGAGAATTCAGTAATTTGACCGAGATATTTACCTATCTTAAATGATAATTAGTCCACAGGCCTACCAATTTTCGTTGTTCACTTGGTCGCCATAGCCAGGAGTGTCGACGATATTCAGTCTCAAGCGGACACCATGTTCTTCGATCACTATTTCATATGCGTAATATATATAGGAGATAGAAAATTAAGGAGGGGTGGTTGGAGGAGGAGGAAGAGGAGAGAGCAAGGTTATATTCAAGGTCAAGTTTCTTTTTTACTTGAAAAAGAGATGGAGATAAATGCTTACAGTGTGAGACATTTTCAATCTCGGTGGTCTGTCGAGGAGGTTCGTCCGAGTTGAGACGACCTTTGCTGTCAATCAAATGAGATGCGAAAATGGTATTGACAAGAGTCGACTTGCCGAGACCAGACTGACCTGTTTTTACAAGTTTATTAGCCGGGTTTCAGTTATGCTACATGTTCTCATATTATGTTGACCCAGATTCCCTCTTTTGTTTCTTCTTTCTTGGGAATTCCTACTGCTGCTCCTTCTTTGTCGCCCAACTTAATAAAAAAAGGCACAACCCTCTAGATTAAACTTACCAACAACCATCACGTTAAATTGAAAGCCTCTCTTGAGCAACTTTTTTTCAATCTGTTGGGTGATGGTGTCGAAACCAACATAGCCATTAAGGTGAGTCTATGTATGCGTGCATGAGCAAAGAAGAGAGAGAGAAAAGACGTTAGAAATAAAGATGTTTGTCTGATGGATGGGTTGTTGTTATAAATGAAGTGTTAAGTCTGGTCTCCTTGTCTCTTTTCCCCCACGAGATGAAGTTTTATATACTTCGGTAGACCCAAATATCCAAAAAAAAAGAGAGGAAGAGATTTTTCTTATTTACCTGGTTCGTTTCTACAGGATTCTGCGTAGCGGTGGTAGCCATGACAAACTTGCAAGATTTGTTTTGTCTAAAGGATTGGGGAGAGATGTGGAAAAGGAAAGGGGGAGGGATAACGCGAAAAAATACGAAAAAAGAGAGAGAAAACTCGAAAATTCACCTATAAGTTAAACTACTGGCCGACCCAGAAAAATATATAAAGTGGACACAGGCACACAGCAGCACAGGCAAGCAGCAGTTTACTGAAATATAATAAGGGGAGATCTTTATAAGAGAGAGAGCACACAGTAGCACAAAATGAGTTGGCTGCACGTGTGCGATGTGTCACACTCCAAATTTGGGTCTGGGTGGACTGGGTTATATGGCATTTAATGAAGGCTTCTTCTTGCTGCTTAAGACGAAAAGGACCATTAACGAGCTTTTTTCTCTCTCACTTTTTATATTCTCTTTGATATTTTTAAGTGTACCACTTAAAGAATAATGAGATTGAACGGTTCTGCTTACTATGGCAATGGTTGCCAAGAAACGTTGTTGCTATGGCGGGTTGCCATCGTAATGATAATTTGTTACCATCATAGTGACCAGAATAAAGTTGGGAAAACGATAGGAAAAACATCATGATACCTTTGATTTTGAGAGAAATACGTAAAGTAAATAAAAGCAGAATAGAAAGATGAAGGGTGGAGTGGGGGGGGGGTTTGGTATGGCGTAATGTGATTTTCGGTTTTGGTTTCAGGCGGGCAATAATTGTCGATGTTGCCAACGAAAATGGGGAACTTCTTGAATGCGAGTTCTGCAGCTTCCTTTTTCTTTCCTTTTAAACTATACTATTATAGTTTTACGCACAAATTCTATAGAAAGATAGAGAGAGAGAGAGAGCTAAAAAGAAGGGTTATAAATTATGTTTTTTCTGTGGGCATGTGAGCTGTATGTACGAGCTCCTTTTACATACGATGTATATAGAGAGAGGGTGAGTGTGTGCCCTTGCTCCCTGCGCTTCAACCACACAAAAGATAAGGAATCTACAGGGCTAATAATAGTAGAACAAGAGCGCATTTTTACGGTGTCTTTGTTTTTATGGATGATCATCTGTAAGGGAGGTAGATGATACACACAACCACGTACATACAGTACCACGATGATGAAGGGGTTGAGGAGGGAAGACTCTTTCTTTCATTCTGGAGCATATTATATTCGTACTTGGTGACGGTTTTATAGTACTGCTGGTGGCATCATCCAGCACGTACTACTAGTTTATAATTGAACTGACATGAGGAAGGAATATAATTACTACAGCACGCACCAGAAAGTAGCAGGGCCCTGCATAAAAAACGAATGATCCTATGGATATTTTCTTGAAAACCAAGGGAATTACGCAGACACACAACCCTTACATTATATGATAACTAAATACTGATGTACGATGTATGCTGTTGCTGCTGTCGATTGAAGAATAACCGTGTGTACTGTGATAATGTGTGGCTTGACAACCCTGCCCGAGGATGATGTACACTGCTGCTGTACTTGCTGCACGCGTGGTAAGTTGGGATGTTCAGACATCATGCAGTAATAGTAGCAGGGCATTTTAGCACAATACAGCATCCTATTCTACTCTTATGCAATCCTTGGACGAAATTAAAAGAAAAAATGAAATGAACTACCCTTTTCTGGTCAAACGTCCGTAAAAAACGTCCGTGGCTTACGACGACGACGATTGAACCCTGACGTATAATCTGTACATGTGCTTTCATTATTATTAGAGCAGGAACAAAACTTTCTTTTAGGGTTTTAATCGTTTGTGATTATACGTGTTTAGGCTTACTATTACTGTTATTACTGCTATCTCTTACTTTTTCGGTTTTCCTCCTCCTCCCCCGATCACCATCGCCATTATCATCGAGATTGATGTTTACTATCACCAACGCCGTCATCCCCTTTTCTAAAACATGACGCACGCACGTACGCACACTCTTTTTTTAGTTTTGCTTTTTTATCTGCATCATTATGTATCATCATGGTCCTCTTCATTTAACAGAACGGTCAAACCATTTTGCATACCATTCTCTCCTTTTTTTCCAAATTAGTCACGGGAATGGGGTTACATAGCTAGTTGCTAAGTTCATAACATACAGCGATGATGTTACGTGCTCATGCAATGTACTTAACGGGTGAGGAGGAAAGTGGAAATTTTCTTCTTATATTTGTGGTAATCAACAAAAAGTTGGCAATATGATATGAAAAAAAATGGGATAGATGGTAAAGCTCATTATCTAACGTCTTATTCAATGACATTTCATACTTTGATGTAGCACAGGAATATCACCTTTGAAATAGTAATAGCACTGGATAATGGTAGTATAGACTAGTAGTATGTGAATAATGTACTTAAATACACGCAAATAAACTCTTCTACTGTTTATAATTTTCAAACTTTTTCTTTAACAAAACCAATAAATATGATACCTTTTTTTTGAATTTCAATCAATATAAAATATAACGCGATTGATCATCCGTCAACACAGTTACACTCATCGTCGTAATAAGAACGATAATTGGAATATCAAAAAAGCCAATGTAAACAAAAAACCGGTTTGTTACGCGTAAATAGAAAGTTGTTGATAATAATAGCTATATTGTGGGGCTAAGGAAAGAAAGGAAAAAAGGAGAAAGGGTAGTGATTGCTAGAAAGAGAGAGGAATGGAAGTAAAAAACAGAGTTTTACTAATGCGAATATGGATTCGATCGTACATAGAATTCATTAATCACCCCAGTTTGTTCAAATAAAAAAAATAAGGATCTTAGGACCCTGAGACATGGATGGTAGAACTGTAACGATGAGAAAAACACAGGCAACACGACGAGGACGATGCACTCACTCCACGCAGGCACACACACATTGTACATACATGGGGAAAAGGGAGGACGAGAACGTTGTTATAAAGGGCATGATCGTAACATGGAAAGTGATGATTACGCGCGAAGAAACAAAAAGGTGGGGTGAGCTAGTAGGTGCCCTGTGCATTAATAAATGCTTTCAATGGGGGAGAGCGCGCGACGCACGATCCTCTTTTCATTATAGCACATAAGGGAAGAAGCAAGGTGGTGGTGCGTGATAGAAGCAGTAGTAAAAGGGTAAGTGTGCTTTGATGTGCGTGCGTGCGTGCGCGTGTATTATGTGTACCTGATGTATGGGACGAAAAAAAGGGGAGGGGCAGCAAGCAGTGAAGAAAAGAAAGGAACGAGAAGGAAAACAAAAGCAGAGAGAAGTGGATAGTGAGCGACCCGTGCACATACGCGCGCATACAGTTTTTTATTTTCTGTTGGAAAAAGGAACGAAATTGTTTTCAGATTTAGAATGTCAATCTGCACGACCGTATGCCCGGGCAAAAAAAGCAAGCAAGGGATCGAAAACAAGTGTGGGTTGTGTGTGTGTGTGTGTGTGTGTGTGTGCCAGTAACACATACGACGACGACTAATAAGCAGCAGAAGCAGTGCAGATCGTAATGTGCGCGGTTATTTGGTTTTTAGGAGGCAAGTTTTGAAAGGAAGGCAAAGGAGAGAAGGGGGTATGTCGTGTGTGCCCACAAATGAATGAATTTGGATGAATTCCCTTTGGGGGATGGAGAGAGAAGACGAGAGAGGAGAAACCAGGGAGAGAAGACAAGGGTTGAAAGCGAGTATATGAGAGTGCGCGCACAAGCTGAAGTTCCCAAAATGATTAGCAGTTGTGCAACTACTACCATGCGTATGTACGTGCGGGCGCTTTGTGTTACTCCAGATCGGCAATGAACAAAGGCCCAAAATTCAGCAGTGTAGATAGAGGGGGGAGTTGGGGGGGGGGGGGAGAGTCTACACAAACGCAAACGAAAGCGTAAGATGAAAGGTGGCAACAGCAGCGGCAGCAAATCATAGAAGAGAGAAACAGAGAGGAGAGAGAAAGAGTGGGTGAAATCCCCAAATGTGGTATATTGGATGTAATGAGCTGTAATGCGCGAGTATGATTTTATTTGGGCACGCGTTGGTACATATTTCGCTCCAATCTGTCTGTTATGCACTAGTGATGTGTGCCTAACAACTCCCTCTTTCTATTGTATATCTATAACCATTACTATGCTACTAACTGTCTACTGAGTAATACCAATATTCTTGTTATGAAACGCCCGCGCGCGCACGAACACCCCTCTCTCTCTCTCTCGTAACTCGTTTTTATTTTCGTATATTATCCCGTCCCCCCATTCAATTTGACCGGGAAAAGTTCCGACCAAAAAAAGGCATTGTTATACAAACATGATGAAAGCAGCAGCGATTGACAAGTCGGACACAACGCATGCTTTTTTGATCGGCAGTTGCACAACTATCATCGGATTGTTGTTGTTGTTTGATGAGAGAACAGACGATGAATTATGTCGTTCTTTACCACATACGGAAACCAAACTATAGCTGGGTAGGACAAAAAGCGTACACATAATGCCACGACAGCAAGGCAAGCAACGACATACAGCAGATCGATTCTCTCGTTGCTTGGCTACATCCATGCTAGATGGGAAATGTGTGTGTGCTAAAATCTTAAAAGGGGAAGCGTATATACGAAAAGAGATGATGATGTTCAAAGCACACGACAAGGAGATCAGCAGCAAATCATCGACCCTCATCATTTATCATCATCATCATCATCATCATCACCGAGGCACAACAGACACATCCTTATCATCGGCACCTACTACTACTACTACTACTACCAGTACGCACATTTAACAATGTGTTAGTGTAGGTTTCATTCGCGTGAGTTTTGATGTATGTGCGCGTGCGCTGTCTCAATTATGTGGAGTAGGTGCCCTGTTGTCTTCCTGTTGTTGCTGCTGCTGTTGTTGCCTGACATCAGTTGGATAATGAATGAAAGGGAAAGGAAGCTTCCTTCCAAAAGCAAAATCAAAATGCCCCTACCCCCCTTACAGGAACCATAAAGGAAAATCCAAGGGCATAAGTAGAGAAGAATGGGAATAGAGGAACCCGCTGCCATCTCGACTTTATTATGAGAAAATCAAACATAGAACACCACCTGCCTTGGCAGCAGCAGCAGCTGCTGCTGCCCTGCTGGCGTATATAGCATGGCTTTGCTGTATGTCTCCTTCGAACACCCCTTCCATAACCACAACCCACACCCCCACCCCGAATTAAGCACAGTACCCCCCTTACTGCCTTATCCCTCCCCCAACCCAAACTCTCCATCTCCCCCAAATCCCCTCTCGACTTCTATTTAGTTGAAACCATTCGAAAAGAATAACTTCTCGTATCATCATATATCATCCACAACAGGGGGAGCCCCAAGGAAATATAGAGTAAGAAACGAAGGCTGATGCTTTTATAAAGTTTTGGGGGGTAGGAAGGGAAGAGAGAGGGTTCAGGGTAAAAAAATTGAATCGCATGCTTACCTGATTGAGACACACCTTTTTTTCTTCACCCGCAAATCATGGCACTCACACACGCTCTCACACAGCACACGGCACACGGAAACACACACGCTCTCTCTCTCTGGTTCTCTCTTTTTAACGTACATGAAACTACATCCGTATAGAAGGATCTGTTGTGTGTGTGTGTCATCCTAGGGGCGGGGGATGTTCAGTTCGTGCAATAGAAGAAGCGTGTGCGTATTGTGAGTTTGGGGGGGGGAGCAGGAGCAGCAAGCAGCAGCAGCTATAATAGCGAGGTTAAACACAGGGGCGCGCACGTACACTTTGCACATTGTGTATCGTGTTCCCTTATGCTGCAGAGTGGCTGTCTGATCTGCTTGTCTATATAAATACCTGGCCTTGAATGACAACTTCAATTACTTTTTTTTTGTTCTTTACCGCTTCATCATTACTTTTCTTTTACAATTTTTTTTTCTTTGACAACTTAGTTACACCACCCGCCTTTTACAAATACAGCGAACCTATAACACACACCTACATAAACAACCAATCACACAAATCTATAAAAGACAAAAGTCGTCAAACGAGTACACTACAACAGCTGCCATTACTACACAAAGAAAGATATAAAAAACACGATTTACTATGGAAATTCTCGAACTCGTCCACCAAGAACACGCTCCCACTGAAGAGCGACCTTTCGCTTGTGCGGTTTCGAGTTGCAACAAGACGTTTGGTAATTATCATCATTAGCAACATAGCAACAAATAACGCGAGGCGGGGTGACCATGGCAACACATTTTATTGTTTCCACGGCGGCACTCTTTATCATTTCCATAGCAATAAACTAAACTCATCATTACATATAGGCCGCCGTTCGGATCTTGTACGTCATTCTCGAATCCACACGAACGAACGGTAAATATATTATATAAAAATTGTTATAAAGGGAAAAGATTGCTCATCCTCATCATCAAAATTTATCGTTCTGTTATATAGGCCATTTAAATGCCGAGAACCCGACTGCGGCAAAAGCTTCATTCAGGTAACATATGAATATTTTGGGAAAGGCGTACGCAGATCCTTACCATGCTTGTCATCCATTTTTAGCGTTCCGCCCTGACTGTACATATGCGCACACATTCGGGCGAAAGACCGCATGTCTGTGAATATCCTGCCTGCAACAAAAGCTTCAGCGATAGCAGCTCCCTCGCGAGGCACAGGTAACGTATCTCTCTATCTCCTTGCTGCTTTAGGCGTCGTGCATATGTCTTATATTAACAATAAATTCCCTTTTATTTTTTGGGCCGCACAGACGCACGCATACTGGCAAACGACCCTACAGATGCCCATTTGACGACTGCACCAAAAGCTTCGTCCGCAAAACCATGCTCACCAAACACATGAAACATGATCACACAACCAACGGAAAACGCCCGCAAGTGCAATGGCGTCCTTTCATCGAAGAACGTCGAATGGTCCAGCAACAGCGACAGCAACACCATCATCATATGCAACTAGTACAGCAACAGCAGCAGCAACAGCAGCAGCCATGCAGCTGTGCAGAATGCTGGCAACAATCGCCTCCCCCACCGCTTCTTGCTGCTGCTGCTGAAAGCCCTTGCTCTTCCTCGGACGAATTCCAGCCTTCCTCGTTCCCATCTTCGCCACAAAGCGGTTCCTGGAGCCAATGTCCGCCGTTGTTGCCAATGCCGTATCGACGATCCTCGAGCTTCTCTTCGACATACAGCCAGGACACTGTCTTGCCTAGCTTGTCAACATTCATGTATTATCATGACGCCAAGGAAGACCACCGACGCGACAGCGGAATCTCATTATTCTCGGCATAAACGACCCAACAACTCATTACCAACAAACCAACAGAAACAACGCGTGCGTTGTTTCGAGGACTTTTATCCTCATCCAACATCCATCCTCAATTCTTCATCACTCACTCTTTCCTTTATCATGTCGCTCTTTATAATAACCACCCCATTTACTACACTCATATTACACACTCTCTTTCTCCCGCCTTCTACTTTTTCTTTTGACCTAAACATCGTACCCTTTCACAGCTTTTTCCCATACATTTTCTCATATATACTTTCTCTCCCCCCCTGATTCCCTACTTCTTCTACTACTACCACTACTAGTTATTGTATCAGTCCTTTTCACCCATACGACAGTCCTCCACTTTTTTCGCCTTATCGACAAACTCTCTGCTCTATACTATACGCAACAACCAAGAAACGCCAGAGCCATGCTGCATTCCACCCTTCTTAACACCCGTCATTCGTCATACATACTATACATCCTTCCGTACACAGAGGGCGGAATCAGGGCTCTTTTCTTCCTTATACATCTCAATTCCCCACCTTCTTTTTCTACTCGAAAGCTGCTTGCGGTGATGCACTGTATTTCTTTTTCTCTTAACCCTATGGGCTACTAATTTAATTTGCAAATTCTCTTTCTTTTTCTATGAACAAAACACTCAAAAATTCTTATGCCCCATTTTTACACAACCTATACTTGATCTTTCGCACACACCTCAATTCATACTCTTTTTCTCCCCTTCTTCTTCCATCTTCTCCCCGTACCCACTTTCATACAAAAAAGAGATATGTCGTTTTTCCTCGCGCATGTAAATAATAATAATGATATTATAAAAGAAAAAAAGAGAAATAATAGTAATAATGCACATAATCATTTCCAGTTTCACTACTTCATGTCTATGTACTTCTCAATGTCTTTCGTACATGTTGTATGTCTCAGATGCATTCTATACTGATATACGTTCTTTTTCTCCTTACGCAATATGATAAGGGAGGTTTTTGCGATTTGATCTTAGATGGCTTGAGCGTTTTTTTACAAAACGTGTGCGTTTAGTGTGGTTGTATTGTATGTATATGTGTCTTTTATAATGCAGGGATGTTTCAGACAATAGAAGGGGGTGTATATAGCAGCAGCATGTTGGGGGAGGAAGGGTTGAATATTACGCGCATTACGTTATTAGAAAGAGAAAAAGAGGGAAACAGGGAATTATCTAAACATCCCTCCTTAAATTTACTTAGTATTAACCGCCGCACTGTCGTCTTTTTTCAATCTTTATCTCAGGAGTGTATTGCAGTGTAGACGGGGGTGTGTGTGATGATGCTGGTGCTGCCTCTTACAATGTGGTATATACCCTATAAGATGGGAAAGTTCATAAGGAAGAAGGAGAAAAAAAAGCAGGAGGATCGTCGTCGATCGATACCAAGTTAATGTCCACTTTGTCGTCACTATCACCATCACTACTGCTGTTAACGTCGCCATTATCCAATCGACATTTTGCTGACAAGATTCTTGCAGAAAGATTCGCTAGCTCCAGGTCTACCAATAGTTGCAGTTGTGGGTGAAGCCTAATGAAAGATACAAGGAGAAGGGTTGGAATAAAACAAAAAGAAATTGGGTCAGGTGCTACTTTTGATAGGTTTGGTCAGAAATAGTTGATATAAATAATGTACGTTTGTTGCTTTAGCTTAATCATTGACTCCTTGGATTTCTGGAAAATCGTAATCATCTCCGTGCCTAATACGTAACAAAAGACCGTATGATAAATATGCCAGAAAGGTTGATATGTCCTAGTTTGGGTATCTTTAGCACACCCCTTCCCCCCACACCTTTCGGCCTCCAAACCATGCCCCATAAATGTATATTAAAAGCAGCAGAGCGATAGTAGCAGCAGTTCTAACGCACGCACCACACACACTCACACATACACACCACGAGATAGAGAGACAACCCTCACCTGATTTTTGCTGTATATCACTGCACTCCTTCTTTAATGTTTCCATCTGATACTCTCCCTCGCGTAATTGGGCTAGACACTCATCGACTGTACTTTGCCGATCCACTCGGATGGCCTCCGAGTCAACCAATGTGGCTTCTATCGATTTGGCTTGGGCAGCTGCTTCGGCTGCTAGTTGCAATTGGCCTGTTCCTACTGCTAGCTTTTTCTGTCGTTTTAAACTGCCGAGCTGTGCCTTGAGTTGATGGATGGCTCCTTCTTGTTCTTCTAGACGACATTGGGCAGCGTAGGCTTCTCGCCGTTTTGCTTCGATCGATACGATTCGTGCTGTTACACCTTGATGTGCCCTAAAAAATAATATATTGCCAAATATACATACACAATCAAGATGTGATTATTTTTCGTATGCATTTCATCAAGATAGAGAGGAATTATACACAACAATGATCTCTGAATGGAATTATGATACACTTGTATTAATGTTGCTCACCCGAACAAACGATAAAAAGAATTTGTAAGTGAAAACATACCGGACCATGGCCTGCTTGTTGTCTAAAACGAGTTCATCCCTTGACTGCACATACTCGTGGAAGGTCGTAAGAACTGCATCATATTCCTCTTGCCCTTGCTCAAGCTTCTCTGTTGCCACGATGATCTGCTTTTCCAGAGCTTCTAATTCGCTTTTTTCTTTTTCGTTGTCTTTCGAATGGCGTTCCATTTCGCGATAGAGCATTTCATCCTCTCGATCTAGTTGAGCCTATAAAAATCAGATTAAAAAAATAAGTAGAAAGATTTTATCGACCTAGTAAGTGATATAGATACCAAAAAGATATGCCAATGGTATCTAAAGAACTTACGGATTTCTTTTCAGCGGCCTGCTTACGCCTGTGTACAGCTAGATAGTCGTCTTCGAGCCCTTTTTTCTCCGGTCCATACTGGCCCGTTGTTTCATGGATCACAATATCGAGCTGATGGATCTCGGCCTCATATCCATCACGCTCTTGTTGCAGTTCACCCAGCCGTGCCATCAATTCATCAATTTCGTTTTGCACGGTCCGCATTTTTCGCGTCAGCGCGTTCTTTTTGGATCTTTCTTTGCAAACCAGTTCATCCATCTTGTTCTTGAACTCAGTATTAGACTGTTCCCACATTTCCATATCAAAGGCTATTTCACTAGAATATGGGACATTTAACCCAACGAAAAGAAATCATCCACCATAATCCGCCATAGTTAGATAATTATCAGTTTTTTACTTTCGATATTTAGTTTTCTTCACTTTAATATATATATATGTAAAAGATACACCTGTTTTCCTCCCTTTGACTTATTGACTTATTTAAAAGCATATTTACCTTTTCTCTTCATCAATTTTTCCTCGTTGTTGATTAATTTGTTGCAGTTTTTCTTCATATTTACGCTCGTTATCGATATGGTATTTGAGGAATTGTCGTTCTCGTTCATCCTATGGTAGATAATATTATAATATTAAAGATTGGTAAAGAATAAAGGTACTTCGACCATGTCTCAACATGATAATACCTTGGTAAACTTGCACGCATCAGCGAGTTTTTTAGCTGCTTCAGTCTCTTTTGCCAATATATCTGCCAGCGTTTTCCAACAAGCATGGATTTGTTGTTCAACTTGGTTTTCTGTGTTGTTAAAGATATCCCATAACTTGTCGGTTAATTTTAATTGTTGTGTTTGGAAAGCTTGAGATTGTAGATAATCTTCTGCATCCAATGCTTCTATTGCTTTGGCTTTTAGGTCCTGGATCTCTTTCTGGAGCTACACCAATCAATTTTTGATAGAATATCAACGACAATGCAAGTAGTAAATAACACAAAGAAAAGGGATCTGCAGAGGATTTTTTTCTTATCATTAATGCTCCACACTCACTTCCTTACTTGTATTATTTGCTCGTGAATCAATACACGCTTGTTATAACAGCGTTGAATCTTGTCTTTCTCACGTTCTTTCTCAGCTTGAAGTCGCCTCCATGTGGTCTCTGCAGATAGTTGATTGATCTCACTGGATTGTAGCTGCTTTTTCGGTCGTTCAGCGTTATTATCATTTCTGTTCCTTGCGTTATTGTTATTATTGTTGTTGATCTTCCTCGTAAAAGAAGATTGCATTGGACTTTGTGGCCTTGGAGTACTTGTTGCACTAGTGGTATCTTCTTGATTTTTGTCATAGTCTATTTCCAAGAGGTTGTTACCATTGTTGTTACTGTTATTGGCTACATATCGACCCAAACCAAATACATCTTTCATTGTAGGCCATTTTCTTAAAGTATATACAGCTTGCAAACACAGTAATTTTTTCTATACTAGGACGTACTTTGTGAAGAGGCTCCAATAAACGAAAATGCCGACTTTTTAAGTGGTGCCGCTATGAACGACGTTGAAGACGTGGAGCTTGGCGAGGTAATATTTGCGCTTTTAATTTCGTGGTGGCCATAGGCTGAGCTCATTCCTGCCTCATTACGACGACGATGACTGCTGCCGTTGCTACTATAGCGGTCTCGTAATGATGAAGGTGACGACGGCGGCAGTGAAGACGACGATTGGTTGACAAAGCTTGCGAACTGATCACTGAAAAAGTCATCAGCTAATGATGCTGATAAGTTTTGTTGTTGCTGTTGATGATGTTGAGGAGAAAGTGAAGTAGAAGAAATTGACAATGATGGTCTTTTGCTCTTGTTGGTTGCATTAATAAAAGCAAATGCCGACATTGAGACTGATTTTGCTCGTAATAGTAGTTGCTGTTTTCTTGACTGCAATAAATAGTAGTAGTGAGTCAAAATAAAATGAAAAGTAAAAAAAATCCGAAATTTTTATTATCAGAACTTGAAGCTGTTGGTCATCTTATGCCAGACCTGTTGGTACAGAGTACCATACGTGGCAAGGTTCAAGTCTGCCACAGCCCTAATTCGTAGACCCAAGGCGAGTATTTCTCGATTCAAGGGCTTGAGGGTATTACTATTAAGGTCATGCTGTTGCAGCTGGCCTTGTGAAACGCGCTTCACCACATGAAACACCCGATCATGCATGATGTTGTAGATTTCCGACGAGCCATTCATGTGCCGTTTCAACCAATCTGCCCACCATAGCACCGTGCATGGTTTCTCCAATTGCAAATAGTGTTGCTGGCTGGTATGCTTCTTCTTATCACTGATATTGATGTTGTCGTACCTAGCGTGTGTTGCCATGGCAGCCTCACATGCATAGATAGCATAGTATTGGTACTGGCTGTTATGGTGTTGTTGTTGATGTGGGTTTGCTGCTGCTGCTATTCCTGCTCGTTTCAACCGCTGTGTTAATTTGAGCTTGAGCGCGTGGAGATCAGTCTTGTTCCACCATTTGCCAACCAAGTAGTAGTAGGGTATGAGGAGGATTGCCAGTGTAGTAATGTATATAAATTCGGCACGGAATTGGTGGACAAGGCGCTGTCGGTCGTATTGTAATGTGTTTGGAAAAGGAATATGATCCATCGTAGTTAATCGAACCAGTGCTATGACAACAGTACGTTTATGTTAGTATATCTATAGAAGAGCAACTTTTCGGTTTCTCTCCTTCTTTGGCATCTTTCCTCGGCTTTATCTATGTATTTCAATAGCTACCTGTGTGATACACTTTGAGAAAATTCCAGTCAGGATGGTCACGCGAACTTGCTAGCCACACTTCAATGGAACGCTGGTCAGGACCGGCTCTACTATTCTGAGAAAACCATTGTTGTTCGTATAGAGCACATGTTTGAATTAAATAATTTCTTTTTTTCCGCAGAAACTGATTGGCGTGATCCTACAATGTCTAATGCATTAGCAAGGATAGATCTGGACACTTAAAGTGGTAGAGGTCTCACTGAGGGTGCGGGGCTTTTGCTTATTACCAGTTGAATAGCTTCAATAATAGCAAAGCACTGGCGAAAAGCTTTGGCATAGCATTTCTGTATGAAATACAGGAAAAACAGCTGGATTCGCGGTCGATGTTCGACAGGACACATGGGCTGTAACACTGATATGACAAACTGGACGCGACCTCTCAAGTCAAGTGTATTGTTTGCCAGCTCGCGCAAAATCACGTCCGGATTGAGCATGCTACGAACGGTATCGATGGTGATATGACGAGGCCACTTTTCCAAGTGACGCAATAATGCAAGACTCTCAACCACTTGATCAAGGAGTACGGGCAAAAACGCGTCGTAATCGCTGGCGTACTTGTGGTGATGTTGAAATGCACGGTCAAGACGTGCCCAATAGCGTTCTGCTTTGCGCTGCTTGGCTTTACCTGAAGGCCCATCAAAATTTGGTCTGAACCGTAGGTTTCGATCGAATAGTAGGTCGTGGCGTAGCTGAATATTCGATGTGATCTGATCCATGCAGAGCTCTTGAAGGGTTTCAGCCGTGATGGGTGGTGTCCATGCGTTTTGTAACACCATGGGTGGTTGCTGGTGCTGCTGCTGATGCGTCCCTCCCACACAACGATGATGATGATCTTGACTGTTGTGGTCAGCACCGTCAACAAAATGGAGATGATGCAGTGATCGACGACGGCTCTTGTAAAGACGTCGATGGGATGCTGGGTTATTTTGACTTTTTGAGACCGAGGTTGACGGTGCAGTGAGTGGTTTTCGACGTAAGCAATTGTTGCGCGTCAAGACACGATGCTGTTGTGTGATTCGTACCCAGCAAAATCGATTTCGACAGGTTCCTTTTCTTTTAATTGTGTGCGGATTGGGATGCTGATCTTGTGATACTTGCGCGAACGTGGATGGAGTACAACGAGTGTGCCATGCTTTTTTCCAGCCATATACATCATTAAGGCAATTGCGCTGTAGCATCATGCGAAATCAGAATAAAACTAGTGGGAAAGAGAGAAAGAAAGAGAAATATTGAAACTGAAGCCCATGCTTGGCACACTAGTCCCAATAATCATCACAGCTCTGTTGTCTCTTGGGTGTGTTAAGATTCAAAGAAGGGGTGTAGGGTGGCAATTCGAGACGAGTCCCCTGGGCGGAAAATTATTTCAACTCACTCAAGCCGATTCATTTGCCGAACAAAATCAGCACGAGAGTAATAGAAGAGGTTCTAATTCAAACAAGGTCGAGCCGCAAGCGTTCCCGAGACGGCAATGGTGGAATTTAATAATTCGCACGAGTGGCTGCCAGCTACTGCCAAGAATAGCAAGCACTGGTTATGTAGCTGAGGTCTATTTAGTGATATTATTATAATACGAAACGACCAGAAGCAGATTTTTGCTAAACTTATATTGTTATAGCGCGTGGGATGGATCAATTTGTTGTTCACGGTGCGTGTCAATGACAAGGGGAATGAATCACTTAGTCATCGGTAAAAGCTCAAGTTTCGCGCTTGTATTCTGTTTAAAATGTCGGTTTACATACTAACGGTTGTATACCACCAAACATCATAATAGCATCATTGTAACTTTACTCATAATACAAAGCCAGATGCCAAGTTTCCAGTCGACGATGACCGAAGAGACAAAAAGAGTCAACGAGATTTTTACGGTAATACAGTTGCCGCGTTACAATCATTCACGTTACCATCTGCTATATAGATGGTTTTTAATTGGAGATAACTGTGTTTTACGATTAGCAATTAACGACTTGTGTGTTGTTCTAATACCCTAGCGTCTGCTACAAACAATAATTCTAGTCATCGTTTCTAACAGGATTCGCAAACCATAACGAAGAGGAAGATCTTGTTGATGTGATAGAATTACCGTATTTCATGACATATATGTATATAGCCGCAAATTTAACTGACGTGCTTGTGGGCTGATAATGCATTGGAAAGACACCAATAAGTCGTCATAGAGCAAAGTAGGTGACTTATTTACCAGCATATCTACAGCTACAATACAGTTTTATACAAGCACAATTTACTAGACATACCCACGCGCGTTAATTAAACAGCACTGTAAGTTCTAAGTTTTAAAAGCACAGGACTGGAAGTTTTTACATTATTTTTTTCATGTAAAAGAAGAATGGTGGCGAAAACATCGAAAAATCATCGGCTTGTCTCTCGGAAGGTCCCCTCACGACACTTGCGAACAACGGAGACCCTTTGCATATGGTTCAATAAGAGATAAGCTTAAAAATTACGGAAGAGCTATAATATTTCGTGGTAGCCGAGTAAAAAGACAGGGCGATTGTATACATGCAGCCTGGAGTGTGTACAGTACAATGCGAAGGTAACGTCGGTGCGAAGCAGGGTGATTTGCATGACTTCGGAAGATGGCCAATCCATTGTTCGGCTTGTACACTGTTACTTCTGTAACATCGGATGCGCACAACTGTTCCGAGATAAAACCACGCTAATTCTCTTTTCATTAGGGCTGCCATGTACAGTCATTTCAAGAAGTAAAATCGCTTGTTTTGAGTTTGATGTCGTGCAAAAATTTCCTTTGTTCAACAATGATAATTTCTTTATGAGGATGGACAAGGACGTGTTGTTGATGAGAATGGAGTTGAGCCCATGGACCTTGTTGTTGGCGAAGAGCTATTTGTTATTGAAACAATAAGTTCTCGTACTCAATTTCTAATGAATAAACCTCCAGAAAGATCTATTCAAACGATGGATCCAGCTTCAGCTGGAAGTCATGATGAAGATGTTTCTATGGAGTTATTCGATAAGCGACGGTACACATTTTACTCTGATGAAGAAAAAACTAGATGTTTTCATTTATTTTTTAGTAAGTGCTTAAGTGCTTCTGCGGCTATGATACAAGGCAATTAGGTATTCATGTTCGTGAGGCTCAGCGATGGGTCAAACGTTATTACGAAGACCCTGAAAGCATTTTCGAGAAAAAGAAAAAATCAGGTCGACGTCGTATTCTTGGGGAAGAGCATAAGAAATTTCTCCTAAATTACATTGATGACAATCCATCTGCTGTTGTAACTGAAGTAGCATAAATCGGAAGCAAAACTTTGTAGATCTCAATGTTCTCGTAGTACAGTTTACAATTTCATGACAACTCAGTGTAATCTGTCCATTAAACAGGCGCAATTCCAACCGGTGGAAAGGAACAGCGAGGAAAAAATTCAGCAACGGTACGATTGGGTTCAAAAGTGGCAGCAAACCGACCTGGATTTCACAACAAAATGCGTCTTTCTTGATGAAGCAGCTTTTCACATTAACTCAAAACGAGGTATGGCTTGGTCAAGGAAGGAAACTCCTGTATGATGGTAGTTACAGTACCTACAACCAAGGCAAACGCAACATCAATTTTAGGTGCAATATCCGCAACTGATTTGATTAATGTGAGCTTGAGAGTTCCAAAGCGTATCAAAAAGAAAACGTTTGGACGTGCGACTGATGGTTAATAGCACAGGGACAGTGACAGGCCATTACCTAAGTTTTGTAAAGGCTACTCTCAATGAGATGGACAAATACCCCGAAATGAAGGGACATTACCTTGTCATGGAGAAAGCCCCTATCCACAGTTCGACTGACATTGGTAAATATATCAATTCACGAGAATACAGATTCGTATACATCTTCCTCCATATTTTCCCGAACTGAATCCAATCGAGCAATTCTGGTCAGTTGTCAAGAGCAAAGTGAAGCGACATAAGTTCTTGGGAAAAGAGACGCTAATGACTCGAATTAGTGAAGCCTGTGATAGTTTATCTTATTAAGTGACATCAAAGGCTTTGTTTCTCATTCTGCTAAATGCCTACTCTAGCACCTAGACACTCCGCTTGGGTAGACTCTTGAAAGTCTACTCTACCACCTAGACAATCCGCTTGGGTAGACTCTTGAAAGTCTACTCTACCATCTAGACAATCCGCTTGGGTAGACTTTTGAAAGTCTACTCTAGCACCTAGACAATGCGCTTGGGTAGACTCTTGAAGGTCTACTCTACCACCTAGACACTCCGCTTGGGTAGACTCTTGAAAGTCTACTCTACCATCTAGACAATCCGCTTGGGTAGACTTTTGAAAGTCTACTCTAGCACCTAGACAATGCGCTTGGGTAGACTCTTCAAAGTCTACTCTACCACCTAGACAATCCGCTTGGGTAGACTCTTGAAAGTCTACTCTACCACCTAGACACTCCGCTTGGGTAGACTTTTGAAAGTCTACTCTACCACCTAGACACTCTGCTTGGGTAGACTCTTGAAAGTCTACTCTACCATCTAGACAATCCGCTTGGGTAGACTTTTGAAAGTCTACTCTAGCACCTAGACAATGCGCTTGGGTAGACTCTTGAAGGTCTACTCTACCACCTAGACACTCCGCTTGGGTAGACTCTTGAAAGTCTACTCTACCATCTAGACAATCCACTTGGGTAGACTTTTGAAAGTCTACTCTAGCACCTAGACAATGCGCTTGGGTAGACTCTTAAAAGTCTACTCTACCACCTAGACAATGCGCTTGGGTAGACTCTTGAAAGTCTACTCTACCACCTAGACACTCCGCTTGGGTAGACTCTTGAAAGTCTACTCTACCACCTAGACAATCTGCTTGGGTAGACTCTTGAAAGTCTACTCTACCATCTAGACAATCCGCTTGGGTAGACTTTTGAAAGTCTACTCTAGCACCTAGACAATGCGCTTGGGTAGACTCTTGAAGGTCTACTCTACCACCTAGACACTCCGCTTGGGTAGACTCTTGAAAGTCTACTCTTGCAACCAAGAACAACCACCCTGCTTTGGAGAGTATTTGGAATCTTTTAGATTCTCAAAATACTCTTAATAACTAACTACCGTTAGTTTAGGTTTCCTTCGGAAAGACCAGCTAGTGCTACAAAAAATCAAAGATTTTTCTTGCACCACCACACCACACACATAAGAAGGAGGCAACTGATTCGGTTGAATACAACTGAGATAATTAATATTTTAATTTCATTAAAATATTATATTATCAAATATATAAAAAACAATAATTCTTATTGATTTTTATTGTTTTCAGTTAGCCCCCTTTGCCGTTTTTTTTCCATGTCGAATGCGACCGCCAAACTCAACTTCCTTCGTTGGCTGAGCCATTTTATCGACAATATTGAGAAACACAGAGAAAGAAGAATGGTGTGCAAATTTATTTTTGAAAAGATAGAAGAAAAGAAAAACAGATAATACTAAATGAAAGTAATGGGTGGAAAGGGAAATGAAAAAGGTATAATCAATAGAGGGCGTCCTGCTATTAGTTGTCTAACCAATTATAATCTACTAGCTGTAATATAGATAATAAAATTGCTATGACCGGTATAACTATCAGTGGCCGAATTAATTATTGATTTACAATAAAAATAATAAAAATTGAATTTTTTTATTTATATTGGTAGCCTCTCATGAGAAAAAAAAGAGCGATTGTTTAAAGTATATAACAACAAATAAAAATGAACACAACACAACACACTGAACAACTCGATATTGAAATTAAAAATTTAATTGATAATAAATGGACTTTTCTTGATAAATCTTGGCCTGAAATGCAACATAGATTTAATCATAGAACAGCTATTAAAGATATGAAGAATAATACAATAAATGATATAAAGGATATATTACTTAATAGATTTGGATTTATACCTGTATTTTATTTTCTTACAGTTTTATATAGAAATATTGAATATCCAGGGCCATACCGCGAGATTGAAAAAGGACTTGCATTATTATATCATATGGTATCAGGTGTATCAGGAAAGGATATGCATACTGTTATGCCATATGCAACATTTTATGATTTATATAAGCGGTTCTGGATTACTAACTATAATGAATTGAATAAAAAGGTAGAACAAGATCTAGATGGTATGTTCTCATCACCACGTATTCGCATTCTATCAGCAATAATAAACAATCTAGATGGTTTTAAAAATATTACACTATTTATTGATGGACATGATAGTAAAATAAAGTATTATAAACCAAATGAGTCACATTCACAGTTATATTCATATAAATTAAAAGGGCCAGCTCTACGTACACAAGTTATACAGGATATAAATGAAATAATTACACATGTTTCAGTATCTGAAAAATGTGCTATCGGAAATGATGGTACTATGTTTATTAATATGAAACTATATAAAAAAATAAGTGAGGCAGATTGTTTAGGAATGGATGGTGGATATAACTTATTTATACAAAAGTTTAAAGATAATGCGACAGATGCTGGATATAGTTTTTATAATCGTAACTTTTTACATCCCATAAGAAAAGAACCAGGACAAAAGTTAACAATCAATGAGACATACTTTAATAACAAGTTTGGATCATTTCGTTCAGCAATAGAAGCACAGTTCTCTATGTTAGGCTCTAAATTTGAACGATTTAATAATAATCGTGCAGCATTGCAAATAACCGATATAAGATATTATAATATTCAGTTTCGTGTTGCTTGTATTCTTACTAATATATGGCGATTTGTAAATAAGTAAAATATAGAGGTACAACCACATCATAAATTATGGTATGGAAAAGATTTTGAATTCCCAAGTAAGAAAAACAAACTTGACTTCGTATTTTCAAATGAGCAAAAAGTAAATACTGAATATAACGAAATGGTTGACATGCAGCAGAAATTTCTACAGCTTAACATTAATCAATCAATAGATATGGCTATAGATAGTGAGGACGAAACTGAAAATAATACATCTAAACGCAAGAGAAAAAATCAAAGAGAACAGAGAAATATAGAACATAGTAATTCATATGAAATTGAGAAGATTGTAGGACATGTGTATACTAATAATAAGTACATATTTGAGGTTAAGTGGGTTGGATATAGTGTAAAGGATAATAGTTGGTTAACAGTTGATAAGTTTAATTCCCAGGAAATGCTACATGAATATATGGCCACACATGGTATTCAGCTCTAAATTAATTTCTTACTTATTTGCTTATTAAAAAATTTCATATTAAAACTGACCGCATCAACCTTTCGTTTACTTGCCCAATTATATTTATGTTTTATGCATTCATTAGTTATACTTGTACTTATATTAGTATCTGTTGATTTATTTTTGACGTCAGTTTCTTTTGTTATATCTATATCATCTATTATAGCCTGTTTTATATCCTTATGCTTTTTAAAATATTCTTTTGGCTGTATTTCTTCTACTATTTGCTTGTTTCTCCGTTTATTTTTAATGTGTCTTTTTTTCTTTTTACGTTTTGGTATATTATTTGGTATGTTGCAGTCACTGCTTTTCTCTGATTCAGATGTACTCACATCTATGTATTTATGTTTCTCTATATCTTCTGGTGGGTTTTCCCAATCAGTAGTATCATTTACAACATCATCACATTTTATATCATTAAACACATCTTCCCAATGCCTACAATACTGATGATGGTACCTTTACAGTTGACCATCCTCTATTATTTTGTTGAGGCGGTTTATGTTGTTTATTGTTTTGTGTATTATTACTATTATGTTTTTCTTCTTGTTCCTTCATATATTCTTCTGTGTCAGCTAATTCTTGTAGTTCCTCTACTGTTTTATCCATCGGTGTATATTTTTTAATATCATCCTGACCACTATTATGTGCATAACGGATAAATGTATGCTGATCTTGGTATTCGTTTTCGAATTCACCTTTGTATAAGTCCTCATACATATCCATGTTTTCATAATACATGAATTTATTTTCATAATCCTTCACCTTCATTGTGTATGGATTCCATATTATATGACCTTTACGGTTCTTATCAACATAGATAATATATAAACGATTGAGCGTTGGCTCTAACTCATATACTGATTTGTTTTTGTATAACATGTGCGGCATATAGTTACTATTCAGTATTATTGGCATATTTTTCTTTTTAGTTATTGACTTTGTGAATTTGCCATTAAGTTTTAACCGTGTTCCTTCTAACATTTGGTTTAAAAATGTTAATTTGAAATCAGAACCTGTTTCTTCATTATACATAAAATCATAATCATCATCCTTATTATAATCTGACCAATCATTTTCTTTATTCATTAGATATGCTCGATGACCACCTTGTTCTAATACATCAATGTTATATGTCTTACCTACATTTGATGGACCTACAATCCAGTATTGTGGTATCTTATTTTTGCCACCAAACATTGTTTCAATAGCAAACATAGACCACATATGTAATTTATTTCCAGGGTTATTTTCCATATCTGCATCATGAAAGTAAGAATTTAAATTTGATTTTACAGTATCATATTTCCATAGCAATTCTGGATATATTTCGGTAGCCTTCCGCATATTAAGCTGCTTAGTAATTAATTGATATCCAAGTAACTGTTGGTGCATTTTTCTGGTTTTAATTTCATAATTTGGATCCATATTATAACAAATATAATCTATTCCTTTCATACAATAGCTAATAGACTTTTGTGGATTACCACCTGGTTTAATATTTGGAGTAACACCATCAATAGTAGAGAATTTACGTGCTGTTTTTGTGTCGAATCGCTCATCCATTTGTATCTATATGTGTACATGTTTCTCATTGGTTTCTGGTGCAATTTCATCACATGCAATTGCCTTCATGTTTTATAAACCATTCCATGATTTGCTCTTTTGTTAAATGGAAGTCCTTACAAATATATATGAACAGCCCTTTAGTGTTTTGGAATCGGAATTCTTTACCGCCCTGTGAGGAATCTGCACCAGAGGTGTTACCCTCTAACATTGCATCGGAAAATTGAGGATTTGAGGATTTGAAGAATCTCACATATTCTCGAATTCTTCCAATTATTTTATTGCGTGTATTATTTTTAGTTTTTTTATCAACTTTAGCCTGTGTAAGGTCTTTTTCGAGTTCTGACCTCAGTTGTGTGACAAGAGGTTCATACTCAATATGCTGATGGTTTTCAGCAAGGTGTTTTGCTCTTTCAATTAAGAGCGTCAATGTAGCTCCTAAAATAGGAACAAATTCAGCCGTAATGGCTAAGAATGCGAGAACGTTGAGTTGGTTCATGTCGATTGTTGAAGTAATAAAAATAAAAAATATAAGAAATATATCTTGCTTTATATTCTGTGGTGTTATTTTTATATTAAAAAAAAATTCAATTTTTATTTTTTTTCAAAAATTTAAATGTATGCATGCCAAGACATTCGTGCATGAATTATTTCAATAAAAATTAGTTTGGCTATCCTGACATATCTTAGCTAATTAGTCATCTAGGGTTACTAGACCGCATTAAAATCATCATAACCATGGCCGGTCCCCGAGGGTGGGTAGCTTGGTAGGAGGATAGAAGAAATTACTTGATAGAAATTAATCCCAAGGAAGGCTTGCGTTTTGCTGGCAATGTTCTTTTTGAGCCTTGCACGAATTCGAACGGCAGCGTCGGGTGCTTGGTATTTGGGGTCTGGGACCGCACAAGTGTGCTATGATACATGGCAATTTTGTAAAGATCATCCAAAATACTCAGCACTGAGATGGTTTCATTCCTGTTCTCGGGTAATGTAATAGTTGTAAGTTCTACAAATGCGTAAATGGTGGAATTTGTGTGAACATGGCGTAAAATGTGATTGATAAACCACGCGCTTGGAAGCATAGTACACCGGTGAGGTTACTAGATACCATTTCCAATTTTGCAAATATACCCAAGCGATAAAAGTCCATTACTGATAATGTATCAGAGGATCCTTCACCTTTGAGTTCTCCAAAACATGTTCGATAAGATGGTAGATACTGCTCATACACCATGACTTCGTAATCTGGCCGTCGATTCTCGTCCATGCCATTGTCTGGGATGCAGTTGGCACATCTTGCAACCTTACCATCGGTATCATAAGATAATAAGGCTTGGATAACAGGATGAGTATATGAGGCGGCAAGTTCGGATTCACGAAGAGGACCGATATCTAAATCCTTGAGCACAGGGAATAGAGATTCAATAGCTAAAATGACGTTGCGTTCCACATTTTCCTTTGTCATTGCAAGATTGATCAAATAATGCCGTGCTGTCAAGTTCTTGATCTTGTTCTCGTGAAAGTCGCAGATAATGGTTTTAACAGCCATATAAATGTGAGGGTCAAGTGAATCGGGTAGTGCCAATGAGGTCAAAATATCTTGACGCGTCACCTCCAATAAAGAAGGGGGGAAATATTCGATAGGCACAGATTCGTATTTTGTTCGTCTTTGCAAGACAAATACAAAAGAGATGGCCCTATAAATGAGAAAATATATCAGTCAGTGAGAACCCATTGAATTACCAGGCCGTAAATATAACAATTTACAAAAGGTGGTTGAAATATCGATCAACATCCAAAATGCTAGAAAACTTAGCTAAGTTTGCAGCAAAGTATTCGTGAAATCGTTCAACAATGTTGACATCTTACAATATCTAAGTAGGACAATTGGGGCGCATATGCATTACCAACTGTTTTTATATAAAAACTATTGGTAACAAATTTTTTGTTAGTAACAAAAATTTAAAATGGTTACAAATTAAATTTTATCTTAAATAAAAAATAAACCTATTAATAATGAATTCAGAATATATAAATAATTTAAATGTAATAATGTTGCAGAGTTATCACCATTAGTATTTGCTAATAAATAAATTTCAAACTCAATTACTTTTTTTTGTAAAATTGAATTTTATTTTTATATAAAAATAAATCATTCAAAAGAAAAAGAAAATGGTTGCATTAAATAAATATCTTCCTATCAACCGCATTAATCTTAGAATCAATTTATGTAACGAAATTGATACATTTATTGATTCAGAATTCAATCATTTTGTTGAAGAAGATATTATTAAAAAAATTCAAAAAATCTAAAAAATAAAATAAAATCTCTTTTTTCAAATGATCATTTCTTAGATTTATCTATGAATCATGGTTTTTGTAGCCATAAATTTAAAAAAGGAAAACGTAATAGACAGTTTTGTGGGAAGAAAATCAAGACAAATTTACCTGATGGTAAAAAGGATTTTCGTTGCTGTCAATATAGTAAGCTACATATTCCAAAAAAAAGCTATTAATAGTTAATGATAGTGTTAAAAATATAGAGATAAAAGAGCTGTATATAAAACCTGAAAAAAAACAGAAAAAAAAATTAAAAAAAAAGAAAACCTATAAAAATTACTATTGGTAATCCTTTATTCTTATGCTTTAATAATATTTTTCCATAAATTTTTTATATAATTTTAATATATATTATGTTCTTATTACAGTATGCCTAGACTATGCCTTTCAATATATGCATTTAATAATTCTTTTTGGTTAAATATATCAATAGATAACCAACTATTATCATTATTACTATATCCAACCCATTTTACCTGAAATAAATATGCATTCTTTTCTTTTTTATGTCCAATGATACTTTCTATTTCATATGATACAGTTGAACGCTGTTTTCCTTTTACATTTCTTCTTCTTTTTCTAGTACGTTCATTAAATTTAAGAATATCATTATTATTTTCACTATTTTCTAAATCATCTGATTCACTATTATTATCATCTATAACCATTTCATTATTATTTGATAATGTCATATTCAATAAATTATTTTGTAGTTGTACCATTCTATCAAGCTTATCCTTATTTTGTTTATTATTACTAACAACTATGTCAATTAATTTTTTTCAATAGGAATATCAAAATCAGGACTATGCCATATTTTATGATGTGGTAAAATAGGTATATTAAATACTTCTACAAACTTTGTAATAATAAACAGGCAACACGAACTGAAGATTATAATATCTAATATTATCCATCTTTACAATTGATTTATTATTATTAAAACGATAAAATTTATTTCCAATTTCAGAATATTGATTTTCGATTTTACTTCTAAAGCTTCCAAATGTATTATTAAAATGTTCTTCAGTAATAGTTAAATTTTCATTTATATTTTTACGAATTGGATATACAAAGTTATCATTACTAAAATCATATCCTTTTTCTGTAGCAAGTTCAGTAAACTGTGTTATGAACAAAGTATATCCACCATCAACAGCTAAAGTATCATTTTGATTCATTTTATTATAAAGTTTCATATTTAAAAACATGCTACCATCAGAACTATCTACACAGAATTCACTTTCTGATATAAAAATTATCATATCATTAATATCAGCTGCAAATTGTGTGCGTACACCATTCTTTTTAAATTTATATGAATATAAACGTGATCTATCTAAATCCGTATCTGTATAATTAATTCGTGAATCATGACCATCTAAAATAAGTGTTACATGTTTAAATAAATCTGGATTATATTTTCTTGCAGACAAAACACGTAATTTTATATTTGAAAACATATACATTAATAAATCATTTACTATTTTATTAATTCTTTTATAATTCTCTTCATTCATCCAAAAATTTTTTATAAAATGTATGAAATGTACTTTGAGGTAAATATTTTTCAATTTCATCTCTAGAAATACCAGAAACTAAATGATATAATAAAAATAAGCCTTTTTCTAATTCAAAATAAGGAGCTGGATACTCTTTATTTGTGTATAGTACAACTAAAAAAAAAAATACAGCTGTATAACCTAATTTTTTTAATAATATATCTTTAATTTTTTCAATAAATTTAATATGTTTTATTTGTGTTCTATGTTTAAATTTATTATGCACAATAGGCCAATTCCATTCAAGAAATGTCTAATAATTGGTAATAATAGTATTTACTTCCTCTGTAATTAATGTTGTATAATCTATTTGCTCCATTTTCTATTTATATTATAAAAATCAATTTAGATATAAAAAATTAATAGTTCTTTAATAAACAAATATAAATTTATAACTAATAAGGTAATGTAGTACCCAATGGGGAAGGTGGTGGTGACATTGAAACTGTGTTCATCAACATGCTGCCTAAATTCGCTTCTACATTCCATGACTTGGTTGCAGCAAGGACACAAATACAATACACTCTTTGCTTCAGAATTGATCACGGGCTTTACTGTGTTGTGGCTGCTTAGCAGTAACACGCTGTGTTGCTTAAAGGCGTGCATTCTAACCTTCTGATTAGCTGAATATATGTTGTTGTCATTGTTGCAGTAGGGACATATTCTTAATAGTTTTGTTATGGTGAAATAACGTGAGAAGAAGAAAAAGGGACGCAATCCATATGTTTTTTTTGTCCACTGACTTTCAAATATGTAGACTTTCAAAAGTCTACCCAAGTGCATTGTCTAGGTGCTAGAGTAGACTTTCAAGAGTCTACCCAAGCGGAGTGTCTAGGTGCTAGAGTAGACTTTAAAAAGTCTACCCAAGTGGAGTGTCTAGGTGGTAGAGTAGACTTTCAAGAGTCTACCCAAGCGGATTGTCTAGATGGTAGAGTAGACTTTTAAGAGTCTACCCAAGCAGAGTGTCTAGGTGCTAGAGTAGACTTTCAAAAGTCTACCCAAGCGGAGTGTCTAGGTGGTAGAGTAGACTTTTAAGAGTCTACCCAAGCGGAGTGTCTAGGTGCTAGAGTAGACTTTCAAAAGTCTACCCAAGCGGAGTGTCTAGGTGGTAGAGTAGACTTTTAAGAGTCTACCTAAGCGCATTGTCTAGGTGCTAGAGTAGACTTTCAAAAGTCTACCCAAGCGGATTGTCTAGATGGTAGAGTAGACTTTCAAAAGTCTACCTAAGCGGATTGTCTAGATGGTAGAGTAGACTTTCAAGAGTCTACCCAAGCGGAGTGTCTAGGTGGTAGAGTAGACCTTCAAGAGTCTACCCAAGCGCATTGTCTAGGTGGTAGAGTAGACTTTCAAAAGTCTACCCAAGCGGAGTGTCTAGGTGCTAGAGTAGACTTTCAAGAGTCTACCTAAACGCATCGTCTAGGTGGTAGAGTAGACTTTCAAAAGTCTACCCAAGCGGAGTGTCTAGGTGGTAGAGTAGACTTTTAAGAGTCTACCCAAGCGCATTGTCTAGGTGCTAGAGTAGACTTTCAAAAGTCTACCCAAGCGGATTGTCTAGATGGTAGAGTAGACTTTCAAGAGTCTACCCAAGCGGAGTGTCTAGGTGGTAGAGTAGACTTTCAAAAGTCTACCCAAGCGGATTGTCTAGATGGTAGAGTAGACTTTCAAGAGTCTACCCAAGCGGAGTGTCTAGGTGGTAGAGTAGACTTTCAAGAGTCTACCCAAGCGGAGTGTCTAGGTGGTAGAGTAGACTTTCAAAAGTCTACCCAAGCGGATTGTCTAGATGGTAGAGTAGACTTTCAAGAGTCTACCCAAGCGGAGTGTCTAGGTGGTAGAGTAGACTTTCAAGAGTCTACCCAAGCGGAGTGTCTAGGTGGTAGAGTAGACTTTCAAGAGTCTACCCAAGCGCATTGTCTAGGTGCTAGAGTAGACTTTCAAGAGTCTACCCAAGCGGAGTGTCTAGGTGGTAGAGTAGACTTTCAAGAGTCTACCCAAGCAGAGTGTCTAGGTGCTAGAGTAGACTTTCAAAAGTCTACCCAAGCGGAGTGTCTAGGTGGTAGAGTAGACTTTTAAGAGTCTACCCAAGCGCATTGTCTAGGTGCTAGAGTAGACTTTCAAAAGTCTACCCAAGCGGATTGTCTAGATGGTAGAGTAGACTTTCAAGAGTCTACCCAAGCGGAGTGTCTAGGTGGTAGAGTAGACTTTCAAAAGTCTACCCAAGCGGATTGTCTAGATGGTAGAGTAGACTTTCAAGAGTCTACCCAAGCGGAGTGTCTAGGTGGTAGAGTAGACTTTCAAGAGTCTACCCAAGCGGAGTGTCTAGGTGGTAGAGTAGACTTTCAAGAGTCTACCCAAGCGCATTGTCTAGGTGCTAGAGTAGACTTTCAAGAGTCTACCCAAGCGCATTGTCTAGGTGGTAGAGTAGACTTTCAAGAGTCTACCCAAGCGGATTGTCTTGGTGGTAGAGTAGACTTTCAAAAGTCTACCTAAGCGGATTGTCTAGGTGCTAGAGTAGACTTTCAAAAGTCTACCCAAGCGGAGTGTCTAGGTGGTAGAGTAGACTTTCAAGAGTCTACCCAAGCAGAGTGTCTAGGTGCTAGAGTAGACTTTCAAAAGTCTACCCAAGCGGAGTGTCTAGGTGGTAGAGTAGACTTTTAAGAGTCTACCCAAGCGGAGTGTCTAGGTGCTAGAGTAGGCATTTAGCAGAATGAGAAACAAAGCCTTTGATGTCACTTAATAATATAAACTATCACAGGCTTCACTAATTCGAGTCATTAGCGTCTCTTTTCCCAAGAACTTATGTCGCTTCACTTTGCTCTTGACAACTGACCAGAATTGCTCGATTGGATTCAGTTCGGGAAAATATGGAGGAAGATGTATACGAATCTGTATTCTCGTGAATTGATATATTTACCAATGTCAGTCGAACTGTGGATAGGGGCTTTCTCCATGACAAGGTAATGTCCCTTCATTTCGGGGTATTTGTCCATCTCATCGAGAGTAGCCTTTACAAAACTTAGGTAATGGCCTGTCACTGTCCCTGTGCTATAACCATCAGTCGCACGTCCAAACGTTTTCTTTTTGATACGCTTTGGAACTCTCAAGCTCACATTAATCAAATCAGTTGCGGATATTGCACCTAAAACTGATGTTGCGTTTGCCTTGGTTGTAGGTACTGTAACTACTATCATACAGGAGTTTCCTTCCTTGACCAAGCCATACCTCGTTTTGAGTTAATGTGAAAAGCTGCTTCATCAAGAAAGACGCATTTTGTTGTGAAATCCAGGTCGGTTTGCTGCCACTTTTGAACCCAATCGTACCGTTGCTGAATTTTTTCCTCGCTGTTCCTTTCCACCGGTTGGAATTGCGCCTGTTTAATGGACAGATTACACTGAGTTGTCATGAAATTGTAAACTGTACTACGAGAACATTGAGATCTACAAAGTTTTGCTTCCGATTTATGCTACTTCAGTTACAACAGCAGATGGATTGTCATCAATGTAATTTAGGAGAAATTTCTTATGCTCTTCCCCAAGAATACGACGTCGACCTGATTTTTTCTTTTTCTCGAAAATGCTTTCAGGGTCTTCGTAATAACGTTTGACCCATCGCTGAGCCTCACGAACATGAATACCTAATTGCCTTGTAGCCGCAGAAGCACTTAAGCACTTACTAAAAAATAAATGAAAACATCTAGTTTTTTTCATCAAAGTAAAATGTGTATCGTCGCTTATCGAATAACTCCATAGAAACATCTTCATCATGACTTCCAGCTGAAGCTGGATCCATCGTATGAATAGATCTTTCTGGAGGTTTATTCATTAGAAATTGAGTACGAGAACTTATTGTTTCAATAACAAATAGCTCTTCGCCAACAACAAGGTCCATGGGCTCAACTCCATTCTCATCAACAACACGTCCTTGTCCATCCTCATAAAGAAATTATCATTGTTGAACAAAGGAAATTTTTTGCACGACATCAAACTCAAAACAAGCGACTTTACTTCTTGAAATGACTGTACATGGGTCTCAAATGATGTATTCGTTATTGCTTTCGGCGTACTTCCATGACTTTGCTTTTATATCCACTTCCACCTTCTTCTACCTTAGAACAATATTTTCATGGCCCAAGTGGTGTACGTTCAAGCAGAGAGAAGAATCAGTGATCTCGACGAACGTTCGCCTCTTTTGCTTTTATCTCCACTTATCCAGGATTGATATCCTAGTAGATTCACAGAAACGAAAAACATTAGTACTTTTCGGCACGAATATGTCCTCTTCATAGCTTTACATTGCGATGTTTTGCGTTATTTTTAAAAATGGAAACCAGAGAAAATGTCAAAGGCCCAGAGAGTGAGCAAAGAGGTGCGTGTATATTGTTCCATTGCACAGACCTTTTTGGAGAGTATGTTCCTCATCCATGGGGACTTTAGAAGTGTCGGCTCCGTTAAGAATCTAGGCTTGCAGAGAACAAGAGAGGGCAACCTTCCTTAAAGAACAAAAATTCCACACAAGCTACATTAAACTTGTATCCTTTTCTGCTTGTACATATACAAGGAACCTTTATTGTTTTTGCTTTGATCTCATTAACTCTTTAAATAATTTACCTTGTATTTGTTACTGTCCTAAACTTGGGCTGATCGATTGACGACTGTATGATACTGTAATAAACGCGTCTTCTCTATTTTTCTATTATCATTACACTTGGTCGTAGTTGCATTACTGTTGCTGTTCTAAAACAAAAAGAAGTACGTTGTGTCATATCCTGCGTATCTTCGTGAGTCCGTCAATTCTTTGAATCCCTGGTTATGTAACCCAGAAGAGTTGGAGGCAATAAACCGTATCGCACATACGGGAACTACCCTGCTCCATTTTTGACACACGATTGTCAATCTTCATTACGTACCCTTACCAGCGAAGAAGCTAGTGCTACTGTAGCTATTTTACTTGACCGAAAAAACCGTTCCCATAAGTGCCTATATAAATGTGATAAATTCAATACATTCCCATCTTGTTGCTTTTACTGAGCGGTATCCGTGATAGTGTGGCAGTGCTGCTTCAGCAGGATTATTATTTTAAAGATCAGTAGCATATTTCATTTAGTTTAATTGAGTAAATTATTCATATTGCTTGTACACATTGGATGAGGTCATACTTTAGGGAGTTAATGGTTAACAGCTTTAGTTTGGGCACACTGAATGCCACCTGTACTTGTCATATATAGATGTCTCGTAAGCATAAGTAAGCGTTTCTATGTTTCAGTAAGAGTTGAATAGATTGCTTGGGTTTGAGCAATCGAAAAAGACAGTCAGGGTTCTTTGTGAATTAACTGCTCTTGGCGAAGTCTATCTCTGACTGAACGAAGTCCATCTTTACCGCCTTGGTCGGAGCAAAGAATAACTGGAGGTCTCTCATGACGTTACAGATATTTTGTTTAGATTCTTTTAATCTGACATTTGGCAGATAAAATTTCGCCTTTGAGTCTTCTACAAACAAAAATGTACAATTTTTCAAAAAAAACAGCATGCTATATAATGGTGGAATATATAAAATCACCACTCATACTGACAAGCAATCAAGGAAACATGTAGGAGTATCGAATTCAAATGATCTATTATATGAGTTATATGAGAGAACCTCGGTAGATTGCCATAAGATTGCTGCTACTACCCGATCCATTTTCAAGGTTGCTCAGGAAAGGGTGGTACACTACATACTTGAAACATATCCCATTCTCATTATGCTCCAGTCATCTTCCTGCGAACGTAAATCTTTCTCTTCGCGTCTAATCTGTGAGCGACAGGAACATATGCATGTACCGATATTATTATATTTAGATTTGTAATAAGGTTTCGGCTTTTGCAGTAAACAAAAAGCAATACATACAATCGTTGGTGGTGACACGCCGCTAGCTCCTTCCGACAAAAGAGAAGCGGCGAGCTGATGTGTTTTCACTAATGAATATAACAACCACAGTGTGATGACGGGATCCTCCTCACACAATATCTTATCATCGCCAACTTTCTCTCACGTAAGAGGGATTTTGCAGAGCAACACAAAGAAAGGAGACATGCGGATAATTGACGGAAGTAAATAAAAAAACCTGGAACAGCAATGTTAGGAGCATTCTTATCTTGATGATGCAATGATAGAGTACAATACGAACATTCTCGCCGTGGGAGATCATGGTCAAGACTCTATTAATTATTACATACTGTTTATCATTGTGGTTATGTGTGTAGCTCTGGTTTTTATGGAAATATGAACAGAATGCTAGAAAATCCCGGCTGTCATTTCTTTTTGTTCTTGCGTGTGGTGTGGTAGTATCATAGTAGTAACTAATCTCATGATCATTGAAAAGACCAGACCATATCAGGGAAATGTGAGATCCGCCAAGGGAGGAAAGTTCCGCTGAAAAAAACATATTTCGTTATGTAAGCATGAATTGGCAATGTGTCTGACATGGAAGAGCTATTTCACAAAGGGATGCCAACTTGTCCAATATCAAAGTAACATACAGGTAGTGTTCAAACTGAAGATTCTGCAACTGGCATCGGCTAGAAACTAGAAGAGCAGGAACAATCTTCAAAGAATTTGCATCAGTTTCGTCTTATGTAATGAAGTATCACTTTTCAATCCCACATCTGTAATTGCCTGTATTTTTTCTTTTTGAAGACAGAGACTTCAGCGACTGAGACAAAGAAAGATGCAGGTTTTACGGCTATCGGTGAGTTCTTGAGCGTTACTATTTCGCAGTAGCAAAGAAACAGGACAATGTTATTAAGATGTATTACCTTGCGTTAAAGTAAATGTAAGCAACGTCGTGCAAATGTCGCTTTTTTGTGCTACCTTCTCACCGAAGAGAAACATATGAAAAGTAATCCATTTGCCACTGTGCGCCATCCATCATACAGGAGATACAAGTAGCTGCTATATTAATATTCTTTTATACATATATGGCGATAGTCAAGTCAGATTCATATAAACGGATTTTTGTCATTTGCATGTTTCTTTCAATAGTAGTAGACTCCTTTCCAAATAAAATTACCGCTTCACACGAAGGCCCCGCAATATATACCACTGTATAACGGTTTTTGTTTTATTTTGTTTTTCACTATTTACTTCTTCAAGTTTTGTTCACGGATAAAGATCCATTCTAATTCAATAACTTCACGCCACATTGCGCTCTGTTTCCCAAAAGTGTACAAAATTGCCTCTTTGGCAAGCAAGATCCACCTTCGAACGCCACGTTCTTGGAACGTTTCGAGTTTTCGACCTTGAATTTCGTTTTGAATAATTGAGTTCCATGCAGACTTGGCGAGCAATAGCAAATGTTGCGCGAGCATTGGATGGTATGGGGGATAGATGATAGAGTATTGGACGAGGATATACATGCCGAGTTTTGTGGCGTTTCGCCAGTGGCCCTCCATCATTGTGTCGAAAAAGAGGCGAGTGCAAGTGGCGAGCGTGGTGATCCGGAAGGGAACAATTTCGGCGAGCGGGTACGTTAATACATGATCGATGGCTGATTCGAGGATTTCGCGATAGGATCCACCAGGGTATGGCAAGGCAGCGTTGGCGGGAGGGTCATCAAATTCGGTCAGCTGCTTCAGTGTCGCGGAGCTGCTTGCCGAAGGAGAAGAGCCAACGAATTGGATTACTGGGTTACTGGCAGCCCAAAGATAGGGCGTGAGAAATGGAAGCAAAAAGTGAACGTAGTATGGCAATGCTAATGGCTTTGAGCGATCCGGTACGGCCCCGTTACGTCTGTTGTATGTACTTGTCATTGCCGGCAAATCCCAGTCATTTTCTAAAAGATCCATGATCCGTTCACGGTCGCTCGTACCACCGTTGTTTAATAAGCTCTCAGCGCGATCCCAGTCCGACTCTTCCTCACCAAGCATAGCGTCGATCCGTCCCACAACATTATCGTCCCTGCAGCGTTCGCAGACGCACTTAAAAAAGTATTTTTCTTGTAGTGTCTTTTGTCGGTAGTGTCGGCTGTGTGCAATATCCACATAGGCAATTGTGATTTCCTCGTCGGGCTCAATGTTGTCAATTGCCTTGATCACGAGCAGTGCCCCATCAAACAGAACCGCTGCGTTGGGTCGGCACGAGTGGTTGAACAGGGACGCTACCGGATATGTACCCTCGCCGATCGTAAATAGCTGTTCGTCGTAGATGGCGAAATTATTGCATTTGAACCGTCCTAGAAAGCGCACCATATCCTTCTCTTGTAACGGCGTGTCACATAGATATGGTTTCTGCTTTGCTGTTTGGGCAACTGTTGCGTAGTGATCCAGCATGTAACGTGGATGGTCGTCCAGGTGATCCATCAACGACGCAAACGCTTCCATGGTAACCTGCACTGTTTCTTCATCGTTCGGTTCAATCTGTTGCTCTTGTGTTTTTGCACTACGCTTGATAAACCGCGAAACATTCAGGGTCACACGCTCTGTCATTTCCAGATCTAACTGCGAGTCATCCTCGTCACTCTCGACGGGGCTATGTTGCCCTTCTGCTGCTGGTCGACATACGAATTGATGGTAGCTTAGCCAAGCGTTTTTGAAACACGCCATATCGCAGAAATAAGCGGATTTGCAGCGTGAGCAGCGTTGCAATGGCGTTGCGCTATATTGAGATGTTGTGCCGAGTTTTCGAAAACAGTAGTTGCAAAATTCATGTCGACTGGCTTTGAGTGCTACGGTGCCGAGTGGTTGCGATGTCGTTATAATTGACCCACGTTTAAGTGGTGCTGTTGCAATGACGCTCCTGCTTTTTGCTTTGTCTTCTACTAGAGCCAGCTGGTAGCTTGCAAGATATCTATCTAACGATTCGCAAGTCATTTAAAAAAGGGGATTCCGGTAATGGGTTTAAATAAAAAAAGGTTTTGTTTTTTGTGAAGAAGAAAGAGAAAAAAAAGGTACAGGTACCACGAACAAACAAAAAAAAGTATGCACAGTGGTGTCCTTTTAATAAGGAAGAAGCTTAAACACTGGAAATTGACAGTCGCGCTTTCCACACCTCATTCACACACTCTCCAGTCCCAAAACCTTGTGTCACAAGCTTAGGTAAAAAACCCCGAAAATAGAATCAATTGTGGGCAAAAAAGAGCCTTATGAACCCATATCTGTAACGAGAAAATAGTATATTGGATGACATGATGCATAGTCCCAGGAGACAGAAAAATAGGAAATCATGCAAATAGCACTATCAGACCAGCTAACATATTCCTCATACACCTTGTTATACGTATCATCTTCAAAATCTTTCGAATCTTGTGAATGCATAAGCGGCATTATCGATGACAAAGCAGAATAACAAACTCTCTGACGTTTGCGCCATCATCATCATCATCATCATCAGGTCTCCTTTGCCCTACCAGCTATATGCCACTTATTGACATGTGCTTTTTAAAGTTTTCTCACTAGCCACCACGGTGTGAAAATCTTTTGTTTCTCGCTTCGTTGTTATGTTAAAACTTTTAACGGGGGTTTTTTTAAGATTGCTTGGGGTTAGCATATATTTGCATGATATACCATTATCAAAGTTGCATATCAAGGTCAATCACTGAGGATGGTCTTTGGATTTCAAAGCGAATCTAATCTTTGTTATATAGAGAGAGAAGGTAACCACGGGAGTAATTGATTCAATGCAAAGCATAGCAGGGGCATAACGAGCCACGTACATATTTGATTCTCTCGTGGAGGGCTTTTCTTCTTCCGGTTTGTTGTCAGGAGGGATGTATTTTTCTTTTACCGATGTTATTGGTGTGAAACAGTATAGACGATGGCTTTGTGTGATAATGTCATATGCAAATAGAACCCAGTGATCACTGATATCGCCAGTTGCCAATCTAAGGGAAAAGGGACAAAGAGTGAATTTTATCGTTACTACCATAGCTCCCACTTTGTGGCTCCATTATCAATATGACTTCTATAATTTCGCAACTTTTTGTGTCTGCTTAAGCTTCTCTCACTTCGTGTGCAGTGTCAGTTGGATCACACTTTCGGATGCCCCTCTAAGGTTATATTTTACAGGTGGGATCTCCTTCAAATTACTTTTCTTCGATTATACGCTCAAAATGACAGAGTGACCTAGGGACTACGTCATGAAAAACCATTTTTCTGATCAAATAGAGATGTACGTATACTACTATATGAATGAGCTCCTAATCGCTCAACATAGTGATGAATACGGTATCTTATCTTACATTATATCGCTGTTGTCGCAAAGCATTTCTGGAGGTAACTGCAGTTAATGTGCCTTTCTGGTGCTCTTCCTGGTCTCGAATGGCTCTAAAAGGGGTGTGGAAGGCTACAAGATTACTAGACGGCCTGTCAGCACTATCTGCACTTTTTGAATGTACGCCTTTTATTCATCACACAGTTTGTAGTTTATATTGCTCTTAGCTTCTATAGTCGCAACCGTGTAAAAAGAAGAGTTCAAGCAAGATGCTTACCCTTGGACACGGTTGATTCTTATGATATATCTTTAGTTCTTGATATGTAGCTCTGATACTATATATTAAGCTCTATAGACTACTTAATTTATTCTATAGTATCGTTTTTTACCATTTTTTCGCAAAATTATTTCTGTTCGTCGCACTGTACGGAGTAATAAGTAAGTATCTAATATTATGCAGACAAAGGCTGTCATTCTCATTATTCCACAGATACATCTCGAATACAAACCTGCCAGCTATTTGATTTGGCGGAGCATTTAACACTGAAAACACAACTCATACCAATCTAGTAGTATTCCAAAAGGTACAAAGTGGTTCAACTTGATACTATCGGCATTATCTGGAAAACAAGTATCACGATTTCAAGATGCAACGATTACAAAACAAAGTTCACATCATTGACCCAAAACATCGAAATCCTGACTTTAGTAACAGATGAAAATGATAACTTAACGACGCCTTCTCCTGTATCAAACGTTAGATAATAAAGTAGCAAACATTGAACGTAGAAAGTTGTGCTTTCCCTGTAAGGCTTGTATTGCGAAATATGTTAGAGTGAGATGTCATCTAGTCTTGCGTTTTCCACAGCCGTTCTCAAGGAACTATATCTGCAGTGGTCAAAGAGTCCATCAGAACTATACAAACACTTGGCATCTGCACCGAATACGTCCCAATTCATGCTATACTTGTTTTGAGTAACAACATGGATAAAATCCATCTGAATGAACAAACAAAAGCTTTTGTTGAGCGTATCTATAGCGCAGAACTCCGCTCTTTCCTTCTTAGACACGTCTATTGATAGCTATACCACCTATGCAACGAGAGAGGATACCAAAAGCTTTGATCTCCTCTTCAAAGTGAGACATTACCTACTTTTCAGACTATGCGAAAATCGAATAATACGTGTCAGTTTCCAGAAAAATCAAGGATGTGTCTATAAGGGCGTGGCGGTTAAAGCAGTTTGCAAAAGTTGGAGAGGGTGCAATGATTGTGATCGAGGACGAATATGGGATGTTTAATTAATTGGAAACCCATAGCTGACCCTACAGCATATAAGGCTGGTAATACAAATGGTGTATATATAACTCAGTCAAGAGAGAGAGAGAGAGCACAGGGTGCACTTGCGCGTGGCACTGCCCATTTTACCATCGAAAGCCAAGAAAACAACCAAAAAAGAAAACCCACTCTCTCTCCTTTTCCTCCAATCCTTTTACTTCTCGACATTGATGAAGCCGCTGCCGTTCATTACCGGCTTACTCTTCCTCCACCTTCCAATTGCCATAGCGGCCGCAGTTGATTCATTGTTAGTGAAGCGTCAAGGTACCGTGTCCTCTCTTCCTTTTCTGACATTACTTTTAAATTCTTAAAGATTCGCCCAGAAATTAAAGAAGAAAAAACGTTAACAACTAAATCCGTTGCCATGATCTTGTTGTAGTGGTCGCTTCTGCCGCGTGTGCAAGTCTTGAAAACACACAAGGAATATGCTCACCTAGCTCGTCGTCTATCTGGTATAATGGAACGTACCAAGAACTAACGTGGAAGTACAAGTATGTTGCACCAAAACACAAAACCGACAAAAAATAGAGTCGAGCATACACATTTTTAAAACTGATCCCAAACTTGTTTTAGCAATCCAAAGTACATGACAAGCCAGGTAAGCCATGTGTGCTCAAGATATCGGGCGCCCGTGAAAATAGATACAAAATTGGACTATGGACCAAATGAAAAACTTACTTATTTGTTTTATTTATATTTATATTTCTTATTGTTGGTGTGCGATCCTTAGAACACCGTAAACGTCCACTTGCTTTATATGATCGATGATGAGTACACCAGCATCAAAAATTGGACGGATCAGGCCTTGTCGCCCGGTACGATTGTCGAACTCGTTGATGACACCTGGTTCCCGTCCCTGCTCCCCGATAACAGCGCCAATAAGACCTGGGAACCTTACATTTATGTCATTACCGACGGCTACGACTACCGAGAGGAAATCGAATACGATTACAACTTCCCAGCGCCCATTCAGTTCCAGTTGATTCGTACGTGCAACGTTCCAATTCCCATGTTAGGGAGTGGGTTAATATTGGAAAGATAGGGGACGCAGGGGAAAAGAGAGCATGGAGAGAGACACCCTAAACGGTCACATAAAATAACTAGAGAGAGAGAGAGAGGCTGACCATTATTATTACTGTCCTTCTCTATTAGAAAACGCGCACAATTCCTCGACATCGGATTCCGGAAATGGCGACGGTAACGGCAACAGCAACAGCAGCGAATCCAGTAGCGGCCTCAAGGGCTGGATGATTGCCGTTATTGTTATAGCGTGTGTTCTATTCGTGGCAGCACTAGCAGCACTATTCTGGCTTTTCCGCCGACTACGGAGAAACAAAGCGGCAGCAGCAGCCGGTGGTGACCAACGCAACCTCATCCAAGGCAACAACGGTGCTTCACAAATGAGCTCGCCTGTTATTCCTGCCGCACGACCGTTCGCGGGCTCGCTTACAAACGCCTCATCGATGGGCGGCGGCGACGCACGCAACGACATGTCTTCGATTCACTCCTCCACGCCGATTGTTTTGCACGGCGGCTCACAAAGAACGGCCAACTCACCCATCACACACTCGCCATCTTCGCCAAAGAGCATGAGCGACTTTGACAAGTCATCGCCGGCGGTGGCGCATATTATGCAGCAACAAGAAGCGCGACAATCCAGCTCTATCCTGAGCTCAACCGACGCCATCATGATTGCCGACACGTTCAGACAATTCATGCGCAAACCCGAGTGGAACGAGCACCACGACGAAGAAGACGAAGAGGTGGGCGGTGCGTTCAAATCTCAACATTTCGCTGACTCTGACAATGAAAAGCGCAAACGCGTAGGCGACGAATTGTTGCGCAAAGAATTGGCCCAAGAGGGAACATCTGTGCAGCAGATAGAACGGAGGTCGACCCGGTTAAAAGACAACTCGACGAACAACGACGACAATCATCACACAGCATGACGATATACCCTCTCTCCCACTCCCCTCATTTCCACACTTCCCACACTCACCAAGACTGTTTGTTTTTTCCCTCTTTTCTTTTTAATTTCAATGCGCTCCTCCAGTCAACACACAACACCAAACCATGTATTTGTTTTACTCTCTTTCTTCTCTACCACTAATATCTGGCATCTTTCTCCATGAAAACTCTATGTAAGAGTAGAGGAATCTCTTGCAGCACTCAAAAATTCAAACTAAAAACACCCAATGTGAGCATCTTTTTGTTTGCTCTATTCGCCCTCAGCACTGTATCTATCTACTTTTAGCAGAACCAAAAGTCGGGCAGTCATGTACATATACCTGGGCAGGAAAAACACTTGGGCATCTGATGAATCTTCTAAAGTAGTATGAAAAAGGATTATGTTTGGAAACGGGCGAGTGACACAAGATCCTATTAGCCCTGACTGATCGAGATTGATCAACCATGTAAACCTGTCATCTATATGTCTCGATACTGTAGATATGACGTATCTCGTAATCTATCTGTTACTCGTAATATATCAAGCGGGGAGAGGATATATCGATGCCCTGGAGTGTTTGGAGTGTTTGGAGTGTTTGGAGAGTCTGAGAATCAACAAGGGATCAACAATGTGTGCATCCTACATTGCAGCGTATGATAGAAGCAGCGTTTCGATCAAGAGATGGTTCAAAATGGACGGGAGGAAATGCATGTGTACTATATAGTTCCAAAACAAATGTATATACATAGGAGCTATTGCATGGTATCTCGAACTGATTTGATGAATCTGGAAATGCTGTCTTCATTCACGTTTAATTGGTCTTGTTGTCCTCTTTCTGTGGTGGTAGTAGCAGCAGCAGCAGCAGCAGCAGCAGCAGAAGGCGACTCAGACGAATCCTTTTTTCGTCGTTTAGCCATCATTGCTTGCCGGCGCTCACGCACCTTGTCTGCATTCTTTTGTATCGCAGCCTTTCGTCGCTCTGCAACAGTTTGTTTGTTTCTTCGTGCCGCTTCGGTCTCTTCCCGCATCTGTTTCAGCCGTTCCATTTGCTCTGTACGTTGTTCATCGTCCGTCGCAAATTGATAGAATCCAACACCTCGTGTTCGATTTTCTTGTTTAGCGTCGTAATGGCGAATGCTGGCTCGATCAGCATATCCAACATGTTCACGAGGCATTGGCGGTGGTGAAGGTGACCGCGAAGGTGATCGTGAAGGAGATGGCGATGGGGAACGTGCGGGTACTTGGCTTCGTCGAACAGTACGTGTACGGCCAAAATCATCTTCGTATTCAACCCAAGGATCGTCGTCGTCGTCGTCGTCGTTGTTGCTATCTTTACTACGATCGTCGTCGCTATCCGTTGATTTTCGACTACGTTTATTATACTTTGCATCTTGTTCTCGTTTCAATGCTTCGCGCTATCGAGATCCAGAACAAAATCAGCATGTCTTGAAAGACCAATTATTTACCACCAATGTTCTCACATGTCTATTTCCCTTCTGCATGTGTCAATTACCTCTTCCCAGAACTTGCGATCAAAATCGATCAAGGCTTCTTCGTCTTCGCTTTCATCGTCCCTTCGAGCCCGTGTCCGCATTTCTTCATATATTTTAGCTTTTCGTTCAAGTGCTTCTCGGCTTCGTGCGTATGACTGGCTATCAACTTCTTCGAGACGCTGGACTTGATCGCGCTCTGCTCGAGAGTTGACACCTTTGTTCTGTCGTGCCCATACTGCAGGTTTCTGTTATAATGAAGAGAGACAAGGAGTTAAATATAAAAGTAATTTATTTTCAAGGATAAAAAATTGCCTTTCTCCTTTACCTTGTCGCTGCGTCGATTCGCTGCAGGGCCATGTTTGGCTCCTGATCGTACCCGTTCAAATTGCTCCGTTTGTTGGGCTAATTGTGCTTTTAAGTCGACCAACTGTATAATATTGGAAAATAAGAATAATTAGTAATCATCAATGAGTCAAAAGTTGTTTTAAAAAGGACATGTACCGACGCAGCACTGTAGTCGATGACTTGCTTGGGTGGCATGAGGGGAGGAAGTTGTAAAGGGTCTTCAGCACTGCGGTCTATGCGACCGGAAGCCGAATTTTATGAACTTTTGCCTCTTGGTCAAAACTTTTTTTTCGAACAAATTCTCTGCTAACATAAAATATGGTATGGTGTAGAGATATACTTTTTTTAAGAAATGATTATAATCTGACCATGCATCTCCCATCAAACGAAACACACAATAGAAAGTTAAAGCGCTTTCACGATCGTCCAACGATTATGTTCGTGAGCGATCGCAGGATCTTCACAAAGTACAACGCAATCTAAATCCTACGATCCATCCTTTTGAACAAGGCCGAGAATATGTTCGTGCCCTGAACACCGTTAAACTCGAGCGAATGTTTGCCAAGCCATTTGTGGGTGCACTTGGTGGTCATATCGATGGCGTCTATACCATGGCGAAACATCCTACTCGACTAACCAGCATGATTTCCGGCAGTGGCGATGGTGGTATGTAGTATGACCAGGCTAAGAGAGTCTTGCGTTCAGAGAACGAAAGCCACACACGGACAGAAGTATTAATTTGTCACATGGTAACAGAACTTCGAGTATGGGATCTTGCGGACCAAAACACTGTCTGGCGAGCAAATGCGCACAACGGTATCGTTCAAGGCGTATGTGCCGGCAGCGATTCTCGATTCCTGTCTTGTTCCACTGACAAGACCGTCAAGATTTGGGATACCAGCGCATCATCCGAACCTATCAACACCTATGTTGGCAAGTACGCATTCATGAGCTTGTCGCACCACCGCAAAGATCCACTTTTCGCAACAGCAGGCAACACAGTAGACGTATGGGATGAATCGCGATCTGAACCTATTCACGAATTTGAATGGGGCGCCGATTCGTACCAGAGCGTCAAATTCAACCAGGTCGAAACAAATATTCTAGCCAGCACAGGAACTGATCGAACAATTGTTTTGTACGACTTGAGAACCAGCCAGCCTATTTCCAAGGTTGTCATGGCAATGCGCACCAATGCTATTGCATGGAACCCTATTGAAGCATACACTTTTGCTGCTGCAAATGAAGACCACAACACTTATTTGTTCGATATGCGGAATATGGAGAGCGCACATAATGTTTTCAAGGATCACGTTTCAGCAGTGTAAGGGAAACCGGGAAGAAGAATAGCAAGCTCAGTGGGCTACAATCGGTTACTCACAGGTACACCTTTATTTTTTCCATTAGCATGGATGTTGATTTTGCTCCAACTGGCCAAGAAATTGTTACGGGTTCATATGATCGAACACTGCGCATCTACAACACTACCCAAGGCCACAGCAGAGATGTGTACCACACTAAGCGTATGCAAAGGTAAGCATATATTTCCTTTTGTGGCGTCCAAGATGATGTTGGTGTTATGTGCAAAATGCCACGGTGGTATAGAAGCGGAATTACTAACTGCTTTTGGCTATGTACAGAATCTTTTCAGTACAATTCAGTATGGATAGCAAATTCGTCCTTTCCGGATCAGACGACGGCAATATTCGCTTGTGGAAGTCAAATGCTTCCGAGAAACTTGGTGTCAAAGACTGGCGAGAGCGTCATCATTTGGCATATGCTGCTTCGCTCAAGGAACGCTTCAAGCATATGGATGAGATTCGACAGATTGATCGTCATCGTCCTTTGCCTGGTGATGTCAAACGAGCCGATAGACTCAAGAAGCAGTTGTTGGCATCTGAAAGGAGAAAGGATGATAACCGCCGCAAGCATAGCAAGAAGTACGATGAGGAAAAACGGATACCGGAACGAAAGAAGGCCATTATTGGCGTTGCAAAGTAGCACATACAATCGCAGTAATAGAAGCATTTCTCAAAAGTCCAAAACCCATTATTCTCTTTTTCTGTTTTCTTTAATCGCATGGCATTATCATTACCTTTTTTTCCTTCTTCCTTGTACAATAATACACTTTATCACTCGCGCACATATCGTCATATTGTTCCTGAAAAATATGAAGGCGGGAAACCGTAATAGGTTTAAAGCTGGTTGCACTAATGGTGGTTCATTTATCGTCGCACATTACAATATATTTGTGTGTCACGAAGTTAGTATGGAAGTCATCTTGACGGAGAAGAATGTTTATGCACATCCAACTCGCTAGAAAGTGTTCAAGATACAAACTATAGACACCACAACGTTGAATTGTACGTGATCGTTTATGCTCAAAGAGAGTTTTAATCAAGACGGAAATGCCCCGAAAGTGAGTACCTGATGTAAGTTATATAGAGTGGTAGTAATCAGAAAATCATCCCGCGTCGTGCGATATCTTTTTACCACGATCAACAGATGGACCCGCTTCCTGTGAAAAGTGCGGGGATGCTTCTCCTTTCAATTAGTAACAACTATCTGGAGCAGGCGCGTATAAAGGTTTTTACTACTATGCGCTATATGAACTTTTGTGTGCCTTTGCCTGGCAATTATGTAGCGACCAATGCAATGTTCCGATGATCTGTACGTCATTAAATCAACGTTTAATTGAGAAATAGTAATAATAAACGTCACACCCACAGCGTCCAACAAAAAGCACAACCGACATGATTTTTGTGTTATACTGCTATACATTATCTACATAATATTCAAGGCTGTGGAGGGATTCATAATATGAGTATACACTCATCGCGGTGGAAAACAATATAAAACAAACTCAGGCAAAAGTATACCTAAATGTCGATCAAGCAATAAGAGACCATATGAACCTGATGAAAAGCAAAACCTTCGGATATCTGTCATCTGTTACGGTCACGTCTGACCCTACGAAACAAATTGAGTTGTTCTTCTAGATACCGCACAAATTTCTTAGTATGTAATAGCTGCGAATCTAGACAATCAGACTGTGATGTAATGATAGCAATATCTCCTACGCTACATCACTCTATACATATTGTGCATATTGACTACAAGATAATCACGATCGTTCATCGCCGACTTTGATGCATGCAAAGGTCCGGATTTAACCTTGTACCAGTGATATATCTTTTTTGGATGAATACCAGAAATTTACAATGATCCCCAAGTTGGATCGTATGTCAACGATCAAATGTATATCGCAAATATCGATGTTCCATCCTTCTCCATATATTTTTAACGAGGTTTACTGTGAGCTGGATCTCCTACAAACTTTGCGGCCATTTTCATCACTACTACTGCTGTCAAGCAGATTTTTTTTTGGATTGCTTCGTATATTGAGGTGTGCATGTCATCAGAAAGCCTTCTTCCTGCTTATCGATCTCCTATAATCACAGCAACATGATATTGGAAAGATACACCAATTACAATCCTTGAAGTTTTACTTGATCTTAATGGGCTGTGCGCAATTTTTTTAATCAACTTTTATCCGACATACAGTCCAATCTTATTGTCTCAGGCTCTTGTACCGGGCAAAAAGATATCCCACGTCCACAGTCCATGGTGCGTGGTTGCACGAAAACTATTTTCCAGCATTAAAGGAGCTTTGGCGGCATGTTATTTCTTTCGGCATATGATATAATTTAGGTGCCTCCTGTGAGTGACATTGAACTACGTAACTGTGCAATTTATAGCCTGTACATCTACGATATATGACTTGCTGGAGCCATTGATTGTGTAGCTGCACCGCGAAAGTACAAGGATTCCCACACTCCCAGCCATACACTCTGATATAGTTAATCGCCGTAAAATGCCACCCACACCAGCATCATCAGCAGCTAGCAGTTTTTGACTTATGATGCGCTAAAATAGTGGATCTGCCAACTCTAAAACTTGACAGAATTAAACAAGAACAAATGGCATGTTGATGTTCTTTGGAATTATTCAGAGCTAATATATACATTAATGACCGTACCATAAGCATATGCTGTTTAGTTTCGTAATAATGCGACACACAGCCTTAATATGGATTCAGAATAAAAGATCGACAACCCGATCTTTTCCATCGTTACATCAAGGCTCCTTCATTCATTTAGCTTGTACTTTACACAGCGCTTCGTCCTACATACACCCTTTTCAACAAACGTTCATGCGCGTACACATCCCACAAAGCATAATATTCACTCTTGCTGAGAGAAACGGTTAGAAACATCACATGAATATATATCATCAGCTCATTCATCACTCTCGTCTTTTCGACACTGCGTATTCTACACACATGACTTTTCCGCATGGTGCCAGCACTGTGGGAGCCACCACGCGAGAAATATCGGGTTCAGGGCAGCAGGGTGTGTTAAAACGTCTTTATATTCTACGAATGTCCTAAGTCGAGGCGGTAAATATATGACTTTTTGACCAATCAACATTGCTTACAAATAGATGTAATACACATATAATGTTACTGCTTCTCTTTGATTCTTCTCCAGATGACAGCAGATCCCATCGGTTGTGTTATGTACACTGAAGATCGATCGTTGCTAAATCTGTATGACTGGTACATTATTTAATAAAGAGAAGGTGATGCTCATCTACACAGAAAGATGGATCAAGCAAGCGGGGAAAGCTGTATGTGCTACGGCGGGAAACTGAAGGCGGGTGGAATTATTCGGGTGAAACATCATCAAGACATAAAAAAACCGTTCTGCCAAGCTGTTACTGTTCCCCTATAGACCGGCCCAGGTAAAACGGCCGTCTTCTCTTCAACGTTAATACAGTAATCAAAACAGGCAAAGTCGCAAAAGAGAGATGTGGAGAAAAAAGCAGGGAAAAAGGCGCAAGGGGAATTAGGGGCAAATGAGGTGACTGGGCATAATTTACGAGTAAAAAAACGTATAAATAGGGATGGCTTCGTGACAGACAGGAGTTCCATATTCAAGCAACAGCAAGTCCTTCTCTCTCATATAATCATCCAACATGAAGCTTATCTCCATCTCCTTGTCAATCCTTTTGGCTGCCACCAGCGCAGTTATGGCTAGACCTGTTACTGAGACTACAACCATCGTCAAACGTGCATCTGCTGCCGACTGGAAGGACCGCTCAATCTATCAGCTCCTGACCGACCGCTTTGCTCGAGGAGATGGTTCCACTGACGGCTGTTCAAGTCTATCCAGCTACTGTGGCGGTAATTACCAAGGCATCATCAGTCAGCTCGACTACATTTCTGGTATGGGGTTCGACGCTATTTGGATTTCGCCCATTCCTGCCAACTCGCCCAACGGCTACCATGGCTACTGGGCTACCAACTTTGAGGCAGTAAACGAAAACTTTGGCTCAGCTGATGATCTTCAAGCCCTGGTGTCTGCAGCACATGAGCGTGGCATGTATGTCATGCTTGACGTCGTGCCAAACCATGCGGGTCCTACAAATAACGGTGACTACAGTGACTACACATTCAGCTCAGCGGAAAACTATCATTCTCAATGCTCCATCGACTATGATGATCAGAGCTCTATTGAACAGTGCTGGGTTGCTGACGAATTGCCTGACATCAACACCGAGGATGACACCATTGTTTCCAAGCTGCACGAAATTCTTTCCAATTGGATCACCACCTACGGTTTCGACGGTATCCGTATCGATACTGTGAAACATGTTCGTATGGACTTCTGGGGTGACTATCAAGCTGCTGGCGGCGTGTTTGCTACTGGCGAGTAAGTGATAGTTCTCTTTGCAAAAGCGAGAACCTGTAAAGCGTTCTGAGCCTTGGGATGTTCTTAACTAACGAGTTCAATAACCCCTTATCTTTGTATTTCAATTCAGAGTTTACCATGGTGACCAAGCGTACGTGGGACCTTACCAGGAGCAGCTCGATTCATTGATCAACTTTCCATTGTATTATGCACTCAACGAGGCTTTCTCCTCGGGCGGCACCATGAGTCGCTTGTCAAACCAGTTGAACGACAACAGTGATTCTTTCAGGGATGTCAGTGTCCTCACAAATTTTGTCGATAACCATGATGTCGTCCGCTTCTTGAACGCCAACGATGACGTATCTCTGTTTAAGAACGCATTGGCATTCGTGTTCTTGGCTGAAGGTATGTCTGTCTTTACTGTTCAATATAAAAATATAATTGTGATATGCTTACAGAAAGTGAAATTTTTATAGGCATCCCGGTGGTAATTTCTCGTTCTCTACCCTTCTTTTCTTTTTATGATATATGCATACATATCACGTGTCCTCTAATGAAAGTTATTACGATAATCATTTGATAGATGTATTACGGCTCAGAGCAAGGTTTCTCGGGTGGCGCAGATCCCGCTAACAGAGAGGCACTCTGGACCACTGGCTTCGACACTTCGAGTGACTTGTACCAGTTTGTTGCGACCGTCAACAACGATGTCAGACAAAAGAGCGGCAAAACGGTGGTGATGAACGTTGATGTGCAGGATAACACTTATGCCTTCATCCATGGTAACGCTTTGGTCGTCCTCAACAACTATGGTAGCGGTGCTAACAATGAGGTGACCATCAGTGTCGGTGCAAACATTGACGACAACACGGCCATGACCGATGCTATCAGTGGCGCTGAAGCCACCGTCTCCAGCGGCAGCATCACGTTCACAATTACGGACGGTCTTCCAGCCATCTTTGTCGCTTCGTCTTAAATAACCTATCCGCGCATCAGACGAGCCATTATACGATATACGATATACCGTGCTACATAGTAGATATAATATTTTTGAAATAAACAAAAACTGTATACATTATCAACTTACCAACTTATACATCATAAGTCGCTTTACAAATTGTTCACAATACATATTGTGATCAAGTTTTGTTTTATTAATGCAAATGAGTACTTTTTCAATTGATGTTCGAGATATAAAGATGTAAAAATTGGTTAATTAAAAGAATAGAAATGCAAGATGTTGGATATTCGTACACGTGTGTTATCGATATTTCAGTTTTATGCAGTCTTGACGGTAACAACATCACCTGCCTGGATCAGCAGTAAGCTCTCATCGAATTTTTCCTTCAAATCTTTTTTGTCCTTGTTTTTGGACTTTGGATGCGAAGTTAAAAGCTTGATAGCCTTTTTTCGAGCATCTTTTATCGACAATGGGGACTATGTTGAAAACACAGAATCAGCAACCACCCTTTCGTTCTGTTTGATTGGACATTGTGAAACCACCAGAAAACTCACCTTCGAGGTACGAAGAGCTTCACGGAGGGCAAATTCAACAGCTTTTCCAGCATCACCTGGAAGTTCGGTCTCTTCCCACTTGGCTCCATTCTTAGCCTTTTTGTTCGATTCGTCCTCTTCTTCGTCTTCCTGCATGCGCTTCTCACCAGTGGATGCTTCTGTAGCCTTCTTTTTCTTCAGTTCGTCAACAAGGGACAAAGGCTTTGCTGGAGCACTGGCTTGCTGCTTTTCTTCCTGCTTCTGTTGAGGTTCTTGCTTCTTGTTGTTGTTATTATTCTGTCCGTTCTTTGCGCCGCTGTTATTGTTGTTCTTGTTGTTTCCCTGCAATTTCTGTATGAACTTCTAGTGCGTAACATTTCTTTCCCTACTATTGCTACTGTCAGTGGTATTACCTTTTTCTTGTACAACGACTTTTGATATTTCTCAGCTTCGGATATGCAAGAGGTATGTGCTTTGTATGCAGTGCCCTGGAATGTAGTTGAGCAATCAATGCAGGTAAACGTAGCATGACAGCGGTTACGATGCTGATCGAGTTTGGGTTTTTTGACAATGTCGCCACAATTATCGCACTGGAAGCTAGAGAAAACAGAAGATATAAAAGCAATTGTAAGAAGCTGTACAAATGGTTAGGGCAACTACTATAGCGTACCTGACCATGATCTCTATGCTATTTGACAATTAAAACGGAAAGTAAAAAGAGTGTGAAACTAAGTTTCTAGGAAGAATCACAAGCAAAGCCACCCGATTCATGCAAACGGCGGCATTTTTTTAGCTGACTCTAGAAATAGTACCTTACTGAAAAGTACACACTAGCCGTCAAATAATGTATCATTAGGATTGCCTTTAAATGATCGAGCCCGCCATAGCTTGTTGGGTGGTAGCCATTTTAATGGTGGTGATTAAGAGCTCGTTGCCAGCAGCGATCCGCTTGGGTGTTATCGTATCCCTTACAGAAATACTCGGCCATAAAATTGTCATCTACATATCGACGGGGTTTTACGCCGAGCAAGAGGTATCGAGGTACGATGAGATAGATATTAAGTGAAGTTGCCACACATATGTCATGTAACAATAAATTAAGAAACCAAAATCAATAATAGGCGTCCGCTGAGAAGAACGAACCACAATTCAGTCAAAACATAACGGACACGTCTTGCTATATACTCAGATATTCATCCGCTACAGCCAACACCTTTCCAACAATCATTTAAACGTACGTTCTCTTTAACTTCTCACTGCTACAGTGAGATTATCCCGTTGTTGGAATGTCTTTAAAACCTTAAGCTTCCAATGGAATGGATACAGTGTTTGTCTAGTTTGCCACAGACAGACCATATTCTAATGGTTACAGTAAGCTGACCAGTTGCCCTTCATTGGGTAAAGCGTCTCCCTCTTCCCAGTGCTTTCAGATGCGGCGTTTGGATGAGTCACGGGAAGCAGGTCGTCAAATCCGGCAAAATCTTGTCGATTCTGTCATACCTGCCACAGCTGATTCGGATGACGGACAAGTAGAAGGGAGAGGAAGAGGACTTAGGAGAGGACATACAAGAAGGTCGGGCACAAGACGTGGTTGCACACGCCACGGATCCAGAAGAAAAAGAAGAGATTATGACTTTCAATAAATAGGTGTTAAAAGTTTTTGGCACCTATATCTAGATTATCTACTGAGATATCAAGTAAACCTGCTTACACCACAAGATACTCATATATTGGAAGTTGGAACCGATGGAAAATTTAACAACTTTATTCGTTGTTGTTGCTGCTGTCTTGCTCATCGATTTGCTCTTCATTTTTATTGAGCACTGCTAGAATCGCTTCGCTGACGGAAGCGAGACGCCCCAGCACATGCATACTTTCTGCATGTCGTTGATCGTGGGCAGCCTCTGCCTCAATGCGGCGACGCGAGTAGTAGCGTCGCCTTTCTTCTTCAACTTCTTCCTGGTCTCGCTTTCTCTTGATTCTGTCTTCTTCTAGCACGGAAGCAAAATCGCTCACGAACGCGCTCCTTGCAATGTTAATGATGTCGCGGAAGTCGTCGTTGTTGTTGTCCAATACTGCCTGCACCTGGTCTAAGTCAAGGACATTACACCAACCAGGGCCGATTCCACGAACTGCGCGACGAGAACGAGGGGGTGTTGCTGCCGGTTGAGAAGAAGGAGCAGTCCCTGGCGATGCTGGCGATGACACTGTTTGCAGCTCAGGCTCATTTTTATGCTGCTCATCACCCGAGTTGTGATCTTCGGTGTCATCCACGCTGTCTGTTCCCTCGGCCAGGTGGTTTTCAAAGGCATCGACAATTTCATCGCTGCCTGGCTGCTCAATGCTTTGCGCAACGTTGGAGACCGGGAGGATCTCGGAAATGGGCTCAGGGGTCAGTGGTTGCGACGTTGGCTGAGAAGCGTCCTGAGTTATACGGAATTTGCTCATTCCTGGGTAATGCGTATTTCTGTAGCTCATTTGGAAGTTGGAAGTATAAGTGTAGGCGTTGTAAAAGTAAGTGGTAAGAGAAACGAGAAGATACGCGTACAGGTCACTTTAATATCAACAAAACGGATTTAACCGACGTTGAACCTCTCTTTAATTCCTATTTGGTGATTTTCATAACGGGCCTCTATTAAAGAGCACCTAATGCAAAGAAGGCGATGTTTCTCCTGGTTGCAAACCAGGTATTCAGTCAGTGGAGGGGTCGTTAGAGAGCGGGGCAACACAGCCATATCGGGCAAGCTGGTACATTAAGGATACTCTGACATTTCTTCTTGTATGTGAAACGAAGTGTAGTATGAAAGTATACGATGCAGAGACCTTTAGAGTTGATAGCAGCAACTTTGCGCCGCTATGTCTTCGACGATCGGAATAGATATGAAGAATCACCTTTGGCTTCCACATGACCCATTTCGCTAAAGGCTCATATTCAATACATTGCTGCTATTGTTTTAGTCGTCATGTATTACTTTCGATATTCAAATACTGTATGGCGTTGGAGAATTGCTGCACTGCAAAACAAGTTGCTGCTTGTCGTCCAAGACGACGTGCCATTTTTTTTCAGTTCAGATCCATTGTTGCTCCCCGATGAGCTTCCGCGTTATTTGTTTTAACTATTGAAGGAAAGAACAGAGGAAGAGAAAAGGGTGAGAGAAAGAGAGGAGAATGCTGTGCTTGTGTGTTATCCAAGTTGCTACATATTGGCTGGATTTGAAGTGTTCCACTCGCGACCCGCTACAAAATTCAAAGCCACTAACTAGCCTTGCTTTACTTTGACACCTTTACACACACAATGTTCTTAACGGCAATGAAGGGCGTTGGGGCCTTGCAGTCCCTGGCTACACGAGGTACATTTAAATTGACCAACAGCGACGCATATATAAGCATGAGATGCTGACAGCTCCTCATTTAATATATAGTGGCCATGCCAACCAAGAGTACTGTATTGTTTGTTTTTCTTTGTGCTCCAACCTGGACAGCAGCAGAAACCGACATTGTAAAACTGGCAAGAACTAATCGTGGAAAAAACTCCATTTAGGCTTTGTTCGAAATATTCAAACTGACGCAACGACCAAAAACCTGTTAACGAAATTACGAGACCAGCTACGATACTACGCGGTCGCAGAAATTGCCGGCCGTCCGTACCTTATCACAAAGAACGACCAAGTTATCGTGAATCGGCTGAAAGACGTCAAGGTCGGCGACGTTTTGAAGCTAGACCGAGTACGCGAACTCGGTAGCAAGGATTATACCGTCAAGGGTCAACCCTACGTCAATGAAGGGTTCTACGACATCTCAGCTACCGTCATTGAACACCCCAAAAGCAAATTGATTCAGATTGTCAAAAAGAAGAGAAGAAAGAACTACAAGCGTACCATCGAGCATAAGCAAACTCATACCGTGCTCCGAATCTCCAAAGTGGATGTGAACGCTTTGGATTAAAGGAGAAGGTAGAGCCAACACCAACACCATCATTATCATCATCGACAACAACAGCAACAGCAACAACAGTAGCTACCACAACAAAATAATGTATTATAGACTTTAAACAATAAACTGGAAAAAAGTTGGACCCAGAGGGTATATACACTTGGCTACGTCTTTCACTCGCTATCCCTTTTTTGCGTATTTTGTGGTTGCGTCTGCTTGATTCGTAGGAAAGACTGTTTGAAAGCAAGTTTAGATACTCGAGAAGGAAGACAAATTGCATAACCGGCTGACGATTATTTGTGAGCAGTTCTTACCGAGCATATCCGCAATATTGACATGGGGCGGTCGACCAGCTGTAAAGACAATAAGCTCTGCTATGTCCTCACCTACCAGGGGCTGAAGGCCTTCATACACGCTGTCGGCTTTTTGCTTATCGCCGTGGAAACGCACCGTCGAAAACTCCGTGTTTACTAACCCAGGGCAGATCTGTGAAATGCGGATAGGTGTTTCCATGGTTTCATAGAGCAGCGCGCGTGAGATTGCATCTACTGCGTGCTTGGACGCTATGCAGAATACAGAGTATGATTAGTTGACACGATCAATCATCGTTTCATGAGTGAAAACACGTACCGCAATAGATGCTCCCGTTTCGGTAACTTTGCTTTCCTGTAGTCGTGGAATCATTTATGTTGGTTACTGAATGATCTGAATTCATCAAAGCTTAGCTGGCTCTACCTGCTACAGATCCAACGTTGATAATGTGTCCACGCTGTCGTTCAATCATGCCAGGCAAAATGGCCTGCGTCAGAAAGACGAGCCCTTTGACGTTTGTATCAATCATCGTATCATATGCATCCTCCGTGACTTCCACTAATGGATCCATGCCAATCACCAATCCAGCATTGTTGACGAGCACGTCGATATTGCCCTTGAACGTAGTCGGTAATGAAGCGACGGCAGCATCAATATTTTGCTTTTTACGGACGTCTAACTTTAGCGTGTGAACATTGATGTCATTGTGCTTTTGCTTCAGTTCGTCCTTTAATGCTTCCAATCGGTCGAGACGTCGTGCGGTGAGGATCTTTGCCAACATTTATTCATATATAACACGCATGAATAATCATGGATCAACGAAAAGACCTGGGACTACACTACTGCTGCTGTATAGACATACCAGGTTGGAGCCTTCTCTTGCAAATTCACGAGCGCAAGCCGCGCCTATACCGGAACTGGCACCAGTACTTTTCTTATGCTTTTCGAGTCAGTGGTGGTTGCTGTGACATACACAAGGGAGAGAGCGAGGCTGTCAACAACAAGTCTTACATGAGCACGTTTTTCTTTTCTAGTCGACGCTGTGCGTAAAAGCGTTTGGCAACATTGTTCCATGCCGCTTTCTGTTGGAGCGCCGCGCGTATCATGGTGATAGATGTGTGAGAAAAAAAGAGAGAAAAAGGGATAATTATACCGCCGCAGACCTCGGTTCATATTCATAAGCAAAAAAAAAAAGGTTGCGGAGATGGCAAGCAACAGTGCCAAAACAAGCCGGTCCTCTTATTTCTCTCTCTCGCTGACCAACATAACGATATTTGACCATGCGAGAGGATCTTATTCAATCGGCCACATCTTTTCTGACAGACCCTAATGTGCAGTCTGCAGCTCTTACAAAAAAGGTTTCCTTTCTGGAATCCAAGGGCATGACGGCCGAAGAGATTGAAGAGGCCATGGCAAGAGTCAATGGCAAGTCGACGGGTGCTGCAACTACAACAACGGTGGCAGCAGCAACACCAGCAGCAGCAGGTCCAGTAGCGGCAGTACCAGGCGGTGCTATTGCACATGCTCAGCCTTTCGTCCCACAACGACCATCATATGATTGGCGAGATATCTTTGTAGCGGCTGCACTGGCTGGTGGTGTCAGTTACGGTGTCTGGACGTTGGCCAAGGTAGAGAGAATTGTTTGACACATTTGACATATGACTAAGCATTGACCATTGTAACAGAAACTGCTGGGTCCGTGGTTCCAAGTACCAACACAGAAGGAATTGGAAGAGGATAAAGAAAAGCTAGATGCACAGTTTCAAGCAGGTAAAGGTCGTGTTAATCGAGGGAAAGAAGTGTAGAATAGGATACGCTTGGTTCCATGTTAGTTCACGGCTTTTCTCACTATGGGGTGGATGATGAAACACTACTTGTAGTTGAGGACTCTTTGAAGGATCTCAAGCAACAAACAAGCGATGCTTTATCCAAGGTTTCATCACAATCCAAAAAGATCGACGATTCATTAAGTGGACTGGAGACGGTATTGAAGGACTTGAAGCAGGGCGACGCGGAACGGGACCAAGAGTTTAAGAATGTCAAGGCAGATGTCAAAAACCTCAAGGAGTTGGTTCCTCAAATGTTGGACCGTAACAAGGATTCGCAGGCTGGCGTCTTGACCGATTTGCAGAACGAAGTCCAGTCGCTTAAATCGTTGCTTGTCTCTCGTCGTCCTCTCAACCCTACCGAATCTGTTTCGTCACCTAATGGCTCTGCCACTCCCGCTCACGTCACTACCACTACTTCCACGGATTCTCCCGCCTCACCTTCTGGTTTATCGGCCCGCTTGCATAGTGCCTTGAATTCCAGCAATCGGAACCGTCCAGGCATTCCAGCCTGGCAAATGGCCGCCTCTGGCGGTGCTAACGGTAACACAAACGGCAAGGCATCTGAGCAGCCTGCTGCTGGTGCCACTTCTTCCTCGTCATCCTCCTCCACTCCCGCCGCATAACTTATATAAATTCATGCAACGCACAATACACCTCACCCACACTCACCATGCCCCTCACTCCTTAATACCACTCACTTAAATAAAATAAAGCTGTATGCACCTTATTCGAACAGCCAAGATTTTGAAGCGTTTAACTTTTTAGTTGTGTTAGTGGGCGTACATGTGTGTATTTAGTCGTGAATGCCATAATGGCTATCTTTTACAGTGACTTTGTCCTAAAGCACAATCCTCTACGGCAGATATCAGTCCTTTCGCTGGATATACTTATCATAGGTATCGATTATAGCAATACGTCTATTGTACAACTAAAAGGAGACACTGTGACAAGCATTATGCAATGAGATAAAGGAGTATGTGTGTGTGTGTGTGCCGCGGTGAAAGGAAAGGTCTGTTGTCATGTGTGAGAATGAGGAGATTAAGACCACTTGTTGATAATCAAAAATCCCTAGTCAATAAATATGACTCTTTCTTCTTATCTGCCCTGTACTGCTACAGCACTTCTTTGTCGTATTGGAAGATGACGATCTGCAGAATACCAGCAGCTGTTTATGTATACTGCCCTTTCATTAGCAGGTATTGGCATCCTTGTCTACCAGTGGCAAAGCTCGCTGCAATGTCGTTCAAGCAGCAAAAATGACTTACCTGGAATGAAACAGACATCACGTGCATGAAGTGGAACAAGGGAAAATTGACTTTGCCGACCTTAACATTAAAGTCAGCCTTCTTCGGCAGTATCACAGGAAAGGGAACTCTTTTACTTTTTCTTTCCTTCTTGTTGAACCAAGCGAAAACATGAAAGTTGCGATTAACGTCCTTCACTATGCCCAAAGTTTCACCTGAAAAAAGTCTGCATTCGATATTCTTGACTGTTTCTGCCATTTCCCTTGCGCTTCTTGTCACAGTAGCTTGGCCTCAAACACTCCATTATCTCCTTTGGGCAGTCAAGCTTGTTCTGGGCACCGTTCTATCGCTTGTGCTGTTCAACATTATCGTTCTCTATATCTATGTCAAATACTTTGTCTCACCATCTCAAAGCAATCGAAAGGAGCAACGTCAGCGCGATTTCCGACCATTCCGATTCGCCCATGTCACGACGTGGCCCCAGGTGCAGCAACAACGAGTGCAGGACAACAGCGTGCAAGCATCAATGCCGATCGCGCCCGATTCCGAAGAGATATCCGAAGCGTTCGAGGAGCTCTTGTCACATATTTTGCGCGACTTTATAGACTATTGGTTCGCATACGTGGCTGGGCCGCTCGAGATATCGTTTCGCAAATCCGTCGATGAAATCATACGTTCGGCGGCACACGCACTGAGGCAACGGATCCAGGACGCCGATCTGTTCGGAATTCTTGTCAATCGCCTTGTCCCGCTTGTAACGGCGCACATTTCAGAGTTCCGAGCGGCCGAGATATCGCTGCGTGGAAAGTCGTTGGAACGGTCCCTGACACAGTCGGACGAGCTAGATTTGCTGTTGGCATCGCAGTTTCGTGGCGGCAAGCTGCATCCCGCCTTGACTACCGCTGCTATGACGACCAAGCCAACAGAGGCGGTGCATCTACGTCAAATGGTGGAGCGGGTGTTGCCATACGTATTGAATCACAAGGAGCTGGACAGTGGACCGGTGAGCGTGATTGTGCGTGAGCTTGTTTCCTGTGCTGTCCTACAGCCTGTCATGGATATGGTTGCAGATCCAGATTTTTGGAACCAGACAATCGATAGCTATGTAAGATATCTAGCTTTTTCTTTCGGTGAGGTTATTCTCGTGTAAATGAACGATAGATGTCCTAATCTGTGTTTCTTTGATTTGCTTCTAGTTGGGAAAAGCGATACGGGAACAGTATGTTTTGATATTCGTGGGAAACGCGGATGTGATGTATGTGAAAGAGAAAATTCTGATTTTTTATTCTTTTTCTAGAAAAATGGTGCGGAAGCTACGTGAGGTGCTCAATAGGCACTCGACTGATTTGGATGAGGTTGTTGAAGAGCTGGCAGACGCAAAATCAGCACCACCAAGCGGTAAATCGCGGCGACCTAGTTTAATGCCAATGAGTTCATTATCTTCGATGTTTGGTGACCAGTGGGAAGACGAAGTGGAAAGCAGTAAGCAGCGCGGGTTTGGCAGTATCAAGATAGGAAGGCGTACCTTTCAGGATTTTTTGCGGATGATCGAGGAAGAAAAGAACTTGTTAGAGCTCAAGCGCGTCCGCAACGATATCGTAACACAAGTCCGCAAAAAGCGTGCTTTAATCCGTACGTGTAAAAGAGTTATGAGAAATTAGTGCAAAAAAATAAAGAGTACTGATACCCTTGCCTTATATTCGACAGATGACCGAGACCCGGAGGAAGTCATTGATGGAGAAAAGGTGGAGGATGTCATGGTGTACCTGAATCGCCTCAGTGTTGCAAAAAAACGAGTCGACAAACGAATTGCAGTCCTGACGGGTGACAACTATGATGGCCGCAAAAGCTCGAAATCACAATTTTTCTCGCCTCGTCGCAAGCCTAGCGAAGCCGCTGCTTCACAGCCTTTCGGTTTTAACCTATACGACATTCTCACGAACACAGCCGGATTGTCGTACTTCATGGAGTTCATGGATCGACGCGGCGATATGATGAAACTGCAATTCTGGCTTATAGTCGAGGGCTTCAAGAACTCGGAAATGGCGGGGGCACGAGACGACTCGACGTTTTTACAAGATGTTAGGATGGTTTATGATATGTACCTATCCGAAAGCGCCCCACACCGATTACCAATATCAGCACAGCTGAGCATTGATTTGAACAAGGCTATCGAAGCAGCACAGCGTTGCATGGATGACAACGAACAAGGGAATGTATACACAGTTGTTCAGGAAATGCGACAGCGTCTTTATCAGATCCAGCAGCATATCTTTTGGCAGCTGGAAAAGGAGCATTTTCCCTACTTTAAGCGCTCAGATCTGTATTTCAAGTATCTCGCCACAACACCCAACTCGGCACCAGACACCATACCTGAGCGACGCAGTCTGGACGAGACAACGCTTTTCCGTCACCAGAGCAGCAGCGAAACGTCGACTGGAAAGAAACGGCTAATCAGCGAAGCGAGCAGTAGTAGCGGGACCGCACCTGGAGGCAAAGTGTTGGAACATCGACCGCTAGAGAGAACAGCATCAGCAAGTCTGACAAAAAAGAAGCCATGGCATATCACTGAAGAAACACCCAAGGCAGATTCAGATACGGAAGTCAGTGGTCCAAAGAAGAAAAGATCAGAAAAAGCAAAACCACCTGTCGCCCGCGCGCGTGGTCATGTTCGAGCAGTCTCCGAGTCTGCCAATGGCGGTGGCGGTATGAGCCGTTTTTTGAGCCTCGGCAGAATGGTTGGGTCTGCCAACGAATGGTGGCATACAAGCGACTTGCAAGCAAAGAACGGGAAGGATGACATGAGCGCCAGCAGCAAGCAAAGTCTACTGCAGTCACCAGTAGATACGGACGAACTAACAGAGGAAGAGGAGGAGGACGAAGAACAGAGTCATCAACCGGGTCAGCAAGCACGAAGACCAACGAGGCAGCTACTAAGGAGTAACACGGTGGAAGCTGTGGAGGCTGAACTCCAGTCTATCATCGACGGCAACAATACTGTGGATGATCCTTTAGATAGCAATGCCGACCGAAGAAAGAGTGCACCACCCTCTCCTAAGAAAAAGCAGCCGCCGCCACCATTCCTCCTATATGGACCAGAGGCAACCAAGTCATCTATGGCTCTTCCCGTCCAAAACGACTACGCACTACCTTCTTGGACATCGTCCGGTGGATCCAACACTATCGGCGAAGTTGCGCATGATCGTTTCGATGACACGCATTCATCTTCGTCTTCGATAAGCAAGAAAACAGCCCCACTGCCTTCAACCACGAAGCACAACGAAGACGATACGCTCGACAAAGAAACGTCGAACGTTCATCTGGCACCGCCAGGAGACTTGATGCTTGCGGTCAAGGTCGAAAAGCTGTCCGAGGAAATGGAGAAGCTGATGCAACAGGAGGCCATTGTGAACGCGCTCATCAAGAAAGCCGAGGCAAAAAACAAGGTAGACGAGTTGCGCATTCTAAAGAAAAGTAAAAACATGTTCCGGCGCGAGCTACAGCAAATCAAGTACCAGAAGAGCCAGTATGAGCTGCAAGAGTCTGAGAACGTGCTAGTCCCGGTAATGGATTTGCTGTTCACATGCTGCACAACGTTTTCCCTCATTTACTCATGCATATGCACCCATTGCTGTTTGTCTATTACCAACAGGAGCGAACCAAAGTCAGCATCACCAGCTCCACCATTGGATCGGATACCTATGGCGAGTTTGCACTGTACGTCATTGAGATCCAGCAGCTTGGCTTGGATGGGAACTATGGCTCTGGTTGGATTGTCGCACGACGATACAGCGAGTTCTTTGCGTTACACCAGAAGCTCAAGGCGCGGCATCCTGTTGTCAAGCTTCTCGAGTTTCCCTCCAAATGGCCTCTGCTGCGACTGCAAAGGTCTTTTGTCGAGGCGCGACGCACGAATCTAGAGCGATATTTGCGGCGTCTGCTTGAAGACCGAGACATTTGCAAAAGCGAAGAGCTGCGTGCATTCTTATCGCAGCAAAATGTGTATGTGCCCGGTCCAGAACAAGACGTAGAGGAGTCATCCGAATTTGGTTTATTCACGTCGATCCCACGCTCTAGCAGTAAGAAGCGCAAGCGGCGCCAGGAAATCTCGTCCGAGCTGCTCAAGCAGCAGCTACAGCCCTCATCAAGTACGTCTACCGTCGGCTCGGGTTTGCATCGTTCCATTAGCGATAACGTACAGCACCAGCATGACCAACGCAGCAAAGCATCGTCCGCCGGCTTTATGAAGCACATCTACAAGACTGTGGCCGAGGGCATTGACGACCTGTTTGTTGGCCCATCGATGTTGGACTTGATCACGCAGCGCATGGGTGAACAAGTCATGGACTTTATCCAAGAGGCAGACGAAAACAGTGAACAACGTGTAGAGCAAAATGAGGAAGCTGTGGCCGCTGCAGCTGCCGTGGCAGCAGCAGTAACGTCAGACCCCGACTTCACGGACTCACTGAAAAATGCTCCAGAAGGCATCACCAAGTTCACAGAGCCGCTTTGCGATTTATTTATTGAAATGTTTGAGCTCAAGGAAAAGAACAATTGGCTGCGACGGCAGGCAGTTGTCATCATTCTCCAGCAAATCTTCGGTGGCACAATCGAAAGGTAAAGTGTCTGTCATATGTCAACTCCCTCGATATCAGAACTGACATATATTCCGGACATAGAAAACTCCGTGAGACTGTGCATTTCCTTGCTACCGAACCCATGATCGTCTTTTATCTTCGAAAGGTGACTGATAGCTTATGGCCCGATGGTCAAACGCTCACTTTCAAAGAGCCGCGTCGGCCAGATGAGAAGCAGCATACCAAAGAATCTGCAAACAGAAAACTTTCTACTTGGCTACCAGGTAATTGCAGAAAAAAAAACGATCATCAGATTATTATTGTTCCACCGTACCGTAGATGACACAAAAGTGTGCAACATACGGCTTATGCATTGTATAGACTTAATAGGGCAGATGGTGGGTCGGCAAAACGCAAGACGCGGAGCAAGACGGTTGTTTAGTGTGCTCCAGAATAAACGGTTAAACCAAGACCTTGTGTATACCCTTTTTGATGAAGTCGTCTCTGCACTTTTCCCAGAGATAGACACATCCACTTGTAAAACATAGTTTACCACATTCTTCTTCTTCTTCTTCTTCTTCTTCATATCATCATAGTATCCCCCTTATTGTTTATAGCACTCTTATCATTACACTTATCAGCATACATATACATTAATCTACATCATAAGAAATATTGTAATTGGCTTTAAAACTATAGTAAGCCCCCCATATGTGAATATAAGTACTATTTGGGTTACAGTTCTGTGGGATCATCTCATCACCAGCGTGAGAACGTGAGAGAAACAAAAGACCACTCTTTCAGCATGCATATGAGTATACCAGATTTGAAATACTACATCGTCTTTGTATATACAGTAGCGTCACATGAGCTGCGTCGGTTGAGGGTCACAACGGTGGTCTGTGTATGCCGGTGGCGGCATACTGATGACACTGCTTGCCTCATGATAAGACGGTGGTGATGAACCAGCTTCTGGATCTCGACGAGTAGAGCGGAGAAGGTCGCGTACTTGCCGTCGTTCATTATCCTCGGTCATCATTTCTGTTTTGTTGTTACAGCACGTGTTTTTGTTAGAAGCCATTGTTCGTTATTGGGCATATACAGTCGCATAAAGAGAGAGAGAGTACCATACACAATAAGGAAGCATTAATGACTAGTTAGTGGCGTATTATCGTACTATTGCGCAGTAATAGAGAAAAGCAAAAGTAAAACCCTACTTTTACTTTGCCGACGAACATAACGTAAGCATATAGTGACGACTATAATAAATCCAGCAATGATAAAAATGACGGATAGTCCTGGCATATAGTCTGCCATAACTAGAGTCGATCTTCTCGTTTTTACAGATATGGAAAAAAAAATTGTACGGAAGACCAAGAAGTAGTGGATGCTGTAATTTGTTGCTAAAATAGAAAAAAGAAAACAGGACTACGCCACACAGCCGTAACATATTATATGCCTCCATGAAAAGCAGCGTTTATTGCTTATTTGGTTCCATTTTCTTCAGGAAATCTTATACCATCGCGTTCACACTAATTCTCCAGATATGATAGTGTATTTTTTGTTGCTTCCTCTACATTAGATCCAAAGTGCTACAAAGTGCTTGATCAGGTTTGTTACTCTATCTGCTGATGATCTTTTGGAGATCAAACCTGTTTTTTCCAGACAATAATTCATCCAAGGTGATATGTTGTACAGAGTAAGCTAGAGGCTGGAGCTTAAAAAATTTGGAAGGCTAAAAGGTGTACAACCGCGTGATCCACCTTTTTATATGATCAAAAACTATCGCGGGGAAGTAAAGCAAACTCTCGATGCCACGCGACAACCAGGCAATATAAGGTAAGTGTTTTATCAGTATGCACAGTACTGTACTGGATATGCTCGACGCCAGCTTTTAGCTTGTGTGACATGAGTCCAAAATATCGAGTATGTACTAGTTATACACCACATACTAAAAGACACCAAAACGTCGTACTTATTGTGTGTCATACAAGACAGATGTAACGCCACTGTTTAGCTTGCGTTATGCATATTCGATCCTGATGTGACCGCGACGATAAGAATCCGACACACATTTGATATAACTCACGAGATATCACTAAGACACTAAACCTGTAAATTACATAATACATTTAGGGAAGACTAGGTAATCATGAACCCTTTATTATGCGATGTACGATATCAGCAAACAGACATGGTTTTGGCGCATGGAAAGGACAGTAAAACTGTCAGAAAAACATAGATTAAGTTTACATAGAAACCATACTGTGTATACTCGGGAAACTTTGATTAGGTAAATTCTACAGTACTTGCACTTGAACAATTTACAAAGAAAAGTACTACGCCCTTTTTTTTTACATAGTTGATTAGCTACAGTATCATATCTTAAATCAATTGCAAGCTGAACCAGAAAGTTAACGATCACTTTACTCAATTGTTTTATCACACAACTACAATCAAAAAACTTGAGATAATCATCTGAAAAATAAAATGCCCTTTGTTGCCGTTAGCTCTCGTTAGTTGTCGTCTGTAGCCTTTCAGACACCTTTAGCAACCTTCCAAGACACCTATAAGGTTGCAAAAGACCCAAATGATAATCTAAAATTTTGTGATCTTATGTTCGACAACAAAAAGGATTGGAAGAAGGAGAAAAAGAAGGCAGCATCATCCCTAAAAACAGTCGATATAATCATGTAGCGAGTATGCTGAGGAAAAATGACTCAAACTCAATGGGTTATGGAGCATACAAAACCGAAAACAGAAAAGCGAGGACGCATACTAGCCCCGGTTGAAGCCGGAGTGTGATGTATCGATAGTGATCCCTTTTTTGCCCGCTACTATTGTTTTGGTGGATTAACACTTTTAAGCAGAAGAGGTGGTACTAACTATGCGTATAATATGATATTATTGTACTAGACAGTTTGGTGGTGCGAAATACGATGTGCTGATACGAGATAAGCGGTGTGGGATATTGCAATTTAGAATTTGGTATTGCAGAGCTGCGGTTAAAAAACGACAGTATAAGTCGTTTCTCCAGCATAATTATTCTTTAACAGTTAATGCTCTCGCTTGCATTGACATTGCTAGCAGTATGGCTGGGTGGCCACTTTATGCTGGTTCTAGCAGATGAACAGAGTGGCTAGGTGGCCACTTTATGATGGTTCTAAACGATGAACAGAGTGGCCGGGTGGCCACTTTATGATGGTTCTAAACGATGAGCAGAGTGGCCGGGTGGCCACTTTATGATGGTTATAAACGATGAACAGAGTGACCGGGTGGCCACTTTATGATGGTTCTAAACGATGAGCAGAGTGGCCGGGTGGCCACTTTATGATGGTTATAAACGATGAACAGAGTGACCGGGTGGCCACTTTATGATGGTTTTAAAAGATGAACAGAGTGACCGGGTGGCCACTTTATGATGGTTATAAACGATGAGCAGAGTGGCCAGGTGGCCACTTTATATGGCTCTAAAAGATGAACAGAGTGGCCAGGTGGCCACTTTATAATGGCTCTAAAAGATGAACAGAGTGGCCAGGTGGCCACTTTATGATGGTTTTAAAAGATGAACAGAGTGGCCAGGTGGCCACTTTATGATGGTTATAAACGATGAGCAGAGTGGCCAGGTGGCCACTTTATAATGGCTCTAAAAGATGAACAGAGTGGCCAGGTGGCCACTTTATGATGGTTCTAAACGATGAGCAGAGTGGCCGGGTGGCCACTTTATGATGGTTTTAAAAGATGAACAGAGTGGCCAGGTGGCCACTTTATGATGGTTTTAAAAGATGAACAGAGTGACCGGGTGGCCACTTTATAATGGCTCTAAAAGATGAACAGAGTGGCCAGGTGGCCACTTTATGATGGTTTTAAAAGATGAACAGAGTGACCGGGTGGCCACTTTATGATGGTTATAAACGATGAGCAGAGTGGCCAGGTGGCCACTTTATGCTGGTTCTAGCAGATGAACAGAGTGGCCGGGTGGCCACTTTATGATGGTTTTAAAAGATGAACAGAGTGGCCGGGTGGCCACTTTATGATGGTTTTAAAAGATGAACAGAGTGACCGGGTGGCCACTTTATGATGGTTATAAACGATGAGCAGAGTGGCCAGGTGGCCACTTTATAATGGCTCTAAAAGATGAACAGAGTGGCCAGGTGGCCACTTTATGATGGTTTTAAAAGATGAACAGAGTGACCAGGTGGCCACTTTATGATGGTTTTAAAAGATGAACAGAGTGACCGGGTGGCCACTCTATGATGATTATAAACGATGAGCAGAGTGGCCAGGTGGCCACTTTATAATGGCTCTAAAAGATGAACAGAGTGGCCAGGTGGCCACTTTATGATGGTTTTAAAAGATGAACAGAGTGACCGGGTGGCCACTTTATGATGGTTCTAAACGATGAGCAGAGTGGCCAGGTGGCCACTTTATAATGGCTCTAAAAGATGAACAGAGTGGCCAGGTGGCCACTTTATGATGGTTCTAAACAATGAGCAGAGTGGCCGGGTGGCCACTTTATGATGGTTTTAAAAGATGAACAGAGTGGCCGGGTGGCCACTTTATGATGGTTTTAAAAGATGAACAGAGTGACCGGGTGGCCACTTTATGATGGTTATAAACGATGAGCAGAGTGGCCGGGTGGCCACTTTATGATGGTTCTAAAAGATGAACAGAGTGGCCAGGTGGCCACTTTATGATGGTTTTAAAAGATGAACAGAGTGACCAGGTGGCCACTTTATGATGGTTTTAAAAGATGAACAGAGTGACCGGGTGGCCACTTTATGATGGTTATAAACGATGAGCAGAGTGGCCAGGTGGCCACTTTATAATGGCTCTAAAAGATGAACAGAGTGGCCAGGTGGCCACTTTATGATGGTTCTAAACGAGGAGCAGAGTGGCCAGGTGGCCACTTTATAATGGCTCTAAAAGATGAACAGAGTGGCCGGGTGGCCACTTTATGATGGTTCTAAACGATGAGCAGAGTGGCCGGGTGGCCACTTTATGATGGTTTTAAAAGATGAACAGAGTGGCCAGGTGGCCACTTTATGATGGTTTTAAAAGATGAACAGAGTGACCGGGTGGCCACTTTATAATGGCTCTAAAAGATGAACAGAGTGGCCAGGTGGCCACTTTATGATGGTTTTAAAAGATGAACAGAGTGACCGGGTGGCCACTTTATGATGGTTATAAAAGATGAACAGAGTGGCCGGGTGGCCACTTTATGATGGTTTTAAAAGATGAACAGAGTGACCGGGTGGCCACTTTATGATGGTTATAAACGATGAGCAGAGTGGCCAGGTGGCCACTTTATAATGGCTCTAAAAGATGAACAGAGTGGCCGGGTGGCCACTTTATGATGGTTCTAAACAATGAGCAGAGTGGCCGGGTGGCCACTTTATGATGGTTTTAAAAGATGAACAGAGTGGCCGGGTGGCCACTTTATGATGGTTTTAAAAGATGAACAGAGTGACCGGGTGGCCACTTTATGATGGTTATAAACGATGAGCAGAGTGGCCGGGTGGCCACTTTATGATGGTTCTAAAAGATGAACAGAGTGGCCAGGTGGCCACTTTATGATGGTTTTAAAAGATGAACAGAGTGACCAGGTGGCCACTTTATGATGGTTTTAAAAGATGAACAGAGTGACCGGGTGGCCACTTTATGATGGTTATAAACGATGAGCAGAGTGGCCAGGTGGCCACTTTATAATGGCTCTAAAAGATGAACAGAGTGGTCAGGTGGCCACTTTATGATGGTTCTAAACGATGAGCAGAGTGGCCGGGTGGCCACTTTATGATGGTTTTAAAAGATGAACAGAGTGGCCGGGTGGCCACTTTATGATGGTTCTAAAAGATGAACAGAGTGGCCAGGTGGCCACTTTATGATGGTTTTAAAAGATGAACAGAGTGGCCGGGTGGCCACTTTATGATGGTTCTAAACGATGAGCAGAGTGGCCAGGTGGCCACTTTATGATGGTTCAGTGGCCAACCACTTCACAAACTAGTGGAGTGACTGTAAGGCAAAAGCCGCGCCATTATGACCACGACCACAAGTTTCTTCAACGAAGCAGTGTACATTCCGAAGTCACCTACGATCAGTTACGCGAACTCTTGTTCGTCAACCATTCACTGAACGAAACCAAGTACGTCTAACTTATAGTGGAAGCCAAGGAACTGTTTGCCCTATCATCCCAACAGAATAGTAAGAATACCCCAGTTCAAACCGCTGGCGGTGGATCAGGAACAGAAGGAGCTGCGGGCGTATATTGGCTAGCGTTCAAAGCAACCCTGGCTTCAAGTCGTAAATTTATTGAATTAGTCGCCACGCGTGAACAAATGGACGACACGAACGGATTACGTAAGTTTCTTGTCGTGTCAAAACCTGTTGAACCAACCAATTTGCGGCGAGTGCGTAACTACGTTCGTGGATGTTACGAGTCTTGGACACGGGTACGCGAATTACAGGATGGCGAAGTCGAGTGGACGTGTATCCAACGGTCAGATCCAGGTGGATGGGTGCCGCGATGCTTATCCGACTGAATCTTCGCTAAAGAGTTTCATAAAGATGCGGAGTCTATTATTCATTATATTGCCAAAAATAACACAAAGAAGTTTTCACAAATAGATGATTCTGCTACCAAGGTTCATCAACAAGCAATGAAAAACAATATCATATTTAACAAAACCAGTGGTTTTATTGTGCGAGTATGTTTTTGTTTACCAGAGTCGGTTTGTGCAAATTACTCGACGTACGTAGTAATGCGAGATAAAGGGCGTAAAATAATACAATCTAAGAACCTGGTACTGTAATTGACTTTTGGCTGTAGCCTCGCGTATGTTTGCAGAGGTAAATAATCGGTTGGACTTGCACAAAAGTGATTTTTTAAGTTTCGACATTTAGCTTCTGCATTGATGGGTGCTATCTTCAGCCGCATACACACTTCCAGTTCAGCCTATAAAACAGTGATAGTTTTGTCAGATATAATGCTTGTGAACATAAACAGTGTCTCGGAATCATCTGTGTGCCCCTCCACTACTACCAAAAGGTTTTACCTTGATTAGGTCTAAAAGACGCTCAACACCTCTCTCACCGTAACCTGCCAGTACATATAGAAGCGACCGACTAACGTTGACACCTTTGGATCCCAAAGCGATGGCTTTGAAAATATCTCCGCCTTCATTGTATACTTGAAGCTCTTATCCAAGTCCTCCCCATTCAGAGCATCCACAACATCAATGGTTGATTAAAGAAAATGCATGGCGACCGCCATAATTGGATAGCACAAAACTTTGACAACCAAACCGAGCAGCAAGAATGGCATACTCCCATCGAATTTTTTCTTTTACCAGGATCGGCAACATGGTGATCGATTTTAACCATGCAATATTGGACCAGTTGAGCGGTATATCGAAAAGCGAGCTCGAGCTGAATATACCATCACCGGTGTCCATTTCGTTTGCACTGGCATGTTTATAGCTCAAACGCGTCTCCTTCAAGTGGCAGCGAGATAGAGGATTCATACAGATGCATTGTTTATATACAAGTATGAGTAAGATAAACGGTGACGGATTTCCGTATCAGTCTACCTATTGCTGGCGTATCGCCGTGCCAATTTGCCTTCCATCCCCTTGAATTCTGCATCCTCAACAATCCGTTGCTTTATTTCTCAATTCGCAGTAACGTAGAGTTGAAACCACTATGGCTGTTCAGGGTGGACGAGTGCATTAGGGATATCCCAGAAGGAGTATGAGGCATATGCTGGAGCCATTTGTATCACACCACGACTTCCATCCGCACGTACCAAGACTACATCCCCCTATGATATGCCATCTTACCGAGAACCGCGGCTGTGATATAAAGTGACAGTGACACTTGGCTATCCAACATCGTGGTAGTCATATCAATTTTGGCTCCATCAACCATAAAGCCCGAGCGGAACCAGATGCAATAATGAGCGTTATGGTTTTCGCGTGCAGTAGTTTCGTCGTCCATTCCAAATGAAATATATAACCATGGATCCTACTTGAGAACGGATCATGCGACCGCTGCATACAGAATTACTTTTCAATAACATGATGTACATCCTTTGCATCAACTACTACCATTAATTACTATCGCTTCTCCTCATGCTCTAATAACCGTCATTGTTTTTTTTCTCGCATACATATACTATAAATAAAAAGCGCTGTACATCTCATACAAAGGTTGCATGTTCTTTCGAGTCAGTTGTATGATACTCACCTTTCCTTTTCAATTTCTCCCGCTGATTTCTGTTGCTGCTGTGTGTTGCTGGAGATGCTGCATGATGGAGCTCTTCGGTGACCCCTGAAGCTTGGGTGACAAGAGCCGCTCAATGTCAGGAGGGTGGATTGGCCCGAATGCGTTCGTACCGTCTTTTCCAGCATACGTCTTGATACCTTTTGACCACCAGGATGATCGAAATGAAACTTGTTCAGGTCGTATACTTCGTATACTTTTCTATGAATAGTGACTTGGAGATCCTCAAAAAATAAAGGATTTCTTTCCACAGGGAAAGTTACAAAATATACCCTTTTTGTTGTGTTGAACGATTTCTTTGTGTGAAAAACTTCTCGTCGTTATTATTGATATTCTAGAAAGAAAGTATATGAGTGCGGAGAGGGGAGGAAAAGGAAACAGAATAAAATGTGAAGCAGGATTGTTGGAAGTGGGAAAGATGAAACACGATACCACATAGCAATTAAGGTTTGCCATTGCATATAGACTCCACAACTTCAACATCTCACCCACATCGACATCCAAACACAAATGTGATACAGGCTGTGGTATTTCAAAATGGTGATAGTAGCTTTTACTCATTTTTACTATTAGCAACCTATATCCTGCTGCTGCTGTCCCTGCAGATGGTGCTGCATGATATACACTACACACAGTTTGAGGCTTAGTTTCAATGCACAGTTTTATGCATACAAGTCGTAGCGCTGCTCAAAGCCCGATTGAACTGATCGAACTGATCTCCTATTGCAACAATCTACTACTGTATGTCATGCTGTGATAGTTGATATGTACTTTTAATTCTACCGTATGAAATCTTTTTGTTTATTATCGATCGTCCAAGATGAGCGGTGTGGTCAGTTACAACTTTGCTTACAATTTAGAAAGTTGGTAACCGCCACTACTATTACTACCATCGGCGGCTCTTGTTGGCTGTAGTTTTTCATATGTTTGCTGAGCCAAATAATCAGTTGGGCTGGAGACGAAGTGGTTTTTCAAATTTCGAATATCCACCATTTCAGGTTTGATATCAGCAATCGTAGGTGCACCCATGAGTCGCATGCATATCTCCAATTCGTTCTGGTAGTGGAAAAATACATTTGGAGAGCAATCATTGGAAGTCAATTTTTTACAAGCTTATGTGCTGTTGTTCATAGTATGCTGATCTAACATTTAGCTACCTGATAAATCTCCAAAAGTCGCTTGACACCTTCGTCACCGTAGCAAGCCATGGCATACTGTATTATGAGAGCAAAAAAATAGCAGTTACTTTGGGTATGAGTACAGAAGTGGAGTCATTATATATTTTTAATGATAACAACAATCACTTACCAAGCTGGGTCTGCCTATTCCACAGCCTTTCGCACCTAAAGCGAGAGCTTTAAATATGTCACTGCCACGTCGAATTCCACCATCAACATAAACTTCAAAATCTTTTCTAGGATCACATCCTTCACACTTTAATGCATCGATGACTTCCGGCAAAATTTCGATAGGTGATGGAGAAAAGTCCAACTGACGACCTCCATGATTGGACAGGACCACGCCAGCGCACCCATATTTATATGCAAGAACAGCATCTTCGTATCTCTAAAACAGAAGAAACGGCCATCAAAACACTTTAGAAACGACCGTAGCGATGGTAGCAAAGAAGGCCTACAATGAAACTTACCTGAATCCCCTTTAGAATGATGGGCATTTTCGTGATAGACTTGAACCAAGCAATATCGGACCAATTTAAAGATGGATCAACCAATGTACCTCTCCTTTTGTTGACAGGCGCCGAAGTGGTACTGCCACTACTTTTGCTTTTATGGTCATCACTACTCTGCGTATTCTCAAAATTTTCTTGTTTATACTTTTGCCGTAGATATTTTTCACGACGACCTTATTATATCATATGTAGGGGGTGATGCTATTAGATAACCCCTTCAAATAATGTTAAATCTGCATAATGAAGGAATAATTATACATACCAATCCCGGCCAAGTCCACGGTGATAAATAGTCCCTTGACTCCTTTTGCTTCAGCTTGTTGAACAATTCGCTGTGTCACTTTACGATCTGTATCGACATATAACTGGAACCACTGTGGCTGATCTGAGTGGACGCGCGCTTCAACGAGATCATCGAGAGAATAACACGCCAGTGTCGGAATCATTTGGATTATACCGCATTTGCCAGCAGCTCTTGTCAGTACTTTCTCTGCTTCTGGATGAGCCATCTTATTCATAGCGGTGGCCGAGATATATAATGGCATTGAAACTTTGGAGCCTAGCATTGTTGTCATGGTTGCGATTTCGGCTACATTAACCATGACACGTGGGCGTAACCAGATGCGATGATACGCATTGTGGTTTTCACGCATGGAAATTTCGTCGCTTGCTCCAGAAGAAAAATAGTAGTAAGCGTCTGCTTTAAGAACTGATCTGGCAACAGCTAAATTAACAACAGCAACAATGACAACAACAACAACGATGCATGGTAAAAGCATAACATTAGTAAAGCCAAGCCAATCAATTTCCCTTTGCTCTCTTCCCTCGCTCCTTCTAATACTATAATTAAGTAGAAACTCACATTCAAAATCAAACGAATTATACATCTCTTCGAGCTTAGGCATGCCTTCGCGTGCTAACCGTACACGCTTTTCCTCTTCTGTTTCCAATTCTGCAACGGTTTCTTCGGATGCAGGATTCACTGCAGCTTGGCCCAAGCATACGTCAGGAGAAAGAAATCGGTCAATGATGGCAATGGGGTGCATGGGCTCGAATGCTCTGGTTCCGTCCTTCCCGGCATATTTCAAAATAATATTTTGACCCCCAGGATGCTCTGGGAGAAACTTGGTTAAATCGTATACTTTTCCGTGGATGATAATCCAGAGATCATCTAATACATTGTATATAAAGACCACAATGAGGCTCGCATTGAAAGTATCGCGCATTCTATTAAACTACTGCCATGAAGAACGTTTTGCTTACCTTGCTTATTGTGCTGAGCAACTTCGTCGAGTGGAATTGTTCTAATCATCATGAGCGGAGAAGGAAAAGAAATAAATCAAGGAAGAGTAGATATAAAGGATGGTACGGTACCGTAGAGTTAAAGTGGAAAACAAAAGGCAGGTCACAAAGGAATGTCCCAATTTATAATTAAGACTGTTGCCGATATATTGAAAATGGGATAAAAAAGCCCTCCTGCTAATATGACGCTTTGAAATGCATGAATCTGCAAAGCTTGCAGCGTCAAATGGCAAAGCGCAGACCAATTTCGAAGGTAAAAAGAGGGCATAGTGTTGCGACGTATACATTGCCTTTAGTGCATGCATTGCGAGAGTATAACAATAGTAATAGTCAATGGGCATTGAAAAGAGGAAGCATCATGTTAATGAAAAATAAGATGCTTTGGAAACATCAACAGTGATCTACAGCTTCTCCTTTTTCCCGTGGTCGTCTTGTGGTCGTCCCGTGGTCCCAAAAGCGCCATAAACCTGAGGTTGTTTATAGCATGTTTCTTCATTGCTTGACAACAAAACGTATATGTATTGGAAGAAAACTATAACGATATTTAACAAATATTGATATATTTTCTGTTTACCTTGATGTGCTCTATTGTTTACTATGATTGCTAGCAGCTATTTCTGCAGCCAGTTTTTAATACTTATATAGATATTAAACTCAAACTTCTTTTTATTTATATACTCTGTATGCGAAGAGCAAAAGAAAACAATAAAGCCGTACATGTTGCTTAGTGTGTTAATAACTCTTCAGTATAATTAATCATTTACAACTATAATTTTGAGCTCATGATATTTCCCCTTGGCTGCATTTTTTCATATGTCTGCATTGCTAGATAATCCGTTGGATTAGCAACATAATGATTCTTTAAGTTACGGGTATCCACCATATCGGCTGTGATTTCGGCTAGTGTAGATACACCCATTAATCGCATACACATCTGCAGTTCGTTCTAAGTATGTCATCAATGAGGAGAATCAATCACGCGAATACTGCTTTACATAAAAAGAAGATCATTCATTAATTTAATGTTCAGATACCTGGAAGAGTTCGAGTATACGTTCAACGCCTTTATCACCATAGCACGACAAGGCGTACTACGTATACAATATCAGGAGAGCAGATTAGGGGAAACAGTTTTTGCATTTTACTCAAAAAGGTCAAGCAATGAAGTAAAAATAATATACATCGACTTGCGTATATGCTACTTACCAATGCAGGCCTACCAATGCCGCAAGCCCTAGCTCCCAATGCCAGCGCCTTGAATACATCACTACCACGCCGAATACCGCCATCAACATAGACATCAAATTTGTTTTTTGTGTCGCATCCTTCTCGCTTCAATGCATCCATGACCTCAGGTAAAATCTCAATAGGTGATGGAGAAAAGTCCAGTTGTCGGCCTCCATGGTTCGAAAGTACAATGCCTCGACAGCCATATTTATATGCTAATACAGCATCCTCAGAGCGCTTCCAAATGAAACAGGTGGTAAATCCATTGCAATAGTTAGCAATGGCTTCAATGATAATAGCTTAGCACAGATATATTGTCGAAATTACCTGGATTCCTTTGAGGATGATTGGCATTTTGGTAAAGGACCTGAACCAAGCAATATCAGACCAGTTCATCGAAGGATCAACAAATGTGCCCAAATCACTGCCTCTCTCTCGGTGAACAACACTGCTCATTTCATCCCGATTCTGCTTTAGTAGGGCTTTATCGTTCGATGATTTACCACGCGGGCCTGATAATATTTTTAAGACAAATTAATTGTTGCAGTCGCCAATAACCCAAGCCAACAACAAACAAAAACGTACTATGCTTTATATTAAAAAAAAGTAAGACTTACCTACAACAGCTCGATCCACAGTTATAAATAACCCTTGTATGCCTTTCGACTCTGCTTGTTGGATCATCTTTCTCGTTGCCTTACGGTCTGTGTTTATATACAGCTGGAGCCATTGGGGTGGATCAGAATGGACACGTGCATTTACGATTTCTTTAAAAGAATAAGATGCAAGTGTCGGAATCATGTAAATTACGCCACATCTACCAGCCGCCCGACTTATACCCTTTTCGCCGTCTGGGTGGGCCAATTTACAGAACGAAGTTGCTGATATATAGAGAGGCATTGAAACTTTGGCTCCAAGCAAGGTTGTAGTCATGTCAATCTTGGAGACATCAACCATAACACGAGGACGGAACCATATGCGATGATAAGCATTATGATTTTCGCGCAAAGTCATATCATCGCTAGACTACATATCATCGAAAAGCATGCCAATTGAAAGTGTTAACTTAGAGCAGGACTATTGTATAATGTGTATGCCTAATCATCTCATTACAATATAGAATTATATTCCTCTACTTACGCCCGATGAAAAATAGCTGTATGCATTTTCCTTTAGAACCAGTTTTGCAACAGCTACATTATATATCATATCGTGTACATTTATAGATATTGAGAGCTCTATCATCATAGCATTCATCTGTACCTTTTTTAAAGGCGACAGTTATCACACACATAACTTACACTGAAAATCGAATGCGTTATACATCTCCTCAATCCGTGGCATGTTCTCTCGAGCCAATCGTACTCGCTTGTCTTCTTCTGTTTCCAACAATCGTGCCTCGTTATCTGCCGCAGCTGATACTTCAGCCTCACCGACACACACGTCGGATGGCAAAAACTGTTCAACGATATCGAGAGAGTGAATCGGTTCAAACGCGGCAGTTCCGTCTTTTCCAGCGTATTTCATAATAATGTCTTGGCCGCCAGGATGGTTTGGAAGGAACTTGGTTAAATCGTATACCTTGCCATGCAAAATTATCCAGATATCATCTGTAATAGTGAGAAGATACTAGTCAGTTTTTCCAATCGTTAGTTGTCTCAGTACCGTCGCTAACAGCGTGGCTTAAAACAAACTGTATTGACAAACCTCTCCTATTGTGTTGAGCAATCTCCTGTAGCGAGATGATATTCATGATTGAAGTAGACTACTATATAGCAACAATAAAACTTTTTGAAGGAAAGAAAGACAAACAAAGGATAAACTACGATGTTCTTAATAAAAGGGAGGTAGCGTTCGTACTGTATTATCAAAGCTGCCGTGCAGTCTCTTTTGTATGCATGTACGTAACATTTTACTCGTATGTAAACGCCATGCATGAAGCAACGTTTTTGTATCTTTTGCGAGAAGTATCTCCTGATGCGTGGCAATGTAACACAACCGAATGACATTTCAATGCTTACTTGTATGTGCATTTTTTCTCGCATAGACTGGATATCAGTACCTACTGTCACAGGTCTCTGTTTATACGCTGTGTGAATATTGATCGTTTATCATAGTTGTAGTTTGTTGACTTGTACGATTAACAACATGCGGTGTATGAATACCTTAGTACAAAATCTCATGAACGTTGATTTATTACTATGCAAGAGTACAAGCGACTTACAGAATGCATGCAATCGATGCATGAACTTGTATCATTGGCATAGAAACGTCATTTGGCCGAGCCTCGTTAAGTAGAAGTCATTACTATTATTTCAACATCCGCAGCATATCCTTGATCCAACATTATAATTACAGCTGGTGATGGTGTCGTTATGCATTATAATGTTCCCGTGTACATGACTATGGGGCAATCCAGTCGGTCTATTATTGGGACAAAATTGTGTGCACGATCAAGTAAAGCTCAAATAATACCAAGTTGAATAATCGTTGATCTGTTATCCCCTTTTCCGGCAACAATAAATAGTACAAAGATGCACTGAAGCTTCTTCATGATGCGAGCCGTCCGCTACTATTGCATGTTTACGTATCTGTAACACTGTCTAGAGACCGCACATATTCCTTGTATTTCGTTCCTTCAATCTCATGACTATAAGGTTAAACGGTGTCTACTGGTACCTTTCAAGAGCCATCAACGACGAACGGACAACATATAGTCGTTTTTACATCCTTTAACATCACTACTTTTTTATGAGCAAACAGGGTCCAGACACAAATCTCAGGATGGCATAGATCCCGTTCCCGTTCAAAAAAGCTCAACGGTGATATTGATGACTTGGACGACTTGCTTGCGCTTTAAAAGCAGAAATATACATGCTTTGAATAGACAGCTCAATTGCCCAACTCGCTGTCTCTAAAACGACATATTTACGAGGTCAATGCTAAGTCACTAATAACTTAAAGCAGCTTTAAGACTACTGTTTTATAGAATTGTGGAAAGCTGAACAGTCAGTTGGATGTGCTGCTATGCTCAAGAGTCAAGAAATCTTGTTGGACATTGACGCTTCGAAGAGGAAGGTCGATTTTAAAGAAATTCACATACAGGTGAATGTGCCTGCCATGGAGTGAAGGAAGGAGCATTCCAATATGATACTACTTGAAAATGCGAATCATATTTTTCTTCAAGTTTTGAATGGACTGCCCGATCCAGCAACAGTGAAGTTGAATGTGATGTGGCTTTTCATTTATACAGGATCGACTACAGAACTACTACATAACAGCCTTCGTTTTTTCTATAATTACTGGCCTTCAACACGTACTTGAGTCATGGATAAAATATTAAGATCATCCTCAAAAGGGTCACGCAACATGATTGCATGGATTTCACAGTAGTTTGAGAAACGTTTCCATGATCACCCACCAACGAAATCCACTACTTATGCTGCTCGATAAGTAGGGGATGAACTGCATACAATAGAGCAGAGAAGAGAAACAGTAGTATAGAGCTTATTTAAAAAAGACTAGCTCAAGTAAAGGTTTTTGCTTTTGCTTAATGTTCGTGCAACCTTGGGTAGTGTGTGCTCAAACCACAAGCGGAAGGTCCCACTTTAACTTTTTTCCTCCGCCTTTTTTTTGTTCTGACTACTGCTGTTCGGTTCCTTTTCAGCAGCAATAACACCCTCCCTCTCTCTAACCCTCCGCACTTCCGCACATACACACAACAACCAAAAATGGGCAACGACGATAATGATGACCCGAAGCCAGTCTCATTCAAAGAATTGCGAAACCGCTGGGCACAACATGAATCTGGAGGCAGCGGTGTTGGCCAGCAGGAACCTACTGCTACAACACCATCGTCGGGCATCGTGGACGCTACCGGCACCATTACTGCTACAGCAACACCGCCCCCCTCTGCTTCTACTGCACCTCCTGTTGCCACTGTAAAACCAATCGCACCGTCATCTACAGCTGCTAGTGACAAAGAATTACCCACGAAAGCAACTGTCGTAGCTACACCAGCATCAGGATCAGCATCTTCGGAACCTGTCAATATAACCAAAGCACCACCCATTCCGCCGAAACCGTCATCGGTCACGCCTACGATTCGCACACCTCCCGCTCCAGCAAAATCGCCGCCCACCTTGGCACCCTCGGAGTCATCGAGCACCAATACCACTAGTGGCACGAGCGATCAGCGACAAAAAGTGTCATTGCTTGCACAACAGTTTGAGAAACAGAAAGTTACTCAAGCAGTAGCAGGTGCTGGTACACCCCAACCACCACCAGCAACGGCACATCATACATCAACTTCGACGACTCCAAATGTTACTACTTCTACTGTTAGTAATACTGCCGTTTCACCAACAGCACCAATTGCTGCAGCGGCAGCACCAGTAGCTACTCCAGCGCTATCGTCGACTCCAGCTGCTTCACCACCTTCTCATCCTCCATTTAGTACACCAAAAGTAGCGACACCTTCTTCTTCCTCCGTTACGAGTACTCATACGAACAATAACAGTAATTATAATACTCAGCCAGCACGACCTGCAGCAACATCTACGCAAGAACAAAACCGGGATATCTCCGAACAACAAGAGACAGCTGCTACAAACGCTGCTCAAGATCCATTCTGTGACGAAGAAGAAGTGTCTGGATGGAGTGATAGTGATGATAGCAGCAGTGAAACGAACAACACTAGCAGTGATGACAACAATGATAGTGAAATGGATGATCGGCTGGTACGTCAAGTGCATATGCGTTATGCAGATGGTGCTTCCTCGAGCGGCAGTTTTGACTCTGCGACAACTACAACCACTACCACATTGACTCGCACACCACCGCCTCCACCCAAAGATGCACTGAAAAAGACTGGCATTCCTCCTCCTCCACCGCCTCCGAGCAAAAAATACCACAGCGCCGCACGACGCCCGGGAACCTCCACAGTTGCAGTCGATATACCAGAACACGATCCTCATGAGCAGCAACAGCAACAATCTACCACAGGCAAATCTTTCGAAACGTCGCCACCGTCACTTCCTCCTCGGCCAAGTTTGACAGGTCGTAATACCGGAGTTGGTAATAGTGTAGCAGGTGCAGAAGGAGGCATGCCAGTATTGCCCCCACGGCCATCCACTTCGACGCTTGCTCGATCACATACAATCGGCACGAGCATGCATCATAATCACCATCACCACCAACAACACGTACCATTGCCTGACTATCAACCCGACCACTTGCCACAGTCAATGGGCGCCATCGGAGTATCCGACTATGATCGTCCGCCACGTCGATCACAAAGTACGCGAACACCCAGTGCTCGGAGAGCCATGTCACGATCACAAATGCAAATGGCCAACGAAGTGTATCCCGATGCCACCAACGCGTCACGCAAAAAGCCCATCATTGAGAGCAAGGACCATATGACGCCTTCGGTGATTCCGACGGGACACAAGAGCACGAAAAATGCAGTGGCGATTTCAGGTGCAGTGCTTGCGACGGGAGCACACGAGACTCGGATATGGGATACAAAGCTGGCACAATGTCTTCACACGATCGATGGCAATGGATCGACAAGCGGTAGTGGTGGTAGTGGTGGAGGAAGTGAATCTAACGACAAGGTCTGTGCACTTGAATTTGCGCCAACCCTCGAGCCACGTCAAGAAGGACAATATTTGTGGGTTGGCTCCAAGGATGGCGAATTGGTTGTGATTGATACCATGTCCGGTAAAGTCATTGCTCGACCCCATTCCACACACACACAGGCGATCATTTGGATATTGCGCTATAAAAACACGGAAATGTGGACGATCGATGAAGGCGGCGTGCTCAATGTTTGGGAAGTGCTCGATGGAATTCGTTTGGTCGAGGAACACGTGGTCACACCCAGAGCTGCTGCTGCTTTGATCGTCGGCAGGGAACTTTGGATGGCTACGACGCGTGCTTTTGAAGTCCATCGTTTTGGTGTTCATAATCTCCAACAGCAGCAACAACAACAACCTGGACCACGTGTGCGTATTCCTAACGAACTCGGGGACATTGTTCAACTTACCACGGTCCCGTATCACGTTGGCAAAATCTTTATCGGTCATGGTAATGGCAAAGTGAGCGTATGGGACGCAAAGACAATGGAGCGGCTCGAGGTTATTACGGTCTCGATGTATGCTATCTCCTGCATGGTTTCCCTCGGTGAGTATCATCTGTGGATGGGCTTCAATACGGGTATGATTTATGTGTACGATACTCGACCAGAACGATGGCTTGTCGTCAAGCTCTGGAAAGCACACGAGTCGGGCGTCACGAACTTTGTGGTGGATAAGATTGGCCTTGCTCTTGATGAACCCACTGTGCAAGTGGTTAGTCTGGATTCTCATGGGTATGCTTCGTTCTGGGATGGCTTATTATCTGAACATTGGAAAGGTAAAGGAATCTTTTAGGTTCTGTCAAATGTGTTAATCCAAATCCAGAAGGAACCGTGTTATTCATGAAAGTATTAATTTTTTTGTAAAAGGTCAACAAATGGAAAAGTTCCGAGCAGATTACAGCGTAGAGCAGGATACCCGGATCCTAATATGCTCGTGGAATATTGATGCCAATAAGCCCGAGAAACTCCCATACAACGATGATCAATTGGTCCGTGCATGGCTTAGTGGCATGCGAGATCCTGATCCAGACATTATTGTGGTCGGTATACAAGAAATCGTCGACCTGGAATCTAAAAAACAAACAGCACGTAAGTGACATCTTATTTTTGATAAGATTTACAATTTTACTCACCTTGTCTATGTAACACTAGGTTCTCTGTTCGCTTCACGGAAAAAAATTGAAACGCTTCAGGAAGCAGACGAACTGTTGACACATCGATACACGCTTTGGCACGACTATTTGGCTCGAGTGATTGCCGACAACTATGGGCGAGGAGCGTACACTGTGATCAAAACCGACCAACTGGTTGGATTGTTTAGCTGTATTTTTGTACGATCAAGCGAGCTTCGACGTGTCTCTGCAGTTGAATCAACGGTCGTCAAGACGGGCATGAAGGTAATGAAAAAGAGTCTCCATGGCAACAAGGGCGGTATTGCCATCCGACTCCAGATGGACGACTCGTCGCTTTGTTTTGTCAATTGTCACTTGGCTGCTGGACAATCGCATCAAGCTCAGCGCAATACTGACGCAGAAGGTATCCTCAAAGAAGCTGTTTTCCCGGCACGACCGCAAGATGTGGATGCCTATCCACGCGGAGGCGATGGCACATTGATTTTGGACCACGAGCACTGTTTTCTATCAGGCGATCTCAACTACCGCATCAACATGCACCGCGAAAAGGTGTTACAGCACTTGGCCAGTCGAAATGCAGTCGAAGGATTGGCTGCATTGCAAAAGGAAGACCAGCTGTTAAAACAACGCTACACGAACCCGTTCTTCAAGCTACTGGTGTTCCAAGAAAGCCCAATTCACTTTTTGCCTACGTACAAGTATGACCCAGGCACCGATTACTATGATCGATCCGAAAAGAAGCGTGTCCCAGCTTGGTGCGACCGGATCTTGTACCGTTCGAACGGTGTCCAAAACTTATTTTATCAACGCCACGAAGTACTAGCCTCGGATCATCGGCCGATCAGTGGCGGCTTCATTGTGCGTGTGAAACGCGTCGATCAGTCACAAAAGGCACGGGTTGCGCATAATGTCGAACAAGCATGGCAGCAGCATTATCAGCAACTTGTCAATGAACACAAGGCCATGTATGTTGGCGATTTCAATATACAAGACGCCGTGCATCAGCTCCAGGCTGTTAACTGGGATGTACATCAAATTCGATATTAAATAGATTTTTTTTTCACTACACGAAGCACACACACATACCATTACTCACTTACTACAAACCCAATTTCCGTTTTGTATTATATTTTTTTTTGGCCTTTTCTTTTCGATGAAAAAAAAAAAAAGAAACCCCCCATTCCCTTCATTAAAAACAAAATATAATTTTTACTTTTGAACATGGAAAGCGAAGAAAAAGAATGGATACAAAGAACGCGCCAACGTATTACCGCACTAAACTCGCAAGTCGACGGCATTCTTGGCATTCTACAGTGGGATCGCGATGAATTAAAACAGTGGTATGCCGAGGTATGCATATTACTTGCCATTTCTGGATGACTGTCGTTTTCATTTCCACAAAAAGAATTTTAACCTCAATTTAGGAGCGACAAGAACGATTGCACTGTCCACACGATCGACGCCCTGTTGTTCCTCGGTCGAAATGGCAGCAGCATGCTCAGCGGTGTTTTGCCAAGAAACAAACAACAGCAAACCAGCCACAGCACCAACAACAAAAAAGTCAAACGGTATTAACAAAAAAAAGCGTGACAAAATGGAAATACTAGAAAGTCCATTGCTTTTAACTCAAAACCCGTACATCATGCGAACATATTGCCTGCATATACCATTGTAAAAACTGTCATCAACCATTATCAGCAGACCCACCATCGTTCAGAATAAGACCGTCATCATCCTTGCCAAGCAGCGTGCGGTATTTCTACACCCAAGCTCCATGTATTGTCTCGTTCAGTAACGAGCGGCAAGTACCAGGCGGGGCACATGTGGTGCAACAACATCCATTGGTCAACAACAACGACGGTGTTGGGACCACCACCGATTATGCAGCCTTAGCCAATTCTATCCGGGCTCAGCATGACATCCCTTCCGTGCCACGTGTCCATGATCTCTTTGCATTTGGTTGGTAAAACGGATAAACAATCCCATACGCCGATCGCCCGTTCGTTCGTACTTGGCACGAAAGGTCCCTTTTGCCTCAATCTGACTTTTGTTTTATTCTTTGCCTAGAAGATGAAGAAGTGCAAGAAGACAACAACGGGACATTGGATCATCATGAGAATCATCGTGCTAAGCGGCGAAAAGACTCCAATGTCCGAGAAGGCATCAGCGACAGCGGTGACGGCGCCGGTGACGGGGGCTGCGACGATCAACAACAACAACAACAGGAACAACGTGACTATAGGCGTCGACGAAAAACATACCGCGTTAAAGTTTCCAAACATAGATCCGCGACAGAGGTAAAAAAATGAGTGTAAAACCGACATCATGTCAAGTGAAAAGGCTTTCGTGTTTCTAAATATATCCAAACACCCTCCACACTACATGTTTTTCTGGTTTTGTTACGGAATGTGTAGATCCAAAGACAGTTAGTCCAAGCGTACATGCAAGAATTCGAGTAATGCAAAAGTGTTTTGTTAACATCGACTAAGCCTCAAACTGCATCTTGGCCTTCTAAGTGTGTGTGTCTTCCTTCTCTGTCTTGTTGTTGGTGATTGATTTTAGTCCCACTGAGAAAATAAGCTGCACCATTCGTTTTGCTCCGTTCTTCCATTGCACTTGCGCAGCAAATCTCCCCTTTTACCGCTGGCCTCTATTTTACATCATCGATGGGGGTTTAACTACACATGACGTAGTGGGCTGCTGCATTGTTGCTTTTAGCGTGGGGCTCATAACATATATTGGGAGCTGGAATCCGATTGAAATGCTATAAAAGGGCCACAAAAAACTTGGTTCGAATGGAAAGAACAACATCTTCTTGCAACAACAACAGCAACACTCTTCTTCAAAGTAGCATATACACATCTTCTCTTTAACCAACATACAAAAAACATGAAGCAATTCGGTCTCTTTGCCATCTCTACTCTCCTTGCCTCTACTGCTGTCAATGGCTATGTGCTGCCTCGTCAAGAAACCAACAGCCACGACTCCTACAATGGTGACTGTAAGTGTATACTAACTACTGCTACTACTACTGGGTAGTGGCATGTACTACGAGTATAAAGTTATCAATCCTAAACACCTATCTGATGGAAACCTTGAAGGGTACAATGTTGGTGCTACCGGCAACTTTGTCCAAATGTATGAAAACATGAGCTCGCAATATGGTTTCGACTGTTTGTGTCCTACTACACATGTCCAATCCACCGACGACAACCAAGCCGAACTAACCACTACTTGTACGGTGCGCAATGATACTGCGACTCTGGGCGAAGCCAAGGCTTCAGGCACTCTTGAGTTCTCCAGTGGCCAGAACGGAGGCGATGATGATCAATACACTGCCAACTACCACTTTGGTGAAGTAACGTTTATCCCTCACGATGACCCTAGCAATGAAATCACAATGCCTAGCCCTGGTGGAATGGATCAAAGTGACTTTGAGATGCACAGCCAGATTTTGGAGTCGTCTACGGATGACAGCAGCAAAGCTGTTCTTTTCTGGTGTACCTGTAAGTAGTAGCATGATATGATCAGAGAGAAAGAGAGAGACGATCTTGTGTTGTCCGGGTAAATTTATAAATCATTATTAATCGTATTGCTTGACCGTATTACTTGATTAGATCATGGTGAAACGTATGGTGCCTTGTACTATACACAATCATCGATCGATGACAATCTTTACAACGAGTTCGTCGACCAGATCACGGACCAGCAAACAAAGGATAGTATGGAAAAGGTCCCCGACTCCTGCAACGACGACGACGTCCACGCCTACGAAAACCATCAAACATAAAAGAGATCAACCAGCTCTTTCTGTCATTTTATCCTTTCCTCGACAAATTTCTAGTCAATTCTTTTCTTAAAGTGTAGAAGTAGTAGTAACAGTAACTGTATTTGGAATATAAAAAAACAATCTTTTTTTAAAACAACAAAGAGAGTTTTCGTAGAGTGTATATCATTAAGTGTGTAGCGGTGAGGGTAAAGAAACAGCAGCAAAAGAAAATTAGTTCCAATGAAAACAAAGAAAAGGGTACAAGGGATTATAAGAACGCAGAAAGAGAGAAAAAGTTGAACAAAAATATGACAACAGACGGGTCATACATTTAAGAAAAAGATATATGCCAAACAAAACAGTTGTAATGTGAAAGAGGAGGACCTGCCGTTAGTAAAAAAAAAGGAACCAGCGTTTTCTACTACTGATGGCGTTGATGATGATGTTGCGGAGGCGGTACTCGTACAATTGGAAAAGCTGGTTGTTGTTGTTGTTGTTGATCTGTTGCACCTGGAGGAGGAGGAGACATCATCATGGCATTGCTCTGCATGGCCATATCAATAGTAGCACCAGTAGTAGATGTAGTAGTAGGTTGCATGGGTATCTGAGGCCGTTGACGGGTTTGTAACATTTCAAACAGATCATCCAGGACCTGGCCGCTGTTGGCACTGCCATTCACAGCTGCAGCATTATTGTTACCATACATGGAATCGTCACCAGGAGCCATTCCACTAGTAGTAACCGTATTGCCATTGCCATTGTTGTTGTTGTTGTTATTGTTGCCGCCAGTTTCATTATTACCAGTATTTCGCATCGGCGGTGCAATGAAGTCGTCTTGATAGAAGGAATCGAACGCAAATTCCAGATCAAAGTTATCGAACGCCCAAAGATCTTGCTCGGTTTGTTGTCCTGGCGGCGGTTGTGGTAGTTGTTGTTGATAATGATGATGATGATGATGATGTGGTGTTGGTGGTGGTAACGGTGGAGGTGGCATCATTCCTCCTTGTTCATGATGTTGTTGCTCTGTTACTATTGCACCTGGCGGTGATTGTGGCGATGGTGATCCTTGCTGAGCGTGATTATGGTGGTGATGATGCTGTTGGTGGGGAGGTTGCACAGATGCCTGCTGTTGCTGTTGCTGCTGCTGGTCATTGGTGGGCGTAACATGGGATTCAACAACAGCCAGCTGTTGTGGACTTGTGTCACGATTTGCGTGTGAATCATCTTGATAAACGGCAGAGGTAGTAGTGGTCAGAGAAGTATGCGAAGGTGTAGTGAAGCTTTGTTGATGCGGAGCCCGTAATGGAACCGGCAGTAACGGGCTCGTTGACGATGGAGGAGATGATGATGATGTAGGAGTTGTAACAGTGGTAGTAGTAGGAGTTGCTGCCTGCAGCCGGCTGGTAGACGAAGTAGTGGTGGTAGTAGAACTGATTGGTTTCCCTCCAGAGGGTTGCGGTGAATGTTGTGGGGATGTTGGCGGAGATGATACTTGATGGTGACGATGATGATGATGATGTTGAGAAGGTGGTGAGGTCACCATAGGTTGAGGATTATTAGAAGAAGCAGAAGTAAGAGCAGTGGCGCTGCCAGTACTGCTACTTGCTGTGCTGCTAGCACTACTTGACACGGGTGTCTGCCCCGTCAACTCGGCAATCCGTCGCTCTAGTGCGGCGACCGTATTCCGCAGCTGATTGTTCTCGGATCGCAGTTGTTCCATCTCCTCTGGCCAAGCTTCCATTTCCTTGGACTTTTTTTCCAAATCCTTGACATAGCGGTCCCGCCGCTGTCGAAAGGCACGCTGGGCTGCCCGGTTCTGGGCAGCTCGTTTAGACGGGATAACAATGCGGGTGGTCTTGCTATTGTTGTTATCAACGGGCTCAGGTCCATCTCCACCACCTAGGTGAGAATGATGAAATGGTAATGGCGGTGGCGATATGTGTTCTTGCTGCTGCTGTTGATGATGATTATGGGAATGTTGTTGTTGTTGTTGGTAGTGGTGATGATGATGATCGGGAGGATACGGACGTTGATGTTGTACCTGTTGCTGTTGTTGTGGTACGACTGCTGGTGATGGAAGCCGTCGTCGATCTTTTCATTTTGTTATCTCCACAGAGTTAGTATACTTTTTAAATAACATAAAAGAGAAAGCTGACAGCAGCTAGCTAGCTGATCAAGCAAGCATTTGATTTGGCTTCTTTTACCTGGAGCCATACTATGCATCCAAGACGGCGTATGGTTAACAGAGACACCCGCTATGGACGAGTGACGAAGATCTACATTTACACAAATTACTCAATGAGGATTTATTTCCAAATTGTTCCGGGGAAATGAATGTGGGGGGAGGTTGTCTTTTTACCGGCCATGTCAAGATGATGCGGCGAAGGGTAGGGTGGATTGTGGTGGTGTTTGGTTAGCGGTGGTGGCGCTGGTGGCGAAGGGTACATGTAACCAGAAATACTTTGGAAGAGAGAAAAGAGAGGAGAAAGAAGAGGGCGCTGGTTGTGTTTTCTGTGGGGGAACCGTAAAAATAAAATAAAAGGAGTACAAAGAGCAAAGCCAGTCTCAGCGAGAGAGAGAGAGAGAAAGAAAGAGAGAAGGAACCAAGGTGACATAAAAAGCCTTAAAGATACATCGAAAGACATCAGTTTTCTCATCCAGGCTTTTTCTTTTTTTCCCTCTGAAACCCGTTCCATGATTGGCTGCTGGGAGCTGGCTTATAAAAACGTGTGCTTGAGAGCAGAGGGGGAGAGAGCCCTGCAAAAGGGCCCACCCAACAACGTAACTTAGCAACGTAACAGCTCACACACCCAAGTGCAGCACAGCAAGGACCATAAACAAACAATGTGATTCGATGGGAACACCATCGCAGGTTTCCTCGGAATTGGGAACACCAAGTACACAGAGCACTCGTGACGTTGCAATGGTTACACGGAATGCACCTTGTGCAATAGTCCGATCAGTAACCAGCCAATCAGACAAGCTCAAGTCGGAAACTTTTCCAAGTCCATTGCTAACGTAATCGGTCGGAAAGTCTGAAAAAAGCTAAAAAGATCCGCGATGGGGGTTTTATAAGCTGGGCCCAATTACCCTTTTCTTATATTTCTCATTTAAAAGAAGGCCGTCTTTTCTGCTGCTCTTCTTTGTTTTTTCTTTCAAACCTTCTTCTGCACAAGTCACCACCAGCAAGAGAGCCATGGCCAACAACGTTCCCGTGCCCACCTACGAGTCCTTGGACAAGATCTACGATTCCTCTGCCTTGGCAAAGCAAGGGTGAGTTTTACGTTTTACTCTCTCTGTTTCTCGCTCTCTCACCCATTCACTGGGACGGGATGGGCAGCTTAAGAAGCCTTTGTCTGAGAGAGAGAGAGAGAGAGAGTGTGTGTGTGTGTGTGTGTGTGTGAGGGAATGAGAAAAGGGGGAGCGGGAAAGTATAATCGTGGCGGTGCGTGAGTAAAACTTATGCGGGAAACTCTCTGTTATTACAGACCACGTTATAATGCCCTTGTGGAAAAATTCACTTCCATCTACGGACGAAAGCCCGACTTTATTGCACGCTCTCCTGGACGTGTCAACTTGATCGGCGAGCACATCGACTACTGCGGCTTTGGCGTGCTTCCCATGGCCATTGAGCGCGATGTCATTATTGCCGTCGCCACCACCGACGACGACTCCAAGGTCCGCATTGCCAACATGAACCCAAAGTACGAGCCACGTGAGTTTGACTTTGAAGGCAAGGAGACGATTGTCACCATTGACAGCACCAAGCACGAGTGGTCCAACTACTTCAAGTGTGGCTATAAGGTAACGTGTCGTCTATCTTCTGTTCGAAACACATTCAAACACAGAAGATATGTGTGGGGGGAGTGGTGGTAGTAGTAGTAGTAGTTTTGGCTCCTGCGTATGTAAGCAACGAGGGTGTCCAAAAAAGGCTAAAGTGGTACGCACCCAGAAACCCAGAAATCCTAGGCTAAAACAATAGTGCTTGTTATTACAGGGTATGCTTGAACGTGCCGACAACCTCGAAAAGCCCAAGGGCATGTACTTGCTGATGGACGGCACCGTGCCAGCTGGTTCTGGCCTATCGTCGTCCGCCGCCGTCGTGTGCACCTCTGCACTGGCCACGATCGAGGCCAACAAGCTGCCGCTGAGCAAGCAAGAGCTGACAGAAATTGCCATTGTTGCCGAGCGCAATGTTGGTGTTAACTCGGGCGGCATGGATCAAAGTGCCTCGGTGTTTTCTGAGCAGCAATATGCATTGCACGTCGAGTTTGTACCACGTCTGTCCACGCGCCTGGTTCGCCTGCCCGAGACACAGCCCCCAATGGCCTTTGTCATTGCCAACACCTTGGTCACTGCCGACAAGTTTGTCTCGGGTCCACGCAACTACAATCTGCGTGTCGTCGAAACCAAGATGGCTGCCCTCTTCCTCAGCAAGGTCTTGGACTTGCCCTCGTCTGACTCGCTCAAGGAAGTCTTTGACTCATACGCTGCTGCTGCTGGCAAGGACAACAGTGAAGTTGCAAAGTACGACGCCCTCTTGGAACGCATTGCCAACATCTTCCCACAAGACTCGAGCAATGGCCAAGGCTACTCGCTTGAAGAAGTGTCTGACATGACGGGTTTGCCGGTCCAGACCCTCAAGGAAAAGTACATGACCCGCTTCCCTGTCGAGACCGACTACTTCCGCCTCGTCCAACGCACACACCACGTCTTGACCGAAGCCCGTCGTGTGGTTGAGTTTGTCGACGTCTGCAGCAAGGCGCCTGCCAACACATTGGAAGTGCTAGGCAGCATCATGAATGCCTCGCAGGAGTCGTGTGACAAGTTCTTCAACTGCTCGTGCCCCGAGATCAACCAGGTGTGTGAAATCGCCCGCCAGCACGGTGCCTATGGCGCTCGTCTGACAGGCGCTGGCTGGGGCGGTTGCACAGTCATGCTGACGACCGAGTCCAATGTGCCCACGTTGATCGAAGCGATCAAGGATGGCTACTACCGTCAAAAGTTCCCCGAACTTTCGCAGGATCAGCTCGACGATGCTGTCTTGGCCACCAAGCCTGGCAGTGGCAGTGCTGTTTTCAATGGCTTCTAAGGGAATAAAAGCTTTCGTTTAGTAGTAACGTATCATGTACATACACACACACACACTTATCACTTGAACCCCTTCATTACTCCTCCTCCTTCTCCTTGTACATCTTCCGCCTTATCATTTAATATAAGCAATAACGTCATCCTGTCGTAATGTATGGGAAGTTTATCTCGATTTGCTACTGGTTTCCCATGCCGACTAGTTGGAAAGCTATATTTTTTCGGAAAACGACGACGACGAGCGATTTTATTTTCGTTTTGAACACTTCTCTTGCTGGTTTTTCTTTCTTCCTATACAAGGGATCTATTTCTTCGATTTGCTTTTTGTCTTAACCTCGGAAATTTTACCGGCGCCTTGCATACATAAAATTCCTTCGTACTTTCTAGAAAAAACGCTTTTTTTCGATCAATTTACCAGCAACCCTTTCTATCTCGTTCCCTACCCTACCTTCTTCTAACTATTGCTATTAGCACTCCGTCCAAAGGAAAATAAGAGTTCTGTCTCATATATAATTAGGATGGGTTAGTTAATTTCTCTTTTTGCAACATGCTCTTTTTTTAACAAGTTTGACACCCTATCTTGATGACTGATGTTTGAATTTGACGTGATCTATGATAACATACCATAATAGACAGACAACAAGGAGGAAGTGGTAGTGGTCACCCTCACTTTCAACAACAACAACAGCAGCAGCAAGACGCAACGGTGACAGGAGCAGCAGCAGTTCCCAATTCGGGAGACAAGATGGTCATGACTAGCATGGCAATGGACATGTTTAACCATTTCGACCCGACCGGAGGTAGTGCTACCGCCGACTTGTTTTCATCGTTACCACTGGATGCTACCATGAACACTGTTAACGAGCACATGTGGCACCCAACGCAACAACATCCACAGATAAAGCGAGAGGAGCAGCATTTCAGCTTCTTATCATCTGAGTTATACCCATCTGCTCCTGCTCCTCCTCCTACTGGTAACGAGCAACAGCCAAAGGCTCATCGTCGTAGCTTGCCAACAAATAATTTGATCACGCCGCCGCTGTCGTCGTCATCATCGCATCCACGTCAACGACGCTATACCGAAGGCGTACTGCCTGTACAACCCGAACATCACCAGCAACAACTACAACAACACGACATGGAAGATGATGAACACCGACGTAAAAACTTTTTAGAGCGCAACCGTCAAGGTAAAGTAGCTCTCTCTTTCGAAAAAGCAGATCTTGTCACTCACCTTTCTTTTCCAGCTGCATTGAAATGTCGACAACGCAAAAAACAATGGTTGGCCAACTTGCAGCATCAAGTGGAATACATGAACACGGACAACAAGCAGCTGGAGCACGAGGTCACGGCTCTACGTGAAGAAATTTTGAATTTAAAAACTTTGATCATCGCACATAAGGATTGTCCAATAGCTGCTCGTCGAAATAACGACAACAACAACATCATTAATAGCAGCAGCAGTATCCCTCATCAACAACAACAACAAGAGAACCTACAACAACAGCCCCATGCAACTGATAGCAACAATACTACCACCATGAGTCGTCCTGCTGCTACTGACCCCTTTTATCCACATCCGAACCAAGAATCACCACCTTTATATATGACCTCGAACAGCAACAATGCATTATCATCCTCTCCTAGCCATCATCACCATCATCACCGTCCTCACGATTTGATACAGTAATAACCTTCCCCCCTCTAATTTTATAACCCTTATTATAGTACAACAAAACGAATCACGTTGTCTTTGATTATTTGATAAGGATGGCACATGGCAAGAAGACGCATGACAAAATCAATTGTAAGAAAAGCTGGGCAATAAAAATAACCCCTATAGCTGTTTTCGGTATAGTATGACAAAGTTATAAGAGTGATGGATGATGATGATGCAAGTATACCATAATGCAACAGCTTTTGTTTATTTGTTTGTGAATGTCAATTTTACCTAATGTGGCTTTTCATTTTCTATTTCGTTACTATAAAACACCCACAGGGGTGGGATGTTTATGAAAGATGAGAACCCGTGAGACGGTGCATGATGCTATGCATATACTAATTTGTGTGTTAGATAAAGAGCGTTGGCTTTTAATGAAGAAAAATATATAAAAGAACTATATATAATAATGATAATACTTAAAGATGCTATGATAAAGTTATGAATACAATCACATAAGGAGAATATATATGTATAGGAAGGAGGAGAGTAAAAGAAGAACAAGAAGAAGAGACGGGTGTTTTATATTATACTACGTAATAAATAGGATATCCATTTTTTTGTGTTCTGTTTGAGTGGTCTGTTGTTGTTTTGAAAAATATATAAATGATAATGATGATGGGGGGGTGGGAGAGATTACTTTCTACAAAGTAGATCGCTTCTTGGAACTCTCTCTATTGCTGCCGTTACTCGTGCCTGAGAAGGCACGCTTGAGCTTTTTGCCGATGTTCTTGCGCTGGTTATTCAATTTGCCTTGGATTTGCGACGATCGGCTGGGCTTCAAGGAGATCGGGGTTGGTGGTATCGAGGCAGCAGAAGAGTCGTTGTCCTTGGAGGACGTTCTTGTCATTGACAAAGGTGGTGCCATGTTGCTTATGAATTTTCTGAAATCGGAGCTTCGTTTGCTTCGGTTGCTGCTGCTGGAACCGCTGCTCTGGCTTGTACGACGTTGTTGGCCGCCAACAGCAGCAGCTCCTTCTTCGGCGATCGTAGTCAATACAAAGCTGGAATCTTTGCTCATGGTTGATACTTTGCTATCACGCTTGGTGTCCCGTTGTTGATGTACTATTTCTTGTTTTTTGGGTTCTTCTTTTTCAACAGGAACAGGAGCAGGCTGTTCTTGTTTGACAGGTACTTTGTTAGCCTTGTCATCCGTCTCCTTCTTTTGATCTGACTCTTGTTGCTCTTGTTGCTCAAAAACGGTCGATGCTTCAGTGGGGTTGGGTGTTGCTGTGGCAACGGATAGCACTTGTTGTTGCTGTGGCTCTTCTGGTTGCTTGGCAACGGTTGCTATGTAACGTGATAAGGCAATCGTCGTCATGACAACAACGAATACATGAAAATTTATTAGATATCAACTTGCATAATGGTGCAGCATCCGATCCACTACACACACACACACACATACACACACTTGCACGTATATTTTGAAATGCGGAAAGTTTACCTGTAAGTTCCTCGGGCTCCTCATGAACAACGTCCAACGTGGGTGATAAGGCACCTTCTTCTTCCTCAGTTCGATTCTGCCGATGATGATGATGATGGTACTCTTCATCCTCGAATGGTACGCCAGGTTTTGTCCAGACTTGCTCAAGATGCATAATGGAGTAGACGCGCAGCATGGTTGTTGGCAGTAGTAATTGTAGTAATAATGGTGGTGTTATGGAAGAAGAGAAAGAAAAAAGGAAAAGGAAGATAATAAAGAAGAAAAACATCAGAAGCGAATTTGGTCAAAATCATTATATATCCAGCAGATACACATAGAGAAAGGCGTGCCCTGAACCTGTCACCTGTTCTTGCGCGTCGTCCTACCAGCCAGCTATTCCATTCTTTTACCGACCATCATCTCTCTTTTTTTCTGTTCAACAATGAATTTTTATTCTCCCTCATCATCAGCGCATATATTCACAACTCTCGCTATTGTACACCCTCCGTCCGTCCCCACCCCCCGAAAAAAGTCTTGCCACCAGCATACTTAACTCATGACAGTCTTGTCCTCTCTTCTACTTTTACGTAGTTAAGGAAGAGGAGTGTATACCCTTCTTTCTCCTTTCTTCTTTTTTTTGTTATCTCCCCTTTTGTCGATCATATGTAAAGGTCATACCCCTCTTCATTCTCTTTCTCTCTTCACAGTCTCCAAGCGTATGTAAGTACTTTTATTTACATTCCTTGTGCAAATGTTTAAACAACCAACATGCATGCCCTCTCTTTTTCTCGCGTACCCATCTCCGACCCAAAAAAAAATAACTTTATGCGTCGCTTTGCTGTCTGTAATATAATAAAAAAGCACACCACTCATAGTATACTGTTACAACCTTTTTTTTTGGGCGAAAGCAAAAAGGCTTGTGTCTCCGCCCACTGCAGAACACACAAGGAACAACAACAACAACCCACACTGTATTGTGCTCCCCCACCCCCACCCCACCTCCCCCAAAAGGTTGATAGATAAAAGAGAGAGAACAACGGGGCGGAGTCGAAAACAACATCAAGATATTAATGCCGTTCCACGAGCCGTCGTGTTTTGAGTGGCAACTTGCTCGTAGCACACATGCGGAGCAAATCAGAGGAACGAGCTGGTCACGTCTACAGGTACATACATTCACACATCATAATCGTAGTGCTTTCGCTTCAAGCTTTACGCTTTCTAAAGCTGTAGTAAGAAAAGAAGATCAGGTAACCCCATCATCACACACCCCCCAAAAAAAAGAACAATCTTTACCCGATATATGATTGCTAATTCTCATACAGCTGATGTATCGTCCATCAAAACATGGTCTACTAGCAGCAAGGAGAAAAAGAGCTGCACGGTGATAGAGTCGAACTATATCTACATAATAGAGAGAGCGAAAAAAAAACAGGTCATTTTTTATATGAAAAGGCAAAGCAGTTGTTGTAACAGTTACGGGGATACATAAGTGTTATCTCCCATTCTTTCTTCAACACTGTCATGTATTAACTTCTTGCTCTCCCTTCCTCCTCCTCTAAGATTTATGAGCCACCATCATGATAGCTCAATTGCTCTTTTACTAAAGACGATGGATGAGGAGTACTTATTACTGTCGTGTACCACCTTGTTAATGCGTTTATTATTATACCGTGACCGGATCGTCATGGAACTTTTTTGCGGTTACAAAAAAAAGTAATTAAAAACTTTAATATCTTTTGGTATGATATGCATTTCGTTGGGATATGTGAAGCTTGGTGACTCACGACGTATATACTGCTACTACTGCCTCTACTACTCCGCCACCGTATAACCCAACAACGAGCGGACAGCATCATCATCATCATCGTCGTCGCCCTTTTGGGTCGTTTGTTCGACTCTGCGAGGTTGTTGTGGTAGGGCCGTTCCTCTCCGCCTCCGCTTCTTATTGACATCAAGCGTCATACACACTCTTTTGTGTCAAGTTCTTTTGCTTACGCCTCCGCCGCTGGTGCTGCTGCTGCTTCTTTCCCCCCAATCTTTTAACCCCTCTCTATCTCTTCCCACCCCCGGTGTGGAGGATCGGTTACTGATGCTAATGCTGCTGCTTTGCTCACGGCCCCAACGTCCCGCCTCCTTATGCTTCCTGAATGTATACACCGCCACGCACTCTTACATGATATAGCACGTAAATCTCCCTTTCTCGATAAGCAAAAAGATTTGATAAATTTGTTGTGAAAATGCGTAACCAGCACGAGTTTCACAGTATACAGCAGCGTATACAGTCTAATTTTGGTGAGAGAGAAATGGTGTTTAAACTTGATCCAATGACGAACCGAATTCTCTACAGTAATGCTGAATGATGGGGTGACAATGACGCCACAAAAGGTTGCACTGTACACAACATATATGCACCATCGTGGTCCTACTGTTACTTGCATATAAATGTTGTAGCAGCAGCAGAAAGTAGAGAGAAAAAGGAAAAGGATATGAAACGGCAAACTTTGATTGACACGGCGCATGTGAGCGAAAGGAAAACAGCCAGCCATTTATTTATATGCCATTTGGCCAAGAAGCTTTGAAATATGTATTACATACAGTAGATGGCAGCAAGGTGCTTATATATAAGTACATATGCAGCATAATAGTAGTAAGAGTAAATACTGTTGCGGATTACAAGCGAGTGTAAGAAAAAAAACGTGGCATCGATTATGCACGTCCTGATAGCAGAACTCTTCTTTAGATTTTTGTCTTGTGCATAATAAAAGAGTGTAAACTACAACAACAGTCGATGGGCTTGCATATTCTTTAGTATATATAATAGTGTAAAAGTTGAGGATGAGGATCTGATACATAGTGCCTGCATTTATACTTGCGGCATTTTTAACCTGCTCTGATACAGTAAATAATGACAAGAACAGCAATAGGACTGTATTAAGCGCTATTGATATAATGGTATCGTAGACATAGCTGTCGTACCACCTGGTATTGGCAAAAATGATAATGATGTGAAACGTTGGTGTCGTGCAGTGTGAGACAAAACTTACTGCATGTGCATACACATAGAACTTTGCGTTTATCGCGCACATACACACGTATGTTAAGTTTCAATGTTATGATTGGCGTTTTCTCTTTATTTAAGATGAAGATGGAGGAGTAAGAAGCTAAATTTCGGTCCAACTTTAATCGCTCCCTCTATGTAAGGAGAAAAGAGCCAAATATAAAACTGGATGAGTACGAGGTATTGTAGCCTATTATTAGAACCAGTATATGATTTTTTATACCATTTTCCTCCTAAATATAGTACCGTTATTGTTACTATGTATTATATATGCAAACATAGAGGAAAGAAATAACACCTTGTCTGTAGGTAAGTTATGCATATGCTTGGTATCCATATTTGTCTTGTCATTGCAAGTATGATAGCATATTGTTTCGTGCTTTTGTTCATTAAGCAGTCTTTATGATGCATTTAACCTGTATGATAGCAATAACATCAGCTCAAAATTCGTATCATTGTAAAAAGATGAAGCAGTAGCAAAATAAAGTTATATAAGAGAGATTCGATTGGTAGAGAGGGGTAGTAGTAGGAATTGTTTTTGTTGTTTGGGTGGCGGGGTCAAATGATCTAATCGCGAGTGAATTTGTGCCTTTGCATGTGTACAAGTTATGTATTTGACGGCGACAAACGAATTAGGACTGAATTTCCTTGACCTTCGCCTTGATCAACTCTTCGACATTCTTGTTGTGCTTATCTGTCAGTGTTTGTACCTGAGTATATTATCGGAAAAGTCGAATAGAGTACGTTATAAGTAAACAACATCGAATTCATCCATCCATACATCCCTTATGGTTTCTCCTCGTTTGTTTTCTTATGCATACATATAACTCTCCCTCCCTCCCTCTCTCTTTCTCTCGAACAAAATATCCTTCCTCCCCTCCTTAATCCTCTTGCAATATATTACCAGCTTTTCGAGCCTTTTAATTTCATCTGCAGGTGCTACCTTGGAATCCTGCTTCAACTGTTTCATACCATCCTGCCGAATGTTACGGATTTTGGACTTCATTTGTTCGCTCATTTGACTGACAAGCTTGGTCATTTTATCTCTGGTTTCTTTAGTTGCTCTAAATAAACCACATGTAAGTTTTCGACCCATCAGTACCTTTTAATATCATGATCCAATCATCCTTCTTTTTCTTCCTCTTCAGATGCATACTTTGGTACAGGTACACGAATCATTTCATTATCGATCACCGGGTTCAAGTTCAATCCAGACTCGCGAATGCTTTTATCGACAGCTGTTCGAAACTAAATCCATAAAAATCAGCATTTCTTGCTTTCTTTTACCTCTCTTTCTCACTCTTACACGTTGAATCATGATAAATCCGCTCCTATACAATAGCATACCTCTGAATCATGCACAGAAACCAACAATGTTTGTGGATCTCTTATGGTGACTTGGGCAAGGTCTCGTAGAGAATAATTGGATCCGTCTATCCGAACACGTACACTATCCAAAATCGCTACATATATGTACATATGTATATCGTAAAGTCGTGGTCAGTAGGCCCCACTGATCACCTTTTTTTCTCCCTCACTTTAGCGCATACTTCCTTCCGCTCTCGTATTGCATATACTACATAACACATACCTGGGTTGGCTCGTCCAACACGTAGCGTTTTAAAGTTATCTTTAAGCGATGCGATGGTGCTGTCCATTCGTTCTTGGAGTTTCTTTTCGTTAAACGCACGAGCTATCTCGGTGGTAGCGTCTGCGCTGTCGCTGTTGCTCTCTGCTGCTGCCCCGCCCTTTTTCTTATTCTTTTTGGCATAACCACGTTGTTGCTGTAGTTGCCATCGTGCTGCCAAGGATTCTGTTGGTGTATACAAGATTCCGACATGGCGAGTAAGCAATCGCGATAGAGTCGGGGTGGTGGCCATTTTTAAATTATGTGTCTGTGTCTATATCTATTGGAGAAAGAAAGAACTATGGGCTATATCACCCAGACCAAGAGCCTTGCAAACAAGCCACAAATTCATGCTGCAATGTCACGTCAAGGAACCAAAAAAGGAAAGTCAGATCCATATAATCAGGAACGATTGTAGACTATTGGCAACCCATTCATTTGAGAACCATGAGTGCAGCCGAACACTGTACCATATTAGAGAAGTTGAAGCGCACCAACAACACATATATTACTAGTACCATTACTGTTGATACCAACGTGTTGGTTATTAACAGTACTCGTTGTTTCGAGCGAGGTGGGGAAAAATTTATACCACATCGTAAGTACAAATCGGCTGTCTTCACTGATTTCTCACATAATATGATATTAAAAAAAGGTTCTGCTGTAGACACGAAGTGTCTAATTCTGCTCCCGACAGGCTTAGTGATCTGTAGCTCTCCACATTATTGCATTTTTATGCTTTAGTTTCTACTGGGTGGTCGGTCATTTATTCGTTCCATAGCAATATCATATGGTTCATTGTGCCCGATCCTGGTTATCCTTGTGAGGCAGCCTTCGCTTGACTGTTGTGCTGTGTAACCACAAAATGATTAGTATAAGAACAGCTCTTTTTTCACTGATTTGCATGCTTTCAATACTTAGATATGCATAATTGTTCTCTATTCTTTTTTTCCAATAGATGTTGGAAACGAAGGACCATAAGTACATCTGTCAGGAAGGCGACAGCTTTGAAAAGCCGATCTATAATCTTACCCAAGTATGATTTTGCACGCAGTAGTGTGTGCTAAATGTGCACTTTCAAATTAAACCTTACCCAGCGACGACTGAACTCACACACTGTTTCCAAGTTGTTTTTGAAACATTTGGTTACTTTGTGCCGTTGTGAAAGAGCGTTTATTTCGATAAATCTAAAAGACGATGTCTGTCAACACTTATCACATACTAAATTACTATTATAAAAAAAGCACGCTTTATACATCGTCTTATACATATTTAATTGCCAACAAGCTATTTTGACCATCTTTAATTCATTGAAAGTAATGTAGGACTAGTGATACCAAACTGGATAGTACAGTAGATAAGCAAATTTGAGACTTGTCCACGCACAACATACTAATCGTTCTTGCTGCTCGTTTAAAGAATAGAAGTTGTATTCTCGTAGAAGTGTGTTTACTGTCGTCGCTCAACATAGTGTTGTCACATTGACACTTTTGTTTTGGAAATAATACATATACTTGTTGCCGCTTGATGCTTTTTCTTGTGTCTTTCCGGGCATCAAAGTGACCCTATATCAAGACCCGGAAAGGCTTTGAAAAGTCACAAACTGTAATTTGATACTTTGCATGAACCGTTTTGAATTATAGTGATACTAAAGTGCTAGCGTCCAATCAACTTGAAGCTATTAGACGTATATCACTGCATAAATATTTTTGCTTCTACTTGTAATTACAATTTGCATATGCAGAGTGCTGCTGTTCTTTATTGCTATTGTAAAAAAGGCACTATGGAAATTTCATTGCTTTATCCAACTGTCTCTAGAATACGAGTGCGTTAGCAGCCTCTGCACAATATACCTATTCGTTGCTAAGGTAGCTTCCTGCATCAATTCAAAATGAGTGATAAAGTAATTTTCTGAACAGCCCGTCTAATTCCCTGAATTCATAGTTGTACCTTCCATCGATACCAGTCACTTTCCGAGAGCGATAAATCTGATGGACCATACATATTTGAAATTGATAAGTGTGAAACGCAAGTGCTGCAGCGGGGCCGTGTGTGTTATTTCCGCATTAACCCGCGGGAAAAGCTACCATCGTGGTGTCGTATACACTTAGATGTGTTGTCGGCAGCCCGAGGCACCCGTATGATATCACATCCTAGACCTAATACCAGCACTGCTACACACCCTTCGAGGACTCGGCATAATCGTCAGTATCATCCTCAGTATGTCGTAGCACACCATCTCTCGTTTTAAGAAAGATAAAAGCAACACACATGATCCACGGTGTAAGACAAGAAAGGAAAGAATTTAGGAGCAAAGTACAGTAGCAATTGTAGTTTTGATAGGTGAAGCTGGAAGTGAAAAATCGGTCGATATAACTGCAGAGCATATATTTTTGTTAAAACTTAGTACTCAACAAACTCCTTGCTGGATTACCTAGCTGTAAAGTATCTTCGACTTTTGATTGATAATTCGTACACTGTACGCCTAATGTATTGGAATGTTTAAAGCAGAGGAATTAAAGCAAATCTAAGCAATAGAAACTGATATTAAAATATGAAACTTTGCGTTTCACCAACGTAGACTATATAGTTCATCATTAAATAGTAGAAACCAGTGCAGAGGTTCTATAATTAATGCGGTGTATTGTACTCTATTTTACCATAGACAATTAGGTGCCTGGAGCAGATCTATCCATGGAGAGACGTCAATCGGAATGCGAATTTTTGTTTTGCTTTTCGTCGCGGGGTGTTTTTTTTGTTACATCCTTCTGTATTAAATTCTACACACATTCAAAACAACATGGCATTGCGAGCATCATTACTAGGCTGGACCCGTCACTTCGCGCCTTCTTCTTTAACATCAGCAGCCCGACCATTTTCCACAGCATCGACTATATTACAACAATCAGCAGAGAAAAAAGCAGCACCTTCCATGGCCATTCCTGCTGCTGACTGGGATGTTAAGACTGAATTAGCCACCTCCTTGGAACCTTACGCCGGCCGATCGATCGCCAACGTCGCTAATCCCAACGTCGCCTACCGTCGTGTAAACTCGATTTTGGCACAAAACAATGTTCGTCGTGAAGTTCGTTCCAACCGATATTATGAAAAGCCTACCGTCGCTAGAAGACGAAAGAACATTGAACGTAACCGCAAACTGTTTGGTGCCATGGTTGGCAAGAAGGTTGCTCTCATTATGCAAATGAAGCAGCGGTAAGTTTTGCTTTTCTGTTGCTGCTGTTGTTGCTGTCATGGAAACGAAGAGTAGTGAAAGAGAAACACGGCTGCAGTAGTAGTACGGGAACTGATATGTTGATATTTTTCTTGATTATAGTGGCATGTAAAACAAGGACGATTCTCTTTCTGTATGTACCATAGATTAACTACCTCATTCTCTATTTCCTTTACTTCTCCCGAAAAGCATAAAAACGGAACATGATTCCATCAACTAGTAGTATGCATCGTTTATATGAATGGGTAACTGGAGGAATGGACGGCCTTGATACAGAGGATCTTATGGAATTATGATGGCGGGAATGATTGACTGAAAAGATACTAGTGGATGTGTGGGAAAAGTCACTGGGTAATCTTCTCTTTTTTGGTTATCGAAATTAAGGAACTATGATGCTATCATTTACATTCTAAATTTAATATACAATTGTTGTATGTACCCGATTATCATTTACAGTCGTGTCTTTTCGTCATGACGAAGAAAGGTTGTTATTGTGTTGTTGACGGATTTCTCCAATCGTCTTGGTAAGTCGGTGGAGGAGGATAATTCGGTGGGGAGGGTCCAATGATTTCGCTGCCGTACGATGGGGGTGGTGGTTCAATTTCGACCGTTGTATGGTCAGGATCTGACCTCGTGTTTCTTGTTGTTATGACAGTTGCCGTGGTACTGTTGTTATTACCACCAACATCAGGTCGATTTGATGTTCGCGTTGTTGCCCTTCCTGATACCGGTGTCTCATAATTTCTACGTTGATTCTCTACGTGATAGAAAAAATTGAGATATAAGTATGACCGATCATTGTTACAAAAGACATTTCTCACTAACCGTAGAGTCTTCTGCGCAATTGTCGATGTTCTTTATTTAAAAGTAAGTGCCATACAATTACCGTTAATACTATGACAAGAAATGCAATAAGAAAAAATATGAGGATCGCGTTCAACATTTTCTGTTTTTTTCAGGAGTGTGTAATTGAAATATATATATATATATATATATATATATATATATACGCTGAAAAGGAATAACGAAGAAAAAGTTGAAGAAACAAATATCATGGGCTTTCTTTATGGCTCATTTGAAAAGTGCACTTTGTACTACATACATACATACCATATTACACATCACTGCTGAGCATTATAATATTCAAGTAGACGTCGCATTGGAGCTTTGTTCATCATGTATACACAGAACCACAACGCAGCTCAGCATTTGTGCTTTTGTGATGTAATTACGTTGCACCGCCTTAAAAGTATTCTGGCAAAGAATCATGTATCATACTTTTTCGATGACAAGTGAGTTGGACTTGTGAGAAGGCAAAAGGATCGAATTTTATTGATGAGGGAAAAAGCATAGGAAATGATAGGTCTTTCGTCTTTTTCTGTCTTCGATTTTTATGTTGAACTAAAAATTATCATGATAAGCTTTGGTGGGAAATCGTCGAATTCTTTTGTGCACGCGAAGCACCTTTCTTTGTAACGGTACTCTCCCCGAATCAGTATCCTCACGGACGGAGCGCGCGAACGATAGCTGAACAGCATCATAATTGGCCCAAAAGGGACTTCTGCTGTTCATTCCATGTGATAAGAATAGCTTCCCATCGAGAGCATATTAACTGCTGATAAATCTGTGAATGATGTTAGTGGTTGTTTAAGAAAAAAAAAGGAGGGAAATGAAAGCCTATGTCCACCAATATTTTTGCTCCAATTTTCCTATACGATAGCGACGATAACATGTCGATCTAAACAGCCATACGATGGTTTCGTACATCCATATTAACTGCTGTTAACGATCTTGTAACAGTATGTAGCATCATAATCGGCGTTACACCTTGTTTTTACGATGGGCGATGTCAAACAGTTGATGTATGGTAGTAAGCAGTAATTAGGTAGATAATGGAAAAAGAAGAGAAAGGAAAGAATCCCTCTATCAAACATGCAAACTCTGTATTAACTGTTCTTACTCTACTGCAGCAAAACAGGTTACAGTTTTATATGCGTATTATAGGATATGTAGAATAATAATAGCGCATATGACAAATGTTATCAGATGCTTCTGTGCGTATATAAGTGGCCATATAGTCGAATGCGATATGAGCACAATCGTGCACTTATATGTTTGAACAACATTGTCGGCAATATTCAGATGAACAACTGAGAATAGCGGTTGTCTCTGTATAATTTGGTAAATGCGATAATGGTTTATTTTTGCGTCTGATGTTTTTGTTGGTTTGTGCCTTAGCATAATAAGCACACTGGCGGGTTTCTCCGACCCAATGAAGCACGACGATGGCATATGATAATGCAGCATCGGTCCACTGCCCGACTGACAACGACGGGGACAATAGCGTAAAATCGTCGACAATAAACGTGATGGTACTTGCTAACGGTAATAACTAAGAGTAGTATAATAAGCTGGCTGTCGTTTCCAGGTGTTACGATTGCTGATCGTGTCGCATAAATTAATATGATATATTTAAAATAGCCTTGCTGATAAATAATATGTTTCTAGGGACGATGCCGTCGTGGTGTCTATATGTAACATTGTGAGGGTTCTGCTCTTGTTATCGGGACAAGCAGCCTTCCTTATGTTATCCGCGTATCGTTTCGGTGATCATGGTATGCTGGTGGTGGAGGTCGAGGATCGAGGGTATTGACAGCAGCGTGGTAAGAAGGTGGCTCCGAAGATGTTGTGTTCTGTTGCGTCGGCAGCTCACGTTGCATACGCTGCTGCAAAAGTTGTCGATACCGCTGACGCAATTGTTCAGGAGAACGCTCTGATACAAGGGATAAATCATATACAGTGTTTAACATCGTGCCTTGTGCGCATATGTGTTTGCGACTTTTTTTTATCATTTGTCAAGTGGGCTAGCATTGTAGTGCCATTACTAATAGCTACCACAAGCCCACTAATACATCTTTTGTTATGCAGAGTATTTCCTAGTTATACAGATGGGATTACACACCTCTACCTTCCTCATCGTCATCGTTCGTCATTTTGTTTGTTCTCTTGATATAGATGCATATTAAGATCATAGAAAGCGTTGTTATTCCAATGACAAGAGCAATGACAATAAGAGCAATTGGGCCATGCCCGGTATCCATTATTTTCTGTATGGAAAGGGTAAAAATTAAGAAAAAGAAGAAAGAAAAACAGAAGCTTAGTATATACTCGGTCGCGTTTTCCCTCGCTCTTGTAAGGTCGTTGTGCAACGCAGGACAAACAAAAACAACGGTCTACCGTGTGTGTTACGGTCTGGAGAGGATGCATTGCATTGTTACATGCTTGGCCAATCGGAATCAGTATGCGGCGTTTTAGAAGAAGAGATTGTACAGCCAAATCTCCAGCCTTTAATTCTATAGAAGCTTCAAGCAAATGATTTCTTGGCAGCAGTAGTTGTAGTTGATCTGGTTTCGTTGGTATGTGTGGGATTGTTGACGTGATGCTGCGCTGTTCGGTGACACAAGAAACGAAAGAGAATGGTTGTCCCGGCTCAGCATACCTATCACTGCTATTGCAGGCAAACAAACAAAAAACCAGGGCTCTTTCTGTATACATACTACTGCCTGTCACTTATTTTATGTCACACTGTGTGGTTCTTTACCTAAAAACTACGGTCTTGCAGCGGTAGCAGTAATAAGCAGTAGTTAAATAGGAAGAAAAGGAATACAAAAGGTGGTGGTGATTACGAGTTTAGCTAAATATTACAGACAGAAAAGTATGACAATAATACAGCAACTGTTTACTAACAAGTGGTGGGCGTGACAGAAAAATGAGGTCGAAAATAAATAATGGAATGATAAAAGTACAAGCTCATCGAATTCGCGTATCGAGATGATGATTTTTATATGCTGGAGGAGGAGGAGAAGGTACTAGCGCACTAGCCGTCGATTGTGCTGTAGCTGCTGCTGTTGCTGTTGGATTATCATCGCCATTAGTGTCGTTGTTTTCGTGTTCGCAGTACAAAGGTGGGCTCATGCTTTCTTCATCTGCTGGTCGTCGTTCCAAGACTTGGTCCAAATTACGTCTGTACGGTACTTGCTCGTCCATTATTTGCTGCCATCGATCCATCTGCTCACGCTGTCGGCGTTCATGTTGCTCTCTTATTCTCTCTATGTATGTAATATATAATTTAAGATCGTCATCAAGACCACGACCGATGGATAGACGACGTTAAAAATTATTGTGTTTAACAATAATACGAATAGTAGCGTTTGTGTAGCTGCTAAAACTGGCTATTTACGTTTTCGTTTCATGTCCTTGTAAGCGTGAACGTGAAATAGAAGTGCTATAATTGCAAGCATGGCGACAATAATAATAGCAACGATAAGGGCTTGACTGATCATTCCCCTCTCCTTCCGGGCTTATTTAAATGGCTCGTCCTCTCTGTCGGAGTGAGGGCAAACAAGGAAAAAGGGCGCATGAGAAAACTGATCCAGTTCTTCTTACGTTAAAACTTAAAGTGGTATCAGCTGGTTTCATATCTGCAGTGCTTGTCATGCGCTCAACAAACTACCCAGCTACGCACTAAACTTATTTCATCTGGCGATCCAGAGACCTTTTTCTTATCTGTGTAACCAGCATTCTCAAGACGACATTCATGGCATCTCAATAGATGTAGAAACAAGGGTTATGCGCTTTTTTCAGGAACGTATACTCTTTTCTACGTCACGGTTATACTTTCATTTACAACAATTCTCGGGCGACAAGGTAACAGAAAATGGTAGAATCATTTTAAACCATCAAATGCTTAGCGGGCACATTGCCGCTACAAATGTTATTCTGGAGGCACTTTTGTTTGCGTCGTTTCAAGGAAAAAGCATGGATGTAAGCTCAGACTTATGTGAGATATACTTTTTTGTATCACTACCAGCGGAATGCCAAGAGCCATTGTCGTATGCATCATTCTACACGACGTTGCTCAAAATCAAGTGATATGATGTTTTGTTTACTCGGATATCTTTCAAAATGACAGGGCGCTTTGGATTGTTAATGCGAGGGTGAAGAGAAGTATGGCATGATGACACTTTATGCGAGCCTGTAACTTCGTACTACTTATAGATTGTTGCTACAATCCAAATAAGCTGTAAATATTTTCAACTACATTCTCTTCTTCAGGATCATCCAAGGTGTATATTCTGGCAACGGCTCACGTAAAAACGATCACATTATTACCAAGTTCCCAAGTGCTCAAACAAAGGCTGCCGTATCAATATTGTACTATATCACTTCTAGAATATACACTACACTACTATTGTTCTCTGCTGGTGTCTATTGTACCCTGGTAGACCATGAAGACAACAAATTGGTCACGCTGAGAAAAAAATCAATTAGGCGAAGTAAATGCTGCGTTGTCGTTTTTAGAGCCACAGATGATTGCAAAAGCAAAATGACAATAACTATTCATATGTCAGAACATTAAATAATAGACAGCTTCAAGACAATGATCTACGACGACTAGACGAAGACGCTATTTTGGATGGGAGGACAAGGTACACAACTCAAAGTACTGCCAATAAAAACCACAGAAAGAACATAATATTCTGCTGTGTCGTTCATCCGTTGAAGGGGATCAGAACACATAAAAAGGTTAGATTATAGCATTTTGTGCTCGAGTAAAAAGCTTAGTATCACATTTTGTGTAAAGCTTATTATTATATTTCCCCTTCTTGTCAGTACTTCATTACACCAAGAACATATCGTATAAGTGACCATCTTTGCCGGTATAGTTTTTCAGCTAGAATAATATATGCATCCACTCCTGATACATCATAGTGCGTATGGCAATGATCATTTGCTATAGCACATATTAGTGCTCTTCTTCTTGTCCATTAACTCCTAAGTAAACCAGAGGGAAGGACATACAGAGCTATATGCAGGTGAATAGATATTGGTTTCAGAAAAAATAACGCTATAATTGACCGGAACACTGTCGAAGCACTGTAAATGGGCAATGCGTGGATTACGTAGATTCGGTTTTATTAAAAGAGCTCTGAGAGACTTGGGCCAAATCATAAATTGTTTCCCGGCGAATTAGAGGCTGTTTAGCGAACTGTGTGAGCTGATCTCAGCCTTTTGCTTTCATGACTTGAACCACCATCTTTGGAAGCAGCAAGAATGAACTCAGTGTGCCATAATGAATTGCCAAGTTGCGATTAATATAAAATAGTTGAAGTAACGAGGCTAGATTAACACTCAATTGACGCCTGTGGGTGACAATGATGTCTTTCCTGCTGGTGCATATCAGCAGTGACAGGCGTCAAAGGAGTAATTCTGCTTGTGTGACACTGCGTCCTGTCTGACCAATGATAGTTGTTTGAGTGCTCGGATCACTCACTATCTTTCTGCATGCAGCAAGTTGTCCTGATCATGTTTCTGAGATGGTGCAATGCAACGTCGTTTAAACCTTATTTCATCGTCCACTGATTTATCGTTTTTGTCCCTCTTTTTCCTCACTTTATTCTTTCTCCCCGCTCTTCGCTTACGAATTATACCACCACGACGTTGCCGATTCCAATATGAGAACAATTTCGTTGCAAGAGGTTGCTCAGCACAACAAAAAAGGTACGATCAAACAAATAAGCAGTTACCCTTTCTTTCTCACGGCACAACCACCTTAAGTAAGATATGACAAGATCAAACTAACATTCTCTTTCTCTTCCTCCTGTTCATTCAAAACAGACGATGCCTGGGTCATTCTCCATGGAAGAGTATATGACCTTACCAGTTTTCTCCCAGACCATCCTGGAGGTCAAAAAATCATAATGAAATATGCCGGAAAAGATGGAACAAAAGCTTTCGAGCCCATCCATCCCCCTGACATCATTGATCGCTATCTAAGTGCTGATGTGTGCGTTGGTCATGTTGTTGCTCCGGCCGCAGGAGAAGAACAGCAAGAAGAAGAGGCCGAAGACGACAAACGATTACGGCTTGCCCGTGAGAAAATGCCCCGCCTCGACGAAATGTATAATGCATTTGACTTTGAATGTACGTTTTCTTTACTGCTAAGTTTGCTAGAGACAAATACAACTGGCACTTCTCTAACATGTATTGAATATTTCTGCGAATATAATAGCGGTTGCGAAGACGATTCTCAAGACAGATGCATGGTATTATTTTTCATCCGGCGCAGACGACGAAGTATCCATGCGTGAGAACCACAATGCTTTCCATCGCGTATGGCTCCGCCCTCGTGTCATGGTAGATGTAGCAAAAATCGACATGAATACTACCATGCTCGGCGACAAAGTCTCGATGCCGCTTTACCTTTCAGCCACTGCCTTGGGTAAAATGGCCCATCCAGACGGTGAGAAAGTACTAGCCCGAGCGGCCGGCAAGTGCGGAGTGATTCAGATGATCCCGACCTTTGCTTCCTGCAGTATGGATGAGATTGTCAATGCGCGCATCCAGCCTAATCAGTCACAGTGGCTCCAGCTATATGTCAACCCTAACCGAGAAATGTCGCGGCGAATCATTGAACAGGCCGAAGCCAAGGGTGTTAAAGGACTGTTTATTACGGTGGATACTGCTACTGTTGGTATGTTTTTGAGTGAACGCATATTGAGACGGCGAAATCTTTCTCCCTTCCCTTGGAAAATATATTAGAGTTCGTATATTCTCACACTTGAGGCAATAGGACGACGTGAGAAGGATTTACGTCAAAAGTATACGCACGAAGGACCCAGTGACATGCAGGATGGTGATCTGGACCGTTCGGGTGGCACTGCAAAATCCATGAGCTCACTTGTGGATATGTCTTTGAATTGGTCAGATATTGCTTGGTTCAGATCACTCACCAACATGCCCATCGTCCTCAAAGGAATTCAGGTAAACATAAAGAGTTACACAGCCAAAACAAAGCGGTGCCTTTTTTCCCATTGATTGAAACCTACTATGTAATTTCTTGATCTCCTATATGTTCAGACCGGTGAAGATGCAGTATTGGCCGCACGACACAAGGTTGCAGGCATCGTAATATCCAACCACGGTGGTCGGCAGCTGGATTTCGCGCCATCCCCTATAGAAATCTTGCCCGAAGTGATGGATGCTTTAAAAAGGGAACGACTAGAAAATGACATAGAAGTTTATATTGATGGTGGTATTCGACGTGGCAGTGATATTTTCAAAGCTATCGCTTTGGGGGCGAAAGCTGTAGGCATAGGCAGACCATACTTGGTATGTTGTTGTTGTTGTTGCTATAGCCCTATAATCATCTATGTTACGCTTAAACAGCATACATCCTGATCTACGTTACAAAACATCAAAAATTAACAACTTGATTATTTTATGTAGTATGCCATGGCATGTTACGGTGAAAAGGGTGTAGAGCGTTTGTTGGATTTGTACCAGGTACGATTGACTTAACTAAAAGTCTAGTGAAATTTATCATATTACGTCGTGCTGTGTTTTTTAAAAAACAAGAGGTTTTTATATTGTATTTTTGTTTTTTGTTAGAATGAATTGGAAATGTGTATGCGTTTGATGGGCACACCTACACTTGCACATATAAAACCAGAAATGGTAGATATCCGAAATTTGAAGGATCACTTTGTTGCTAATCCAACGGATTATTTGGCTAAGCATGCGTATGAAAGAATGCAACCTCGAGGGAATTTTTCCAAATTGTAAATAAAAAAGAAAGTCATTATATAATGTTGAAAGCAACTTTTGATCTACATCAGAGTAGCTGTAACAGAGGAAGTGAACATACCCTTTTTTTTTATCGAAAATTTATGCAAGTTGACCCCATGATGCATCGTCATCCATCATTTCCCGCGGCTATATTGTGTAAGATTTACAACCCAGAAACAAGCGTAAAAAGCGTCCTTAGCTTAAAGAAAGGATAACATGATAGCGATTTTATTGTAAATATGCGGGTACTATATGTACGATAGATCAATTTTTCACTGGGCGATTTCAAGTCGAAGAACTACTTTTTACAAGCAAATACCAGTGCTCATGTCAAAGTATCTATATTAAGATTATATTAGTAACTCATTTGCGAGAAAATGTCATTTGAACTGACGAAAAAAAATAACACCATGACTTACGTGGTGTGGTCAACGAAACTGGTGAAGGGAGCAATAGAATTGGCGCAGTCAGACGTTTCGAGGCCGTCAGGGCAGACCTCTGGTTGGAATGTCATGTGATATAGTATTAGCATTGTGCCTGAGCTCTACCGATATATCATCTATCATACGATAACATCTTTTAACACGAAAAGGTATACTTACGGACGCGGCTTGTAAGATCAGACACTTGCCAGTACTCTTCTCCGGCATGATAGAATCCATTCAAGTTATCAGGAACGTGTGGAACCGCTAATTAAGAATGAGACAGGTATGTGTCACTATATGCTTGGGTGCGCTCAACTGAATAATAGTAGCAACAATATTCATGTCTAGTACTTACTGTCACGGGCATGAACAGCACGCTTATACGTGATTCCGGTATCAACAATATGTTGAGCAAGCCGGCGATTGCCCACACGGGGCTGTCCTTGAGTATAAAGTGCCAAATCAGAAACTCCATCGGCATGGAAATCCAAAGCAGCAAGTACAGCCACAGCGCCACCAAGAGAGTGACTATATAGAAGCAGGTCATTATATAGTTAGATATATTATCATTGTTTTACTCTTAGTCTGGTGGTGGTATACGAACCCTGTAATAACAAGTTTGTAATCGGGATGAGAGCTCAATTCACTTTCGACCGTACTAGTGACCGTGGATTTACAATCCTCCCATGAGCCAAGGAAGCCAGCGTGAACCCGAGCGAGCGTAACAGAGGGGTAGTCAGCGAGGACAGCATTCAAGTCCTTGATAGACACAGATTTTGATTAGAGAAGATGCATCATGAGGAATATATAAGGCTTGACTTTCTTTCAAAAGGAAAGACTAATAGTGCAAATAAATAAAGAAGTAAACTTGCTTACAGCGATCCAATTGTTGATAGAAACGGATCCTAGTGAAGATGGCAATATAATATACTCTTGGTTAGTGCTTTTCTATATAATCGAGAGAATGCATGTCCAAATTTGTTTGTAATACCTCGAAAAACGACGATAATCTCCTTCTTATCGTCATCTCGGGCAATAATACCGTTCATATCGTAGACAAGTGTGTTGAATGTCTCGACGATCTCGAGGTGACGCGTCTTGTCACAGTTGGGGCACACCCATAGTCCGCCAATCACTGCTGGGCAGTACACATTAGCCGAAAGTGCAGAGTAGAAAGTAAGCTCTTCAATCTCGGCAGCGGTCGCATCACGGGTAGCGGCCAACGCTTCAGCGTACGTTCCATTGAGTGCGGCCTCGACAGTGTCAGGATAATCCGTGGAATTGAGCGCCATGTCAAAGACTGACTTTGTGTCCTCTGGAAGCGGACCATTACGTTCGATTGCTTGACCTTCAGGAGTCTCGGAAGCATCATCTTGTCTCGCAACAAGCGGCACAGCCGACGATACAGTTGCAAGCAAAGGAAGCAGTAAGAGAGATGAGGAAACGAGTGTCAAGTGGAAGGAGAACTTCATATTGTATTGATCTTTCGGTAATAATAGCCTCTTATAGTCCAGCGAGAGAGGTCTTTTGTCGTTGTTGTTTAGATGACAGATGAGTTGAAATCAATCGTCCTTTATATGTAAAAACGATACCGGATCTATGTTGGGCAAAATATCATGTTTTACTAAGTAAATGTACGTTGACAGGCAAGTATTAATTACTATAGTTGGTGAATTTCTATTTCCATCCTTTTGTGCTGTCATTACTACGGTTCATGGAAAAACACCGTTCCTGATTTCGATCAAGTTCTAAAAACGTGCACCGTGGGTGTTGAAACAGACAGTTCTCGTAAACAAGTTACATACCAGCAGCTTAGAAAGACAATACGTTCTCATACTGTAAAATCCGAGGCAGAACTACCTGTGTAACTTTGATGACGCTGTCACCACCGATGTCTCAACCGAAGATGCATGTGAATTTGTGTTTGGCAATAGTATGTCCACACAATTGCTCCTTATTATTTAATAGAACGGTGTACAAATTTATCCACTGATCGTGAGACTTAATACAGAGTAAGTACGTTCCTGAGTTGTGTGATTATAGGAGATGGAGAGAAAGGTTCTTTCTTTTCCGTAACACAAATAGTATCGTAAGTAAATGATCTTTGCCAAATTGGTGAGTAAAATGCCAAATACGCTTTCTTATTGCTTGTTGTGTACTCCAACATAGGCTGATCTATCTGCTAATCGGAAATAGTGCGAGTGGTCTTACACCATCGTTTGGATTCAAATTACACCAGTAAATACAAGAGGAGGGTTTTGATTCCCACCCGCTTTTTTTTATTACTACTACTTCAAAAATGCTAGTGCTCATTGAAAATGCTCGAATGAAATCAAATGTATCAGTTGAAGAGAAAAAAATAAAAAGACTTAATAATAGCGTACATAATGTACACAAATTTCATCATCTAACTGATATGATAGGCATATGTTGTCCATGTGCTTTCTCGTGGCGTTGTTGTTTTGATTTAGATATACTACGCTGCAACTGTTAATTGAATATTAGAAGATATCATCGTTTCTGATACTTCTAAATTGTTAACTTCATGTAAGCAGTCATTAGTAAGAAATTACTATTCGACAGAAGAAGCAACTTTAGCGTCAGGAACAGCAGCCAGCAAAGAAAAATTAGTAGTGACATATATGAATATCACCAATACTAAGCTACACCGATATTTTCCTAGTAAAGTATAAAATGGAACATTTTATTCGATATGTAGCTGAATAATGGACCAATAGTCATGAAAAAGAAAAAGCTACACTAATTATGTTGCACTTTGCTGTTATGGGGAGTGATTTCCCCAAAAGAAAGAAGGTAAAATCGACCAGCAATTTTTAAAGGAGACAAAGACCGACGGTCATACCAAAGTAACTGTAGTATTCAAAACGTAAAATTTCCGTTACAGAGTTAGCAATAGAAGATACCCACGATAATCATCGTCTCTCTGTGCAGAAAAAAGGGTTGCCATTATTATCGTATGAATTTATACCTTGTGTGATCAAGGAAACTTGTGAATGGAGCAATGGAGTTTGCGCAGTCATCCGTTTCAATACCATTAGGGCAGACCTCTGTTGTTTAAAAGATATTAGAATCCTATTATAAGATAGAGCGTATGCAACATTCAATCTTTCACTTACGAACGCCACCAAAAAGACCGGTGCTTTCCCAGAATTCCTCTCCGCTGTGAGTATAGCCGAGATCCGGAATATGGGGCACCACTGGATATACAAAAAAGTACAATGTGTGATAGTTTGCAATGAGTAATGATTGAAAAGACCGTCGCTATTGATGTGGTAGACGCTGGAAGACGAAGGAGATTTTATACGTACCATCACGCTGGTTCACAGCACGCATGTAAGGGATACCAGTATTAACAACATAGTTTGCGAACGCAGTGTTGCCCACGCGAGGTTGTCCTGATAGTTTATGTTGTATGTATATTTTGATGAGCCATCAATTTTTATTCCTTACACAAATAAAACGAAAGATGTCGGTAAGCAGAAAATTGTGGGAAACTTACCCTGAGTAATTAATCTGACATTGGTAATGCCGTTTTCGTACAAATCGAGAGCATGGAAAAGGGCTAAGGCACCACCAAGGGAATGACTGTCATTGTTTTATACCGAGAACAATACATCAATTATATATAGCTCTCTATGTGCCATGTAGATATGGTAATGCTCATACACAATATACTGAGAACTTTCATATCAACTCACCCTGTGACATGAACAGCATAACCAGAGTGGCTGCTGACTTGGCTTCGAACTAGCGACATCAAACGCGATTGCACGTCTTGATAACTATTATAGAATCCAGCATGGACTCGAGCACCAAGAGCACCAGGGTAGTTGGCAAGGATAACATTCAAGTTCTGTATGATACACATAGTCATTAGCATGATGCGCTACTATTGTTTCGCATATTTTATGCCATCCATCTCCAAAGCAATTACTTACTGCCATCCAATTTTGGATCGATGAGGAACCTTAATATATAGTAATAATTAAGCTTTACTGTTTGTACTCGATATAGGGTGGATAGGTAGTACATTAATAGTTCGCAAATTACCTCGGAAAACAACGTAGATCACCTGCTCACTGTCGTCGCGGGCAACCAAAGCGTTCGTGTCATAGAGTAGCGTGCTGAACGTTTCGACAATGTCTAAATGACGCGTCTTAGAGCAGTGAGGGCAGATCCAGGTACCACGCATAACTGCGCTGCAGTAGACATTAGCTGCAAGAGCCGTATGGAATTCAAGGTCATCCATTTCTGCGGAAGTTGGATCGCGTACGGCAAGGCTCAAAACCTCGGCACGGGTACCGTTCAGGGCAGCTTCAACAGATTCTGGATACTCGTCGATGTCAAGAGCAGTTCCTCCTTCGAATGTCTTGGTTCCCTCGGGGAGTGGGCCGTGTTCCTCGATACCAGAAGCTACAGTTTCCGACACATTTTCTTGTCTTTTCGCCATCATGGCAGTAGGAAATGCGGCTGCAAAGGGTAGCACAAGAGTGAGCAAAGCGGCTAGCTTCATAATTAGAAAATACTAGTTTGTGGTGGAGGTATAGACGAGTGATGTATTCTTAAATGAAAGAATTGATGCTTTTACAACAGAGCTATCAGCTTCGTATTATATATACTTTTGCTGAACGCTTCCGATTATCCAGCATAATCCAAGCGGCTAATAAGCATTATCGTTCAGTCAACCTCTTTCCATCAGAAATAATGGAATTCTTTCTCCAGCTAGATGTGCGTTCTTAGAAGTCCTCGAATAACCTTTGTGTGTGGTTTCGTTTCGTCGTTTATACTAGTAAAGTAATCAATGCAGCAACAATTCACCGTTTGCATTTGTGTTTCTGTGTACCTGTGCTACGATCGAATAAAATGGCAGGATCGTTTGATCTGTACCTGGGAATCCCCACATCCTGCCGTAAAAAGGAAGCCGTGAGCAAAAATTTTGAACTTTTGCTAAGCTGGATCTATAAAGGCGTTTACTACCATGACCGACAACAATGCATATATCTCCGTTGCCACAGTTGTCAGTATAATCGGTTTTTTCTTTTTTACCTGCAAACAAACATGATTACATGGTGCGAATGTAATTTTGAGGTCTTTATTCGCATGCACAAATGGTAACTTTCCTTTCTCGCCGCAATAAAAAACGCTTGCTGTTAAGCGATTTTGAAACAGGGCTCTAACAAGCCCAATATTTACTGCTAGCTATTTAACACAGATGCCAAAATCTACACGGAGTGATAACGGACATAGATACTTTTCCTTTCCTTCTGCCATGAGTGCTCGCATGTTCCTAGTTCATTGAGTACGGCTTTTTACTGGTATAACGCTGCTTAGAATCGTAATTACGGTCGCACAGCCGGAACCCCACACTGTTTTTACATCATTGATCGATCGTGTGTAGCTTCTTCTATTTAATAATTACAATCAATCCCCCTCGACGAGTACCCAAGCGAGATCTGTTTCCGTGAGATTATCCGCTACTTCTGGTTGCACACCAGGTTTGACCACAAAGCGGAACTCTTGGCATTTTTTGTCCTTGCCGAATACACAACTAGTTGTCAATGATAATTGGTAATATATGATTTTCTTTTCGCAGGAAGCTAATAGGTTCGATCTTTAAACATATGTTAGCCATAATTATAAGATTAACTACGCTATTGTGGTGTTCCGAAAAATGTCGAATGCTATACCACATGTCTGCTTCAGATTGATCATGACATTGGCACGTTAGTTGAGTGTCTATTCAGATAAAGCCGAAGTGTTCCTTCTGGTTTATTGGCACAAGCTGTTCATACACGATATGAATTTTTCGCGTCAGAATGTGAAACGCTGCGTATGTAATAGCATTTAACTATTACTTGTATACAGCGAGTAGATTATGTACAAGCATCATGTAAAAAAATATGTTTTTCTGACATACTGTACACTCTTGATTGCTTTCGTTGTTCGTGACGCAACATATTTCGAACGTCGAGTATCAAAACTGAGAGTGGCGTTGTGCTATACAGCACAAATAATACTGCTTCTACTTTACATATGTATTAAAGTTGCCACTGTTATTGTACAAATGATTAACGTGAAAACAATAGAAGATAATATGTCGCGTAAAAGGATCCGGGTCAGATGACCCAGTGGAATCACCATTAAAAAAATAATGTTATCTGGACCCAGGGGGGAAAGAGCTGGGTGGGGTCGAACACGGCATAGAATGACGGCCATCCAAGGCAGTACTGAGAGGCTTTATAAACAGGGATACTGTATACGGTAGATTATTCCCGAACCGTAAGCAGGTAGTTAGTTGACGTATGGCTGTAGCTGTCCCTTTGTGTTCACACATTGCATTCTGTCCATTAAATTATCAACATACAGAGCATATATTAGTAAAAAAGTGGCTTTAAAGTAGCAAAGTTCTATAACTGGATAGATGTTATACATACTAAGTTCTCTCGTTCAAGGTAGAAACTCATTTATTCCGTGCATCCTCGTAAAAGATAGAGAGGGGAGAGACCTTGTTAGCGGACAGCACTCATCTTCTTTTAACCAACACCTTTCTTTGCTCGACGCAATGTTTAATCAATGTCAATTATGCAAGAAGTGACGCTAATACTATGTATTCTTATTGCATGGTATCTCTCTAAAACAGATGACGTCCTTTTTTCACGCGCATGTGCGTCACTTGCTCTTTTTTCCCCACATCGCACTAGTAAATATCAAAACGAATCAGTTGGTACTGTACATCTTTTATAGTATTGAAGTGTTTTCTTTTGACACTTCATGGCAATCACTGGATTGTGCGAGGGTTGGCGATTTTGGTGTTTCCATTACTGGCAGCATTTGTGTAGTAATTAGTCTACACGCGGTGAATACCTTCAGTTTTGACATGCGACATTGCAGCAACTTCTCTCATTTTAGACAGTCGCTTGTACCTTATAAAAAAATCCATGGTCTCAGGCCTGCGGTATAAATTTTAGGTACATATTATAAATTTGAAATTGTGTTTGACACTCACTCCTCGAATTGATGCTAAATATATTTTGATAGTTACAGCCGTCGTCCGCTCTTTGTAACCCCACCTTTTCCAATACTATGAACTTGCATCATGTTCTTGAATCTCACTAAGCTAATCTAGAGCTAATATGCCGGTGACTGTTACAAAAACCGGGACCACTGTATCAGCTACTTGATCGCGCATTACTGGACTCAGCGCAATATCCACCATATACATGTGATCAAACCACAGAAATGCATCTTTGTGCGGTCTCTCAGTGTGCAAAACTAGATATAACCTCGCAATTATATACGAAGCAGAATATTGGTCCTCACATCATTCTGATGCGATAATAATTCTCTACATATATGTATTCTGACCACAAGCGAGCCAAAGCTTGATGAGTTCGTTAAGAATAACGCGCTATTCATCGCACGCAATTAAAGACTGAGAAAAATTTGTTGACCAACTATCGTCATGTTTCGAAAGACAGATCGTCAGAGCAGAGGAACATAATGTATGTATAATACTACTGAAGAGACGTAGAGTTCAAAGAAGTAACATTAATACTAAATTATAATGTATAGCCACGAAGCACACCTGATTGGCGCCTCAATATGGTGCACCTAGAAAACAGCGATGACTGTAAAGGCTCCGAATCAAGGCCCAAAAGCAGCACGAGATCTTCTGTTTCGTACATCCAAAACATAAGTACAAAGCTTACCCATGCTTAGAGTGAATACTGCCCGAAGCTGGCCTTGACACCCACAAAAAATGGCAGTTTTCAATTAATAGATTCGTCAAAGACCAAAAGGCTAATACGCCAATAACTGCATATGCCCCCATTATGTAATCGATAGTCTATTGAAATGGTCAAGAAAAGCTGCCTGGCCGGATGGAGACTCCTTATTGCGCCAACCACTTGTTTTACGGGGACATTATCAGCACTGTATTATATTAAACATAGCCAATAAAGCACTAAGCACACCACTTTTTCCTTTCAGTACAAACCATCCGCTGATCCTTGATGCTACAGACAAATGCTGAGCGAAGCGAATATTTTACGCCTGCAGAACCTGCAGATATCATCTCACACAATGGCATTTAGTGAGACTTCGTCCCTGTCGAGCATGCAGAGCATTTGCTGGCCTTCAATAAAAGGTATCATCAGTATTTTTAATGCGTTAATCATCGCCTAGCTATGTACCATCTTGCAAGGTCAAGGCGGAGCGTAAGTGAAGAAGTCGCAGATGGTATGGAAAGAACAGCAGTAGTTACACAAGTTGGAAAGTTATAAATGTACATGGAGCGGCATCTGCAATCTATCAGGTACAATGTACATAGTTGACTATGTCAAAATGTAGAAAGATCATATCTTCATTATTATTAATAAATATATCATACAACTTGATTTGTTTGAGTGTTTCTTCTGCTTATTTTATACAAAAGGATCGAAAGCAAGGATGCCTAACAGAAGTCTACTCTTATGAGCTGCCTTTTTCTAAAAAGTGCACTTTTGATGATGGTGATAGATGCTGTATCTTGCTATGTCGTTGCAAACCCGAAGGAAGTAGAAACGTTGGTTTCAAAGCAAGTGCTATTCCAATTCGCCCACCGGAACAGCCCCTCCACCCCCTCCTTGCAACACAAAGTCCGATAGTCATTATTTTTGTTTTCGGCTTGTCGAATTTTTGAAAGAAGCTGTCCACAACACATAAAATGTCCTTGCTGAATCGATCCTTTACGCAACTTGGCTCACAAGCCTTGAAACAATGCCCACGTACCGCATTCAATGCCGGTGGTAAATTGCTGCTTCTTTTTTACCCAACATGATCAGTTTCTCGAATTCGAACACTTCCGAGAAAAAAAACTCATTCGGCTTTTGATTGTTGCATGTAGAATTGATGCAAGTACGATGGGCCAGTAAAAAGTCTGGAGGTTCCACACGCAACGGTAGAGATTCAGCAGGTCGACGATTGGGCGTCAAGAAGTTTGGTGGACAAGAAGTTGTTCCCGGTAATATCATTGTTCGACAAAGAGGCACGCGATTTCACCCTGGTGACAATGTGAGTGCTTACTGAGCCTTGTATTAGCGCGCTCAAAGAGACTGTAAAAAATATTAACCAAAAAAAAAACAATGAACGTAATAGGTCGGTATCGGTAAAGATCACACTCTTTATGCTTTAGAAGGCGGCTTTGTCCAGTTCTACAAAGATCCTCAACAGCCAAAACGACGTTTCGTTGGTGTCGTGTATGACCGTGAAAACGCACTTCCCATCCCTCATGACCAGCCTAAACCACGCCGCTTCGATCTCATTGATCTCACCACCCTGTCTTCTTCTTCTTCTTCTCCTTCCGCATAATTGTTTCTATTCTACTATCAAAAAAGTTATAGATGTGTATATATCCAATCATCATTTTATAAAAAAGGACACATAAAAAATAATATTGAAACAGTACATTGCCAAAATATCTCATTATTTTTACCGCATCTGCGTGTGCTCTTGTGGTGTATGAGGCCGCCCTGTATATTACGCCTTTTTTGTTCGGAGTGAAAGAAGCAAAGGGCCTTTTCACTCTTCTTTTTTTTGTGTTTCTTTAAATCAAATTCACTTTCTTTTTGCTTGCAACACAATTATCATGTCGCTGCCGGCACCGCCATTAGTCCCTGCTCTACCCGTTACTGATACCCAAGATGGCGAGAATCATAGCAACAGCAACACTATTACCACCACCACCACCACCGATAACATCAACACCAGCACCAACAGTAGCTCACTTACTTGTCTTTGGCGGGACTGTCACCGGCGATTCCCTGACCATACTGCATTAGCCCACCATTTATCTGAAGGTGAGTGTTGTAAAAAGAGGACACACTTGGCATACACCTTATGGATTCCGTTGGAAGAATCGCGACTTCATTTACACGAATACATTTTGATTAAACAGATCACGTTGGCTGGAAACGACCTGAATATTTTTGCGATTGGAGCGATTGTAATCGACGAGGTGTAAAGTGCCATTCGCGATTCGCTTTAATGATGCATTTACGTATACATACTGGCGAAAAGCCTTTTGCTTGCAACCATCCCGGATGTGACCAAGCGTAAGTTTCTCTATTTTAAGAGTTTTCTCCATCGAAAAAGAGCAAGAAGGAGGAAGGGGAGGAGGAAGGAGGTATTAAGATAGAGGATTACAACAAGACGGGAAAGGAGCTATTAGGTGATCAGGGAACAGTGTATGAACGAACGTGTGTTTTTGATATGCTGTTTATGTGTAGATTCGGGCGACAGGATGCGCTGGTGCGACACAAAAAAGCGGAACACGAGCAACCACAACCGCAACCACAGCAACAACCATCTCAAGAGCAGCAGCAACAGCAAAATCAAGCAGCATATCTATCTACTTCTTTATCAAGGAAATCCGAGGGAAAACAACCATCTACGAAACGACGCAAGCTGGCGGAAAAGCAGCAAGGGTTATCCAATAATGCTACTATTACAAACAGCGGCAGCAACACCTACACAGCATCAGCAGGAGGTGGAGCAGGAGGTGGAGCTACAACAGGGTACAGCAGCCGGGAACGACGAGGATCAGTGTCTGAGGAAGACGTAGATCAGCCACTAAGCAAAAGCGAAAAGTACAAGCTGGCCAAGGCAAAGCTGCGATACATCCTGCGCGAGAACGAGCTGCTGAACGAGGAATGGGGGTCGATGCAAAAGAAGCTGAAGCGTCTGCAAACAGAGCGCAAGGTGCTGCTGGAGGTGCTGATGGGCAGTAGTAATCATAGTAACAACAATACTATCAGCAACAACAATAACAACAACGGAAATAATAATGGATCAGCAGCCGAAGATGCGGGTGATGTGTCCGATGACGATGACGACATTGATATCGATAGTCAGGACGGTCTGGACGAAAACGATGAAGTGGGCTCTTTGCCATAACGATCAAAGTATATCTCATTCCACGCTCACTAACTAACTACTACTACCACTACTACTACTACCACCAGCACTACCAAGAACAGCATCATCACACTCACACATCCACACACACCTCACGATTCTTATGTATATCAACCAACAATCTCAAAACCAACCGTCATGTCTTCTTTTTCTTGCTTTTCTTTTTTTAACACTGTCTCCCCCCTCTGGACCATCTCTCAATAGCAGCCACAGCACCTACAGCAGCGAAGCAAACATGCAAACAAATGAGCAGCAAGCAAGCGAATCTCAATTCATTTTCTATACAAAAGCTCTTACAAAAGCTCTTTTAAACATTAAAAGATTAGTGGATGCGTGTGGATGACATGTACAGATGTGTGTGTGTGTGTGTGTGTGTTGAGAGAGGTGCATGCATGTTTTAAAAGCAAGAACATTGAAATTAATCCTTAAGCTGTACTACCAGTCGCAGTCTTTTCCTGTTCCTCGTGGTACTCTTTGGCAAATGTTTCTGCCACAATGAGCGGGAACACCAAGGTGGCCTCGGCATAGACCTTTACAGATCGGCCATCACCTCGTATTTTACCCCAGGACACTGCCTCGTCGGGCCGAGCACCTGCATCGCTTCCGTCAAACTCCTGCGCCGTGTTGAGGTACACCGCAAAGTCGGCACCGTTGCGCATCATGTTGGCATTGCAGATATGGTGCTTCACGAGACCGCCGCCGAGGATAATCATGCCCGACTTTTTGGCAAACACGGCTTCGGTGTTCATGCCGCGGATATCCCCGGCAATGTCGACAATCAGGCCAGGGTTGCGGTATGAGTGGAAGTAGATCATGTCTCCCAGCGAACCATCGGTAATGGCGGGACAGTAGACGGGAATATCGTTCTTTGCGCACCAGTAATAGATACTGGACTCATCGTTGATCTCTTCGCCCAAACGACGGATCATGGCAGAAGGTGTCCAGATCTTGCCCTAAAACAACAATCGTCAGTATTTCTTCTTTTCCATCGTACCTTTGACTCGGCCCTGATACTTACATCCTTCTTCTGTTCCTCGAGCATCTTGTCAAGAATCGGAATAACCCATTCCTCAAACTTGCAATAGTTGTTGTTAGGCACCAGCATGTTGCCAATTCGGTTCAGGCCCTGCTTGCGCAAATCGGCACCCTTGAGGTTAAAGTCGCCCAGATAGGTAGGGGCAAGGCATTTTATGAAATCTTCTTCCACACCACCAGCAGTGGCGACAATCACATCGATCATTTTGTGCTGAGCCAGGAAGCGCAGGATCTCACGCACACCCGAGGAGACCAGGTTGGATGTGTAGCCCACAAAAATCTTGCATTTTGTGTTTCTGCGGACATCCATGTCCCGATACTCGTCTGGCTCGTCTTCAGCAATGGGCTCGTCCGACAGACGCCACTTGCGCTACGCAGCAACACAATTTCTTCTCTTTCAATATATGCACCACCCCTACCTTTTCCACCAGCACAACAAATATTTCAAAGATCCCTGCTTACCATTTGCTTGATAATGTCGATCGCTTCACCGAGACCGCTTGCTTGAAACCCCATTGTAGGGTAGGTACCCATAATATCGGACAGCGAGAGTTTCTTGTTAAAGTCAGGACCTTGGATCAGCACAGCATCGTCAGGCATTTCAACCGACTTCAGCAGCACAGCTGCTTCTGCGCCAGAAGGAGTACTCTGATTGCCGTTTTGTGTTGACATGCTAAAAGCGATCCGAGAAAAGAAAAAGTGTGGAGTTTTTTTTTGCGAGTGGAGAAGGTCCAAGCTGAAACTTTTTTTTTTGTAAGCCCGGATTCTTACGTTCTGAGAAACGGTAGAACGATTCCGTCCGTGCACTCGTATGGGCTTTGCTACAAAATCTAAATGATAAATAGCACAAGGCTCGTTCCACCATCATTGTTACTAGTTAAGTGCAACTTCAAAAGGAAGTTTCTTCACGGTGCTAAATCTCTGAGCTAGTTACTGTATAATATGGCCTTATGAAGTCTTCCCAGCTTTGAGAAATTGTATATTCACATGAGTTCCGTTACTAGGAGTCAGCGCAGTATGATTCTTTACTTGGTTGGTTTGGTAAATAAATCCGGCCAAAATGGATGAACTGTTGTCACGATTGCTTGTGGTATATCGTGTGTTTGACTGTCGACTTGGACACTGGATATTATTGCAACATTTAACCCCATTGGCTGAGTGCACCTTTTCGTAGAAACGCTTCTCAATACCATAGAAAACAGTACGGACATACACTCGAAGTGAGATACTCGCGACTACAAGCGTAGTGCAGCCTTAATCTTGGTGGAGCCATGACGCATGTGTCCACTTGATAGCGAACTTCTAATAACAACAGCTTGTCAGTATGTAAAGGGTTAAAAAAATATCAAGTTGAATAGAGAAGATAAAAGGAGATTCACCAAGGCATCCAGCTTCCAACGGTGTGATTGATATTCTGAACTGTTCAAGAAAGGAGAAGTGACTCGCTAGCTACTACACATATTCACCGCTATTTTTTCGCTTTTACCGATCCTTTTCACTCGACAATTTTTTTATAATATGCTTCCTTCTCCTTGTGTGTGCAATCATCGAGTGGGACAAACCAGTATATTGAGTGAACGACAGTACAGTACATCTCCTTGGATAGTTGAAATTACATAGTAAATTATAGTCAAGATAAAACCGCTGCATATATTACCGTAAGAAATCGCTCACATGTAGAAGCTGTTTTATATTTAGGCCCCAATATAAAGCCTCTTGTACATATCTATAGTCCATTGCTCTAGTATTACACTACTTTGTCGTGCCGTATCCATGAACTGCAACGATGGTACAATAACAACAGCGAAAAGTTGCTATTTCACTAACTAGATTGAGAGCATTTATTAGTGCAGAGATCCTCTCTTAACTGCAGACTATCGTTGTTTGGTTTTTTTTATTAGCTTTAGGCCCACCGATATATGGCAGCTATTTAAGTTATCATTAATAGAGCTGGAGCTTCCAGTCTGCATAGCAAAATAAATGAAATCATTCTCCGTCTGCCGTGACACCAGTTGCCTTCGATAAGATGGTTGGTCCAGACGAACTAAGGCAGACCCTTTCTCTTCTTTTTTCTTCCTCATCGGTAAACCTGATCGGGTCTGAATGTCCAACTTGGCAGTGATTCATCCCATATAAAGCGTATGCGCATACTCGCCGGGGTTATCCTAGCCTTTTGGCTGGGTTATTTGACTGCATCGTTAGGCCTTTTTAATCTTTTGCTTGAAGAGGTATGTGCTTTTTTTAATGAGGAACTTCATTACTCAATTTTTTAAAACTGAAAACCAACTCATGACGAACTACGATATTACTGTAGAAAGCAGCTTTGTACATTTTGGCCGCAATTGGTGTATCCTACTTGGTCATCTTTATTCCATTGGAACGAATCGCAGAAGTTGAGGCACAACGTGTAAGCAAAAGTTTCCTTCTCCCCTTCTTGGCGAAAATATAACGCTGGCCTTTGTTCTTGATCTAACGTACACACACGTGTACACGCGTTGCTACTACTTCTTTTTTTACTAGAGCGCAGGATACCCCTTTCGTACATCCGCACGTGAGCATTTACAACGCCGTGGAAGCTTTTAGACTTATTACTACACATCGTCATCATTGCCATCATCAACAACCATATTGCACTATATACAAAGGAATGCATAATAGACTCTGTTTCTTCATAAAAAGACGTACGCACAAGAACAAAACAACAGTAATAATTATTTTGTATTTGGTATTTACAACTTGCTCTTCTTTGTAAGAGGAGCTGGATTTTTCCAGTTGGGAGCTCGTTTCGACGCAAATGCAGCCAGACCTTCAGCTAGATTCTCACCATTGCGCCAAGCAACAGCTTCCTCCGAAGCCATCCATTCGTTCGTAGATTGCTCCATCGATGCACGTTCCATTGCCAACATGATACCGAACTTTGTGATAAACACAGCATCTGGCGAGCTATTTGAATGGGAAATCAAACGGATTAGCACCGAAGAACACGTTTGGCGGATCATACAAAGAAACGGGGGCGATATACTTACTTTGAAACGATCTTTCTGGCCCAACCAAGTGCAGCTTGGACAATGTCAGTACCGTCTTCGACGACTTCGTTACAGAGATCGTACTTCTTGAATTCATCGGCAGTAATGTGACGACCTGTCAAGGCAATTTCGCTCACAACCTGATAGCTGACAGCACGTGCCAGTCGTGCCAAACCACCTGCAGCAATTGTCACACCTCGCTTCACTATGAGGGTTTGGGGGATTTGGAAGTTTGTTGTTTTGGGGGGAGTGGGGTGGGGCATAAAGATCTCGTGTTATTGTTTTTGTGGAATTTCACACTCGAATATTCATGCGACGCTTATTACCTTCAGGCAAACCGAATTTAGACTTTTTGGTAGCAACAACGATGTTGCATGCCAGCACCATCTCAGTGCCTCCACCTATGAGAGCCACGTTTTAATAGGGCTAATACAGCTTCCGGGAAAACACACACACGCGCGCGTGTTATTACCATGGCGGTATTGCACAAGAACTTACCAAGTGCATAGCCGTCTACAGCAGCAATGACAGGCTTTCGAGCCAATCCACGGTTGCTCAAACCACCAAAGCCTGTAGGAGGCATAGTTTCACCACTGCCTTGATTGTTGTTACCGCTGCTTCGGTCCTTGTTCCAGTTGACAAGATCCATGCCTGCACAGAAAGCTTTGCCGCCCGTACCTGTAATCTAAGTTTCCAATACATCAATACACACGAGTATGTCTCATATACAAAGCGGGCAGTTTCAAAAAAAGCAAGGAGAGGGGCTTTTACAATGATGCACCAGATATCGTCAGTATCCTCTGCCCAGTCAAGCACTTTGGACATTTCAAAGTTGGCTTCGGGATTCAAAGCGTTGAACTGTTTAGGACGGTTGATTGTGATGAGGAGCACATGAGGCTCTGGAATGGACAGTAACAAGAATTGAGTTGAAGGTAATTGCATTTTGTGCAGGGTATGTAACAAAAGAGAAGTTAAAAGGTCGTAAAGCTGGATTATGCAACCATCGTGGTTCTTTTTTTTTAAACTCGGTGTTCACACCTTACTAAGGCGATTTGATTTCCCCACGACACTTTTTTCGCTGACATTATACACAGCCCCAATATAAATTCAACCAAGGCGAACGGGCCGCACTGATTGATACAAGATATCGCATATGACAACAGTGCTTTTCCGGTCCATCATCTGTCATGACATGCTACGACTGTAGGTCAATTTCAATTATTGTACTCCCAGTGAACAGCATCATAATGCCTCAGTGACATAGGATCCTGCACACAGGTGTAGAATCTGCAGTAAAAAGCGAGCACGCATAACCTTTGTTTCCCAATAAACCAGCTTTAGGGCATTACAGGAGACGTTCTATTGCCGTTTACTGCCTTCTCCAACCCCATTAATATGCTTCCCTCGCCAGGCTCTTCATTATTTGGAGATGTCTAAAAAGGCTTCACGTCCCCGTTGCAATTTAGTTATTATGAAAGACACAGCGTCCTTTTTCTCTCGTCACCCGCTGATTATGTATAAACATACTTCTGAAAAACACTAGGAGAGAAGGAGAGAAGCCTCAGTAGGGATTGCTCATGCCTGTTATTCCAGCGTAGTATGTACTGAGGGCATGCGTAGGATAAACAGAACCAGATAAAGCATGCATGCGAATGGAAACCGGTACGGGTCTTACTATGACAGCTTAATAATTCCAGCTCGTGCAAAATACAATAGTAAAAAGCTTGCCGTTATTGGTAAACTTATATATACCGAATTACTGGAATCATTCCCCCCGTTTATTGAATAATATGCTTATTAGCGTCCTTACCGTACGATCGTTAAATGCTAGGAACAATAATGAGATTCTATTTCTCACAACTGCACTGGTGAATCTCAACACAATATGTAAAGCAGGCAGAACAATCACTTGCTTCGTCATGCATACTTTTCATCTAATACAGTAAAGCATCAAACACCATAAAAGCGGTATTAAGAATGATGCCGTGCGTATTGGTTTTCTCTATTATCAAGCTCCACAAAATTATATGTATCCTTTTGCTTACATAATAACTTCTGTAATTTCTACATACAACATCGAAAGGGCGTTCTTTCATACAATATGATATATTGTACCAACCTGATCGAAGGTAGTGTTTTCTAATTGCATCCACAAATCCGTGTGTAAGCATGGAACCATTGCTTTCCCAGTCCCAGAAAGTAAAATATGGCACTCAATCTGTTGATATTGACATATTGTGGATGAGCACAAGTCATACTACTTATTAGCCACTTTGCTACACATAAAAAGTCCTGGTAGCAATCTCTTGACCCATTTACCACACCATTATAATTCGTGCGTTGTATACTGCTGTCCGATCTTGTTTAATAGTTACGAAAGACTGAGCACTGCGTTCTAAGGGACATATTTGCTCGCGTCACATCTGAAAGTTTTTGCCGGTCTAAAACAGCCCTGACTGGGCAGCAAGGAAAAACGGTTGAGAATAGCGATTTATATAGTTATACAACTCCACGAAACGGAATATAGACAGATAAATATTTACGCTCATTAAAGAAAGACGAAGCTTATGTGCCTGTTGTATCGAAAGTTCGGAAGCGAGCCAAGCGAAAGTTTTACTTTCCACACGCTCTGTCTAAGTTACCTGAGAAATAGTGGACCCAAATGTAATAGAGTTTTGCTTCTGCGTAATGGTTCTACCATTGACAGCAAGACTCTCATATTTTGTTGGCGCGGAATGGCCTGTTCCGCCCGAGACTAGAATGCAAGAAGGAAAAACATGGTTCCGACGAAATCTTCATCGTACTAGACAACCAACTTCTCTCGTATATATACATATTGACGTACGCTGCGTAATTAGTTATCCCGAGCATATACTGATAGATTTTGAAGCTGTAATGTGTTTCTTTAGCTACAACTAGTGCCTACGATTTGCTAGCTATCATAGATACTTACGCCAAGTTACGTATAACTCACCTCCTTGGCAAACCTCTTCAAGCTGAAACTTATTATCTAAGCTTTGTTACACAGACGCATAATAAAATTCGCTGTCCGCTTTTCGGCGGCCGAGAAGTGCTGGACGTCTTGGAATATCGTGAACATGCGCTTTTCAGTAAGATTAAAGACGGTAAAAAAAGGAGATCGTTCAGATCAAGTACCGGAATAACATACTGTAAAAAATGATGCGTTTTTGGAATGAGCCTTAGCCATATAATAAATTCCTATTAGCATTAATAGATAGGAAGGAGGGAAAATATTTTTCCTTTGTGTTGTTGTTTCCAACAATTGTTATATATCTACCAGATCAAGAAAATCGACCCCGCCCTCAAAGTATACGGTTCGGAAAAAGGATTTCGCTTGATCTAAAACGCCACAGGTACCAGGATTTATATAAAGCACCCAACCCGAAAAGTTTTCTTGCAAGTGATTATAGCAAGTTTATTTCCGATCAAACTTCTTTTTCTTTCTTTTTTTTCCTGCTCCATTCTTCATATACCAGCCAATATCATCGTTGGCAAAGTGGTCACCAAAAACAATAAGCTTTAACGAATGCAGGAACATAAGCAGCAGCAGCATACAACAATTACCATAGCGCCGACCCCCGAAATTGCAAATTATGCAAGACGCACGAACGATCACGACGACGACGATGACGACGCCCAAACTGTGCATGAAGGCGAGCCTAAGCGATTACCACTACGACGTGCAGATTCTGAAGTAACAGCAACTGTTAAGGAGCCGCCGCTCACGACGACGGACCGACCATGGTACACCAAAGATCTACTTAGCATAGGCAAAAAGGAACAAATTCTTGATCCGAGAGATTATCCGATGGTCAAAAAATCGATGATCTTGCTCGTTGTAGCGGTCGCTGGAACCATGTACGTTCGCTATCACTTTTTCTTAAATCATGATTCAAGTGGAGGGTTTTTTCTTCTTTGTGAAACTTACGAACAATCCGCCCCATGATGTGTATACATGAATAGTTCACCTGTCGCTACCACGATTTATGCAAGTATTTCATTTAGTTGTTATATAATGATCGCCGTTGATCTAACGTGTACATCTTTTTTTTCATACCAACATAACAGTATCCAGCCATTGTTGACATGCAAGTTGCGCTCAACACCACAGACACTTCTATGAACGCATCACTCTCTGTCTTTACATTTGTCACTGCATTCTTTCCTCTCCCTTGGTCAATGCTAGGCGACCGATATGGACGCCGACCCATTTACCTTGCATCGTTTTTCATCTCAGTCATTGGCAGTATATGCTGCGCTGTATCTGTTAATATTGGTATGTTCATTGCTTTCAGAGCCATCAGTGCGATTGGCTCCTCTTCAGTAATGTCGATGGGCGCTGGTACAATAAGGTAATTGGTCTTTTAACATAAGCTTTACCTTGTCGTCGACTAACGTTTGCTGCTGGTTTATCTCCTGACGCGTTGATCTTCTATATATATTATTCTTTCTCCAGCGATATCTTTGAGCCACATCAACGAGGACGTGCATTTGCCTATTATACATCTGGTCCATTATTAGGCCCTGCTATTGCGTAAGTATTAGTGAACATAGTACCATTTCAAAGGCAATCATGGCTTACACTATAACCTTCACCAGCCCAATCATTGGCGGCTACCTTAATGAAGGACTCGGTTGGAGAAGCAACTTTTGGTTCTTGGCCATTTTCGCGTTTTGTATCTGGGTTGGTATTCTCTTGGTCTTGCCAGAGACATGGAGACCGTCTGATAAAGCGCTTTTTCAACAAAAAGAGCAAGACATCCAAGAGAAACAGCAGCAAGGTCCATCCACCCCGCCAGAAAAGAACGCCACGTCAAAGACCATAAAAACGAAGACGAACTTCGGTGCACTTTTAGGACCACTTCAGCTATTCCGTTTCCCAAACATAATGCTTGCCATATCTTTCGTAGGAATTCTGTAAGTAATTTTTTTTTCTATCCGATTCATAATAGTGGTTCGATCATCACACACACAAACATCATCATCACGATCAATGATGATCATCATACGGTCATTACGTCATTCAAAAGGTCTTATTTTGCTCACGCTCATAACTGTAATCCACCGCCGACGATTCCTTATACTTCTTGATATACAGCTTCCTTGTATATTACCTCATCAATACGAATTTCACTCGAATTTATACAAACCAATATGGCCTCGACTCTGGCACAGTTGGATTGTGTTATCTCCCCATGGCAGCTGGAGCGATTATCGGTGGCCTTGCCGGTGGCAAATTTTCAGATACGACGTACAAGAAGCGCGTGAAAAAAGTTAAAAGCACCGAAGAAATACGTGCTGAAATGCGTCTTGGTGGCCCGGTTTTTTATGGCTCTCTGGTACTGCAGCTATTTGCATTCATTGCTTTTGGCTGGTGCATAGAAAAGAATGTCCACTATGGCGTCGGTCTAGTATGCTTGTTCTTTGGTAAATGTTAATAACTACTTTCATGATTTTATATCAAGTATCATTTATATGGAAATGGACATAAATATACTAACAATTAACTCTCCTTATTATGCAGTTGGTCTTGCTCTTATGATACCCAATGTTACGGTCTCTGCCTACCTCGTAGATTGCTTCTCGAAACAAGGCGCTGCAGTCACTGGTAAGTAAAACTATCGTATCAGGCTACAGTCAAAACGACAACCACTAACTGAGATTCTGCCTCTATTACATGACCACATTACTATATTTTAGCTTGCAATAATTTTGTACGTTACATTATGGCTGGTATTGGCTCACTCATTGCTTCCGATATCCAACGCGCATTAGGCACTGGTATTCTTTATACTATTTGTGGTGCTGCCATGCTTTTAATTTCGGCCAACATGGTTGCTATTCGCATTTATGGCAAGAAATGGGCCCAAAAGAGAAAGGAAGCAGGCCTATAATGTAGACTGACTTCATAAAAAGCATACATCATTATCATTACAACCTTCTACACAACTACAGCCGATAGAAAATCAAACAATCCACCTTTTCCGCATCTATACACTTCTGCTACTACATTCTCATTCTCATTGTATTATCTCTTTTGCATCCTACTACTACTACTACTACACGCATATTTGTAAATATACTCTAACAACATACTTGGAAAGAAAAAGCACACTTTAACCTTGTAATTTATTGCAGTTTTAAAAAACTTCCAGTATACTACTTTGATGGTAATCAAATGTATATGTAATTTTTTCTGTAAGATGTTACTTAGTCATGCATACTAAGCCATTATGTAAAAGAAATGCTATTGAGCCTTTATCTCAAGATGAAGGTTGTAGAGGGGAACTCTACATTGTAGAGCACTGTATGTATAAGTTTTCAAATGGATGGTGTATCTAGGTTTCACGCTCTTCCACCCCGATCTGCACCCTTCTTTTTTTACAGTATGCTTTGTTGGCCACTCTGCCAAATGAAACTATTTTTTTGTCGACACCCCTAGCGACGACCATATGCGATAATGACCAACCAGACAAAGTCACGTCTTGTTTGGAAAGCATTATCAGCCTTTTCATATCTCCCTATGTTTACGATGTTTAAGACGGATATAATCGTACGAAACCGTTAATACAAAAAACTTGACGATCTACTGCCGTTTACTTATATGGTAGATGGATGACAGTACTCTAATCATCGGCGTGATGATATCATAACCTGCGAATTCTCGAGGACATGCTACATAAGCCCTGGCCTGTAAATGATTATGGAGCTCAAAGAAGAGGTCTTTACTACTGGTATTTTGCTTCATCCAACGACCCTTTTGGCTGCGCCAGATTATCCAGCATTGACTAACATTTCACACAAGGCGATAAACACAGTGGTGAAAGTTGTTCAAATCGCTTCCTGACTAGTTTCCTGCTCTGAAGCTGTTATGCTCTTCGTATTATTGCGTGTTTTAGAAAATCGTAGCGACTATGGTATAAGAAGCATCATATTTTGAAATTTTTATTTTGACTATTCCTAAAAAGAATGCTTCTGTCCTAGTCGAACATCACTTGACACGAGCACCCGTCACTTTGCGCTGAGTTATTGTTGATACTCGTGGCAACCCAAACAAAGTCAATTTTGTTGTTATCCGTCAGTTTGGGTCATCATAGTTATTGCTTCCCATGTGAACAATAAAAAAAGCTTAACATAATCATTATCTTTACAACCATGATGCTGCCTTCAGTATATATACATACTCTGTTCTTAAAAGTGAATTCAATACTCTAAAGGGATAGAGTTGTACATTTTTATAGAGATGATGTGCCATATACTAGCCCACTAAAGCTTACTACCAATCAAGTAAGAGCGCTATCAACTGGGTTAGGATTTGAGAGACATATGAAAAAAGAAACGCCGATATAAATACAGGTCATGCTTATGATGATAACACATCAGAAACATGTAGACTCGGCGACTTTCAACAAGCTACAACGTGTATTTAACATGTCATCGATCCATGTTCTACGAATAGAGGTTGAGAGAGAGAGAGAGCCTTGTTGTTAAAGTTAGTAGTAAGAAGTGAACAAATTTTTTAGTAACGAGGTAACTGTTTTCAAGTCACATTGAATCAAGTGCCGGATTATCCGATTTAAAAGGGAGAAAATCACCAGTGCATGAGGATTTGACTGATCAGTGCGCAGTCGCTTATGGAATACGGTGAAGGCTATTCTTGTCATCGGAGCCTATCTCTCTGTTTGATTTATTTCCTAATTGTACACACAGCAGCAACTCACATGGCGAAATGTTGTAAGAATAATCTACTATTCTATGCATGAGTTGATCTATCTAGTGATCTGTACTTATCTGTTTGCTGGTTTCATACAATAACCAACTAGCAAGTGACACACATGCGGTTGCTTGTAGTGCGTGCATGGACGATAAGAAATAACGGAAGAAGAAAGTAAACAAAACAAAGTGATAGCTTCTTTTCTGCTTCAATCGATGATGGCAGTGGTGCTGGTTTTTTTGTGTTACGTGTGTTACGGCGTGTGTGCGCACTTTGTAAGTCCGGAACAACAGAGCGACCAAGGTGGGTTGGGTTCAAATTTGTCCTTCCACTCGATTCACATGTGAATTGTAAAGAAACATAAAAAAATCAAAATTGAAATGAACAACCGCTTTGACCCAGGCTCCCTTCTCTTCCTCTTCCTCTTTATCATTGTAGCCTCTCCTCTTTCTTCTTCTACTTTCTCTTCCTGGTCTTGCTCCTGTCATTACTAGTACCAGCGCTGTCTACCTAGATCCCCGTATCTTATTGTCAAACAACAACAACATCTAAGCACATTATAAGCTATGCCCTTCCTAGGATCTTCCAAAGCCAACAGTAAACGGCGATCACACACACCCAACACCTCTACAGCATCTTCATCATTATCGCGCCTGCCACTCAATGCATCATCACCTGCCGTCTACTACTCACAACAGAACAACAGCAATCCCAGCGTGGCTGCTGGCATCCATCCACGTGTGAATCGAAGCACGGAATACAGTAGTAACAGCAACGCCATGATGGGTAGTGGTAGCAGCAGCACTGGCACATCCTCCTCCAATCATCCACCACCACCCTATGACTACAGAACATCCAGTCCGGTGCCTACCCCGTCAACGTCCTGGACATCCGAAATGTCTGTTCTAGCCGATAAAATCAGAGACGATGCTGCCGCCTTGTCTGCACAACCACCCGAGATGTTGGATCGTCGGAGCATCTCGCAGGGCATGAAGCTAGTCGCCATTGCTGCGGATGAGTATGAGGATGGCAACATGACTGTTGCGCTCGACATCTATCTATCAGGCATTGATAAAATCCTCATGGCTTTGCCAAGTGAGTTTTCTGTATGTTTGTAAACTGAAGGCTATTGGAGTGGTAGACTAATAAGCTGTTGTGTGTGCCTTGCTAGATAAAACAGACCCAAAAACCAAGTTTGCTCTACGAGAGAAGTTGACAAGGTAAGGTCCAGCTTCTTTTGCAATACCAACCAAACCAGCCCGGACAACACCCCGCCTCCTTCCGTTTTCATAAGTTCGGCACAAGAGACTTATCTTTATTTGTTTATTTCTTTTGATATAACACACCAACCGCAGTGTTGAGGAACGAGTGGGAATTCTTAATATCGCCAGCCAACATCGGCAAAAACGACTGCAACAGTTCCTAGAAGATGATTTAGTGGACGATGATACACAACCGCAACAAAAAAGGCGGTCGATTTTGGATTCGCTAGGCTTGTCTCGGATCACCACGACACTTGGGACCATCACAACGATTGCCAGCAGCCGGGTATACTACAGTAACAACAATACAAGCAGCAGCAATGTCAATCAAGCTGAATCATCGTCGTTACTGCAACACCACGCCAACGGTGTCGCCTCGCCTTCCGATCCAGTTGAGCGGTTCAAGCAGTTTGGTCAATTCCTTATCAATGCAACTGTTGCATGTGCCATTCTGATCAAACAGTCGCCTTTGCCAGGTACACTCCATCTTTTTGCATATTAACTTTTTTTTTGGGGAAGAAAAAGGGCAGACTAAGCCCGTTATGTTAACATGTAAAAGGAACTAACTGGCGTTGTGGTCGTGTGTAGACATTGCCTATTTTATGTTTGGCTACCTCGTTCAAATACTGTTCTGGATCGATGGACAATACCACATTGCACAGAAGGCACAAAGCCTGAGCGTCGAATGCGTCAAACTGTTTCTCAAGGCCGACGAGCAATACCGATTGCACGAATTCGCTTCCGAAGCTCTGTACATGCTTATCGCGGCGGCACTCAAGGCGGCTGTGGCTTACAAGGAAACACCCGGTTTCCGAGACCCCGTCATGATGGCTCCACAATCCAGTCTGGAATATCTCGATAAGCAAGACGATGAGCCGGTCCAAGCTACTGCCTCTTCTGAATCAGATTACTGCTCTCCATCATCCCCAGCCAAATCCAGAATGTCTTGGATCTGGTAAGAAGAACGAACATACTATTTGCCTCTGTTCATCACACCCATTTTCTTGCTTAGTATCATTATCTTTAACAAACGTACCTGCCTGCCTACCTACCTACCTACTTATCACGCCTATTTTCACCCTCCACCCTCCTACTCCCTTCTGTTTTTTATTGCTGCACTATTCCCTCATTGTATGGCTTTGACTTCTATTTTTTCATTTTTTTTTGTTGTTTTTCCTTTTTGCTAGTAATACCCCCATTTGTTTAACGAAAAAAAAAAGTTTACCGCAATGTTTGTGTAAGCGCGTTGATGATGCAAACAACCGAAATAGTTTGGGGATCTGTGGTTCCTTTGTGTGACGATTGCCGGAGGGGAAGCTTGTTGCTGTTCTTTGTCCAAACGTGTTGCTTGCCCCATTCAAACCTTCTTTTTTTATTAACATTTTTTTCTCACCCTCGTAAAAGAGAGGATACAAGTCAGCAGCTAAAACTAAGGGACAGCTGTCAAGGAATTCGACTTCTGACCATTGAGAATCGATCCACGTTTTCAAGTGTGTATTTGACTGGGCCACGCCCCATTACGCTGTCAGCTGGATCACTCAGATATTCCCGCAATTTCTTGTTGTACAGCTACACAGGGAAGGCGCAATCCAAGTTAGCTTTGTCACAAACATATACACTACGGCACGGCAGCAACAGCACAGAGGTAGGAGTGCGTATATCATTCATGTACCCGCGCGTGCTGTCTGCATGTCTGTATACGTGTAATACATAACAGACATGCACAGAAGAAGAAGAAACGAAAGATCGAATTATTTGACATACCTCTTCATCTTTGTTCATTTCCTTCATCTCCTTGTCTTTTTCGCTTTCGCGGGTATCGCGCTCTGTCATGCTAGCGTACCGCCGATAAGCATATCCGAGTAAATTAGTTCCGACGAACACTTTGAGTGCCAAAAGACTGTATTGATGTCATAGAAGCAGAGAATCATTAGCAACAATAACAACGACGATAGATGGCGTTTATTAGGGATTACTAAACAGTAATTTAACACATTACCAGACAGCCAATATGGCGATAATGAGGAACTGTCCAACAACCCGTAGGACACGGTCCAATCCTTTTTCCAACCATCCGTATCGTATCAGTGAGGCAATGATCAGCTGGATCCGTGTCGGAAGCAGCGATCCGATGACGCTTTGATGGTCCGCCAACGGTCCAAACACGCCTTGTATAATAAATGAAGACGCACTCGATGCGTTATTTTGATCACCAGCTCCAAACATCATTGGTAGGAGCTGTTGAATCATGCGAATATGCTATTACAAACATTCGATAAGCGATCACAATGCTTTGATCAAAAATTAAATTAGCAAGCGCTTACAAGACAAGCTAGTGGTAAAGCAGGGAATCCAATCCGCCGTGAGACAACGGGCGACTGGTCAATGAAAGCCTAGATAGAATAGTTTAATATACTCATGGACAATTTTTCACACTAATTCAAAAAGAATCGTCCATGTGATAATCCCTCCAATTCTTCTTATTAAACCTACATTGCGTGTACGGCCATTTAATCGACCCGGGCTCCCCACGACTAAATCCTTGCAGAGTACGTCAACATATTTGCCATAAATAGATGGCCGTATTTGATTGAATTTTGTAATGAACGCATGTTTGAGCCAGTCCACAATGAGCTCCGAAGCGATCACCATCACAACAGGAGTCATGAGGGCGTTCAAGGTCGTCGTGGCGGGTAGTTTGATAAGTGGTACAAACGTGGAAGGCAGTATTGATGATGGGGACGAGTCAGAGAGCTCAATGACGTTGCGCAATGTAATGATGATCAGAAAAACCACTTGCTGAAACCGTTCAACCATGTCTACAGTTCGATAAGTTTGAATTCATGTCAACAGAACGTATCCGTGTATTTCATGTCTCACTACTAAGCAAGCACCCATACTTACCACTACAACTTAATTGGAAAAGGTTTTCCCGCTCAAACTTTTTGAACACAGATTGCTTTATCTCGACAAACTGGTTAGAAATAAGTAGCGAGAGCAACGCATTCGAGTAGAAATTAATTGCTACGTTCAAGGTGATCATTTCGAAAAACAAAACAGCCGTATGAATCACTGACAAATCGATTATAAAACAGTTAGCATCGAGACCTATAAGCTTCAGACTTTTACATTTTCAACCTCGCGTTCACCAACTTCTTCTTTTTCACTGTATCTCATTACTTACCCATGTAACCTGTTGCCAGGAAAAACAAGGTAACAGGTTTGAGTTGTCGCTTAGCATAACTAGCGCCACCAGTTTTGCCATGTTCCGAATTGCCCAAAGTTGATTTGGAAAAGAGAGCATCCAGGATATCTCCGCCCACGGAGCAACAGAGTTTATCGAATACTTCTAGAACGCTGAAGACGACATAGAGCTTGAGCACTGCTTGACCACGGATAGAGTGGTAGATACGGGATGGGTCGAGCGTAGACATCATGACACATGTGATCAAGGAGATGAATCCTTTCAACAAGTCGCATTTTTGCGAAGGCCGTAACCATTTTAAGCTTTAGAAAATGTATGATAATAGAAGAGAGAGATGATTAGCAGTAGATAATAACAATGTACTCTCGATCACACAACAACGCAGCGCTTGTTTCTTACCTGTCATCGTCCTTTTTATACAAAAGGACAAGGATATTATGGTACATGTTGAGCATATAATGATAGAACGCCAGACCAAACCGTAAAGGTAGGATCGTAAATGTGTACAAAAACGAATCCAGACACACGACAAATCCAAATGCCATGAGCTTTTCGATTGCGGCAGGCACACCAAGAAAATTGGTGATCCGCTCACGCTTGATCTCTTGTTGTGTGTCGAAATCTGATACGGTTAATTCGTCCCGCAAATAATCCCAAAATGAGAATGACACGCCGTGTTGATGATTTTTATCTGCAGTATTGGTATTATCTTGCTGCTGCTGTTCCTTTTGTTGTTCTTTGCTGGTGATGGTGGTAGTTGATGATGGTAGTTGATGTTTTTGTTCTTCGTCTTTTACTGTGGCACTGGCTGCTTTGGCGGCAGTAGTTGTTGACGAGGATGATGGTGCTGGTATGATAGATGGTTCTAAAGATGGTGAAGACGACGGTGGCGATGGTGATAGTATACCTTTATGACCTCCTTTTCGTTTCTTTTTCTTTTTGCCTCCGTTATTACTGGAAGTGGTATTGCTGATACTGCCATTGGTGATGATGATATTACTAGTGGTATTTGTCGACGGTGAAGGTCGGTGTAAGTGCTGGTTTTGATCTAAAGGTGTAAATGTGTTTGCATTGTTATGTACAAGGGATGACGATCGTACAGTTGGTTTAGTGCTCGGCAGTGATGACGATCGTGCTAATTGTTGACTTTGTAAATGCTTTCGACGCCGTGGTTGTTGGAACCCGTCGTCCATGGAGGAGCTCATTTTCTCGTAGGAGGAAAGAAAGGATATCGTGCGGGGAAAAAGCGGGCTGGAAGTATAAGCTCACGGTTGTTCAAATCACAGGTTCTACTTGTTTCTTTTCTTTGTAGCTTTATCATGTTTCCCACTGCGGGTCTATTCAAAAAAATAACGTGTCCAGAGTACCTGAAATGTCAACGACTTACGTGTGTCTTTTCTCATGATCCTCCTCAACCCACATCAAGTAATGTTTAGCAGTTCTTGGGGCGACTCACGTGCCCACCTTCGGAGAAGTTACGGTGGTAGATCTGATTCATATTTTATGCATCTAAACTAGATCCATCATCGACAGCTTCAGGCACCAAACGAAAAGCACAACCAACCGATGTCGATCGCGCTCTATGTAAATTCAGTCGATTTATGCTTTGAATCTTTAAGTTTTATTTCTCGTCATTCTTAGTTTTAGCATTTTTATTTTTGCCTGTAAAGCCAAAAAGAAAGCTGCTCAGCATGAAAAGGTAGCAGCAAAGCCAACCCGAGAACGGCCAACATCAAGCGCTATTCCACGTCTTGTGAAACCCACCACCATTACGGCTAGCACCTCTTCCGCTCGGCCTATTCATGCATCTGCTACCACTGCTAATAGCCGACCCATTAATACTCTCAAGCCAGCATCATCAGCAACATCCTCTGCCTTATCACGAACTGGTCGTATACCATCCTCGACTACTACTACAAGCAAAATGTCAGCAACGCCATCCGCATCAGCATCCTCTATGCAGTCTTCCAAAGGAGCTGCAGCACCTGTCAAAGCAGGTGTGAGCACACAGCTCTCTTCTTCATCCATGACTGAATCACGGCGGATAGCGCATAAGCCATCAGTAAGGAAAAGGATTGAATGACAGGATGGTTGCACAAGTTCAATTTATTGTATTGCCAGCTAAAAGCACGAGCCCAATGTTTATAGTTCTCAGTAGCAGCCACAGGCCCGCCCAGCATTATGCCTACGTTGAAAGCCCATACACCTCTCAAAATTCGCCAGGTAATCATTTATTCTTAGTTACTAATTCTTAAAATCCAATATTCATGTATGAAATCATGTTGAATGCGGCGACTAACTTTTACAAATACGATTACACATGTATAACAAAGTTGATATCCCAGCGCCTATATGATCAATTTCATCGCATTTATCAGCCCCTTCTGGCTGCGCAGCCTACATTAGCCACCGAACATGCCAAAGCACAAGAATCCGTGATCCTCGAAAAGACGTCAAATCAAGCAGGATACAAGCAAATGGCGACCAATATCCTCATGAATTTAAAAAAACGGCCTGTGGCACAGAACGAGCAAGATATTGGTATTGACGGCGAATGGGTGGATCCAGCAACCAAAGCACAACAGATAGTGATTACCTTGGAGAAAGCCAATAAGCTTGTATTGACCGAGGAACAATTGAAAACAATGGGATATCCATCGGCAGCAGAGTTAGAGCAACAGGGCGGCGATGGACAAACGGTTGGATCCCAAAAGGCATGTGACCGATGCAAAAAGACGTATGTGGTTAAGGATGTATTGCAAGAAAGCGATCTCAATGTCTGTCAGTATCATCATGGTCGAATGCGTATGGTCATGAACCGGGGTGAAAAGTTACGACTGTATACATGCTGCAATGAGTCGCATGGTAGTATGGGTTGTGTCAAAGGTCCCCATGTTTATAAAGGTAAGATCTTACCTACGGCATGGGAGGAAACGGCAACGAGTTTAAAATCGGAAAGGGATGGAGAAAGAAAGATTTGGATATACAATGTAAAAATTTACTAAGTGGAGTACAACTTCGTGTATAGATGAAAACACACAAGATCTGCACGCTAAAATTCCTTTTATATCAACGCCTGAGGCAGGCGCAGCAAAAGAATCGCGCACAGTAGTGGCCTTGGATTGTGAAATGGTACCTTTAATTTACCGTGTACAGAATATACGTAAGGCAATAACGGGAATCTAACAGCTGGACTTATCATATTGAACTTAGGCATATACAACGGCAGGCATGGAGCTTGTGCGTGTAACCGCTGTGGATGAGAACTGTCAAATCTTGCTGGATGAACTTGTGTTCCCGTCCCATATGGTAATCGATTTAAATACGCGTTATAGTGGTATTAAAACATTGGCAGGCGCAAAGCATAATCTGGACAGCGTTCGGAAGGAGTTGTTCAAATACGTGGATGCTAATACCATTCTACTTGGCCATGGATTGGAGAATGATATGAATGCTTTGAGGGTATGGAAAATCATTTTTCTCAACCTTTCTATTTATTCAACGTACTAAAACACATAATCACTTATAGTTACTCCATCCCAAAATCATCGATACTGTGACAGTAAGTTTCCTACTTGTTGTTACAAGGGGATAATCAAAGACACTTTTCCATCCGCCTCCTTCAAACATTAATGTTTTTCATCTCTGTATAATAGCTCTATCCCCATCCTAAGGGTCTTCCTTTCCGTTATGGCTTGCGGGTTCTTTCGACGAAAATCCTCCAAAAATTCATTCAAGATAGTACTGAAGGACACGACTCATTTGAGGATGCAAAGACTTGTGTCGATTTGTTGGAAAAGTACATGAAATCTCCACAAGGTCAAAAATTGTAAAAAGCAAAACGGCTACTCGCTTGTAAAGGTTTTAATGTTGTGTATATATGTCGAACATGGAAAAATTATATGTTGAATAGCTAGGTGAAATTGGAGGAGAGCATATGAGAGGCATGGCTTAAATGGTCTGTGAATATAAATGAAGACGCTTGGAAAACATGTTATATAAGGCTTGATGCTATCCATTTTATTTTTATCACTGCAACTTATATGAGAACGTATTGCTGGACACATGAAGGACATATCGTATAAGCTTCTATATGAATAACGATCTCTGGGGGAAATCTACATTAATAACCGGATCAGTATCTAGCCCTGACTCTTCATATGCGTCCTCTCAATGTTAGATAAAACATTGCTATTGCTCTTCTAAATTATCATCCACGCACTACTAACATTAAAAATCACATGAAAAAGCTTGGATGAACACTATTGAGACCGGTGATGATCTATTTTTTGTTATTCATCTTTACATATTATTCATCCGCCGGTAGAGAGCAAAGTGCTTCTTTTTTCCTTCATCAACAGGCGATGTACCCGATTTATATAAACCTCGGTTTGAAAGAGCGCGTCTTTGAGGTTTGTAAATCTACAATGTACCAAAGTCGTCACTTATAAAATGGCACGGATTACCGAACACACGGACAAAGATGGTAGCGAGATATACCTTGGGATAACCACTCGACAAAGAAGTAGAAGTATAGCCGAAACACGGGACTACAAGTAGATGTGGAAAAGCTTCTTTCATCGGTGTCAACTGGACATTGCTGTTGCGACAACGCACAAGACCCGGTGCAGCTTATCGGCTCGGTTACCGGTAAACTGCGCAGTCGTTATTTGAGACATTCAAGGTTGGCTGAAATGACTATCTACTATCGTTGAGGTGATAGATCCGTTGGCTGAAGCATCCCTAATTGATATTGGGAACTTGGTTGGTGCCTTTTTTTGTTCGGTTTTAATTGCTATCTCTTAGAGCAATAATAGCAGCATCATACAACACTGAAATGTATCGAGGGGTGACGATACTGTAGAAGATATAAATCCAAGATGTCAATGGCAACAATGAAGAGAAAATCTAACAAGAAAAAGTAAAAAAACAGCGAAGACAACAACAGCATCTATACGCGCAGCATCGGAGACGCCTACAAGAGAATCACTACTCGACATGCTCGTGCAATAGGTAATCAGCCGCAACTAGAATATCCCCAACATTTCGAAAACGCTCCTGATAGATACGTGTATAAACTGTTGCCCAAGCTTCAAGTTTATTCGACACGTGGCTCCGAGAGGCAAGTGAGAACGTCATCCTCCCTTTTGGATCGAGAGAAAGCAGCATTCCTTCGTGAATAAATTGACACCATTCACTCGCATACATTTAGCACACTCAAAGAGAAGCTACTCAGCCAGTATCCGCAACTTAACCCGATGTTAAACATAAGCCTTCAAAATTATATAGCCAACAAGCTTATATTCACCTGGACCGCATCGGAAGATAAAGAAGAGGAGGAAGAGGAAGATGAAGGACCAAGAGAATCATCATCTGCGCTCTTCTCTGAGCAACTAGTCTTTTAATGACAGCGATACCGAGCCGATGACATTGAATATGGCGCTTTTGTTGGAAATGAGTTCTATGCCTGCTTCAATAACATGTAAACAAAGCCATTTTTCGCAGACACAATGCAAACGGTTTTTGATATCTACGTTGCCGTCTTCGCAAGAAATGTCGTGGAGGCGTTCAAAGAGACGCTGGGTCAATCATCGATGCGCCTTATTTACCGGACTTGTACAGCAGGTGGTCAGTCCAGACAATCATCATCATCATCAGCAGCTGTAGCAGTACCAGCCAATAGAGCACCAATAATCGTTGCATCCTCTCCCGCTAGCATGGCTTTGGAAATGGTACAAAATAGTCTACTTTCAGCTGATCCCAGCAATCACGGCGCCAACAATGTGGTGATAGCGTATCTATCTACTCGCTCAACTTTTTTGGAGCAGTTCTTCACTGACTTTCGAAAATACTTCAGTCGATCTCGTCGCCGAGAAGAAGAGATATTTATTGAACGCTTGGAAAAGGCAGTTTCCGATCCATCCTTTGATCCATTTAGTCATATTTGTAATTTTTTCCTGAATAGTTTCTCCCATTAAACCTTTTACCTCTTTCGCAAGTCGATATTTTGTGGCATCTGATGAGTATGCATCCTACCGATGGCTGCAATTTTTCAGTTTAAATAATCGTCACGTATACCATCCGTCAAACTTGGATTCGAAAGTTACACCGCAACAGAGCAACCGTGGATTGGAATTGGTTGCATATAGCCTTGATATGATAGCCCCAAACCTGGAAACTTTCTATGTAAAAATTACTGCGCTCTATTTTTCGCATATAATCCGTAGTCTATTGAGCGAAAAAGAATACCATCTGTATAAGAAGTCAGTTAATACTTTGAATAACGGATGTTGTATGTATTTTGTTTCTCATTGTCCATACAAAAGAAGCTTTAATTATTTTATTGAAAGAAAAAACAAGCAAAATTGTTTTCTTTTTTATATATGTCGTTGTCTGTTGTAAATATTACAAAAAGGCTTCTAAATGATTAAAATAGGAATGTGATGGATGTATTTGTGTAGTATGTTGTGTGTGGGATGTGGAAAACGAGAAAAAGAAAAGGTGAGGGGTGTCGTGTATGCAAGTAATAGTTAATGTTCCTTCATTTTTGCTTACAGTTCCCATACTTTAACAACACTGCTAAGCCAAGTAGGTGTTGTCCAAATGGGTAGTACATCACGCACAACGCCCAAGATACCAACACCTCCAGTTGGACGCTCGATACCGTGACCAGCAAAGTTTTCCTTTTCTAATGCAGTAAACTCAAACCGCATCTTCCATTTGCCCGCCTTGGCCTCGGCCCGCTTGTCCTCGGGCACCCGGACAGAAAGGTCAAGCTTCCATGCATCGTTACCGTGGCCTACAACATGACGTACAATATAATGGGTAGGCCCTTCCAGCGGCTCTGAATCGGTGATGCTCCAGGTAAGCACGTCAGCATCGAAAGCAATGACAGTCCAAGTATATGTCGGTGATACCGAAACAATTGAGAAAGATCGCACCCCAGTAGCCGGATCGTACTTGTCATTTTGTGCTGATAGTTTGGGGAAAGGTCCTGGCAAATCGTCGGGCTTGACGCCATTTGCTTCCAAGTAAGACTTGGTGTTGAAGCGATAGCCGCCCAAAAATGCGCTAAAGGGGTAAATGGATGCCCATTCGTTGGCATTTTCGGAACCGTGGCGAGCTTCTGCTTTGACGCCTAAAGCATCTTCTACAGCCGTAACAACGGTCTCAATATAGGGGCCATGATCGGCTTCAGCAAACCCAACGTGGGATTCTCCCGATGTCAAGTTCTTTAGATGCTGGACAAAACTAGGGGAAAAAACCATATATCTGGTGGTTAACATCTGTATTATGCCCTTATCCTACATAGTCCATTTATTAACCTACAGGCGCTTAGGATGAAACTCGTCATAAGGGAAAGCCCATCCACCGTAGGTTCCACCACGAATTACCACGGCACCAAGCACAGCAACTTGCAGCATCACCAATGCGACCAAGATCTTGCGCAAAAAGCGCTTGCCGAAGCGATGAACATGTGCCAAGGAGGGAAGCGTGGTCATAAACGTCACCATGCCAAACACGACAGCAATGATGATATCGACAGGTGTGTCAAAGCCCATACGGCCGGTCAAGGGCACAAAAATGTCAATCATGGCATATGTGTAGTCGGTGTACAGAAGCGTCATGGGGAACGCGCATACGATATAAGTCAAGCCACTGATCTGAGGCTTCCAGACAACGCTCTTCGTGGCTTTAGGCTTCCACACGAACTCGTTAAGCAGGGTTGCAACGAAGAGGATGCTCAAGTACAACCAGAAAATGTACGAGCTGGCGACACTTGTCAATGTTGTCAAGAACGTGCTGATAGCAAAGGCCACGGTCAGGGAGACAAATGCACCGTATTCCATATCAACATGTTGGGGGCCGGGCAATGCGTACAAGAGGTATTGGACACCATACATGCCGATCAGGGACATGGGACAAAAGATCACGGCACCATACCATTCCCGGGCAAACCATGCCATGTTGCGACCAATTGGATCTGAAGTCAGGAACAAGGCAACCAATACAGGAAGCACAAGGGCAGCAACAGCGCTGAGGAAAATGGATGCAGTCGTTTTGATATAGCAGGCCACAATATTGGGGATAGTGCGGTAAGGCGATGAATGGGCCGTCTTGTAGACGGTGAAGGCAAAGAGAATGGTGGCGAAGAAGACGGCACCCATTTGGAGCTTGAATGCTGTGGCCCATGAATACACAACAAAGAACAATCCTATCACACAAATCAAAGAAAGGGCGAGTGTCTACGTTCAGTGTTGCTGCCACTTGTCTTCCAGTTCATAGGGCCTATCCTTTGCTTACCTTGGAAATCAAAAAATACAACCTCACTTGTACGCTCAATATTGGATAGTGTAGAATTCTTTGCGAGATAGTCCACAATGGCAAGGGTGTTTTCACCTAAATGCTGAATAGCTCCGGGTTCCAAATTTTCAGTCAAATCCAAATGCGTATGGTACAAATACGAGTTCTTGTATATGGCCATATCGATGCCGGTCAAGTTGCCATATTGGACAAACTGTCTAAAGTCGGTATCCGAGAGAATCAAGCCTGTTCTAAACACGTCGTTGGCCTGAATTTTGGAGAAATAATAAAATTATCATCTTGTCGGATATCCCTTCCTTTCCCCTTCCACATCCGCAAATCCGGAAGGGAATTTTCCCTAGAGACTTACTACAACGGTACCATGTGGGTAAGGAGCTTGCTTGTACGCATCGATCATTTCTCTTGAATTTGCTTGGAACAGAATTTCACGACCGGAGGTGCCACAAGCATCAATGTTCACCACTGAGCGGATACTGTATGGAGATGGAAACGCGTTTGTCAGCGTTGCACCGAATTAGCTGTCATCCCTCATTCTTCAGATGCAATATATCAACAATAGCGATAACACATACGAATCCTTGATTTCATGCATGGTGATGAATGCGTGGGAAGCGTCCTGTAAGCTTTCTTCGGCACCATTGAACACTAAAAAAAGGTTTGATCACGCTCTTTAGTCCCAATGCCTCTTCACAGCCCATTTTCCACCCTTGGTACACATATTTCACATGCAGATCACCCCTTCATTTCTCCCTACTAGATCACGTATAAAACTTACAAAACACGATTGAGTTTCTGTAACCGGACCAGTCGCGGCGACTCATCACTCGAATGATCTCCAGCATGACCGCAACGCCCGAGCCATCATCCGTTGCGCCCGGTGAGCCAAGTGTGGTATCGAAATGCGAGTTCAAAAGAATAGCATTATCCTCACAAGCGCGAGACTCTGTTTCGGGACATGAAAGACGCACAATGATGTTTGTCACGTTTGTATATGCCTTGAACACCACTTTCAAATAAGCAGTTTAGCCATCTTTAGGTCGCCACATGTTTACACCCACAATGTTTTCCATTCATTCGACTTGTACACATACTGTTATCCATGATATCGAATCGGTGTGTGCCAGTTGCTTGCTGCACCCATATGTCGAACTTGGGCGCTCCGGAAATACCCTGGGCCTCGGACTTGAATGCGCGAACCGCGCTCTCCAAATAGTCAAATGTCTGTGCCTCTTCGACGGTGCCAACGATACCTGTGTAGACAAGACCTCTCCATCGTTAACTAACTCCGTCACTGACTCCTTGCTGCTGCTTACTATGTAGCAGTCAGTGATAATGCCACTGACGACAGCGATAGCAACAGCAGACACTTTTTAACACACGGGATATTAACTTACGGTAACCCAGTGTGTCACTAAGATAAGCAATAGTTTCCATGGCATTATGTTCTGAGAATTCGGTGTTTCCAGTGGTTGGATCTACACCGCGATGACTTTTTGGTTCAGGTAGCTTGTAATGCAGGTGAGTGGCAACAGCAATCGCAAAAACCCAACATGCGAATAGACGGAACCACGAACGTAAGGCACCGCCAGAAGACGCTCCTTCTTCGACAAGGGCCTTTTCAGACACGCTGACTGGATCGAGAGGCTCCGTGTCCCTGGCCTTCTTTCTCAGAGTAGCCATGAGGTGTATATATTTGTTGTCCGTCGCGGAGTGTTGGCTGTGTGTGCGTGTTTATGTATGCAAACGCGGAAAAGAGGGATTGTATAAGTAAAATTTTGTGCCGGACGGCATATCTTCCTCAATCGCGCAAAGACTCGGTTAAATAATAGCGCCGAATACTCTTTATATAACTACCTTCTAAAGTACGTGACACAGGAGTCAGGAACACTTCCACCGAGTTCCGATAGTTAATAGTATGGAGAACTAGTGAAAGAGCGTGGTTAGAGCATCCCTAGCGGTATCGCAAAAACGGACCCTAGTAATATTCCTGGGGAAGAATTACTAATTTTTATTTTATTTTTCTGAGATCAAGGCATGGCGCTTTTATAAAGCCGCGCTCTTGTGATGAGCAAGGTAGCAAAGGTTTATTGTGAGAAAAAATGGAAGTTACAATGCTATCTGTAGTATTATTGGGTGTAGTCACGGTAATAGTTGCTGTTTATGTAGCTAAGGATGTACACGGTTTTGTGGAGTATCCCCTGCAATGGTTTTGCGTCGTGCTCTCTTTTTTGGGATATTAACATTAACACGGAACAAGGGTTCTGATGGTATACTTGACGACGCTAGCGCAGGCGGTATTCTTTTTGCTGCAGGGGGTGAATAGGTTTGTATCGTCGTTGCAGATGCTGAAACCGCTGCTGTTGTTTGAGCAGTTGCCGCTGCTGGGAATGACGGCTGGTATGGCGGTGCTGTTAAGGGAGGTGTAATCGCAAATGGTGGACCTGAAGGGGTATTAGCAAGTAACATAGACTGCCCTCTACTCGGTGATTGAAGATCTTCTCTCATTGTATCGCAAACACCATTACTGATTGCAGTACTTGCACTTGTCATTCTCCTTTCGTTCCAGCGTTCAAAATGTAACTTTAGATGGTCCGGTGTCTTATAAAATATCGTTGATCCATCGACTTCCTTCAAGTTGCATGTATTCCACTCTTTTTGCCAGGTCTACCCATCGTGATGCATTGATACTTTCTTTCGTTATGATGTTGTTGAACTTGATGAATTCTTCTTGGGTATAAAGCGGCGTTACAGCGTATTTAACACCTTGCTTGTCAGCGAGAAACACATATCGTTTGTTTTTTGGATTTGCTGTCGAGCCGGATGGTAGCAATATGTTGATGCTTATGTCAAGAGCGTGTGGACGTACCATGAGTAAATGTTGGTCGTGTTGCTGCTGCGTTACCGCCCTCGCTAAGTGTATACCAAGCTCCTCTGCAACATCAGCTGCCATTCTCGATATCCCAAAAGTTTCATCAGATGCCTTCAAATGTAAGCCTGGCGTGAGGATGCCTGCGCCTTGTTCCACAATAGCACCACCAGTTGCAACAGTGCCAAGTTTCATTCGTAGATACATAGTGCCTCGGTGAGCCAGGGGTCATAATGACCTTTATGCAGACGCTGATAGCGATTCATGGTGCCAACCTCTTCTTTTAAAACCCTTTATAAGTAATGCAATATAATAAAACGACATGCTACATATGCTTCTTACTCTGCTATTGTGTCGAAGACGATTTTCAGCCAAAAAACAATGAGCCATGTGGGGTCCAGCTCCACTACAACCAAAAGCGCGTATGATGTTTTCATGAACCCCTCCCTCGAGAGAGAGTTGGTACCGCGACAACAGCGATATAGTAGTAAGCCTGCTTTCTTGTCGTATCCAATTTTGAAATACATCGGCACATCAGGATGGTCTGAAATTTGGCCTTCATAAATCGCCTTGAGCATATTTTGAGCTTGATGGCGAGGATCATTGTCGAATAATCTTCGTCCTGTCCTTGTGCAGATGAGGTTGCCATACTCTGCGAACAGGTTTGAACAACCGGCCCGATTTCGTTTGGTGGTGGCACCAAACGTTTTACCCTTCGCAATATCCAAGAAGGGTTGCTGAGTTGAGCATGTATGTCCAAGTAAGGCCTTGTTTTGCTAGGTATTCCTCCACTTTTCGTCTGTCGTGAAGATCCACAACGAAGATTGCATCCCGTAGTCGGCGGCTGAAGTCCTTTGCAAGCTTGTGGCGCTTGGGCACTTTAATCAATGCCATGAAATGATATATATATATCTTTTAAGACTCTTGATGGATTTTGGTTGATTTGGTGCGAACTATATTGCTGTGCTTCAAAGCTGGCTATGTCGGTCTGTGTAGAGTCAGCAATCAGTGGAGTTGTCGATGTAATTTGATTGTTGCAAACGTCGTCCGCTTCTTCATCAGATGACGACAGCTCTTCCGAGTTTCTGTCGTCTTCGTCCAATGCATCATTAGGCGAGTTCGAATTCATGGTGATACATGGCGTTTCTGCATCTGTTGAGCTACATGTATCATAGTGCTGTTGCTGGCACAGCGATTTCTTTTCGAATCGTAGCATGCACGTCGGTAATGTGATCGTAAACGGTGGTTGACCGAAATCGGCTAAAGTCTTCTCATATATACTGATTATTGCACCCGGGATGGCGACATTATTTATATATACTGGGTGCTATCACGCATATGCTAGCAACAAATAAATAGTTGTATATATTAGCGAGCTTTTCTCATAAAAAGCTTACATATTAAACTAACCTGATGCCCGTTTTGAGTTATCTCCCCATAAGCAATCAGACGTGACCATAGGCTAGCAGAGGATATTGCAACAAAAGCTCCTTGTGATACGGGCCACGGTATGGCTTTACCAACGGTAAGAAACGGGGCAAGTTTTGTGTATATAGCAAGTGATGCCCAAGTATTCAGCGCTGCATAATATATTTGAGTAGGCGAAAGATTTCGTGCCTCCCAATCGCTCTTCCTAGTACCCTTTTCCGATGGGGCGCCTAGCACTGCTTCTGCTAACACAGATAACGACACTCCTCCATTGTCGACAAAGCCACGCCTACGAGAAAATTTGCCAAGCTCCAGTGCCTTATTTTCGTTACATGATATAATGTAATCACGATGGAGCTTTTCATGTCACCATCTATGTGGCAGCCAGCTTTCAGTACTTTAGGAGACCGGAGAAGAGCACAGAGTGATGTTGGTACACTGTCAAACTGGTGTATTGGTAGTATAAAAACATCGTTCTAATGCAGAATTAATCAGATTACCGAGTAAGCATACGGTTATACAGATGCTGCTATGATAATAAAATGTTATACCTTGTATGCTGGCTGCACCGTTGTCACTTTTCCCGGAGGAGGGTAATTCCATTCACAATCCATGCCAACCACAATAAGTACTCGTTTTAGAGTCTTCCATAATGTTTCGGTTTATCACGTCGTTTGCTTCTATAGCGTCTCGAACATAGTGGGTTTTGATGTTGTTTGGTAGTCGTAGGAAAGGTGCTTGGTTTTTAACAGGTTGACTTGCAGATTGTTGTGTTTGCTTTGGTCCTTCCTTTAAAGATTTGATCACTTTCAACAAAAACGCCTTATCCCCTCGCACATTGTCAGTGAAGAACAAAACGAGGAGGTTTAAAGCCACATTGGTTGTATGTCTTCATCATTTCTTCAAAGGGAGTCTTCAAGTGCGATAGAGATTGTTTCGCGACTAGCAGCTGCATGCGTATTTCTTCATATTCGTTACATACTGTGTATAAGGCACCAAAGGTCGGTGCGTCGCGCATTTTAGCAATTTTCTTGATGAACTTGAAGGTATGATCACCCTTCAATATCTCGCCATCGACTGCTGCCATTTGCTTGTCCATAAACGGGCGTAGTACATCCAGAACAGCGTTGTAAATTAAGCGAAAATACGGAATGGATGGGATATAGCCGGCGTAGCCTTGAGGATTGTCAAATGTCGAAAATTCTGCATATGTTTTGGTCGCATTCCATGTCTCGACCAAAGTACGCTGATGTTGCTGATGATCCAGTTGATTTAGAGTATTTAAGATATGAAGTCGGATATGTCGTTTGGTATGAAGCTCTTGTAGCATGTCATTAATATTGGCGATTCCCATAGCATGTTGCATGCAAGGTCGCAGTATGTCGATCAATTCTTTTGATACAGCGCATCGCTAAGTCAGAATGACCGGAAACTCTGCTGCTAGCTGCTCCGGAAGTTGCGACAAAATATTTTCATCATGGGCGCCTAATGACTTTTTGCACACGGAGCACTCGTATCGTCGTGAGATTATATAAAAAGACCTTGAATATCAATCGTGTATATTAGCTTAATTATTCCATTACTTATTCACTTATTGTTGCTTTGAAAGTAAATGTACCTGTGCATGCCCACAACTTTACGCGCACAAGGATCTTTGTAGAAGCCTTTATCAGTAAGTAGTGACTCTTTGTCGGTGCAGCATTCCTCGCGGCAATACAGTTTGTTCACCAAGACATTTGTGCAGCAACAGAAATACTCGAACATGGTACAGGATTCCGGGGTCCAAGGTGTTTTGTTCTTTCATTGCAAAATAAGACAACTTTGGCTCCACCTAAAAGGTGCCTCTTCTGTACTCGCTCGGATAGCCACCATCTTTACGGGAAATGCGGTTTTGAATGTTAAGAAAATACTCTGCAAGCACACCACGGCTTTGCACTTTGTAAGTTCTATCGTCGTTTCCAGTTTCCTCCAATTCATCATCAGGAATAGCGCTACCGCCGCATTCTACACTAACGCTACTAGTGATATGATCATCCCTCTCTCGCGTCTCATCCTCCTCAATCTCATGCAGCATTTCGTTCAAAATATAGCATTCGCCACTGTCATCATTTTGAGACCACTATCACATGTATGATTCTTTTGACAAGAGAATAATATATAAGTTGCATGAAAGCTATATTTGTTTTATGCGGTCTCCATGAGTCTTTATGCTATTAATCAGAGAGGGAAAGACATTATGTACATTAGTGTGAGCTTGTCCGCTTTCTTGCTCAGGACTTGTTTCGACTGAATGGTCGCTCATGTCAAACGTGGATGGGGTTGCACGCGGCGTCCAGAACTGAAGCGTGCGTTCCCGCGCAGGAAGTTCGTTGGTTTTTTGCTTCTTGTTATACCTCCCGCGACCGCGTTTTAAATAGAAGAAAGGAAAGCGTGGGTGCGAAAACGCTCTCTCTTTTAGAGCATCCCCAGCGGTTTCGGTAATCCAGCTGCAAAATCAAGATCCGAAATAAAAAAATAATTTACCGCCAGAGTGGCTTCTTTGATGGTTTCGGTATTTTGAAATCGGTATTTTCGGTATTACTGCCTTTCTTCTGTTCCTATCTTTTATGTCTACAGCATCCGAACTTTTTGATCTTCTCCTCGAAGAGGAAGAAGAGAGTGCTATTATTGGAACCCGCAGACGAAAACGCCTTTTTTCAAATGCTTGCCAGAAAGCATAGAGAAACACCAACCCGTAAAAACGGGTCTGTTCCTGGGCGCAAAACAAAGGAACGCGATCGTGTAGCTGGCGCAGATCGTCTATACAAGGACTATTTTGCTGAAGATTCCGTATATGACGATAAAGACTTTTGGCGCGTCTACCGTATGGAACGTGATCTTTTTTTACGTATAGTAGAAGGCGTAAAACAGCATGACAATTACTTTGAACAAAAGTATGATGCTGCGTTAAAACCGGGCCATTCGACGTTGCAAAAAGTATCTGCTGCGATGAGACAACTTGCTTACGGAGGCAGTGCCAAGGTAGTCGACGAATATCTTCGGATGGGTGAAAGCACTGCTTTAGAGTGTTTAAAGCGTTTTTGCTCGGCAGTAATCAAGGCTTTTGGTGACGAATATCTTCGTGCGCCCAATGCAGAAGATACCAAGAGGCTATTGGCTTTTGCTGAAAAGCGCAACTTTCCGGGCATGCTTGGGTCTCTTGATTGCATGCATGTCGAATGGAAGAATTGTCCTACTGCTTGGAAGGGCCAGTACTAAGGAAAAGAAAAAAAGGCCACAATTATTCTTGAGGCAAATTGACTCTATATTTGCTAGCGTGCTATAATACCGAAAATACCGATTTCAAAATAAAGAAACTATCAAAGAAGCCACTCTAGCGGTAAATTTTTTTTTTTCGGATCTTGATTTTGCAGCTGGATTAGCGAAACCGCTGGGGATGCTTAGAAACGCCACAAGAACTAGGTTCCTGTGTGTAACTGTAACAACGCATCCTTAACGTCATAATTTGATTGGACAGATGTTACAGAGCCTGGTAGAATACCCTAATGCGTAGAGAGCATCCCTTAACTCCAAAATGATTGGCAAACACTTTCCCTAGGAGATTTAACCCCGCCCGCCCCAATTTGATTTTTCTATCCTTCTTTCGTTTCCAAGACAATCCTTTTTTCGATCTTTTTTTCGTTTCCAAGACAACCCTTTTCTTGTTTCCAAGGCAATGGGCAAGAGCAAGTCAAGTACACCTGGAACTTTAGTATGTAAATTTTTTCTCAAGTGACTGAGAAAATATTAATATTAACGTTGACACAGAGCTCACTCGCTTTATTAGCACCAAGAAAGTGCCCAAATTCCATCAATTCGTGAGAGAACATGAAGATGAATTTACAACGTGGCACAAATCGAGAAAAGATATCGAAGAATTGGAGAGTATCTGGAAGATGAGATTTATAAAGGAAGCAGAGCGCTTGGGCAAAAAGTATAAGGTAATATTAATAATGGATAAACGAACAACGACTTTTTTTTTCCTAGATCTAGTTCTGAATATCACTCTTCATATCAATCTATAGATTGGTAAATTTAAAAATAGGAAGGAGCACTGGGAAATTATATCCTTAAACATTGAAAAAGAAATACAAAAGGTATTTTCTTGTGGAAAGGGCTCATGCATGCATATATCACATTCAAATTACTAAAGGAAACTTATTGATGGGACTAGAAAATCGTATTGCAAAAACATGAAGTTGAAGTGTTAAAGACGCAAGGAGTAGTAGTCAGAAAAGTCAATAACGATATTCGAGCTGAAATACAAGACAGTTTGCCAAGCTCACAAGAAACCGTAACAAGTAATTCAACGAATGATTCTGAAACCTCAGAAGAGCCTGAACTTGATGATTTTTTACCTGTAAATATTGCTTATCTTTTATGTCACATAATTTATGATTTTTTCATTTTCAGTTATTAACGATTGTATATACAGGAGGTTAACCACTAGCAGCAGTTTTTATTGAAAACTATTAGTTAAGAATTATTTACGGGTTGAGAATTTTTCTTGTGGTTGAGAATTTTCAAAGTGAATTTTATAATAACAATAAAAATAATAATAAAATATGGAGCCTGAACTTAATATTGAAGAACAAATAAATAATGAAGTAGATAAAATTGTTATTAATAATTGGAAATTTTTAGATACTAATTAGCCTATAATACATTATAATTATAAACATAGAGTAGAAATAAAACATATAAAATTAATAAATAAAATTAAAAAAGAATTAGTAGATAAATTAGGATATATTGTAGTTTTTTTCTTTTTAACAGTATTATATACAAATAAGAAATATCCAGGACCATATTTTGAAATTGAAAAAGGACTATTTTTGTTATATCATTTAGTTTCAGGTATTTCAAGAATAGATATAAATAGATATCTTCCTCAAAGTAGCTTTCATAAATATTATACAAAATTTTGGATGGATGAAGAAAATTATAAAAGAATAAATAAAATTATAAATGAATCATTAATAAATATGTTTTCTTCTATAAAATTAAGAGTACTATCAGTACATAAATATAATCCATCATTATTCAAACATGTAACATTAATAATTGATGGCCATGATAGTAGAATTAATTATGTTAATATAGATATAAAACGTGAAAAATTATTTTCTTATAAATTTAAAAAAATGGACTTAGAACTCAAATTATTATGGTGCATACTGACTTGAATCGTTAATATATTTGAAATACCGACCCAAAAAAAGAAAGTGTATCAGAGTTGTCCAAAGTGAATTTTCTGAGATTCTGACCAGCAAGATGTGTTTAATAGCATATTATAAGCATTTCTTACTCGTTACTTTATGGAAAAAGGTGTTTTGGAGAGCTCTGATAGCCATCAAAGTTTTGTCGGAATATGAAAATTTACTATATAGACCCAAGATTTCGACAAGGTGGGAGGGGTAGATCAGTGAGGTGATGTAGGCTATTACAGTCTGTGTAACATTGCATTGGTCATGGTTACACAAACACATTATCCTCATTATCATACTACTTTTACACAAGGGTTGTGTTTCCTTCATTAATACTCGCTCATTGTAGTGAAGCTACACTACTTTGAGATTGATCCAAATAACTCAACCCACTCCACCATCTTTGTAACCATTAAAATGCAGTAGAGAGAACACCACACACATGGATGAATCAAATATTACATAATTAGCACCATATTGATAATCTCTCAAACATAGATCACAATCGAGAATGACTCAGGACCAACTATTGTCAATACTTCGTTGCAATATAATACCGATAATCTCTTAAACATGAATCAGAATCGAGAATAACTCAGTACCAACCATTGTCAGTACTTCGTTTCAATCTACATTATCTGAGTTGAGCGAAGTGTACCTGTCAAAGAGCGGATATCATACGTCGATACTACAACCGTTACTGGTGTTATATTTAAGCATATAAGGATATGAAAGACGATCGTGAAGCTGCCAAGATCGTAGAGAAATTTACTTCTAGAAGTTACAAATCCCACCGCAGAATTATTGCAAGTGATTAGTGTGTATTTTTACCTCTGTTATTTCTGACTTTCATAAATAAATGAGTATAGTATCGATCATGTAATTCCCTGACTAGTGCAAACATAGAGTATGATATATGAAGAAACGTATCGGGTGTTTCGGGTGTTAATTTAGCCGCGGTGTTTCAAAAATTCTCAATTTTCGACAGCTCACGGTTTAAGTCAGTATGCACCATAGTGATATAAATGATATAATATTGTATATTTCAGAAACTGATATGTGTACAGAAAGCTCAGATGGAAGTATGTTTTTAAATATGAAGCTATATAGTAAATTAAATAATTATGATGTTTTAGCAATGGATGGAGGATATATACTTTCTGTTAATCAACTTATTGAATTATCTAGTCAAAAAGGAATTGATTTTAATAATAGTTACTTTATATATCCCATTAGAAAAGATGTTAACATTGATTTGAATGCAGATGAAAGATATTTTAATGATGTTTTTGGAAGTTTTCGTTCTAAAGTAGAAAATCAATTTTCTGAAATTGGTAACAAATTTAATAGATTTAGTAATAGCAATTCAATTGCTAAAATTGATAATATCAAATTTTATAATTTACAGTTCTGTTTAGCATGTTTATTGAAAAATATAAATAAATTTAGTAGTAAATTTAATATAAATATATAAGCACATCATAAATTATGGGAAACTAAAGATTTTGAATTTCCTTATGAGGCTAAATTAGTAGAGATTGTTATTAGTAATTCTATAGAACAAGCAAAAAGAAAAGATGAAGTGTTAGAATTACAGAAAAATCTAGTATCTTTAAATATAAATAATGAAAGAATGGAAGTTGATAATTATAGTGACAAAAATTTAGAAGATAGTAGTGAAGATGATATACCAAAATCTAATGAAAAGAAACGGCGTAGAAAAGGTAAAGGAAAAGAAAGAGAAAATAATATACAATTTATAAGAAATATAGGAGATAATAGTGAATCATATGAAATAGAAAAAATTACTGGACATAAATATAAAAACAATATATACATGTTTTCAGTTAAGTGGAAAAATTATGGTCATGAACATAATAGTTGGTTATCAGCTGATAAATTTAATGAAAAAGATTTATTAATAGCGTATATCAAAAAGTATATTATAGATACAGAATTATAAATACAGGATTTTTCATCTCCTAGCGGACGTTTGAACTTTTATTTAGGCAGAGTGGACATGAATGTTAGTCTGAGTGGACATGAATGAAAGTTA